TTCTTATTGATGATGCAATTTCTAAAAACACCAAGAAAGCATCGGCTAGGGGAATATCTGTTTTGAAAGATAAAGTTGTAAATTTTAAAATTTTCATTCTAGCTAGTTGAGGTGTTTTTGCGTGTCGTATAATGGCTTCAATGCAGCGTTTCTTTGTGCAGTTTTACCAATTTAAAAATGTTAACGCACTCATTGCTCGTGAGTTATCGGGATATACCGGTACTCGTTCACAAACAATGAACTCGAAATTTTCAATACAGCACTCGGGTGGTATTGAAATTTCTCGTTCATTGTTAGTGAACTCGAGCAGGTAAATCCCGATAATTTACTTGCTGAGTGCGTTAACCTGTAAATAACCGACCACTGATTTACGCGCGACCCAAAGCAAAATCACTGAACAGTTATCATTCAATTCATAACCCATTTACGTCGATTTTTGTCCTCCGAGAAATAAATCCAGCAGAAAGAAGCAAGCTCATGAATTTCACTTCTCATCTCATCATTTAGCATTGTGAAAAGCGAACTCGTTTTGTAGTGTCCACTGGTTTAAAAAGCTGATCTTAACTTAGTATAGATAGATATTCTTCAAGGAGAAGTATCGTCGTTTACATGTTATCGTCCATGAGTTCTTGTGAACGGTCTGAGGATTTTCCGCGTAGCTTCTGTCTTTCATTTGGTGTTAATTTTTTTTTTTGACGGACGCTTCATGGCCATTTTTCACCCGTTTCACAAGTTTTCTCTTTTGTAATTTATCCTCTCTTTGATAAAACTTAGGCTCTTACAATAAACATTTTCACTTTTTCGGCTGGCGCTGGCGATCGTTTTCAATGGTCAGTTTGTACTTTACAGGGAAGCTCGCAGACACAAGAAGGTAATCATCGCCCAGCAGGTTTCACAAGATGTGAAACGAAGATTCCCCAAAGAGCAAAATGCCTTGAAAATGACTACGTTTGTTTTTATATCTGTATTAGTCTTTCGTTTACGAGCAACTCTCACTCGATTATTTTTCTCTGACTGTTGCCACTGTTTTTTACTCTGTTGTAGGGTTTCTCCTTATCCTAAACTCTTCGGTCAATCCATTTATTTATGCCACTGTAAAAAGGTAATTTTGAGTGGCCTTCCTTAAAATTATTTTGAGCAAGACTCAATGACAGGTGCAGCAGATCGAGAGCCGAGTTTTTGGATCATTAAACACGGTGGGTGTTCTCCATCAAATAGAAGATTTCGAGATTTGAGCAACACCCTAGGAGTGATAACTGGATTTGTTTACATTCGAACCGACTGATCCATTAAATCAGAGAAAACCCCGATTCTCTTGGAGTGCAGTTACTTGAAGTATTTTACGGAGAGAAGTCTAGAGCCCGAACTTCTCAATCAGGAGTTTAATGAGCAAAATAATTGGAACTTCGCTTCTAATTGGAAGCCTCTTGGTCAAACAATAGACATTGCTGACTGTTGTTTCCTTCTTAGCGATAAGATTAAATTTAATGGTTAAAAGCGTATGATGTGTTTAGTTGAATAAAAAAGTTTGAAGGTTTTTTGAATTTGAAATCTAACCTCTTTAGTATCTTGATTATTGATTTTTTTTTTCCCGCAAAGTAAGGTATTTAGAATTTCATGAAAGCATGTTCCATGCACGCCACGGCTCGCATAGAAATTATTCACGAGACGCAGTTAAAGTTCTCTAGACACTAAACATGAACTACTTTTTGCTGAATAAACCAACCCAGAATATTTTTCATTATTTTGTTGGCCTCAAGGCTCTCCACGTCTGTTATTTCTGTACTCAATTTCTTCCTTCGTGGTGATAGTTCAATTTAGATGATAAAAGATCCATTCAAATGTTAAATGCTAATTGATGAAGGTTCGCCTACTCCTGGTGGAGGATCTCTCTGGACGAATTTGCGCGACATCTCTATCCAACATGATTTCTGGCTGTATCAGACAAATTGGAGCAATTTTTTTTAACGAAGAGAGATTCAAAGCTATTGAAACTTGCTCCATGTCCTCATAAAGCTGTGCTGAATTTCAGTCCCATTGTTAAGCGATGGATTTTGTCTAGGCGAGTAACAAACATAATTGACTTCAATGTATTTTCGGGGCTCACCCAGAAAGATCTTCATTGTGTTCCTATCAAAACAGTAGTTGAATTACCTGAGGGTAATTAACACAAATTTGGTCAGCGCTTCTGGCTTTCACAGTGTGAATGCAGATTGGCGATTTCAAAAGTGAAAACTCTAATAAATTATATTTGTTAGTTTAAAAGGCGGTTTTAGTATGCAGTTGACATAACAAACATCTTTTATACACCCATCTTAATTCGTTCCCTTTATTCAATTCTTATTTTAATTTGCATTATTGCTGACGAATTGTCATGAGCAAAAGTTTGTCGACGACTGCTTCTTTTCAAAAGACTGGATGAAGACCAAACCACAAACAAAATACTTTTTTCGGGAGATACTTCCAAGAAGGTTTTTTTTCCCTCTAAAAACGTATAAAGAAAACTGAGAACCCTTGAATAACAGTTTCCCTTGGTCAGAAATAAATTTCAACAATAGCACACCTATCTAATAATAGTGCCCGATTAGCGATACAAATTAGACAAAAGCTGTAAGCGCTTCGTGTGAATAGCGTTATTTTGATATTCTATTAATTGTTTAAAACTCGCAATTCATTTCAGTTACATCATCAAAACCACATCTATCAACTTAAATTGAATACTAATTAGTTATCCACCACACATATATCGTTTTTATCGCTAAAAATAATTTTTTACAAGTTTTTGTGAATTTTGCAGATCTTTTTAAGCCAGGAATCGATTCGAACTTCTGTTTAAAAATTAACACTGATAAAAAAAAATATGAGTCGTGAATAGAGGGCTATTTTTTGTTTGGCAAAAAAACACAACAAAACAGGGGATACCAATGCACTCTATGATTTCATGATTGGTTTTCAATTATCGCTCCCAGTGTGCTGAAGCAATTGGATTGAATCTAGCATCTGGGCGTCTCTTTATTTTATGATATGACATCTCAGGATGAATACTTACTTTTCACATTCTTGTAAATTATTGATGATGTATATTATTTAAGGAATTTCATAATATAAAAAAGAAATTTCATGTAAATCAAGTGGAGGTTTGTTAACAAGAAATAATGTGAAGTCGCGATGTTCACGAAACAGCCAAGGATATTTTCGCCTTTTAGTCCCAAGGTAAGTGGAAATTTTTATTTTGCTGAAAGTTATCAATAGACGATAGACAATTTCTGGATTACCCAGGGCAATTTTTCCGACCTCGATCAATTTCTGTAGAGTGCTGGATTTACACCAACGAAAAGCAATGATATGTCAAATAAATGCTGTAACAGTGTATTTACGGGATTTGAAAAGCACTGAGTTTAGCTTAAATCTTACTTGTACTAATGATAAACGTAACTTATGATTCAATTTTTTGAAAATATCGTTTTCAAGCCATTGATAGATGAAAACTTTGACGACAGTTTTTATGCTGGAGTATAAATGAGTACTCTGCAGTGTACACTACAGTGGATTATGAGATATATTGGGCCACCAAAAGTCATTCTCAAAGGAAATATGCAAACTTTGTTATCACAAATTAGAAGTGATCAGCTTATTTCAACTTATTAACTTATACAAGTACAATGTTAGTCGACTTGAAATGTGATACACTTTCGGAGTTTTATCGAAGTTATAGGATTAATAATCAATATTTCTTGGATAATTTTGATAGTAGAAAAGTTATTAAAATATGGGAAAACTATCGATCGTGTGGTCTGATCGTTCAAACCAGAGTAGCCTTAAAAAGGAAATGAAAGAAGAATTCCACAAACCGAGAAGTCGTCGTTAGAGTTAAGACACGATATATTTTTGTCAGTGGAATGTTATTATCATGGTATATGCAAATTGACTCGCCAGATTTTCCGTTATTAGTAGTTGCTGTAAAGCTTTACCAATAGCATACGTCAATTACCTGTCGTTGATAACATCTTCGGGAGGTTTCTCTCCTAATCTAGTAAATCATCTTTGTAAAGTCAGTCGATGCAAACAGTTTGTGCTGTAGGTAATTTATTATCCTTAATTCCATTCAGAACAAGATGCAGTCCCTATACTTGCGGGTAAGACTTAAGAAGTAATTCCTCCCTTGAATCTGATGATAACCACAGCTCTGGTTGCCCAAAGGTCGGTTGCTGTCTCTGACAACAGACCTTCTCAGGCCTACCCTCAACCGAACGATCAGACTACATGACCAATTATTGCTCCTGGTCTCAAATAATTTACTATTAAAGAAGCCTATTACTCGATGATCAATTCTTGTTATCAATCTCGATCCATGTGCATTATTTGTAACAGATTCTCCTGTATTTGCTGACTACATTTTTGGTCCATCATGGCCGAACACTCTCTGCCTCTGTGCCGTATGGTAAGAAATATTTCATTCCGCTTTTCATTATATAGTCCTACTAGAAAGCTGTTTGGGTGTTATAAATCAAAACAAACTACCATTAAGGAAAAAAACAGCGAAATATCAAATTTAGGAATCCTATATGATGCATAATTCTTTGAGAGGTCTTTTTCCCTTAGAATCGTCGTTTAGTTATTTCAAACGAAACGCATATTCCTTAACAGATTCTGTCAACAAGCGAGTTGTCCCTCCACTGTGAATTAACGATGCAAAAAAACACTCTCAGGTGTAGTGATGCAACAACTGAGACGGCTACTTTGTAACCTCAGTAAATTTAAGGTAATACACAATCTTCTCCAGCTCTTTGTGAGCTAGAGATACAGAAATCATAGGAAAACGGCTTTACGTTATTGCTTATTTAGCAGTATAGCAGGTAGCAGTGTTGTTAGGTCTTGTCAATGAAAGATGGTTGTCTTTATTTATCGCAGAGTGCTCCATTCATGACATAATAAACGAGCCCAACCGCTCTGTCTCCTTCAGTTCGAGCAGTGCTGAGACAGTTTGTAGCAAAGAAAATTTTACTCCTGGTCGGTGGATTCGCTTCACAGGTAGCGGTGGAGCTGACATTCCTGATAACCCGCCACAGCCATACCACTGCGGAACAATTAATCCGGGCTGGATCAAAGGAGGCCATCCTAGTGAGAGTGAAGGGATTGTAAATCGACAGCTTTGCTTTGTTAATGGGGATGACAATTGCGAATTTGACTCGTACGAAATTTCAATTCGAAATTGTGGCAAATACTATGTTTACAGACCATCAAACATAACAAAGTGTTCTCTGAGACTTTGCACTAGTACGTATGGGTGTTCATACAAATGTAAATGTAAAGTGGTTTCGTTTTTAATTTTATGAACTATTTTATAGTTTACAAGTATGCCTACGTTCTTGAGAAATACGACAAACAGGAGACAGAAATGGAAAACTATGCTTCTTCATACAGTTAAACCTATATTAAGCGGTCACCAAAGGGTACCGGTACCGCTTATGCAGGTTCAACTGTATATCATGTAACTGTCTTAAGCCTGATTTCAGTATGAGCACAATAAGCACCTTCTCAATTGACTTCAGAGCGCAGAGTGGCTGGAACATAGAGCATAGGGAGGTTCTTGTGCGAATGTGACCCATAGAGATGAAATTGAACACTCAAAGTAACGAGTTTGATGGGGCGAAAGGAGAGACGGTCTGACCTCCAAAAGCAAAGGTTTTTAAACTGCGGCTTATTTCTTTACTCATCACAATTTCTGTTACTCTGAGTAACTCCCTTTTGCATGTAAAGCGGTTCAAATGCAAGCAATGATGTTCCACTACGATTAAGTAAAAGTTGCAGTTTAAATTGTTTCGAAAACATCAAACGAGAAGACAAAAAACTGACAGTATCGAAACAGAGTTGCTGATGTTTAGAAGACAAGAGAGCAGCCTGTCTTGATTGAAAAGAACTCCAAAAACATTATCATAGTAATATTTTGAGAGACGTAAAAAATCCAGTTTTTGTCTAAGCTAATTTATCAATTTGGCACAGAAATCCTCCACGGGTGCTTTTATAAACCGGTTGGTGTTGCCAGTTCCATTATCATTCCTGACAGTCAGATGACAGCTTCATCATTTTGGAAGGAAAGAATAAACCGGAGTGCCATGTATGGAAGACTTTTTAATGTGTCAGGTTTTGGATGGTGTGCAGGGGACAACAGTAAAAGTAACTGGCTCCAGGTTGACCTTGGTAAAGAGTTTTACGTGGGTGCTGTTGCTACCCAGGGAGGCGCTAGACGTAGTTATACGACAGATTTTAAGCTGTTTTACTCTAGTGATGAGGGAACATGGCAAGCGTACAAAAATGGAAATGGCGAAGAATTGGTAATTTGGATGAGCATTTGACGAGTTTCCTATTAATTGTCGAAAGTAAACCCTGTGTCAGTTCCAGAAAACTCTCCCCACTCCCTCATTCAATAACGTCCCAAACTGGGCCCAAAAATGACCAGGCCACTCGCCGAATACTTTAACTTATTGAGATTTGTTATCGCTTCGAATTTCCTTGTTTAGCATTGTGATAACTGGTTATCGAATTATTTAAAAAAAAAACTGGTATCTGTTCTTCCGGATTACATAACTTGCTCCGGCGAGTCACGAAAGATCTTCCGCATAAGTGGAAGATTGACAAATTAGTTATGATGGGAAAAAATCTAGTGATAAAACAATGAATAATTGACCCCCAATAACTGATCAATAATGATCACTCTTCCAATAAACTTGATGTTCACGTTACGGCGAGTAACTCATGTACTAACAAAAACTGCATAACGCTACATCAACTTTTTCATTATGTTAACTTTTAGATATTAAAGGTGTTTGTAAATTGACTTTGGACGATAATCGAAATTGCATCACTGAACCAAACACAGAAAAAATATCTCATTATCCTTTAATTATTATTCTTAATACCTCGATATGTTTCTCATTCGGGAGAACTGTCTAGATCACATTAAATTGCGCGTGGCATTTTTTCCTCATTTAACTCAGGAATTCCACAGAAAAAAAGGCCGCGGTGTGGACCGCCATAAGCTACGAATACCAGTGGTTGCCAGATACATTCGCTTCAATCCAACGAAGCATATACTGTGGGACTGTCTGAGAGTAGAGGTTTATGGAATCTTTAAAGGCGAGTTGATCCTAAGCAAATATAATAAACGAATTCTTAAATGCTATACAGCTGTTTCGAGCGTAAAAGTGAACGCGAAAACCACGAAAGGTGTTGTGGGAAGTTCTCAGGTCACGGTTCCTTGACTTCAGGATTTCAGGGAAATCTGAGAAAAATTCACTGTAAGAAGGACGCACTTCGGGTTTCATGAATTTATTTGTTTATTTCACTTACTGAAATTCATTGATTACCGGATACTCAGATTACCTTTCGAGAGTGTCGCGTGCACTTTTATTTTTTTTGCGACAAATTTTCTCGAAACAGCTGTATGCATTCATAGAAAAACTCCAGGCAAGCGTTTGACATTCGCTTTACACTGATGTAACTCACTTTAAACTTTTTTCCCTTTTTAGAACATCACAAACCTGAATGCCATCCCTGTGTGTATAGAAAACTTAATGAGGCCTACAGATATTGGAATCATACGAACCATCCTTATCTTGGCTATGATAAAGATAAACTTACAAATGGCCAATGGTACCGTTTCACCGGACGCGCCGGTGTAATGATGGCAAATTACTGCATTCCGCATTTAAGTTGCAATGCCCACATGGCCGGCTGGATTAATGGAAGCCATCCCATGAGAACTTACCAATTAGTGTCGACAACCGTATGTTTTCACTGGAACCAAAACTGCTGTTATATCTCGTATCCAGTTGAGATAATGAAATGCAAGGGATTCTACGTTTATAAGTTACAAAAGCCGGCTGACAGTCGTGCTCGTCATTGTGGTGTCAAAGGTAAGTCTTGTTCCTCTATTATTTTTTTTTCAAGTAATTAGATAGCCTACGTGTAGCCGTACCCTCCTCCCCAAGGTGAAACGGAAGCGAGGGAACGTCTACTCAAACCTGACACTAATCGTGTTCTGTGACGCCACTCTAATGTATGCAAAATAATGTCATTTGAAAATATTTTTTTGCGAAGTGGCACGTGTTCGCGTGAAGGTTATTGAGATAAACAACAACACTGAAGTGAATTCATTCTCCGTTCTTGGGGTGAATTTGCAATTCAGCGTCCGATTTCAAATAGATAATAATAATAAATATAAGAGATAGTTTCGCTGCAAGCGTGAAGAAAGAGCGACTCTTTTCCCAGTCGAGAGAATCGCTGTAAGAAACAACTAACTTTAACTTAAGTGAGTAAAAGTCCGGCAGCCGGACACGGTCTCAATAGCTTCGCAGCACCGTTCGCAAAAAATACCGAACGTTGAAGGCGGAAAATCTTCTTAGCCCAAGTACATTAAGATAGTGCACCTGGTCTTCTGCGAGGGCTTTAACTGGCGGCACAGTAGATATAGCGAACAACTTTTTCTGGAGAAGAGAGGCGATTGATCACTGGCGTTGCTAGATATATTAAAGATTTTCCATAGCCAGTTGGTAACGAAACAGAGACATCGTTATCTACGAAAAACATATCTATGGCTTTCTGCTGTTCTTCTTTAAATGTCTCTATTCCAAAAGTCGCGCAAACTTGCCTTAAAGCCTCGTCATAGATCGCTGTTGTCTGAAAAGTTGACTATGAAAGCATTTTGTTCACCGTCTGGTTCGTTAGTTTGAAAATAAATTACCAACTCTAGCCAATCAGAATTGATGAAAGAATCGGCAAAAGAGGTTAACCAATGAAAAATTATTGTAAATTTTTTAGCAAAACAGTGATGTCACGGAACATGATAAATGTCAGGTTTGCGTAGACGTTACCTCGCCTCCGTTTCACCTTGGCGGGGGGAGGGTACGGCTACACGTAGGCTAGTTATTAGACATAGATTACACTTCTCCTGAGCATGTAATCAAACTATCGAGGCCAAATTCTCCCCGAAACTCCTTCATTTTTTCTTTCATTTTCTCTGCAAGTTCACAAAATCAAAGGGTGCTATTGTGAAATTATAATTTAAACGCAGTACATTTAATTAAAAAAAAAAAAGATCCAAAGACAACATTTGATTTGAGTAGATGCCAAATAGTATTCTCTCGGTCCTATAACTTTTGGCGAAGGATTATCCATAATAATTAAGAAAATCTATTGTTGTTTACAGATGAAAATGATGCATGTAAAGTTACGAATGGTTTCGCGCAGTGTTGTCAAGATGGTTATGAAGGAAATCCGTGCAGAGGTAAGTGTATGTATGTAAACTGAGTTTTTTTATCATTGAGGACATTTTTGAGACATTTCTCAAAACTAGAACGTATTAAAATTGTTACTCAGACCTCTCGCCCGACCTTAATCATGGTGAATGTCTAATTGATCATCTTTATTTTTGACAGATATCGACGAGTGTTCGACGAAAACCCACAACTGTAGCTCAAATGCAAATTGCACCAATACTGATGGTTCTTTTAAATGTGTATGTAAGGAGGGTTTTACCGGTGATGGCAATTCATGTAGCGGTAAGACTCACGAATTTGAATTTTGAATCGCAACAAAACAAGGAAAAAGCTTTTTTTTTTGTAAACCATAAAAATATTGTCAACGTTATACCAAGAGTTTACAATCTCTTGATCATACCAAGAACCAGACCTCAATTTCAGAAGTTATGATGTATTATAGTTTATTGCTTTGCGAATAGAAAAATTTCCAAAACGATGAATGTCATTAATACTTTCTTCTTAGTCTCTGTAAGAATCACCAACATCTTGGTAAATAAAAATTATTGATCCCCTTCAATTTTACATGCAGTTAGGCACTCAGCGGGGATGAATGCCCTTTTAAAGGTTGCAGCAGTCTTGTTGCCGTGGCAACAAAGACTGCTTCTTTGTAACCTGGGTCCTCTTTTTGCATACAAGAATATCGCCAAAAAAGAGTAAAATATTTATTTCTCTATCTCAAGCTCAATTACAGATTGGTACCTTTACCTTACCTAGTAACATCAATCACGTTTACTCTGATGCATTCAATTTTTCCCTGAGAGTAAAGGTGAACACACATATCAATTATTTATCTCGTCACAGTTTCGGTCATTTTTGATTTAGGGAAAAACAGGTGAAAAGTTTATCTAAATTTTTGTATGAAAAACATACAAATATTGTCAATTGAAAGTTATGCCAGGGATGTAGACCTCACGCAATCCGGCACACGGCTTGTTTTAATTTACATTTCAGTAGTAATGGAACTATTGAACACCTCTTTCTTAGGTTAACCTTGGACAAAAGTAGCAACTCAGGTTTACCCTTATACATGGACCTTAGTATCTTAATCCTAAGCCTCACTAAGAGAAAAATGTGTTTGCTTGGATCGTCCTTACATCGGAATTAATGTAACATTATTGAAGCGTACGCGACTAATTTTGAATCGAAACAAAGGAAGGAAAAAGCCTTTTTTTTTTTTACAAGCCATAAAAATATTGTTCATACCAAGAGCCAGACCTTACCATCCACTCCGCGTTAATCATAATTTCAGAAGCTGATGATGTGTTGTAATATTTCTAGTTCGCTGCTTTACGTGTAGAAAAAATTTCTAAACGATGAGTGTAATCAATGCTATCTTAGTCTCTGTAAGAATCACTAAAACCTTGGGAAATGAAATTTATTGATTCCCTTCAATTTTACATGCATTTAGGCACTCAGCGGGGATGCACAAAAATGCCTTTTAAAGGTTGCAGCAGTCTTGTTGCCATGGTGACAAAGACTGCTTTTTTTTTGTAGCCTGGACCCTCATTTTCATTATAAAAAACATTGCCAAAAATGTTTGTCTCTCTAACCCAAACTAAAAAGTGTTCCCAACGTTATCTTATGTGCAATATCCCAAAGAAAATTATCGCCTCTGGCTGTCATTTTTTAAAAGAAATTGATGAAGTGTTATGGAGGATAACCTGAGAGGTTGGCGTGACGCTGTATTTCTCCATAGAGTTTGCATTGGTCGATATACAAAAGACGAAAAATGGATGTTTTTTGGATATTTTTCAGCGGATTTCCGGCACTCTAAAGTAAGAAAGGAAGAAAAAACGAGTGCCTAACTATATGCAGAGTTTGAAGGGGGATTGAAAATTTTTATTACCCAAGATGTTTAATTCTTACAGTGACTAATTCTTTAGTCATTTGAAATTTTTGAAATGGCTCACCGAACTCTATTTCATACCTTAGATTAGAGATAAGCTATTGCAACTTCTACCATCAAGTTGAACGTTATGCCTATTAATAGGTATCTTCAAAAGTGCGATTAAGTTGTAAGGTTCTCTTGTCATGAAACTAGCTCAGAGTATTTCATCTTAAAACAGCTTTTATACCAGCTGAGTGTCAGGATGGTTATGAAGGAGATCCTTGCAGGGGTGAGTGTCAGAGCAAGTTAGCGTTGATTGTCCTCACGGTCATTTGTAGACTTCGCTGATTTCTGTGAATGTGGAAGGATAATTCATGCCTTCATTGTTTCCTAACTCTATAATTGTAATACCGTTCTTCACCGGCTTTATAAATCACAACTAGATTAGTTACAGTCTGTCCCAAACAAGACTGGTAAATAAATCTAAGAAATGTGACCGTACATGTGTGTATCAATCACTCTTGTGCTTCGTAACCTGAACTGGCTTCCGGTTCACTGACGCGTCGATTACAAAATGCTTTCGATGACATTTAAAGCGTGAAAGAAACACTCTTCAGTCTACAAGTCGGTGGGTAATTTCTCTATACCACCGAAACTAGAAGCTGCAAGAACTTCCTAGTCTGATTTTTCTCCTAAACACATGGGAATATATCTTTTTATATTGCTTTTACCGCAGTCGAAATCATACCAACCGATAAAACGAATAAGTTTGTACTTTTTCTTGATCCGTTTTGATGACGAGACTGCATGGTAGAAAAGTGAAAAACTTGTTTTCTACTGGTAGATCTGGATGAATGTGAAAGAGGAGACCATGACTGCCATAAATATGGTGTTTGTCATAACGAGATCGGATCCTATACTTGTCACTGCCAGTTTGGATATGTAGGAAATGGAACATGGTGTGAAGGTACAGTTTTGTCATGGACTAAAACCTTGATCTTCAGCTATGGGTTCGTTGTACGATTTGTCCACTATGTGGCCCCTCTTTGTGATCTCTTACTGTCCGGTGGGATATTTTAGACAATGTTTTGCTAGTGATTTTTTGTCGGTCCAAAGAAGCTCCGATATAACCTAACACATCTTTTCAACCACAGTTTTCCTCTTTTCATGTACCGGTGTACATCTGCGGTTAAAAATACTAATTTTCTTCCCAATGTTCCACACGATATGTATTGAATTGTTGGTATGTCATTTCAGCTTGTCCAGAACATTCTCTATGGATCCAGACATCACTTAACGTTCATGATTGCTGGTGTAAATACTTTTACCCAGGAGATCCAGAAGTTGATCCATGCAGAAGACAAACAGAAAGTAATACATGAGAGAAAGTAGAATAACTCTAACTATAAATAAAATTGAAATATAAGTCATTTAATTACTGATTCAATAATCGAACAGAGTATAATTATCCTTCAACGTTGAATTGCGTCTCAACAGCTTTTTGACGTAATGAAATAGAGGACTCCAAACGAAATTGGGAATTATAACTTCTTTTTCCCCATTTTTAGGCGATCTGAGAAATATCGATAATTCAATAGAGGTTTCAATTCATGGTATTAATACACAACCAAGCAGCCCAATGAAGTTTAGACGAGACCAAACAAGAACACTGGTTGCATCTTTAAAGATGGAGAACTTTCTTGCGCAACAGGCCTCGTTCTCCTGGAAAATAAGCCAACTGTCGCTGTCACCTTTTAACATTTCTGATCAACCAGAGCTGCTCGTGCCCGACACTCTCGAGCTGAACATACGGCCAAACTTGCTGTCGACAGGGCTTAAACTTGTAACATTTGAGCTGCGAGGAATATCTGGAACTAAGCTGACAGCTCGAGACTTTGCTTTCATCGAAGTCCTTAATTCGGCACTGAAAGTTTCCATTGCCGGAGGAACTGAAGTTTTTCGATCCATGGATAAACCAATTTTATTGGATGCCAGTGCTTCGTATGACACTAGCCCTAGTGCTGGCAGTTCCTCAGGAGTGAACTATGATTGGTCTTGCTTAACAATAACGCAATCTAACGTTTTCAGAAATTATACTCCAGTGCTCGACGCCACCTTTCGAGGCTCAGATGGCATATCCGACACACTTGTCGGTGCAGCTGCAAATGGAACCCTCTTTCAGCTGCCCGACGATGTCTTTCTTCAGGGCAAGGGAGAAGCCATAGTGACCTTAGATACCAAAAGACTCGTCAGTAATCAAGCATACTATCTGGTTCTGACGGCAACCAAGGATATCCGCGAAGCAAGTGACATACAGATTATTCATGTTGGCGACGAAGATGTACTCGACATTCGTATTTTGTAAGTATAGTATGTGGATGCAAAGTCGTTGATGGTTAAAGAAGCCCGGCTGGAATTCTCATAATCCAAGACCTGAGAATTTTATTTCCTAATCTTACTGCTCAGAACAAACAACAATAAATAGTTTTAATTCTAATAGTTAATGGATACAAAATAGTTGATGGTTACCACTTGCTGAAATATTTAGTATCTTACATGAGCTGTCCTCTTCCCCGTTCTTAGTGCCGAGAATGAACAACATAGAATAGATTAAAATCTGCTGATCTCCATGCAATCCCGAGAGACATACTAAATTATTATTCCTTCAACTCACTACCTCTTTCCGGATAGGCCGAAAGCGTACAGTGGATTTTCGAAATCAGCGCCTAGGACGTCATCTAGGTGCAGCTTATTCAATATAATGTCAAGGTCACTCGAGGTTATAAGCAATCATGTCATGTATGACTGCGGTGCATGATTTCTAAGGGACATCATGTCAAGCGGGCGCACTTTGTGTTGCTTGCCAAGCAAAAGCAAAAACATATTTTCTTTTTGTTCAAGGTATGATGAAACAATTATTAGCTTTGGCCTCTGAGATATCCAGAATGATTAAGGTCTCGGTAAGGATTATCAGGCTCAGCCTTTGGCTTCGGCTGATAACCTTGATTATTCTGGATATCGCAAAAGCCTCATCTAATCGTTGTTGATTATTTGTCATAAGAAGGTTGAAAACAACATCCCTCTCTCATGAATGGCTTTCCAACTAGGACACAAATGTTCGATTGGTTATGTTGCAATGAAAGTAAATACAGACAAAAACATAAGCAATTATTCCATAAAAGGTGGCATAGTTGTCTATTTAAAACTAACATCTTCATCAAAGAAACTAACAATGATATAAATTCGTTTCCTTGCAAATGTGAACCATCTTAGCGCAATGCATAAGGACGAATACAGACGATTTGATGAGCAGAAGATCACTTCTGATTTTCTTTGCACAGGTGCACTATGAACTGTGACTCACCAGCCAGTGCATCATCTCGCATCTCACTAAGAACCGAATGCAACTCAATTCGTTGTCCTGTGTCCCTCAAGTATGAATGGAGCCTGCTGAAAAAGGATGGAAACAGTTCTCACCCCCAATGGTCTAAACAGATAAACTTTAAAAATCTCCTGGGTACAAAAGTGGATTCGAAAAACCTTGTAATTAAGGAGCAAATGCTTGAGCCCGGATCCTCCTACAAAATCAAGGTCGACGTTCTACCTGCAAACGGATCATTTGGCTGGGCTGCATACCAATTTGACACAGTTGCAAGTCCATCAGGAGGAACATGCCATGGTGTGCAGTTGGATAGGAAAGATGTAGGATCTTGGCTAAACATTACCTGTCAAGGCTGGAGAGACGAACACATGCCACTCAGCTACGAATTCTTCCGGGAATTGGAAGATGGAGAACTCGACATGCTTTCCTCTGGAGTTTGGCCACATAGTGTTGTTTACATTCCACCTGTAGAAGAAGATGTGGTTCGTTTTAAAGTTGCAGTTGTAAATGTTTTGGGAGCAGCAGATACAACAGGATTTTCTTTCAAGGTATTCATCTATAGAAGGTTAAGTGACTGCTTAATGATCCTGATGGCAGTTACTAGAGGGCAATCTCGTTTGGGTATTCGAGTGAGTGCGAGTATGCGCAAAGAAAACCCAAAGATTTCTTGTTTCTTGTCTTTATTATTCACATTTTTTGCCTGTCCAACTTCAGTGTACGATTCTAACAGTGCACTAGATCAGAGGATGCAGAAGACAGTGAAATTGACTGATCGTCGCACTGTCAGAAATTGCATGAAATCAACATTGATGTACTATTTTCCGAAATAACCTGTGAATGTCAAGGGTCTACTGAAATATATCCTTTTTATTACCATTTTTTTTTAAGTTGAATCAATCATCCTTGTTGACGGCAGAAGAAGTGGACCACAATGAGCTGGAGGCAAAAATTGCAAAAATGGACTCTTATTTTAAAATGAAACAAACAAATATGGCAGTGCAAGAGGCAGGCACACTTATTTTCTTACTCAAAATGGTCGCGAAGGAAGATCACGAAAGAGCATATCTTCTGCAAGTAAGTTCAGTACATTGAACAAGTGACTTTAAACATAGGCGTGTAACTGAAGTAATAAAATAAAGTCGCCTTGACTGTGCTCTGTTTGGTTATAAAGCACTTAGGAAGCGGTTAGGGCATGAAAGTGTTTCTCCATACTCTTAGCGTGTTCATATATTTGCGTTATATCTGAACTTTATCAAAATAATCAATATTAGTTCCTACTCATCGGGGTTTTTATATTGCCAAATTGTGATTCCAGTCGCATAATGATGTTTGCAGATGAATCGCAAAAAAATTTTATAAAGGAATTTTTAAAGTTGTCAATGAAATCCAGCTGAAAGATTCCCAATATACACTCACAAGTAAAAGCGATACACAAAAATTATCTCAGCGCTTCCGTTTCCTTTTCTCTCTGACTAATTTGGCCAACGGCACGTAACTGTTGGAGGCTTATAGATTTAGGTTTATTTTTCTTGACTGCTACATGTCTGCTTCTGTTTATTATGTAATCTTTCCTTTGCACAGAAAAAGAATTACGTTATTTCTAAGATCTGTGAAGTTCCGACTGATAAACTGGAGCGGTTACTACAGGTTACTTCTGTCTTAAAGAAAGCCACAATGGGTGACGCTCTTATCTGGAAAAATACAACGGTATGACACTGATCTCAAATTCCCTTATGCACCTCTCAGAAAGTTAACGTTTTTCGACATCCCGAATTATAGTAAAGTTCAAGCAAGAAGTTTTTAACAAGGAGTTAGCATAATAAAAATATAAATCAACTACATAGTAAAAAAGTCGCACCCAAAAACATACATTGACCTTTTTTTCTTCCAGTTCACTGTTCTGGATAAGTTCAAGGAGATGTCCAACTGGCTTTCACTTAAAAATGTGCACGAACGTAGTTCTGAAACCCGTCTTCTTCTCGAGGGAGCAAGATTGCTATTGCATTGCACCACAAATATCATGGATTCCAGCTCCAGACGACTCCTCATGGGTAGTTTGTCAGGCAACTTTGATAAAGGGGAAGAGGTATTTTAAAAAATAGTACATGTTTCTAAATTCAAGTGAACTTTACTACAACCAACTAATTTCTCAGAATTTTAAAGAAGAAAATTTTAATAGAGCAAACATGAAAAAGGTATTTCTAGGAGAGGGAATTTTACACCAACCTATTGACCCATGTTGACGAGATTTTTTAATCTCGCTAGACTGATCAAAGTAGAAAAGAAGAGTCTAGTAAACGATAAGATAAAAGAATTAAAGGGAAAAGCTCTTCCTTTCTTTTTCTAAAGGAAGTTAGACAGGGCGTGATTACACACTGTATTCAAACGAACAAAGCCAAAAACGGAAAAGACCTTCAATTCTCTTTTATCAACAAGTAGAACGGTAAAGACTAGTAATACATCAGAAAGGCTCAGCCAAGGCGTTGCAAATCGAAAATTCGAAAATCCGCTGAGCCTACAAATATGTTAATTCCTAAGTAAGAGAGAGGGAAATTGAAGGTTCTATTTTCCTTTTTTTAAGTTTTAGAAATCTCCATCCCTTTGTTCCTCCTCTTCCCAAGGATTCCTTCTTGTTCTATTGGTAATGAATGAGAGTAGCATTAAAATTTTTTATAATATTAGATAACCATGGGAAAGACAATTTTAGCCCGTTTCCAGGAGCTGACAGAAATGACAACCAACATACTGCTATCGTTAAAGTTGCCTGGAGAAGAATACAGCACCATTCGCAATGGACTTCAATCGACGATGCTCGGAAAGCATGAATCAAATGACTTGAGCCTTTTAGAAATCAGCGATGGAAAAACCAATTTTGTAATCCCATATCTGGATAGCAGGGCATTGAAAAGTTGGGTCGGCGACACCTCCGAGGTCGGGGTAGAGGTTTGTAACTTTTTCAGTTAATAAATCATAAAATTTGTGAGCCAATCACGGTAGATATCTATAAATTTGGTGTATGTTTTATATTTGACATGCTCATGGCAATGTACTTTCCTAGAATCTCTCGGTTTTCCTTACAGGGCGGTATGTTAACCGAGTGATTTCAGGAAAAAGACTTGAATAACATTGAAAGATGCCACAGTATTTATTGTTAGCCACTTGATGGTGGTTGCGCATCGTGATGCGAAATCAGTTCAAATCCTGAAAGGAGAAAAATATTTTTTGTCACCCTGCGCTGTTGATAAATCTACAACCTCATCAATTTTATTTCCACATCCTTTCTAATGTCTTTCAGATGGTGAGCTATAATTTTAACCCATATGTGACGGACAATAGCAGCAGCAGAATAAGATCAAACGTTGTCAGCCTTGCCCTAAAGGACAGCACTGGGAAAGCTCTCAACACAGCTGACCTTCCCTCGAACATAGAAATTGACATTCCAATAACAAATTATGATCCCGTGAACAGCACTCGATCGGATCATTTTCTGAATCCTGGCAGGTTGCAATATCATGTGATAACCGTTGGTGAGGTCAACACCACCGTAAAATTGACCATTACAACTAAAGCAACAGCTTCTATTACTGTCTATGTAAAATTCGCTGAAAAGCCAACAGAGATTTCCTACGACGAGGTGATTCACTTATCCAAGGAGAAAACATCTATTAACCCCGATTGCGAATTACGAGAGAACTGCTCTTATACTATCGTCGTAAAGAGTAAATATGCAGGTAAATATTACGTTGGCTTATTGGAGAGCAGTGAATCTCGAAAAGAATTGCCTCCGTCAAGAGGTAGAAGATCAATTCTCCCAGAGCGAGCGATGCAAGAGAAGTGCGTCAAGTTCAAGGATCCTCCTCCGACGGTTGCTCCTCAAGTAGAGTATGTCATTCTTGTTCCTCAGTACGACTCTGATAAGTCAGTTAACTACAGTTTACAAGTTGATACAATATGGTGTGCATTTTGGTCTGATGCTGAACAAAGATGGACAAATGAAGGATGCAAGGTGAAAAAAAGAAACTTTATATAGAATGAAATAAGTCAGTAGCTACATTAAAGGACGAAGAATTTACTTTTCAGGCCATTTAACGGAAGTTGTTGAATATTGGTTTTAAGCTTTGGTGTGTTTTGGAGATGAAAAATAACTTTATACTCACTTACTGTACTCAGTAAGTCAATCTAATCCTTTTCAAGATAGCACTTGTAAGCAGTGGGTGTTCTCCAGAGCCATGATACATGGGCAATATTACTGGCAGAAAAAAAAATATCATCATCAGCTACTTATTTTTTTTATACAAGCGAATAAGTAGAGACAGAAACCCAAATAACCACATATCTAAACTATCTATTAGCAATTTTCCGCTGAAACTACAATGGGAGAAGTCTTGATTTTACTATCGCGTTTTCTAAGATACAAAAGCTTTAATTTGCCGAGAATAGAGAACTCGAGCCAATTTTCCCGGAGCAGTGAATCGTTTTCAGAAATTCTTGTGGCAATGTCGGTGTTTACAGACTTTATAGGAGTAGGAGGTGAGCAATTTAACTCATTTAGCTTAATGCTGAAAATCGTTTCATGGAAGCCGGGTATATGAGCCCAGTATATAACCCGAATCAAGAGCACTTCACACCAACAGTTGTTTTCCTTTCGGACCTAATGTAATTTACAATTAGAACAGTAAACTGATCGCCATTAATGCACGGACTAATTTTTAGGTTAGCCGAGAATCAAACCATTCATCTCTCAAATGTCTCTGCAATCACTTGACTGCATTTGGGGGAGATATTCTTGTTGCACCAAATACCATTGACTTTCAACTGGTCCAGCAGGCATTTGATAACGTGGATCCTGGTGACCTTCTCGTCTTGATTACGTTGTGTTCTACCTTTCTGCTCTACTTTCTTGTTTTGGTAAAAGCACGCAGGGCTGACAAAGTGGATGCCACAAAGGTTGGTGTCATATCATTAAAAATTATTCGATGACACTAGAGATACTACGAGAATACTGAATTCAAGCAACGAAATGATCAAGAAATGATCGTTGCAGTTGAGCTGCAGGTACAGAAGTCAAAGAAAAAGATCCTCAAAAAATTGAAGCTTCGCATTAATGTCTGATTTTTTTACAGCTTCTTCGTGATTCGTTAATCGCATCTCGCCTGCACGGATGACTTCTTTGCTTAGAAAACTTAACCAGTGAACAGCGAAAATGTTTTATAATTTGAATTTAATTAACCATTTAAACTTCTGACTTACAGTCATTTCGGGGAAAATAATTTAGAGGTGAATAACTCCTAAAACTCTCCGCGTCATGTTTAGATTTCTTTCACAGCTATTTTATAGGCAAGACGCCGAATATAGCATTTGTTGAGAGGAGCTTAAAATAAAACAATCTTTGACAGTTTCTTGTACACCCGAACACTAATTGTTTGTCAGTGTTTAATTCTAAGCGATCTGATTTTTTCAGGACAGTCCTCTTCTGCCCTTGTTAGGGCATCATAAGGGTGAATATGTGTACGAGGTGTCCATAACAACTGGCAGATGGAAAAGTTGTGGTACTACTGCCAATGTATCCATGACCCTTCACGGGACTGAAAATACCAGTGATGTTATCAAATTGACATGCGACATCCCATGTGACAGGAGGCTATTTGCTCAAGGGAACACTGATAATTTCCTTCTTCGACAAGATATGCCCCTAGGCGAGATAAATGTTGTGCAGATTGGTCATGACCTTTCTGGAGAGGACCCATCTTGGTTTATCAGCGAGATTGTAGCTTTAGATTGTCAAACGGGAAAGCAATGGCTGTTCAGTTGTCACCGCTGGCTTGCACTAGAAAGAGATGACGGTGAAACCACAAGGAGATTTTATGCAGATAATTTCAAAACAGATGATAAATTTAAGAGAAAATTTAGGACATTACGAAGAAATGGTTTCGCTGACGATCACTTGTGGTTGTCAGTGTTTTGGAAGCAGCCAAGAGATCATTTCACTCGTGTTCAGCGAGCATCCTGTTGTTGGAGTCTTCTCTTGTTGTCAATGGTAACATCCGCCATGTTTTATGAAACAGAGAATCTATCACAGAGGGGAATACAGATTGGGCCTTTTTCAATGACTCCTAGTCAGTTCTTAATCGCTTTGGAAAGTGCCTTCATTGTTTTTCCAGCAAGTCTGCTAGTTGTGCTTCTGTTTCGTAAAAGCAAACCTAAGATAAACACTCAAGGAAGGAGGTATAACTACGTGAAAAGTGAGGGAAAAGTATCGTGTACTCTCCCTCATTTTTGTGTTTACATTGCATGGTTTCTTTGTGTAAGTACTGCAATCGCTTCTGCCCTTTTCACAGTGTTTTACTCTCTCATGTGGGGAGGAGAGAAGTCGGCTCGTTGGTTAAAATCCGTGGTGCTTTCGCTGTCTGCAGACGTTATAATCTCACAGCCCATCAAGATACTTACCGCATCCGTCATTTTAGCTTCAGGGTGTGGATATGGTAGGAGGATAAGAAAGGAAACAGAGTCAATAAACGGACACAATGGGGAACAGCTAGCTAGTATTGTAGATCTTTCATCCATGGATGTTGAAAGCGCAAGAAAGTATAAGAAAAATGAGAGGAAAATGTACGCGTACTTTAAGGAACTCTTGTCTTCAATGACATTCTTTGCACTTTTATTGATCGTCTGTTATGGAGACAAAAATGACCACAGATACAAACTAAATACGGCCACCGAGCACAGCTTCCAGTTTTCTCAAAATATGGGACGCTATGAGGTGCGTTGGCTTTTATGTTAGCAAGGCAAAAATATAACGATATTATCACAAGGATGGTAAGCATGTAATTAAAACACGAACTTGCAACCCTTGCGAAGGAGCCAATAGTTTCTGTAGGACCTAGAAAAGCCTAATTTTTAAAGTTTGCTTTCTGAAATCGCCACCATGTTTTACCACCCTTATCCACCCTTAAAGACTACTTCTATATTGTAAGTCTTTTCTATTAGATTTATCATTTCTCCCAAGTATGTAAAGGATATGCACCATGGCTATCACAGTGATAATTCTAGACATTTTAAAACATACTGACGTAGAATAGGAAGTCACATCAATGAAATATAAGTGTTTTGGAGAGTACGTCTTTTTCTTTGATTATTATACAACTTTTTAATCCTTTGCTGACGATCCTGGAAGCTTTTATCATACATGCGGTTATTGCAAATAGAGAATCACCCATTTATTAAGATTTATTTGAATATTTTGTCTCGTATGCTGATGAATATTTAAACATTTAAAAAAATAGATTACCGATGCCACTCAGTTTTGGGAATGGATCGAAAACATTTTTTTGCCGGCAGCTTTTGTTGACGATTGGTACAATGGACATGAAGAAAGAGTTTCAGAATATATTGGAAATAAGCGATCAATTCTGGTCGGTATGCCTCGTCTGCGGCAGCTAAGAGTCAAGGAAAGTAAGTATATCATCTATAAAAAAGAGTTTATTCTATTAGAATTTGTTGCTGATATTTTGCAGTCAACCTATTTCACTGGTTTTGATTATAACCACCACGTCCGAAAATTCCATTTTTGGAAAAGTGATGACGAAACTGAATGAGTACAGAATTCAGACTCATCAAAACTTGAACGACTTTTAATGCTCTAATGGGAACAAATGAAGGAGCAGAGAAGATAATTAAATTGAGATGGATTTTGCAATGTACGGATGAGCTCCACAAACTCACCAAAGAGGGGATTTAAGATATTGAAACAGTCATGTTCAAATAATGAAACGTTTTCTTTTCCTTGCAGATTCTTGTGAAGTTCAAGAATTGTTTAAAAACATAGTCACATCTTGTTTCGACTTCTATTCCCCCACAAAGGAGGAAAAAGGAAGTTGGATTGACCTAAGAAAGATGAATGGTTCAGTTCTGTGCCCAGAAAATTGGGAATATAATGCAGACAGAAGGTTTGGCGGCTTTGATTCTTGGGGTCGTTTTGCTGTTTACAGTGGTGGAGGATACGTAGCTAATTTAGGCTACAACAAGCTTACAGCTAAAAGGATTATCAACGACTTGAAAGAAAACCGCTGGGTCGATCGTCAGACCAGAGCTGTGCTGGTGGAGTTCTCATTGTATAATCCACCAAGTAACCTTCTCGCAGTGATGACGTACTACTTCGAAGTCCTTCCTTCTGGATTCGCTGGCACGTTCAAGAGCTATGGAATTTTGCCTTTAAGCGCAACGAACTCTTTAGCTCATAGCACTTATCTGTTGTTCGTGTTGTTGTTTGGCATTCTTCTTGTTTGCTTCTTCGTTGTCCAGTGCATCAAACTCTGCCGCCAAAGGTGTTGTTATTTCAAGTCGATGTGGAATTTGTTGGATATGTTGCAGATACTCACGGCATCATCAGCGATGTTACTGCAGTGGATGCGGACCAAGGTGGCCACAAAGACTTTCGAACAGTTGAAAGAAAACCCTTACCTTCCAGTCAGCTTCCATCGTGTCTTACTTTTGTTCGAGTTTGAAGAGGTGGCTATTTGTGTAACTACCGTAATTGCTACGCTACGTCTTCTGAAATGCTTCTATTTCAATCCAAAAATAATTGTTTTTACATTGACACTTCGTAGATTGTTAAAACCTATAGCTTCCTTTTTCATGGTGTTTTTGATAACAGCAATGGCCCATGCACTATTAGGGTTCACAGCCTTTGGGTCCAGTGTGGATATGTTCGCCCAAGTGCATGACGGTATTTCCTTTCAGTTTCTAATGCTTTTGGGACAACCATTCCCAGTGGATAAGCTGAAGGAAACAAATCCCATCATAGGCAGCCTTTTCTTTTTCACTTTCTTCTGCAGTACCAGCGTAATTATTTTGAACATGTTTCTTGCTGTAATAAATGAATATTATACGACCTCGAACGCTGACAGAGAAGGAGAAGGAGAAGACTATGAGCTTGCGCAATTTATTATTAAAAGAATCCTGGAGACTGTATTGGGACAGAAATCTGAAAGAAACCAGAACTGGAGGAACCATGAACTTTTCGAGCCAGATTCTTCGCTAGCGGAAAGTTCCCCTGATGGAGTTCAAAATGACGCCTTTTCACTTGAGTGGACACCAGTCATGTATCGGAGCTGCACACAGAAAATATCCAGGACGGGAAGATCCCCAGTAGGAAATAGTGGGGACTTCATAGAGTGTTCAGTATGGGAAACATACAGACCAGAACATTTGTTGGTGAAAAGTTCCACTAATGAAACAGGCTTTAAAACTATCAACCACAATAAATTGTCTAGTTATGTCGCCGACGCAAAACGTTATAATATCATGACAGATTGGAATGCACTGGACGATTACTATGAAGATGACGATGATGAAGAAGAAGACGGTGTCGATGATGATGACGAAGGCGAAGTCGATGATGATTACGATGGCAACAGTGACGACGACGACGGCGAAGACAGAAAAGTTAACGGCGACGACGACGACGACGACTATGACGACGACGATGAAGATTAACGGTGCCAGTGAAAATATGGATAAGAAAGATCCCAAGGAATAGCAAAAAGCGTCAAGAAGCAAACTTGACCGTCTTGAGATACAGTGATGTCTTTCTGTTCTTTAATCATATCAACGACTTGTTCCAACCTACTTATTCAATCAATCAATTGTTTATTGTGCGAGGGATAAAAAGCACTTGCACAAATGGATAATGTGCACATGAAAATTACAGCGGATGATGTCATCTAAATCAGTAAATAGGTAAAAAAATGACCGAATGAAAAAAGTAAGAAATTTGGAATAAATTCTGCACAACTGCAATTTAACACGTATGTATTGCATACATTTTTAAGGAAACGTATTCTTGTAGTCTGGCAAAAGATAAAGGCTTTAAGTCAAGCATTCAATAAATATTATTAAATCATATAAATTTGAGGCATCACGGGTAGACGAGTGCGAATTATTCCAAGGATGAGCAAATGATACTAGGATGCCATTTTGATCGGGATTCTCGGGGCTAACTTTGGTTTCAGATCCCGTAAGGTGGCAACCAACTACTATTGTGTTGATGAGGAAGTCTTGCAAATATTGTGGATCAGTTATTTGATAAGGTCGAACCTGTATTAAGCGGTACCGTATTTAGCGGTCACCCTGTATTAGGCGTTTAGTTGTTAAAGTCTTGAAATTGTTTTCTCCTGATTACTGTAATTTTTACCTCTGTTAAGCGAACGCGGTCACCCTAACGGCCTTTTTGTATTGTCTGTCACCTTTATTGAACGGTCACTTAAAGTAAGAAACATGCACTCAAATAGAATTACCATTAGTCTTTCAAATATGATCCAATCCATTTTTACCATACGTTAGTAGTATTTCGAGTGAGTTTTTTCATACATTAAGTGATCAATTATGGACTGGTTTGGCCATTTTTACCGTTTCTTTTAAATACTCCTGTTTTGTGAAACCCGTTATAAGCGGTTAAACTGTATTAAGCGGTCACTCCGTCATTTCCCGTGGGTGACCGCCCAATAAAGATTCGACTCTAATATCTTTTAGTTGCTCCGGAATTTTCATAATTAATTCAACAATGATACCCAAGGATTTATCTTATGCTGTAATACTTAGAATCTTCAGGCTTTGCAATTTGGGTGTCATTCATTCCGAGAAAATGAGGACCGCAGTACTCCTGATAGGGTTAAAAATTGGCCTCTCATTCTCCTCAGGGCGGCTGTTCTAGCAGATGTCTCCTAAGGCTCGATCGATACATTAACCCGTAATGAAAATTTGGAGTCGACCGTTACACACATAAACTCCAATCATTCAGTGATGAGGATAGGAGCACCATTGAGGCGAAGTTCATGATTGTACCTTAAAGGTTCAAAGATATGGGCTTGTGTCTTACGAGTACTTGCTGTCGAAAATCTAAGGGCAAGCTAGTTCGTTTCCTTCTGCAGGCCAATGTTGATTAATTACTCAAATATGATGGGCAAGTCATCAGCAAGATTAGTAGTTGTATTGTCACCATAGAGACGCAGCTATGTGCCAGACACAGAGCAGTTCGCATCGTTCATAAAAAAAAAGGTTGTCTCAATGGAAGATCCCTATGAGACACCAGCGGTAACAAGTTTCCATACGAAAATTTGAAGTATTTCACTTGCCTATTTATTAATTTGAATTGCAATTTCATTTTTTGCCGTTCGCCGTCCACCATATCCCTAGTCCACATCGATATTTTTCAAAGTTCAGTTTTATATGTCAAATTTTAAAAGTCATTTAGAAATCAAAGACATTATAACTTTAATTCTTCTATGATGCATGATCCTCAGTCGCACTTTTTAAGGAAGAGTGAAAAAGTTATTTAATATTTCTATGCTAATGCAGGTGCCCAAACGTACCAGAAAAATCTACGATGTGTTATGTTGACAAAAAATTCATTTTGAGTAGGCTAATGTACACACATTTGGTCAACACATCTGGCTTTCACAGTGTGAGTAAAGATTGACTATTTCAAAAGTGGGAACTCTAATTAAATCAAGTGTGTAAATTAACAGATGGCTTGATTATGTCGTTCACAAAAAAAAAAAGTTCGGCAAACCCCCTACTTTTTTCTTTCTTTTACTCAATACTTAATCAGTTAGTAACGACGGCTGGTTAATTTTCACGCGAACTGCTATTGTCATATGTTTTTCGAGGACTATTATTCAGAATATTGCTTTAAGATGAAACAAAAGTAAATAATCCTTTTTTGGGAAGTATTTCTAAATAGTTTCTAATATCAGTGAGTAACACAAAGGAAAATGATCTGCAACAATCAGACCCCAGTTGTTCGAAGATTGGATAACGCTATCCACTGGATAAAACTCTATCCCGTGAATAACGCTATACGTTTAGCTATCACATCCGCCGGATAGCGAATTATCCGTCGGATAGCGTTACCTGCCCTTTATACAACTCAGAGCACGGAATAAGCGAACCTCAAAATGTTGCCAAGCTTGAGCGTTAACGTAACAACGAAAAGTTTTTCATTTGATTAGCCTGGTAATGTGTTCGATCAATTATTTATGCAAGTGGAAGTAATTTTTCTCATATATTGTTTTTCGAATTGTTTGATATTTCACAATTCATCGTAGTACAAGGAAAATGTGACTTTTTTCTGGTTTCATGGTAATTAGCAACCTACAGTTTTCAAATATCGAACTTGAATTCGTTCTTGAGGCTCTTTTCGTGGTTTTTGTGCCTGAAACTTTTGTTGAAAGCAGCCGAGCTAAATAATGGCAGGAAGGTTATTTCAATTAAGCACAAGAAAATAACAAAAACAACGTAGAGGGCTTCAATACATTGTCTAGATTAATGTTTGGTTTCCAGTCGGCAGGCAAAAAAGATTGTTTATTAGACCCACGGTATTGACTTTAAGTTTTGGGTGTCTCTTAATTTCTTAAGACATTATAAAGGACCTCAGCATAAATGCTTTAAAAGATTACCAATAAATTATTGACTAGAGTGTGTTTGAGAGAGATTTTTACGATAGAAAGAGTCGAGGTAAACTAAATGGAAAAAGGTCAACGAAAAGTGGCGAGAGGAAGCAATGTTCCCCAGAAAAATTAGAATATTCTTGCCACTCAATCCAATGGTAAGTAGGTCATTTCATTTTCCCAGATGTTATCATTTCTAGATATCTGCAATGCCTTCATAGCACATTATAGTTCATTTTTATCGCAACTTTTGGAAACCTGTCTAACTTAAATTAAGTTCTATAGAGGAAATTATACCGAGTTTTTTCGCTAGCAAAACGAAATAATTACAAATGCATCTAAAACAATTTGAGGTAATTGTTTCTTAGAAGGATGATGTGAGCAGATTTAAAACATAGAGTGCTTTTTCTATATTTTCCGCGTAACTTATCGGCCAGTTTCCAATCCTTGCTTGATACGTTTAAGGGCAGCATAATTACGTCTCAATATGTAAGAAAACTATTGCCTAGTGGCAATACTAAGGCATTATTGTCTTTTAACCTTTGTAAACTACTTGCAACAGATTTTCATGTCTTTGCTGACGACGAAATGGACTTTTCTCGTTCTAATGTCAGGAACTGGAGCTGCGTCGGATGGTAAGAAGGATATTATTCTGTAGTTTATGCTTAAACAAACAATCAACACATTTCGAGTGTTATGAAACTGAAATCAAACCTCTGACAAAGTAGAAGAAAGGAAAACATCTCAAGAATGAAATAGCATGTTTTATTTAAGGCACTTTATAGACCGTTCTCAACCTGAATGCAATGCAGTAAATTTGTGAGGTTGAAATTTACACTTTGAAAATAAAACCATCAAGCGTATTGCGTATAAATTCAAACGAAACAAAAGGACTGGGACTAACCCGCTGAGCCGCTACGGAAGAAATTGCAACTTTCTTTGAATATTCAAATTAAATTTTTGCCTTTAGCAACTATACGCAATAACTGTGTCAGTTATTGCATAGGAAGTTATGAATTGAATCACTACTCTCTACTCTTCGAAACATGTGGGGCATCTCGCCTGATGTTACACCGCATAAAAACTGGACTGCAGCAATCACCTATCCAGTTGTCTTTGACCCTCAAATACAATCCGAAAAGCTCTTCTAATGGGGAAGAGAGTAATGATGAAATATTTTGTTTTAGATAGTAGTTTCAACGTTATCTTATAATACAATGATTATCGGTCGTATACTGTCAACGGGACAAGTAAACACAAATTTCTCCAAACAATTATCATAGAAAAAATAATAAACTGACCTTGAAAATGTACTAAAAAATTTCCTTGGTTAAGATGAAAACTGTAATATAAAGATGCATAGATGCATATTGAGAGACAGCCCGTCAGTCACTCTGACAAAATAGCTGACTATTTGGTAAATAAACGAGCAGGCGCACGGATAGACATAGAGACAAACGGACATACAAGAAGAAAATTATGCGAGAATGGATCGACGAAATGATAATCATACCAAATAATTTCTTTCAGTTGTTGAAATCGGCGGTTTTACGTTGTCGATGTAAGATGAATGTGTCTCTTCCTTTCAGAATGCACTTCTTACAAAATCATAGACGACCAAACCCGGTCTGTGTCCAATAAAATAGAGAGCGCAAATGCACTCTGTGACCGACGAATTCTTACTTCGGAAATCTGGGTTCGCTTTACCGGCAGCGGAGGAACAGCCATTCCTAACAACCCGCCACTGGCCTTCCACTGTGGAACAAATTCTCCAGGTTGGATCCGTGGTGCCCATCCTGCTGTTGCTGAAGGGGTTGTGAAACGACAACTTTGCTATCGTCATAACGACAATGAATGTCATTTTGGCTCTTATAAAATTTCAATTCGAAACTGTGGCTCGTTTTTTGTTTACAAACCACCAGATTTGACACAGTGTTTTCTACGACTTTGCACAGGTGTGTATGTATTGGATCAAAGTAGGCATTGTTTCTTTTAGGCTTCATAATAACATTGTTATATCAGCTAATATGGTTTTTAAGCTTGCCTACGTTCCCGAGAATCACATAACGAAAAGTAAAGGAAAAGAGAATTGAAGGAGTAGCAAATATACATTTTTTCATCTATCAAAACGTAGTACGGACGAAAGAAAAAGCAGAGAAAGGTCAAAGAACGAGAATAAACGATTGAAATAAACTAATTTAAACTGGTAAGGTAAGGAAATAGATGAAGCTAAACGAGAGAAAGAAAACCTAAAAGAGTTACATGTTTACTGATATGAACGAGAGGAAAAACTAAATACCACTAAAGGGTTCACTTCTAAACTGCGATTGTTTGTGATCACAATTTCTTAAATTTTTGGCAACTTCGTTTTGTATTTTCAGTTACTAGATAATAAGTTTTAATTAAAAATCACGGAAATGCTTAAGGCTCTTAAAGATTCGGGAATCAAACAGTGAACCAAATTTTTAGTATTGATGCTCACTTTAACGAATCCTATTTTCCAATGATTAAATAAATTACCAAAAACTTAACCTTATGAAATATGAAATAATAGGTTCTATTTATTGATAACCTGATAACAACAATTTGGTACAGAAATCCTCGACGAATGCTTTTATTGCTCAGTTGGTGTTTCCAGTCCCTTCGTCATCCCTGACAATCAGATGACAGCTTCATCCCGTTATAAAACAGAAAAGCACTCTGCGAAGTATGGACGACTTTTTAACGAGTCAGGTTACGGTTGGTTTCCAAACAAAAATGAAAAAACAGACTGGCTTCAGGTTGATCTTGGTAAAGACTTTCAAGTGTGTGCTGTTGCTACCCAGGGAGGCGATTACGATAAAAAACATAAAGAATGGACGACAGCTTTCAAGCTTCTTTACTCTTCCGATGATAAGAATCAGAAAACGTACAAAGATGGAAATTGCGTGGATGTTGTAAGTTGAATTATTACCTAATCAGTTTAAGTGTCAAAAGTAATTCGGCTTCCCCTCCCACTATGACTGCAATAGAAAATTCGTTCCACCGCCACATCCATTAAGATGCAAAACTGTGACCAATCCGGAGTTGACCGGACACATTTTTTTCTCGATTAAGGCGGACTCCCTTCTTTACTTTGAACTCCCATTGACAAGGTAAGTGATGATATTTTCCTTTGCTGTGTGGTTTTGTTGACATAACTTTGGTTACCCTAGTACTTTTCAATCAAAATAAGCTCAACCTCTTTAGAATAGCCAATATGAGAAGACGAAACTGATTCTGAAAGAAATTCGGGGTTCAAAATTAGTAACATATTAGGAAATTGCATCAGAAAATTATCCAAATTATCTTCGAAAAAAGACATTAAAAAATATATGACTGGGCAATTGTAATACCTCAAATTGTTCTCAATATGTACAAGATTGCTTATTTCGAAAAAAGATATGTTCTGTCTTTCATTATTTTCCTTAGGAATTTCAGAGAGTTGGTAAAAATCACGGTGTGGACCGGCATCTGCTGTCAACACCAGTGGTTGCAAGATACATTCGCTTCCATCCAACAGCGAATGATGGGTGGGACAGTCTGAGAGTGGAGGTGTACGGCGCCAAACAAGGCAAGTTAATAACCCAGTGTTAGTCCATTTTTGCTAACGCTAATGCTCCTGCCCATCAAAATCGATAAGAGTACTTATGAGCGACATGCTCGAACAAAAGACTGTTAAGTTTTGGACTAGTTCGAAGGAAAATAAAGTTGTATTCTTGACGTCTTAAAAATACTGTCATACAACCACCAAATAGATCAAGACAACGTTTTTCGGCTTCAAATCATTTTATATAAAAATCGTTCATAGTGAAATATGGTACTACTCCAAGAATTGATTTATATATTTACCATATCTACCATACTACGAGCATTCCCTCTCTACAAAGCTTATATGCTCGGATTCGGTCAGGTTCGTAAAGATTCTACTAGGGCAGACCGCAACACCGGGAACTCCGTTCCCTACTTTTTGTAATAAGTGCGTGGGTTCTTTAACGTCCCCTACTAACTGGTACCGAGAAAATGCAGGAGACGCGGCCAACGGCTTTTCGTTCTTATCCGAGAAGACTAGAATGTCTAACCGCTTGCAGATATCATAGCAAAGGCAGCACATTCTCCTCAGTTATTTTAAGACCCTGAGTGTGGGTCTGATCTGGGTCTTGAACCCCAACCTCCCGCACAGTAGTCCGGCGCTCATCCACAAGAGCTAACCAGGCGGCGGTAAATTGATAATAATATGATATGATATGATAGTTAATGTAACTGGGCTTAACTTGTGTTAGACTTGGACTCGTATTGCTTGGAATTTCTAGAACTTCCCCATGGGGATTCGTGTTTGCAAGTGTGGGAATCTTGCTGTAACGGGGGGCCGGGGACGCTATACTGTATCCTCCTGACGGAATATGACTGTTGAAGAAAAATTCGCCAAAATATTACCCGAAAACTGATAAATATTATTTTCAGGGGAAAATGATGCATGTCGAGTTACTGATACTTCCGTACAGTGTTGTCAAGATGGTTATAAAGGAAATCCTTGTAGGGGTGAGTGTGTTAACTGAAACAGTTCTTTTTATTAAATAAGAAATTTTTTAGATATTTGCTACTTAAACCTCTCGCCCTACCTTAATCATGGTAAATGTTCAATTGATCATCTTTATCCTGACAGACATCGACGAGTGTGCAACGAAGACCCACAACTGTAACTTAAATGCAAATTGTACCAATACCAACGGTTCTTTTGAATGTGTTTGCAAGGAGGGTTACACCGGTGATGGAAAGTCATGCAGCGGTAAGACTCACGACTTTAATTGGTGGATAAACTGGGAAAAGAACATAACTTTACTCAAACAAGTAAAGAATTAACTGAAACAAGGAATAAAACAAAAGAGCAATTAATAAATGAATGTATGGCTGAACAAATTGTTGTCAAATATTTGTTACTTCTTCCACCTTTTCTTTTGTTGTTGAGTATGGGACTAATTTTTTAATCGTAACAAGAGAACATAAAAGGCGTATTTTTGTAAAACGTAAATATTGTCAAAGTTATGCTAAGGAAGTAGACCTCTTGCGAACACCAACCGTTTTGTTTTAATATAAATTTTAATAGTCATAAATCTATCGTCATGTGTATGGTTCACTTCTTTATGTCTGTAAAAAGACAGGATTCCAAAACTATGAATTTTATTATTATCACCTGCTTAACCTTTTATCATTTGAACTTGAATCTTCGATTAATCATTTTTATCTGAACAGATATCAACGAATGCTCCGGGAAGACACATAACTGCCACTTAAATGCTTTTTGCACCAATATTGAAGGTTCTTATAGATGTGTCTGCAAGGAGGGTTACACTGGTGATGGAAAGTCATGTAGCGGTGAGACTTATTATTTTTTATTTGAAGAGTAACACTGGGAAAGTTAATATAAAACAAAATGACATTAACAAATCATGGAAGAAGTGATAAAAACGAGGCAAATGACCAAATAAATAAATAAATGAATGAGTTAAAAAAAATAGTTGTCAAATATTTCCATGGAGAACTGTTGAGCACCTCTTTCCTAGGGTAACCTAGGAAAAAAGTAAAAACTAAGGTTTACCCTTATAAATGGACCTTAGAATCTTAATCTTAGGTCTCACTGGGAGAAAAAATGTGTTGGCTTGGATTGTTCTAATATTAGAATTAATCTAACATTATGGTTGAGTTTAAGTTTGAATCGCAACAAAACAAGGAAGACGTTTTTTTCCCGTAAGCCACAAAAATATTGTCAACGTTTTACCAAGAGTTTATAATCTCTTGGTCATACCAAGAAACAGACCTTACCATCCACTGTGTGTTAATCTTAATTTCGGTAGCTAAGGATGTGTTATAATATTTATTGCTCATTGCTTTACGTATAGGAAAACTTACAAAACGATGAATGTCATTAATTCTGTTCACTGATCTTGCTTTGGACCCACACGAAAGTTCTTGTCTTGACTAGCGCAGTCAGAAGTTGACTCAGTTGATCGAAAGCATTATGATTAAGTACTTTGTTGTTCAGATCGAAAGTCTCGGGAAATTGTTTGGCTCTAGCTAGCGTTCTAACAACAAATGTTTGATTTCCCAAGCTCAGACAGCTGGCATGCCTACCCATATCTGTCAGTAGTAAATATATAAGCATATTCTTTCGAGTTTACTCAGAGGAGAGTGGGGAGAAGAGAAAAAAGACAATAGAGAAAATAGAGAGAAGAGAAGATTAAAAGAATGTGGACAGTGTGCAGAATAGTAGAGTTAGAATTCCGCAGTTGAAGAAGAAGTATCCAGTGAGAATCAAAGTGTGAGGACCTAAGAGATTAACCAGAGTTACAAAGAATGAAATTAACTTGGATGCAAGTAAAATTGTGTACTGGAAAACCGAGTAATTAAGAAAGCAGCAAAAGACAGTTCGAGAATCTTGGTGCCTTTCGTCGGGCGCGGTGGAGCGCCCGGTGAAGGAGCTGTAAGGAGCTCCTTTTTCACTTTCTTTTAGGTTGCTTGCCGCGATGCTCTTTCGCCTTTGAGAATTTGTGCTCTCGATTTCGTTAGCGTTTAAATTTTCCATAATATTTGTGAAATCTTAATTGGTAGTAGGTTATTCGTCTTGAGGTGTTTATATTCTTCATTCTGGCCTCCTCAAAGACCCTTGAAGATAATACACTGCTTCTTTTGCGGAATCCGAGCTTTACAATCATCGCCTCCGGGACTGTGGTAAAACCTATTGAGTGCAGATAGAAATACATCGTCACCTTCTAATTCGAGCTTCACTTCCTAACATTATTCGCTGGGACACTTACCCAGAACAACGTCTCTAAGAGCGCTTGTCTGTAAAAATCAGACAAATTCTAAATTTCGCAGCACGGGTGAAAAATTCGATTTCTCTCTTTTTTCAATATTAGATAGGCTAGACTATAACTAAAATCACTAGATACTTTTTTTGGAGAAATGTCTTTTTATTTCAGAGAAAAATACAAATAAAAAATTCCGTTAAAATCGTCATTTTTAGCTGCAAATTATTGCACAAGTTTGAGGGCTTAGCATTCAAAAACGAATCATAATCTCGTCTTTTTAACACTCAAATCTTCTTTTTCAACCTCGTAAGACCTCACAAAACGTTTTTGTAAACACTGCGTTCCTCTTTGCGTGTAAAATAATTTAATTTCGAAAGCATACATTTCTCTTCAGTAAAAGTACTTTGTGAGTAAAGTTAATTTTCAGCATGTGCTAAACCTTCAAATGGATTAATCTTTGGGTGGTAGAATTACGAAAAGATGTTCTCAATGTTACTATGAAAATTTATTTGGGCAAATGATTGAGAGCGATACGAAAGCTTTTCAAAGTCCGTTTCGCGGTCAACATTCCAGTTGCGAGTCACACACCTACTTTAATATGATTCAACCCATATGAGGCCGGAAAATGTACATGGGCACACATTTCCAAATGCTCTAACCTCATTTGCCACAGAAGAAAGATCCAAAGACCATTTTGCTTTGGTTATCTTGTCGCTCGTCGTATTTATAACATCCGATGAAAATGCCTGTCAATCTGCAAACTGTCACCAACCTTCATTGTAAAACGTTTGACATCTTTCTGCACAGTGGCATCTTATCCAGCGCTTCAGTTGACTTTGAGTGTTGCTCGGTTTGTGGTGCAGTAGATCTGATCGATGCTTTTAAAAGTGGCACTACACATATGTCGCAGTCAACGTAGTTTTACGGAGAGTCGTCACGCAATGCAAATGATACAATGGAAAGTTATTTTTTAGGGGGTAGGGGGAGGGGAAAGTAAAAAGACGTCACTCTGCTGCTAAGCTTTTTTGTTGTTGTGAACATCGAAATCTCTTACATGTAAGTCGCGGAGATCGGGCCTTTGGCTAATACTCGTTGGAAAGCTAAATTTAGTACCTGCTAAAAATAGTAAGCCTAAGTAAACAAAACCTGGTTTATAGTAATTACACGATACCTATTGTTCGCTTAGAGGCGGGGCTTCGGACTTTGTTTTTCACAAATACACTAACTTACACAGTCAACTTTGTTACATAAAAAATGGAAGGTTGTTGTTCGTTTAAGTTGCTTATTGGCGGAGTTTGTGGTTACAACACTAGAGATCGAATGCGTGAAACGGAAATTGTTCCTTTACTTTCATGCACCAAGAATATCGCAAGTCATGAGTCGGCTTTCAAATTTACCGGTCCTGAAGATGAGATCGACCTTATTCTGTGCCGAGCGCACATATGTCGGCCCCTCTGTAGTTTATGGTTTTAAACGGGAGTTGGGTCTGTTAACAGCGGTAAATAAATACCACTCCCTTATGCAAGCCCCACCCATTGGCCATAGAGCATAGCACCCCAGCCTCACATAAGCCACACATCCCCACCACTGCGTTTTGTAGCATGGTTTTGTAAAAATGTACAAAAAGTTCTCTTTCATGCTATTAGGGTATTCCTTGCAATTTTAGTGGAAAGAAAAACACCCCTAATAAGTACGACAGGCACAGAGCGCCAAAAAAAAAAAGAATTATTCCCTGCAATAAATAAATGTATTTTACTGTTTTTCACCAGACAAAGATGACACTATTAAAAAAATGTTTACAGAATAAAATATTTTGTAGGTTCCAAGAGTTCAATTCTGATAGTTCTTAATTATATGGAGTTTTGCCCTTCAGCTACCCGCTAAAGTTCCTTTGTCACCGGTATTGCGCGACAACCCAAATACTCAAAGGGCGTACATGTTTGTAGTCAACTCAGTTTAGCATTGAATGAGACTGTCAGATGTAATTTTTTAGTGCATTATAACTGAGCAATACTCGTAGTCAACTGAACCGTTGAATAGGATGCCACAGTGAAGAAAGATATCGAACGTTTGACAACAAGATGGTGTTCGACAGGGTTGGTGGTTTCATCGGACGTTATCACTTATACAGACCTAAATACGACGAACAACAAGAGAATCACACTAAAATGGTCTGTGGATCGGTCTTCTGCGGCAAATGAGGTCAGAGCATTTGGAAATATCTTTCTATGTACATTTTTCGGCCTCATATGGATTGAAACATATTAAAATATGTGTGACTCGCGACTGGAATGTTGACCGCAAAAGGTCAAATAACTGCATTTTGACGGACTTTTGCCCAAACAAATTTTTACAGTAATATTGAGAACATCTTTTCGAAATTCAATCACCAAAAGCTTAATCCATTTGAAGGTTTAGCACATGGTGAAAATTAATTTTATTCACGAAGTATTTTTACTGAAGAGAAATGCATGCTTTCGAAATTAAATTATTTTAAGTGCAAAGAAGAGCGCAATGTTTACAAAAATCATTTTGTGAGGTCTTATGAGATCGAAAAAAAAGATTTGAGTGTTTAAAAGATAGTGATTGGTTTTTGCACGCGAAGCCCTCAAACTAGTGCAATAATTTGCTGCTAAAAATGACGATTTTAACGGAACTTCGTTATTTGTATTTTTCTCTGAAATAAAAAGATATTTTGCCAAAAAAAGTATCCAGTGATTTTAGTTGTAGTCTAACCTATCTAACATTAAAATAAGAAAGAAATCGAATTTTCCACCCTTGCCGCGATATGTTTGATTTTTACAGACAAACGCTCTTAATGTTCTTTTACTGCTCTCCCCCTCCCATTGTCGTTAATTGTCAATGTTTCAATGCCATCTTTTAGAAAAACATTCAAAGGGACGCAGAGGACGCAGGAAGTGCCCTAAAAAAATGTTTTTGGGAGTTTTGCTATCATTTTCTATGATTTGTATTCATTACTTATATTATTAGAAAAACCATCCCGTTTTATCATTGCTCATGACGCCCCATTTATTTTCAAGTTCACTAATTTTTATCGTGGCAGATATTGACGAGTGCTCAGATAACAGCCATGATTGTGATCCACTTGCGACTTGCATCAATACTAATGGTTCTTTCAAATGCGATTGTAATGAGGGTTACTACGGTGATGGAAAGTCATGCAGTGGTAAGTTTGAGGACTTGGTGGTTGACTAACGCTAAGAAAAAAAATGTGGAACTAAAATTAGATTACATTTAAAAACATCCAACTGTAAAACGAATAAATATATCAAAAAAAGAAATAAATCATTCAATAAATAGGCGTCAAATTTGCTTGCCTATGCAATTCGCCATTAGTTTCCTTTTCTGATAATTTTATGAATTTTTACTTTGTAATATATGTATATATCAACTGGCAATCTATGAGATGTTTGCTCCTATTGTTCCAGTTCTGCTTTCATGACGCGACTGCTTAGCCAAATGATGAAAAACTTGTTTCTCAACGACAGATCTAGACGAGTGTTCAATAGGAGACCATGACTGCCATAGATACGGTGTTTGCCATAACGTGATCGGATCCTACACTTCTTATTGTTCTTGTTCTAAAAAACAAAAAGAGGCAATTCCCACTTTCCAAAAGAGATTTTTATCAGTGTGGTCCAGATAAGGCGGCCATCACTATTTCTGATCTTAAGCATTTATACATGTAAATCTACCGATGCCAATGATTTTGACCTGAATTGAGAAGTAGTGTTGTTCTTTCGATCTAGAAATCAAAAGGTACTTTATCAGGTTCCTAGTGACGCATTCAGATATTTGATTTTTCCTCCATTATTTTGTCAAAAAATGGAAAACACGATCTTCTGCGATTGTTTTGTGTTCATGGTTTGCTTGCCATACATTCCCTCTATTTGGAACCTTGAGAATCTTATCAGACTTCTCAAACCTTTAGCTTCTCAGATATTTTGTGTCAGTCTAAAGTAAATTTGAGATTTATGAACTCCGTGGTTCAATCTTGCTTTAAATGCCTACTTGCTTTCTTATGAACCCCACAGTATTAATGAATTGTTTGTATGTCATTGCAGCTTGTCCAGAACATTCCGTATGCATCGAAATATCACCCAATGTCTGTCTTGGATGCTGGTGTAAATACTATTACCCTGGACGTCCAGCAGTTGATCCGTGCAGAAATCAGACCGAAAGTAATACATAAAAATTGAATTAATATAATTTTATAAGAGCATAATTGGCACAGGCGCCATCAAACAGATAAGGAATTTTGTTCCACGTGAGATACTCCTCACTATTTGCTACTCATTAACTCACAGTCATTTCGATTATGTGAGGATGCTGCTCAAACGGACTTTCTCAGAAATTACTTAAGCTTTAGAACCGTGCGGAGCGTATCATAACCTTCTCTTATTATGATAATGATACTAATGAGATTTTAAGTATTTTAAATTGGAGCAAACTTTTTCATCAACGAGCCGTAAGTAAAGCAATAACGTCACCGCAAGCTACTAGACTCCGAAGTACTTGAGTTCTCGCTTTTGACTGCGTATTATGAAGCCTTGAAGAATAATCTTAGAAATTCTGAATGCAAGCTATCCGTTTCACAGCTCTAATTATTGTAAACGAAGTTTTAGGTATAGCGGGGCCGTGTTATGGAATGGCCTGCCTAAAGAGATAAAGCAATCGAACTCTCCTCTCAAAATGAAATTGAAAAACCATTCTTTCCAAAGCGAGATCATCTAGCACTACCTTATATTTACATGGCATCCTTGTAAAGGATGTCTAGTAGCTAGCCTTTTCTTAGTTAGTGTAGTTACCGTTTTTTATTCTTTGAGAATGTACCTGAATGAAAACAATGTTGTTAAATAGAGTTCTTACTTACTAACTTGTTTTAAAGACAAACTTCTTAGGGAATATTGGCCTGAGGCCATTTTTGACCGAGTGCCAATATTCCCCAGTATGGCTCGAGAAAGTTAGGCTATTAAATAGTTTACTATATGGCACTCAGAGCACACATGTTTATTTTGAGTTTTCTGGCGTTTACGGCTTATGAACGTTCCCACGGAAACAATCATATTGGCAAAATACGGACCATGTATGAACTGATCAGAACGCTTGGATCTACCTCAAGACAATCTTGCCGTATAATAAAATCAATTTTTCTAGAGAAGCAAAAGCAGTTCGTTTAATGAATTAATGATTCTGTTGTAAAACAAAATGTCCGCTAAGTGTGAATGGCGTCTCTTCTGCTTATTGCCGTAAGACTTCAGGCGTAGTTTTGAATTTCAATTTTAACTTCTCTTTCTTTTTTCATTTTAGGCAATTCGGGAAATTCAATTGACTCAATAGAGGTTTCTATCCATGATACGAACACGCAGCCAAGTACACCAATGAAGTTTAGACGAGACCAGACTAGAATGTTGGTCGCGTCTTTAAATATCAAGAACAAGAAATTTCCTCCTGAAAAGGTTTCGTTTTGCTGGAAAATTAGCGGACTTTTTCTTCCGCCTTTTCGCACTTCTGTGCATAATGGGACACAGGTGATCTTAAACTACACTCTTGAAATGAACCACACTCGGACAGAGTTGATCGTAAACGACACTCTTGAACTGAACATAAGTCCAAAATTACTGTCGACAGGACTTAAACTGGTAACATTTGAGCTGCAAGGAGTAAACGAGTCTTCATTGACTGCTAGGGACTTCGCTTTCATCAAGGTTGAGAAGGCACCTCTGGTAGTCACCATTGCAGGAGGAACTGAAATTATCCGATCAAAACAGAGACTAATTTCTTTGGATGCCAGTCCTTCTTATGACAGCGACTCTAGCAGTGGAACTTTCCAAGGAATGAACTTAACCTTTGACTGGTCTTGTTTGATAAGAGCAAATTCTGCCCGCGTCTCCGGAGGTCATTTTGCATTGTCTAAAGTCGCTTTTCGAGGCTTGAACACCATATTCAATACACTTGTCGCCGCGGCTGCTGCTGTTGGAACACTCTTTCAGTTGCCAGATGATGGTGTTGTTCGTGAAAGAATCGGGAGACCAGAAGCTTCCCTAGATGCCAGAAACATTAGTAACAACCAAACATACTATGTGGTTCTGACTGTAACCAAAGATAACCGCACAGCAAGTGCCATGCAGATTGTTCATGTTCATAACGAAGACTTACTCGAGATTCGTATTATGTAAGTATAGTATATATGCAGATGCAAAGTCGTTGATGGTTAAAGAAGCCCGGTTGGAATCCTTACAATCCAACACCAGAACAGTCTTCTTTCCTAAACTTAGTGCTCAGAACGAACAGCAATAAGTATTTTTAATTCTTAACTCTACTGATCCCCATCCAGGGCTTATTTGTCGTAGGAAAATTTGTTGACTCATATGTTCAGTTGGATATGTTGGTAGACTGGTAGACAGACAAAAGCACAACCAATGATTTGGAAAAGGGGTTGGAATGATTGTGTATTTAAAACTACTTTATGAACGAACTTAGACATGACATGCATATGGTTACCTGCAAATACGCGGCACAGATGCACTCGAAATTTGTATCATGTAATTACAGAATATGGATACAGGGTAAACGCGGAGTAAAAGAGCAAGGTTGGCCTGTGTACCACCTGAAAGCAGATCAACATCCCTCCCAATCTTCATTGCGCAGAATGAAAGCTTATACAAGACATTTAACAATTATTCCATAAACACGCGTTAACTATTAGATGGTAAATAGCCAACGAAGCGTGTAGTGCCGAGTTGGCTATAGCCAGTCTCGTATCCCACAACGAAATAACTTTTTTTAATTAATTTTCATTAAATCTTTAAAGTTTGGATATTTGAAGCCTTTTTTTCAGCAACGCAACTGTTAGCGTAGTGTATTTCCATATAAGCTGACTCAGGATATGAGCTAATAGCCGGATCTGAGTGAACCAAACAGAAGTTGAAAATTTAATAATTTATGGTATATCATTCCCCACTCGGGAAAAATAATTCGTAATATTTGCTCTATAGAAATAGGGACAATTACCCCTCTCACATCAATGGCCCCCGCGGTCCCAAAAAGGCTTAATCGTATATCTTGGTCTAATGGTAGGTACGGAAGAAGGCAGAAGTAATCATTTCAAAAAGAGAGGCGTGGTTTTGTATCTGAATCGTAGCTATTACAAACTTAAAAATGATAAACATGTTTCACCGCAATTAGGGACCATCTTTACTCGGTAACCAGATTGAAGGACGAATAAAGGGGATTTGATAGACAAACATTTTTTTTTTCTTGCTTAGGTGCACCATGAACTGTGACTCACCAGCCAGAGCATCATCTCGTATCTCCCTGAGAACTGATTGCAATTCAAAACGTTGTCCTGTGTCCTTTATATATAGCTGGAGCCTGTTTAGAAATCATAGAAATGGTTCTCATCCCCAATGGTCTCCTCAGACTGACTTTCATTCTCTCTTGAGTACAAAAGTGGATTCGAAAAACCTTGTTATCAAAGAACAAATGCTTGCAACCGGCGCCTCCTACAGAGTCAAGGTGGACGTTAAATCTCCGAACGGATCATTTGGGTGGGCTGCATACCAATTTGACACATTGGCGGTTCCATCAGGAGGAAAATGTAGTGGCAAACAGTTGGGTAAGAAAGATGTAGGATCTTGGGTTATTATAACCTGTCAAGGCTGGAAAGATGAAAACATGCCTCTCAGCTATGAATTCTTCCAAGAGTTAGAAGATGGAGAGCTCGATATGCTGTCTTATGGAGTTTGGCCCCACAGTATTGTTCACATACCACCTTCAGATAAAGACGTCGTTAGTTTTAAAGTAGCAATAGTTAACGTCGAGGGAGCAGCGTTTACAACAGAATTTTCTATCAAGGTATTATCCTTTGACATCTAAAAAACTAGTTCTAAGAGTTTTTTTAATGATTCTGGTAGTTCTTATTGCCAAATAAAAAAAACCAAGCCACGTTTTATCACTGGCCATAATTTATATCGCAGACAAAAAAAAATTCACTTGTCTTGTGAAGAACTTTAGCAATGGTGCATTACCCTCACGAACAGTTAAACATCTCAAATAAAATTAACGCATTTGTGAGGGATAAATTACATGTGAACATCATACTTGCTATTTTACTGAATAGATATTTATTCCCATCGCAAGTCTACTCAAATATAGAAACTAAATTCTTTGTTTTACTTTGTTTTCTTTTCCTTTGGTTTTTTGCAGCTAAATCAGTCACATTCGTTGTTAGAGGAAGAAGTAGACTCTGGAGACCTGCCGAAAAAAATTTCAGTTATGGATAACTATTTTGCTCTGGGAGAAGTCAATATGGCAATACAAGAAGCAGACACCCTTCTCTTCTTACTCAAAATGATAGTAAAGCAAGTCAACGAAGATGAGGGATTATTTCGAGTAAGTTCAGAATACCAGATATGACATATGTGGTTATGGAGATATAGTTATAATAAACATTATAAGATTTTGCTTGTCGGTGTCTATAGCGGCAACGTGTGGCTTCTTGCATTGGCCACACGCATACCAATATCTCCACGGATTAACATAATAAATCGCAAAAGTTTCCCACTACATAAAAGTAAAACAATTGATTAAGATTGCAATATTTTTGTAGGATCTATCTACTATAAAGAGCTCATCCTTTTTGAGTTAGCTGCAGAAATCCAACTATACGTATCAGTCGCGATAATTGGCACACAAACACGTTTGTTTATGGTTGGTTTCCAATCTCATTCTTTTCTTATGGGTTGAGGTCTATAGTATCGCATGGTTGTTTTATGTGAGCCCTCGTGTAATATGTAATTTAAATCCCTGCTGCAGATGAAAAACCACATTATTTCCAAGATATGCCAAGTACGGACTGATAGACTGGAGCGGTTAGTCCAGGTTGCTGCTATTCTGAACAAGGCTACAAAGGGTGACGCCCTTGTCTCACACAATGCAACGGTAAGATACTGAACCCATTACAAATTGTCTTCATGAAAAAATACCTTTTTAATTTTCTGATCTATGACAGTTTTGTGTTACAGGAGTTTAAAATATTTTAAAACATAATTGAAATAAAAACTAACTGATACTTTTAATACAAACAAGTTTGCGTAAGGAAGAAGTGTGACGCACAAACTCAAACTACACTCATCCCTAATTGCAGAGCGCTTTATTGGAGAAACTAGAGGATTTAACCAAACAGATTTCAACCCAAACTGCGCAGGGACGCAATTCTGAAACTCGCCATATTCGAGAGGGATATAGATTGCTACTGTCTTGTATTACAAATATCATGGATTCCAGCTCTAACAGACTTCTCACAGCTAATCTGTCTGCTAACTTTGATGAAGACCAAGAGGTATTTCTTAAATAGCATGTCTCTCGACACTTTAATTTAGGACCACAATAAAGGTAATTCCCCTATGAAAGGGGACTTTTTTAGTAGAGGAAACAAAACAAGTATTTCTAAGATGTGGTTTTTAGGTCAGTGAAGTTTAGATTCATGCGGACAAAATTTTTAATCTTACCAGATTGATCGCAAAGAGGAGTCTGGAAAAAAAACTGTGAAATGCAAATATAAAAAAAGGCCAAACTCTATCAGAACTGTATCAGAAATAAAATAATGGAAAAGATACAGTGTAATCACGCATCAGTTAGACTTTCACCTCGCCCAAAGGAAAAGGAAATTAAAATTTAACCACTCTCCTCTGCCATTAAGATAATATCAATCTTAGGAAAGCACGAAGAACAATAGAAAAAAACCCAACCCCTTACCTTCAAGTCAAAGAAATCGTTTTTATCCTCGAGACCCACGGGCAATTCTTCCCAAAGGCCTTTTTGGACACATGAACACTCTTCGTTCAAGTTATCCCTCCTCACCTTCATAACACGTTCCCCTCCCAATGATACGGAATGATAAAAGGGGTAAGTTTCTGAAGAAACTGGGGTGCTGCGTCGGCGGGAGAGTTTAACAAGGTAATTTAGTATTATCAACTGAAACGAAAACGTAGATTGAGCACCTTAAAGAGTTTAAAGGCTGACGTTTCGAGCGTTAGCCCTTCGTCAGAGCGACTGGAGGAATTGCGGGCTGTGTGTGGGTTCATATGTAGAAAATTGAGCTGCGCTATTGGTAGGAATATGGTGACGAGAAAACAATAATAAAAATGGAATGATATATGAACTCCTCTTCAGATAAGCATGGGAAAGACAGTTTCGGCCCGATGCCAAAAGCTGACAGAAGTGATTACCAACGCATTGCTATCGTTCAAGTTGCCCGGAGAAGAACACAGCACCATTCGCAATGGACTTCAATCGACGACACTAGGCAAAAAAGAATCAAGTGACTTGAGTCTTTTAGAAATCAGCGACGGAGAAGCCAGTTTTGTATTCCCTTACCTAGATGAAGAAGAGTTGAAAAGTTGGATTGGTGACGTCTCTGAAGTGGGAATAGAGGTTAGTGATTATTTCAGCAAACAAAGTGGGAAAATAATCATAGATAATATCATGATTTTTAGTACAATTTGGTGTTACTAGGTTCGAGTAAATTTTTCAAAGAGAACAAAATTGCATGAGCCCGTAGGGTAAGTGCTAATTACACCAAAGTGCGAGAGAAATCATGTTATTACTTGTATATAATGTACATAGAGAAAACGTCACAAAAAGTCAAGACAGACGAAATTTTGAAAGCGAGGGCGAACCATTTGTAATTTGTACTCGTGCTACAACTTTGCACACTCGTTTACGACCAATCAGAAGCGCGTATGTTTTTCATGTACATTATTAAGCTTGTAATTCGATCTTGCTATGTAAAGAATGACTTGTCTATTAATGGAAATAATTGTTTTGTGATTTATCGATTCTCCTTAAAGGGTGAAAGGATCATCGACTGGTATAAGCAAAAGGCTTGAAATAATAATAATAAAAAAATACTTCAGCGCTGAGTATTGACTAATGAACTATTTCTCATGGAGTAAAAAAAAAACCTCAGATATCTTACTATCTCACGATAGTAGGCACACATCGAATGTCAACCTAACTTTCTTTTCCTTTGTCCACGGCTGGTTTATTTTACTGCATACCTTCATAACAATCCATACAGATTGACAAGGAGGATTTATTGCATTATGCAAGATACCTTTCTTATATCCTGTCTCGCTTACCATCAAGATTTCCGTAGTTCAGTTTGTTGCCCATAGAAAGGCAAAATGGAGAGAGGCTGCAATTTGTACCCTCTAGTTCCCTGTGCCAATGGCAAATATACTACTTTATCATTTTTACTTTCTTCGTCCTTTATGGTATCTTTCAGATGATCAGCTATCATTTCAACCCATTCGTGACGGACAACAGCAGCAATAGAATAAGATCAAACGTTGTCAGCCTTGTCCTAAAAGATGACACCGGGAAAGCTCTCAACACAACTGAACTGCCTTCATATATACAAATTAATATTCCAGTATCAAATTATGATCCCGGAAACAGTAATCGCTCGGATCATTTCTTAAATCCTGGAAGGATGCAATATCATGTGGTTACCGTACGTGAGGTCAATACCACCGTGAAAATGACCTTTACAACTAAAACAGCTTCTTTTCTTACTGTGTATGTGAAATTTGCTGAAAAGCCAACTGAGACATCTTACGATGGAGTGATTTACTCATCTGAAGAGAGACGAGTAAACAGCACGGACAATGATTGTGCATCAGGAAAAGCGTGTACTCATAGTATCGCCTTTGAGTGCAGACATTCGGGTAAATATTACTTTGGTCTATTGGAGATTAGTGAGTCTCGAAGAGAATTGCCACAGTCAAGGAGTAGACGATCCATTCTATCAAAGCAAGCCTCGCGAGAGAAGTGCGTAAAGTTTAAAGATCCTCCACCCACAGCTGCTCCTCAAGTAGAGTATGTCAGTCTTGTTCCTCAGTATGACTTTAATAGGTCACTTAATTACAGTGTACAAGTGGAGACAATCTGGTGTGCATTTTGGTCTGAGACTAAACAAAGATGGACAAACAAAGGATGCAAGGTGAGGAAGGAATACACAGAAAGCATGAAATGAACCATTAAATGCAAAATGAAAACATCCTTAAATCACATTACATGAGTTACTCAAGCATTTTTATGCTATCTGTAGGTTTCAAAATTTAACGGAGATCTTTATGGTCACTTAAAGATTTAAACCACTAAACAACGAGTTTATATCTATAGCAACATGAAATTATGTCTTAAATTGTCATAAGTAGATTTTAAATTCCTCACGGGTATTTTACGCAAACGTTTTCATTATTTGCCCGATAATAAAGTACTCCACATACTTGTAACAGCTCTGAATCGCCTTCAGACCCAAAATAACGTAACTGGAATTCGCGTTGCAATGTCCGTATAAAATTTGCTGAAGGTGAGCTGAGAGAGTCTTTTTAAAAGAAAATAGCCTAACAGTAGCCGCGCTTGGGCTCTTTTAACCGAATCATAAATGAATGGACTGATTTACAGGTGAGCCAAGAATCAAGCCATTCTTCTCTGAAATGTCTCTGTAATCACTTAACTGCATTTGGCGGAGACATTCTTGTTGCACCAAATACCGTCGACTTTCAACTAGTCCAGCAGGCATTTGACAACGTGGATCCTGATGACCTTCTAGTCTTGATAACACTGTGCTCTACCTTTCTGGTTTACTTTCTTGTTTTGGTAAAAGCACGCAGAGCTGATAAAGTGGATGCGACAAAGGTTGGTGTGGAATCAAAAAATTATCGGATCAAAATAAAACTGAAATTTTATCTTATACATTTAGAAGGTCAATTTCCGCAAATAGTTTGAAAATTTAAAGCTGAATAACATTTGAATGTGAATGATATAGATGTGATCTATATCATTCATAGAACCTTTCGCTTGTAGAATACGGTTTTGAGAGGCAAGACTCCTGGTAGGACATTAAAATGAATGAAAATGAAAAGAGGGAGTATCAGTGGGGTTTAATGTTCAGGTTGACGCTTGATTTTGAACGGTGATGAAGTTTCCCTTTATTCTCTGTCATTTTAAGGACAGTCCTCTGATACCCTTGTTGGAGCATCAAAACGGTTTTTACAAGTACGAGGTATCTATTACTACAGGTGGATGGAAAGGTTGTGCTACTACTGCCAATGTATCCATGACTCTTCATGGGACTGAAAATACCACTGACGTTATCAAATTGACATGTGACATCCCATATGACAGGAAACTGTTTGCTGAAGGCAACACTGATAATTTCTTGCTTCGACATAATATGCCGCTGGGTGAGATCTTTTGTGTGCAGATTGGCCATGACATTTCTGGCGAGGACCCATCTTGGTTTATCAGTGAGATTTTAGTTGTGGATTGTCAAACAGGTCAGCAATGGCTCTTTAGTTGTCACCGCTGGCTTGCACTAGAAAGAGATGACGGTGACACATTCAGGAGATTTTATGCAAATGACTTTAGAGAGGACGATGAATTTAAAAGAACGTTCAGTGCACTACGAAGAAATGGTTTCGCTGACGACCACTTGTGGTTTTCAGTGATTAAGAAGCAGCCAAGGAATCACTTTACTCGAGTTCAACGAGCATCCTGCTGTTGGAGCCTTCTCATGTTGTCAATGGTAACATCTGCAATGTTTTATGAAAAAGAGGACCCATTGGAGAAGAAAATACAAATTGGACCTTTTTTACTGACTCCGAGTCAACTTATTATTGCTTTGGAAAGTGCCTTGATTGTTTTGCCTGCAAGTCTGCTGATTGTGTTCTTGTTTCGTAAAAGCGAACCTAAGAGAAATACACAAGGAAGGCGGTATCATCTGGAGAAAAGCAAGAAAAAACCATTTTGTTTACTCCCTCATTTTTGTGTGTATATTGGTTGGTTTCTCTGTATAGGTACTGCAATCACCTCTGCCCTCTTCACAGTGTTTTACTCTCTCATATGGGGAGGAGAGAAGTCGAAACGATGGTTAGCAACGGTGGTGCTTTCGCTTACTGGAGATGTTATTATCTCCCAGCCTATCAAGATACTTATCGTATCCATCATTGTAGCCTCGCGGAGTGGTTGTAGTCGAAGGATGACGAAGGACACTAAGTCGACGAACGGACATGATGGGAAGGAACTAACCAGTGTTGTGAATCTTTCATCCTGGGATGTTGAACGTGCAAAAAAGTTTAAGAGAAACGAGAGAAGAATGTATGCTTACCTCAAGGAACTCGTGTTTTCAATGACATTCTTTGCACTTTTATTGATTGTTTGTTATGGAGAAAAAAGTGACCACAGATACAAACTAAATGCGGCCACAGAGCGCAGCTTCCAGTTTTTTGATAATATGGGCCGCTATAAGGTACGTACCCTTCCACGATAACAACAAAAGAAACAAGGGTTTATTTTCACCAGCCAGGGAAACATGCTGGTCCTCTGTAATACGTCAATAATTTGTTTTCCGCCCGCAAAGAGTATTCGCTATGAAAATCTGATTGATTCCAAATACCTTTGAAAACATACTGACCATGATTTGGAAGAATGAAAAATGAAATAGGACATTTATCAGTTCTCAGCTGAATCATGTAGCTAATAATGAAAAGGAAAATTTCTCCAGAGTTTCACAAGAGTCCTTATTTACATTGGCTGTTTTTTTTATTGAGCAACAAAGCAGGGAAACAATTTTTCTCCAACAATCATGGACACTCTGTTAATGCAGCTATTGCAAACATTGTTGCTTTCTTCATACAACTAATCAATGTTGCATTTACTTTTGACAGATTACCAATACTACTCAGTTTTGGGGTTGGATCGAGAACATTTTCGTGCCAGAAGTTTTTGTGGATGATTGGTACAACGGAGAAAGAGAAAAAGTTTCAGAATACATCGGAAATAAGCGATCGATTCTAGTCGGTATGCCTCGTCTGCGACAACTAAGGATCAAGGAAAGTAAGTCTATCATTAATTAAAAATACTCAGTTCTGGTGTAAATCTTCCATCCTAAAGTTTACCTTCGACCTATTTCATTTATTTTTGTGGACAGCAACAACCTCCAAATAACGACGGCAACGTTATACAAATATTACCTGTAGCCAGTCAAACTTCAAATTCCACCGTCACATCTTTTACGGCGTCGTGACAGATTAATCTGGAGTGATAACCTCAAAGACACATAAATAACTGAAGTTAAATTCATTTAGCGTACGTGAATAAAAACCTTAATGCAAGATGAGCTCCAACAGTAAAGTAATGAAAAAAGTCATTCTGAGACTCAGAAATGTTTTTTTTTTATCTCTTTACAGAATCCTGTGAAGTTCACAAACTGTTTAGAGACATAGTAACATCTTGTTTCGATTCCTATTCCTCCACAAAGGAGCAAAAAGGAACTTGGATTGACCCAAATAGCACTTCAGTGTTGTGCCCAGAAAATTGGGAATATAATGCAGACAGAAGGTTTGGCGGCTTTGATTCTTGGGGTCGTTTTGCTCTTTACAGTAGTGGAGGATACATAGCTAATTTAGGTTACAACAAGCTTATAGCTAAAAGGATTATCAACGACTTGAAAGAAAACCACTGGATCGATCGTCAGACCAGAGCTGTGCTGGTGGAGTTTTCACTGTATAATCCACCGAGTAACCTTCTTGCAGTGATGACATACTACTTGGAAGTACTTCCTTCTGGATTTGCTGGCACGTTCAAGAGCTATGGAATTTTGTCTCTGAGTGCAACAAATCCTCAAGCTCATAGCACTTTTCTACTGTTTGTTTTGTTGTTCGGCATTCTGCTTGCTTGCTCATTCGTTGTCCAATGTATCAAACTCTACCGTCAGAAATGTTCTTATTTCAAGTCGGTGTGGAATTTGTTGGATATTTTGCAGATACTCACCGCGTCATCAGCGATGTTACTGCAGTGGATGCGGACCAAGGTGGCCACAAAAACGTTCGAAACGTTGAAAGAAAACCCTTTTCTTCCAATCAGTTTCCATCGTGTCTTACTTTTGCTTGAGTATGAAGAAGTTGCCATCTGTGTTGCGATCGTGATTGCCACACTACGTCTTCTGAAATGCTTCTATTTTAACCCACAAATTATAGTTTTCACCTGGACACTTCGTAGATTGTTTAGACCTATAGCTTCCTTTTTCATGGTGTTTATAATAGTAGCAATGGCCCACGCACTGTTAGGGTTCATCGCTTTTGGAGCCAATGTGGACATATTCGGCTTGGTGCGTAACGCTATTTTCTCTCAGTTTCTCATGCTTTTGGGACAACCAGTCCCACTGAATGAACTGAAGGAAACAAATCCAATACTAGGACGTCTTTTCTTTTTCACTTTCGTCTCCAGCTCGATTATCATCATCTTAAATATGTTCATCGCCATAATAAATGAATATTATGCCGACTCCAACGCTGATAAAGGAGGGGAAGATTATGAACTCGCGCAATACATAATTGAAAGAGTCCTGGAGACTGTATTTGGACAGAAATCTAAAAGAAAACAGACATGGAGTAACCACGAGAATTTCGAGCCAGACTCTTTTTCAGAGAAAAGTTCCCTTAGAGGAGTTCCAGATGGCGACTCTTCCCCTGAGTGGACGCCGGTCATGTACCGCAGCTGCCCTCAGGAAATATCCACGAAAGGAAGATCTTTAGTAAACAATAGTGAAGACTTGATTGAGTGTTCAGTTTGGGAAACTGCCGGACCCGAACATTTAATGGTGAGAAGTTCTACAAACGATACAGGATTTGCAAGAGTTAATCTGAATAAACTTTCTAGCTACGTTGCCGACGCACGACGATACAACATAATGAAAGATTGGGATGCATTGGGCGATTACCATGGAGGTGAAAATGAAAAAGACTGCTGTGAAGACGAAGATGATAATGATAATGACGTTGACACTGAAATTGATTCCAGTAGCGATAGCGGTGGAAATGAGGATTCTATCAGTACTGATAGTGAATATACGGATAAAAAAAGCCCTGAGGACAAGGAAAAAGAAACTAGAAACAAACACGTCCGTTTTACGATACAGTGAAAAAAATTTTCTACTTCCTCTGGTCCTTTTCTTTTATTATCATGACGAAATCTATTGAAAATATTGATATCTATCTGCTTTCCAGCTAATGTTGTTGGCTCTTTCTTTTCGCTAGTGCATGACTTACGGCTTAATTGGCTTAATTTTTTGTCTTAGCCAGGCAAACAGCTTCTCTCGTAGGCGAGGGTGGAGGGTGTATGGATGTTTTTTTGTTTTGTTTTGTTTTGTTTTTTAGCAACTTCATCGGGTTTTATAACAGTACTTACTACAAAAACATATAACATAGAGACAAACATAAACCCAAAAGGGCAGGTGCAAACGGGACTGGCGTCCCATACGAGGCACTGCCCTGTAGCTAAAATACAGTAAAACACAAGAAATCTAAATTAATATAAGTTTGTGGGGCGTCAGCTGCATCTATAGCTTGTGGCACTAGCAAATTCTAACTAGTGTCCACATGCCAAAGGATGTTCCAATGTCAAAGGATGTTCCAATGTCAAAGGATGTTCTCAGACGATCAAGGAGTGTTTGTTTAACGAAGAGCTGGAAGGAGAGCGCACTCGAAAAACTAGAAGGAGCAATAGAACAAGAGTTATTCCAAAGTTTAACAATGCAATTAAAGTAGGAGGCCTGAAAAGTGCTCGTTTTATAGATTGGTGTTTTTATATCAGAGGAATTCCTTAGTCTAGTTCGGCCATGAGAAATGAAGTTTGTGAAACTTTGTACATCAAGGTGAATATGATTAAATAAGCTCTTATAAAAGAATAGCAAGTCTTTCAATTCTCTGTCGTAGGTAAGAGGGAGTAAGTCCAGGGCAATAAGTCTATCTCTATTGGACATCTCGCCAATCCGGGTTTGTAAGATCCATCTGGTAGCGCGTCGCTGCACTCGCTCGACTTGTGCCTTCAGAGAAACCTGAGAAGGCGACCAGACTTGAGTAGCATAGCAAAGTTGACTTGACTAGCGATAATTATAGCGTGCGCCGGGTAGACACGTCAATTAGTAAGGAATATTTCTACATTAGAAACCCAAGGAGCTTGTTGGCTTTAGCGGTGATGGTGTGTATGTGAGAGTGCTAAGACAACGTACTCGTAATTGTAACTCCTAGATCTTTTTCCGCAGACACTCGAACAAGTTTTGTGTGTTGTTTAGGGCGTATTCGTAAATCAAAGGGGTTTTCTTCCGCGTCACAGTAAGTGTTTTTCATTTCGAGGTGTTGAAGTTGATGTTATTTCCCTTTGACCAGTCATTCAAGTTTGCTAGAGTGGACTGCAGAGACAGGCAATCGCTGACGGAGCTGACGTTTTTATACAGCTTGGTGTCATCAGCGTATAACGCTGCCCTCACCCCGCCTACAGTTTCACCCAGGAGATCGTTAATAAAGATTGCGAACAATAATGGCCCTAACAGGCTCCCTTGCGGAACGCCGGAAGTAACCGGGGCCCACTGCGATGCAACGCCGTCCAAAACTATCCTTCGAGCTCGACCCGTTCAATGATCAGTGAACCATGCAATTTATTGTCCCGAGACCCCATACGCCCTTAGCTTGGCCAAGAGAATGGTATGATCGACTGAGTCGAATGCTTTCGCAAAATCCAAGTAAATCACATCAGTCTGAATGTTCTTATCAAAAGCTGTCAAAAGCAAAGGGTCAGTGCTAAATATGGGAAACTTTAGTTTAGTTGCATGTGGCCAAAAGATTTTACATTTACATGATGAATTTTCTTGGACGATGGTGCACCTCAGTCGAAAGTCGAGGGACGCGACGTCACATGTACAGTACGCCGAAAGTAGCTGCTAATCTCAGGTTGCCCAACTTGCGGATGTAACTAAATACGAATGTGCCAAAGAAGAATCCACACCTTAACTAGTGGCCGCTTTGTGACACGTTTGAGCATCTTCTGGGAAGCCTGCTCTTACAGCTACGCAAGAACCCACAGTTTTAATTCTGAGGAAAGATTTTAATCCCTAGCTTTATCAAATGCCCCCTTGAAGCCCTCGAGATCAAGTTTGTTTATAGTATTATTATTTTTACGTTTAGTTTTCACGTTTCAGAAATTCTCCATAATAAAACATGAACGGTACAAGAACTGTTTCTTTTGAAAGAACTCGAATCTTTTCTCCAGTTCTAGAACTACAGTAAATTTTCACAGTAATTAAAAGTTCTTACCACCCAAACAGGCCACACAAGCTAATAATCACGCGACATTGAGCCTTGAAAGCGGACTCCATTCAATTAATCCGGCAACGTCTACCTCAGGAAACTTATGACTGACTGCCGTCATGCCCACGTAAAACAGAGGTGAACAGTGCGAAGTTTCCTTCCCGAAATTCAAAACTAGGCATATAGGGCGACTAACAACCCAAAAATTATCGGAAATAGGAGAGGGAAGAAGTTTCCCGTACGTATTTTTTCGTCTGTTCTATAACTGGAAAACTATAACTGGTTCAGCGATTATATCAAATACAGCGATTATATCAAACATTTTTAACTTGGTGAAAACTAAATAACGCAAGACATTTGAGCGAGGAGGGGCAAGGCTAAGGTGATCGTTGGTCACGCACTCTCTGTCTCGTCACTCCTGACCAAAAAACAAAGATAAATGAAATTCTCCGAAGTTGTTTAAGAATTACGAACACTAAAATAGGTTATTTAAAAACAACACGTTATAGACTCAACGCGAAACCTTTTGACGGCATCATAGGGCGGGCAGATTATTCCACTACGCTTTGTACAAACAAAACACATCGCCCATTGTTTCGCTATGCGGATATGCCCCGCTAATAAAATGCTAATCCTTGTCTCGGCAGGCAGTCATCCATCAGATTTAGGTACACGTCATTTAACAACAATAGCTTGGCATAAAAAATTCACCATGCGGAGCATGTTTCGAATTCGTGTTGGGTAATTCATAACATTATATTCCTCTCTGAATACCGCTTTTATTTTAGATTTCAACAACTCGTTTGAATTTTAAGCCATGTTTATGCTTTCACGAAATCGGCAACTGATCGTAATTCTATTTTTGATTTTCGATTTTGGACGATCTGTGCATTCCTCTCACACCAATCTTCATAGAATACATAGAAATAAAATTCATGAAAAACTGCTGAGAAGAACGTTGATCTCGCTGGGCAAGGTTGTGGACTTCTTCGCAAAGGAGTACAAAAAGTTTAATATCGACGGGATTTTTGGTCTTCAGGCGCTCGATGGTAAGTAATGATATCTATCTAACATAATAGAATTGGCTAACCAAACTTTTAAGAACTACAAATATTTTTAAAGGATCAAATTAATTAGCTTGAGTAAAGGGTCGTCACATGAGATACTCACATTAAGCCTTCGGGCTCCGCATCAGTGACTTCGATACTAGTAAGTAATGATAGTGATTACATAGTGTGGGTCATCGTTTAAAGACGACAAAGACAGGTTAACGGGTACAAGCTTTATTAAAACAGCACAGATTTTCTATCTTAATTCAAGATTTCAGCTGTGATGTATACCTGTAAGCTTACATAAATTCGTGCCGACAATGCCGGTTCTAATCACAGAAAAATTCAATTTTGCTATTATGGTAATTATAGACCACGCAAATTAATCACAGTTCAGCTTGCACTTGTCAGAAATCGCAAAAATAGTTTTTGATTCAGAGATTTTAATTTAAATAGGGGATAACGAGAAGCTCTGAATATCGCATCACCGCAAAAAGTACCGATAAACACCATGTCACTGCACAAAAAGTTGACGAAACACCGACACCGCAAAACTTTTTACACCCAAGCATGATTTACACTCACAACCGGACACATAAATTGCGAATCCATACGACAAAATTGCATCAACTGTGAATAAAGCCGATGTACAGCCAATAATCTAGGTCTGTTCATATCGGTTCCTCTATCAATATGGTGATTTCAAGAGCCTTTTTTGAAGTTCGTAACCATTCTTTAAAATCCTGAGCTATTGGCATATTCGCGATTTTTGCCCCCAAAATTAACCAAATTTAGGGTCGAGGAGGATCCTCGAAACAAAAGATTAAAACAGCGCAAGTGTATCAATGTTACACCGTAAAAAAAATTACGGCATGAAAAATGAGTAATTTCACAACAACGCAAATCCAAACCTCTTCCGCTTTGAGATGAATTTACGACGTTCCGAATCAGAGTAAGTATAAACATGTTTATTTACGTATTTCAGTCAGGGTGGGTGAAAGGCAGTTCCCTATTGCCATAAGCGGCATAAGCAGAAGCCCAAACAAAAAGAAGATTGTATAAAAGCGGTTGTTTCATAAAGAGAACGACTCGGATACAATTAGAAGTATAAGAAAATGATCTTGTGTGCTTGGGGAGTTAACTATGTGCTACAATTTAGCGAAGAAATGACGACTCTTGTGTTTACACTCCATTCTCCGCCACTGGCGAAAGGTACTCGTGCTAATGTCAACATCAAGGAACCCTACCTCAATAAATCAAATAGATAGGGTCAAATGGTCGCTTTCACTTTTTGATCAAAATGAGTATTTTTTTTTTGCAAGGAATTCTTCAGGACTTACTAACCAAGGTGGAAACCAGTCGTATTCAAATACCCAAGAGAACATTCCAGGTATTGACACGTCTGCACCACAAAGCGAAGCTTGTTTCCAGTAAATCACAGCCCTACTTACGAGCCTCGGACCCAGATTACTACAGGCTCGGTTTCGTAGCTAGGCATGCTTGGCTGTTCCAGAGAGAGTTCCGGAATCTCAACACCAGTCTCTCCCAGATTAAACCACAAGACGTTGAAAATGGGCATTTTGACATACACACTATGGACCGGTGTATCTCGGAGTTGATTGGAGACCAGATATCTGGTGCGAAACCTTGTAACATCACCGACGAATGCTGGAATTTCGTTCGAAGTGAGAACACAACAGGCTACATGACAACTCACCAAGCTCTCTATTTGATGGTTGGAGAAATCAAAGGTAATTTGATCCCATTTTCGGGTTCTTTCCATTGTCTGACAACAAACAACCACTGTAGTCGACCTCTGCTTGCTGTAAATTAATCTACAAAATTGTGGCAAAACTGACCATCACTTTCATCTATCAAAGAAAACACTTCCGTGACTTTCAACTGACTTGTGACTCTTACTTGACTTTAATGTTGACTTTTTCTCTAACTATCACGTTAGTCCACCGCTGTCCATAACAATAGACCGTTTCACTTCCAGAGCATTACTCTCCTAACTGGACGATCACAGCACCTCGATCATATAGTTTTAGGTTGGTTCCAAGTTAAGGATCAATTTATCATTTCCCAAAGAACAGTGACCGGCGTAAGTCTATAAAACCTTCCTGTGGCTTTTTTTCACTTTTTCTTAAAGATTCATCCAAATATATAAAGCTCTAGCCAGACAATTTGGTTCAGGGATTAGTAGTTTCGCCTTTCTTGGTAAGAAAAAGAAAATGATTCGAATAGCACGATTACAGAGACACTGGACCATAACCAAATATCAAACACATGCTTGTAAGAGCAAATAAATTTTAACCGCCGACTTTTATCTTTGCTCAGGTTGTCTACCTAATATCACAAAGCTCCTATCCAGTTCACAGAAAGAAGGAGAAAGGACTATCGAAATTATATTTGAAACACTTTGTGCAAGCATCTATAAACAAATGAGATGGAGGGAAATTGTCTTCCGGAGAGAGCACCAGTCAAAGCATGCTGATGATAAAGATCTGTACATGGAACAATGTTACGTATGCGGGATCTTGGGATACCATCAACAGTTTCTTTCACTTGATAGACTTTCAGCTGTTTTAGATTGGCAGCTCCCTCCTGGTTGCTATGGTAGCAGTGAAAGTCCCAAAGGCGGACACCGAGGCACAGAAGACAGCAACGTTTATAGGGAGCAATGGGACCACGGAGATCTCAATGATGATGATTTCAATGATGGATTCGGGTACTAAAGAACTGAATGCACTTTACATTACTAATGACTAGTGACGCAAGCTAACACTTTTTTTTATCACTCACATCTCTATATCATCATCTTCTCTAACGCGATATTGTATATCATACCCTTTACTTGTAGCCTAAATCCGACGAGGGACCTTGATGAACGAATAACTAGAGATCGTTCAAGTGACGGTTTACCAGGTGAGTTTCACATGTCTTGGTTATCTCTTCGGGGGCTGTCCATTTCGTTACTGTCTCCCATTAACGAACTGCTAACCAAATATGTACTATGTATTTTATATTAAGGTGGATGTCAGAGGCACATTACAGGTGTGGCAACAGGTCTACTGGGTGTCTACCTGAAGTGGCTATTGATGGAGCCACCTCTCACTCCGGCACATCATCATTAAAGGAACCGAATAAGTAATTAACAAATAGAGAAGCGTTTAATGTGCTCTGTTCTGTTGTAAAGTACGCAGGAAGCGGCTAGAGCTGTTTACAAATCTTTGTTTGGTTCCTCTGTTGCTATTTGCCGGACCACTTGTTCCGAAATTTCACTTTCAATTAATAAACAAAAAATAAAAAAATTAGAGAGAAGTCCGGGAAATGGTCGGACATAGTACAATTTGGCGGATGGCGTGATAGCTTTTAAGCTCTCTTGCTCTATGTCCTATACTCTAATGGAGCACGCTGTTTCAACCAACGACAGCGCGCGCTATATGCGAACTTTATTATAAACAGTGATGGTCACAACTTTTTAAAAATTCATGTTTATTGTACCCAAAACAAAAAAAAACAAGAAGTGAACTTGAATAAATAAAATAAAATTGAACATACGGGGTTGCCTGCTTGGTAAACCCTTAGGGGTACAGGATGAGTTGGTTGTCTTGCCTTTTTCCAGCCTCCAGGTCCCCTCGGTGTCGAGAGAACTGATCACGGAGACTGAAGTCAGAACGACATCCTGGTGCAATCTAGGAATGTCACCATCACCATATCGATTCCAAAGCAATGAAGAATATCCAGTTGTCAAAAAATTCCTGAATTGTATGGTTTGTTAAAATGTGAACCATTTTTACCCAGAAGTAGCAGTGCAGTCTGATCGTCCAGGGGAGGGTAGTCCTGAAGGGTCTGTTGTTGTCCGTACCAATGACTGACTTGTCAAAAACCTGAGTGAGAGTCATCAACAGAGTTAAGTGAGTAGTTGTGTCTGTCGTGTGTTACGAGTATGTTTCGCCGAAAATAATTTGGCTCGAAGTCATAGGCTGCAAGAATCACATGGCGTAAACAGTGAAAGTTCCCAAGAAGTAGATTAAAACACTCGAGGACAAACAACCACAAACTAATCCGGGAACAATTCTTTTCAGTACTTTTCTCAGCCACGTCCACCTGAGGGGCTCACTCACTTCATGACGCGTCGGTTGTACTTTAGATAGAGCGAGTCAAGTAACATTCAGTCGTAAATTTCCCGTTCATTCGAGTTTATTTAGTTTCAAAATTTTTCCTTCAATTGCGGTTTTTACGGCTTTGATTTCTTTTGATGATAGAAATCGGTGGGAGGCCTCCTCGATCGGAAGCTCTTAGCTGTCAGTCATTTCTTAACGAAAAGTTGATCAGGAATTTCAGATAAGGAATGAATTTCAAACTTTCCACTAAATCGCGAAAGCCATGTTCATCCAAATTTAAATTTCGCTTTTTCATCGGTTATTGTCTTAATAATAATAAATTTTATACTTATAACGTGGATATACATCCATTTACTTATGCTCATCAGATCATATGCGCGCAAACAAGCAAACGAATATTTCAGATAAACATAAAGTGCTTGAAAAATCCCAACTGGCAGAAGGCATGAGGAGTTGAATTCGGGGCGACCGAGAACAATTCCAATGAGTTGCAGGGTGAAGAGCTTTGACCCGGGACTACCAAATTACAAGTCCAGCGCACTTATCACTCGGCGACGCCGCCTCCAGATTGGAGGCATTAAGAAATCTTGTATGTTCTTGTGAACGAAAGATATTATCCCTTCTGATCGAACATTTTGTGAGTCCTTCCTAACTCTTAGTAAGCTGATAATGCGACTTTCTCCACAAAGGATGGCAGCAGATAGTCGGTCGTCCGGGAAAACATGATATTCCTTTAGAAGGTATTTAAGAGCCACTTTTCCAATTTCAGCGAGGATATCTTTCAAATCTTCAACTTGGTGGTAGTCAGGAGGAAAATATTTCCCTTTGTTATGATCCAAAACTTACTAGAAAATCGCTTGATGCATATTCACCCTCATCACCCGACGGTCCTTCACTTCCTTCGTCTGATGTACCTTCACTTAACGTTTCTTGAAAATCTTGAAGGAGCAACTCTCTGCGATCCCGACCAGCTGCGTCCAAACAGCCGTGTCCAGATATTTCTTCGTTCTCCTTTATACGGTTATCGCTATAACTGGTGGCATTTGGCTGTTCAATTTCTTCATCTATTCCTCCATCATACCTTTAACTTCTCTTTAGTAATTTCGTCAGGGTTAACTTTTATCTACATCAACTTCTCGTCAAAAAATTACAATGTAAAAAACATTAAAAAAAAAAAACTACCCTTGTCCTACAATCAATTCATGTCATTAATTATAAACAAAATTCTCTTACATATTTTGCAAAATGCGCATGGAATTATATGTAATTTTGTTTCATAGTGATTTGTAAAATAATCAAGTCTTGTTCCAGTAGCTGTCTGTACGCCAGTACACCAGTCGATTGTTTTACTTGTCACATAAACTAAAATATGACCAATGATATGTTGTTTATTAAAGTGAACCTACACAAACATGTAGGAGACATGGCAACAGCAGCATCAGAGATCGAGAATTCAAACATTTTAAGGATAATCTAAAATAATGTCTCCATGTAAGCGAAAGAGAAGGCAAAGATACATGTTATCAACGAAATTGAAACGTAATTTTCCTCAGTAGTGCAGTAAGTGTGCTCGCCAAATACTCTCTTTATTCCCCCCACTCCCCAAAAAAAAAATGTCCAATCAAATTTACGTACACAGATACTGAAAGATATAACTATTTGAATGAAAACCTATTGATGTACACATACGTGACAGCTTTGACTATTTTTGAAAACAATCCACATGTAGACCAAATGCTCTTTTTGACGCTTAGTCGGAGACACCCTGGTACTAGCTCCAATCTCCATACACGATCAAGTCAGTCGGTGTGACATATCAGCCGGTCTGGGCACGAGGAACAATATTTACTCATTCACGCTTGCATACCTGCATGTGGTATAAATCATCATGGAGTGGAACCAGGCTCAATTTAATTTAACGGCTATTGGATTTTGACTGCAACAGAGTTTAAATAGTGTTTAGCAATCACTTTCTGTCATTTAGGGTTTTTACGAGGATTTGAAGAGCTTCGGTGGTGCGCGGGTGTGCTGGATCTGTGTGAGAGGCGATTGGAAAACTATGATCGTTAATTCAAGTTTTTTGCTGTCAACGATTTTGTTGATATTTTATTGGGGATCGGTGCTTCCTTTTGATCAAAGAAACAATGCTATGACGGAAGAAGTCATCTCTGCTTTAGACAGAGTCCTCGACTTTTATGAACGAGACTACAAGAGTATCAATTTGGATGGAATCTTTGGCCTTCGAGTCGCGCAAGGTGAGCTGAACATCGACCAAATAAGTGATATTTGGGTTGATTGATCTTTTTACCAACAATGAATGCTTGTCGATGTAGTTGTGTATTAACAACGTTTTTTTTATTTACTGCTGGCTTACACCGAATTAAAATAAATGTAAAAGACCTTTATGTGATTCGAAAGTACACTTACATTTTGACGACGTTCGATTTCGTCGTGAAAGATCGCGAAACAATCTCACAACCCACTCTGTGCGAGTGGAGAGCATTTAGTGGACATCTGAATACCACCTGAGAATTTGACAAATAGCGCAGTATTTCTTTTGTTGTTTATTTTAGCCTCTCAATAGCAATCGAAACGAAATAACAGAGATATACATGGGTAAAAAAACTCGTTTAGTGAGATGTAATATGTAGCACATCCGATTTTTTTCACCTTAAAAATTTGGTTTTTGGATATCGGGAAAAGCAAAGTTTGTTCAGTTGGTATGGTTTATTTTTTAGCATCTAATATTACAGCTTTCGTAGATAACGAATTGAAAGAGGTTCCTGAAGCTGAGCCATCACAGAGAGTTGTATATTTACTTAGGATACCGCCTTTTGTTGATTCTTGAATAAATGTCTTATATATGATACTGCAAAATGATAGCCGAATTCACCCTCACTTTTGTTCTACTTTGAAAAGACTTGAAGGTAAATTTGAACCCTCTTTTTTTTATTGTGGGCAAATGACACATTACAGTATCAGGTATGTTTTCACTGTGTTTCAACAGTGAGCTTTTCTAAGTGAAATTTTAGCTTGACTTTTTCCATCACACCTGTTTGTGAATTTAAACTCCCACAATCACAATTTTCTTTAAAACAGCTTCCCACTGTTTATACCAACTATTGATAATGATTATTATTTCCTCTGGGCCTGAAAAGGAAGTCAATTTTTGAACATGGCCTGACCTCTTTCAGGCATAAAATATGGCCTGAACTCAGCAGAGGATAATTTGTATTTTGATTCTTATCTTGTAAATGTATGCTAAGCATCATGAACTGATGTATCAATCTTGTTCACCTTGGTGATTGAACTGAGTTGATCATTAGTTTAATTAGTTTTAGTTTATACACCGTAGAGACCAGTTCAAAGCACACGCCAAATCAAACATTCTTGCAGGTATAATATGCAAAAGATTACAAAACCAAGTGGTAAAGACAATTGCCAAGGCCAAGATGGATTATGTGAGGAATGAGATCTCCAAAAATATGAATAATCCAAGGAAACTCTGGAAAACTCTCAAGAGAACTGTTCCAACTAAATCTGCACCCTCCAATCTTTCATTTGTTGAGCTGGGAGATAAAAGTGTTTGTGATCCTACGGAAATAGCCAACACCTTCAATAAACATTTTACTAATATCCAACAAAATGCAGATACGGTTATCCCAGTAATGGATACTAAACAAACAAAATCAACAACTCACTGATTTTGTAGAAAGTCGCATCAATAATTCAACTGTATTCCACATCCCACCAATTAGTTTGAAACAGGTGGTTAAAGATCTTAAGAACATTCCTGATAATAAAGCCATAGGATTTGATGGAATCGGAATTAAACCCTTACAGGTAGCTTTGAATGCTGTTGCTCCTTCTCTCACCCACATCTACAATTAGCACTATGACCAGCAAATGATCATTTCTTGCAAGTGGCACTAGAATATGGAACAACCAAGACAATGCCACTAGGGGTCTCACTTCCCTTTGTAAATTTAAAAATCAACTATATAAGAAATACATAGATTGGAACTCCAGAGTTGATAATTTCACTACAAGCAGAAATTTTAAATTAATTTTTAATTTTTAATTGTATTTTTACTTCGTATTTTTGCTATTTGAATTTGAAGTTTTAGAGGACCACAATGAGAACTACTGGTTCTACTAGTAATTGTGTTATGCAATAAATTCATTATTATTATTATTATTATTATTATTATTATTATCTTACCATCATGATGGTAACTACAACTCTCCTTTAGAAAAGCTAAGCCGTAGCTGTAGAACTTCCAAAACTGGTGGTTATCAAACACTGTAGGTTGAAATTTAGATCCAGTCAAAACCCTTAATTCTTAGAGCATCAATTGGTAGAAATGTTCAGGAGACAGTGAGGGATACTGATATTATAATAGAGATCTTAGGAAGGAAAGGGGGAAAGGGTGGGAGGTTGGCCATACTTTGCTGTGTTGCTGGCTGTTAGAATGTTGCATCTTGATGTTGAAATGTTTTGTTTTTGTTGTTTCTAGGAGCTCTCCTGTCAATTATTAAGGATGTGCAGGATGGCCAACTAAGAATTGAGGACAATGTGCTGAATCGGGTGAAAGAACTTTACAATAAAGCATCTCAAATTGCTGGCCATGCTCTGCCATATTTGCAACGCGCAGCACCTGAATACTTTGAGAAATTTAGGAAACAAGTTGCTGATCCATGGTTGAACTTTAAACCATTCACTGGCAAAGAGCTGATTAAAAAGGAGTATAATCCAGAGATTAAAAGAACTGCAATTGACTTTGATGAGAGTACCAGCGATGAGTGTATGAGTGGATTGACTGGCACCGGATCTGATGGTAATCAACCATGTCATATCTCTGACAAATGTTGGGATCTGATAAGTGCAGAAGGAACACATGGCTATGCCTTAACACATCAAGCTCTGTTTTTTCAGCTAGGGGAAATTCAAGGTAGGTTTAAAAAGGACAGTGGGAAGAGGAATTTTAAATAAAGAAAGTGAAGAAGATTTAATTCAGGCAAGGTTACTTTACAGCTTTTACTGGTCAGCACCCTTTAGGACAACCAAAAACATTGCACATGACTTTGGGTTTTCTTAGGCCTTCGAGCAGTAGAACAAAGCAATCTCCACGTCAACTTTGAAAGAAGTTTAGGGGATTCTTATCATTATTAATCAAATTCCTCCCTTTGCACAGTTGCTAATAACTTGGCTGTTTATCAGGACAATAATTATTATCCAGATAGGTGAAACAAAGTTTTGACTGAAGTTGGATTTTACATTTCTATGGTTGACAAGTAATTTTTTTTACAGACAACCACATCCAGTTAACTTTGATTAACAGTGGTTGTGAATAGACTGTTTGGGATGGTGTATTTGAATGAAGAAATCAATACCACTTACATCTCTTTTTTTTTGTTTACCTGGTTGCATCTGGATGCAATTCCTTCATCTCATCCCTCTTCTTTTCCAAACCAATGCTCATGCAGGGCATGAAATTAATTTTTCTTTCTGTTTAGAGATTCTTATCATAAATTCTTCAAAAGTTTATACAATTCAAAAAAAGTTGGTCACCATTTTCAAAGACAAACAAAAATTTTTATCCTGATCAGGTTGAAAGACCCAAAGTTTTGAGTTGGGGAAAGATCTTTACAGCTCTCAAAGTGGACACCAGGAGGGATTTTGTTCAACTCTCAAGCTCACCTAAATTCAAGATACACAGTTATCTCGAGATGCATGTGCTGCGTTTTGGAAACAAACTTAATGAGGAAGTTTGGTTGATTTATCTATGCACTCCTTTTTAATTCATGATATCTCTTAGTAAGGTTATGATGAAACATACCACTTACAATTTGACAGCTTTTTTCATTATTTGCTGCATCTGGGAAAAATTTGGCACATTATGAACCTGTATTAGACCCAAACCTTATGCTCATGTACTGTTTAAGATGAGTGTCATCATTCAAAAGATGTTACACTTTACCTCTATTTCAACTGCCTTGAAATTATTTCTTAGTTAGTGGCAGAATGACATTACTGAGTAGACTGTCTCTAATTGCAGGTTGTACACCAGTATTACTAAAACGTCTGGAACAATCCAACATAAAAGGAGGGCTAGAGGGAATTTACAATCGAATCTGTTCTGACATGTACCCTGAGATGCTGGCAATAGAGCAGAAAAGAACATTGGATGAGAATAATTATCATAGGGACTTGTTCATGGAGCAAGCCATGGTGTGCAGTTCCATGGGTTATGGTGACTTTCTGTCTGCTGAACGGCTCAAGAAGATTCTGAGTTGGCAGAGGGGAGATGGGTGTTTTGGTCAGATGACACATGGAAAAGATGAGGATGAAACTAAACAGTTTTCAGATGTTGAATTAAATCAACAAACAAATTCCCAAAGTGACTTTGAGGGGTATACTGACATGAAGGGTGGTTCAGAGAGGAGTAATCTATCTCCATTTGGGAATTTCAAGAAGAGTCTTGAGGATAAGTACTCACAGTTGCGAAGGTAATTTACTGTAGATGCATTGTTGAAACCACTTATGTAAGAGAATGAATAAGCTATGCATAAGCTAGATAGATAATTTAGATAGATAGATAGATAGTTTTATTGACTAAAAACATAGCAGCCATCGGCTGAATTACGTCAAGCTTACAAGTACTAATATTATAAAGCTATGCATACTAATACTGTATATATAAGCCATGCATAAGTCCTCCACTAGTAGTTGTGAAGGGCTAGGCAGGAATGCTGGCAACAGTCAAGATAAAAACAATGTTAGTTACAATTAATGCTGAGAAATCTCTGACACTTTTAACAACACCTTCAGCTGGTGAAAATAATGACATTTTCTTTGTCAATAGGGGCCTCTTCATAGAGCTTATAAATTAACTGCTGTAAAACAAAAATCACCTTTTGTGGAACAAACCAATTTAAGTTCAGTCTCTAGTGACTTAATAACCTACAATCATTAACTTTGGTTTCTTTTCAGAAAGCCTTTAAGTATGAGGACAATGCGGTCATTGTTGGTAGAGAAGGAACTTCAAGGTAACTTTAGTATTGCTGAAGGATGGATTCAAATTGGAATCCAATTTTTCCATTTTCATCATTAACAGCAAAATGGTCTCAAAATATGACATGGAATTGAAAGTACACAATATTTACATCCTTTACAACTCAGTAACTGTGAAAAAATTTATGACATCTGTTTGAATAGTGTACATGTCAATAAAAATTCTTTCACACTATAATTTCTTTGATGAATGAATTAACCCTTTAACTCTCAGATCAAATTTGTAATTCTCCTTACTGTCAATCATACAATTCTTATAATGTCTATTTAGAGAATTTAGTGTTGAATCAACTAATTGTCCCCAACTTGATATTTTTCTTTTTTATATCACTTATCTGGTTGATATTCGATTGATATTGCAAGGAGAAATTCTGTCTTGGTCACTCATGGGAGTTAAAGTGTAAAGGGATTCTATTAAATCATCTTCAGATTTTATTATTTTTATTTATGGTTATAACTGTCTCTAGAGAGGATGAAATGGGAATATATTCCTCTTAAGTTCTTATCTGGTTGTTTCAATACTAGTTTGTTATCTCTGCAGATGGGTGTTTTTCACATGTCACTGGTGTTGCTGTAGGCTTATTGGGAGTGTACTTGCGCTGGCTGTTGTACTCTCAACAAAAACCATTCCAGAGTAATGTTGGTTTGGAGACTAAAGGATCATTTAAAAATTCTTTTCCAAACAAAAACAGAGAGGTGTACATTAGTGATAACTTAATTGATGTTATTGCACTGAAAGAGGAGCAATTGCAAAAGCGTCAAAAATTGAAACAGGATCATAGGCAATCTGCCCATCTCATGCAAAGACGTAAGGCTGCTATGCTAGATAAAAATGAATTACACTTTGTGCAGAACATGGATGAGAGGGTAGGAACTGGTTTTTTAAATGGGAGAATGTTTGTATTTGCGGGTATTTTGTTTATTGTAGCACTAATACTAGTCAAGGGTGTCAAAAAGATGCCAAATCTGCTCAAAGTCTTTTCACATATTCCAAAGAAAAGTGCACATGTTATTTAAGTTCTAGAATATGCAGAAATTACTGTGAACCAATTTCACATGCAAGATGTAAGCAGTTAGTAGTGAGATATTTTGAATGTGAACCATTTCCTTCTTTATGGCAAGCACCCTTAAGGACAGGACTTGTCAAAATGTTACAAAAGTTGAAAACTTTCAACACTATGTTCACAATTGCTCCCAAAAAGGTGGGGGTCCACTTTGAGTATTAAGAAAAAAAAAATTAAATGTTCTAATGGTTTTCTCTATCATCCACTTGGCTAAAGTAGATTACACTGTACATGCAAAGTACAAACAGGCCATGTTATTACTACCACACTGTTAAAAATATGACAATCTCTTTGAAGTGCAACTTTCTTATGCCCCAAATGAATTAAAAATCCAGTTATTATATGCCTATTTGAAATTATATTCATCTTACATTCATGTGATATCACAACAAAACCTCAAAGGCCCTTGGACATGTCTATTTTGACACATAAAGGTTAGTCTGTGTGGTGTTCTCATAGCATATCATTCTTTCATTGGGTAGTAAACGACAACTGCATTTTGTTAAAGAAGAGTTAAATTTTTCTATGATGGGAAGAAAAGTGTTAGAAGTCTTAGATATAATATTAAAAATTCCATTATGGTTCATCTTTGTCTTTGTATTGATTACCATCTTTGGTCACCCTTCCTACATATAATTGCCAGGTTTACAGTGTTGGGCAAGTTTTTTTTTGCGGTAAAAGGTTTGGAAGCAACAAATTATGACCTAAAATCTAAAACAAAAGAATTGTTGCAGGATCTCACTTTACCATTACACTTGCCTAGGAAAATAATGAAATATATGGTTGTCTCATAATCTATTAAATCATCCTATGGGAGTGGGAGGGGTCTAAATTTTGCCAACTCATTTAGCTGTGTCAGAGTAGACAGTTACTTAATTTCAGGGATGGACCTTTCTAAATTTTTAAGGCGTTGCAATCCCCTGGGACCTTTCACCCCCTTCCCCTCTGTTTACGAATAATGATGCTAACAGTGATAATGATAATGATAATAACAATATTGGTAATAAAAGAATCAATAATTATTCCGAAGAATGATTTAAAAAGTGAAGTTTAAGCAAGGAAATGTTACCAATCCTTAACGTGCTCAAGAACGAAACAGACCATTTCCATATTTTATTCGATACATAATGATGTGTGTAAGTATTTAGTGAGTGTAAGCAACTGGAATCGGTGTCATTCTACAATATTGCCGTTGGTTTCCTTATTTGAACGTAGGGTGCGGGAATATAACCACAGCCCAATAGCATAATTTGTCCGCTAAAGACAATTTTGGGGTTTAAGACACTTTCAATGTGTCGCGTTAGATGTTATCGCGTAACTCTGTCGACTGTTTTCGGGGTTTCTTCTGTCTCTCGATCTGGTGGTAGAAACTTCATACAATAAGTGTTTCTGCCAGGAGAGAATTGTGCCAACGGCTGTTTCTGGGAAACACAATTAGATCTCTTGTCTAATCCCAGTTAGAAACGGAAAACTGGAAGATGTAATTGGGGTCGAATCTCTCAATAACTAATCTTAATACAGGCACCACCATCACGTTTTACATGAGAAGGGGTTTTTCCCCGACAAGATTTGTCTTCCCGTTCAGTTTTCATTTCCATTCCTTCTCAAAGCCCTCAAGGCCGAACTGCAGGTTGATATTGGCCCATAAGAAGTTTTAGATGCTTCAGCGTAAATTCGCCAACTTTGATCGAGCTTTTCGTCTTGCTGTCACAGGTCGTGGCCATGCATGGCTGTACGTGCTCCGGCCCTTTCAGTTTTGAGAGGGTGGATTCACCTCCGGCGAATGTGAAATAAGCCACGTTCGCGAAGTTGCGTACACAAATGGTACTGAAGTTGCACAGCTGGTTGAAGCAATTGCAATCAAGAGCCTGTATGACGTCACGTCAAAAGCTTTTTTGTTCCATCCAAATTTCCATTTCAGTCTTATCACTCATTTCAGAGGGAAAGACCTAAAAGTTATCAAAATTGCCTTCAGAGCTCTAATCTTCGCCAGCGAAATTTTCAAAGACCCATTTTATGTATTATGACGTCCTTCAGGATCCTCAGCAGACTTTCAGTTTTTATTACCTATTGATGTAGGTACCCGGCTAAATAATAATTTAGTTTTCGCCTTCCAACAACAGATTTAGCTCGCTGTTGTAAACTGACACTTTAATACGGAAAATGGCGGTCGACCAAGGTGATTGGAAGCGCCAAAAACGGTTCTTGAACTTTCGCACTGTCACTGTCTTGCGCGGTGTATCGCTATACTTCAAAAGTCCATAACTGTACTGATGTTGCGTCAAGACCATTTTTGACCTTATAATATCAACAAGAACACTTGTCTGTCTATCACGGATAAATTGATCCGTTTCAATAAACGTGGGGATGTTCTTGTACTGAAGTAATTGTGGGGTATCCAGGATATTGCGCTTATGTCATCAGGGAAAATACAAGAATAAGAAACAACTGCCACCTATTTAGTTAAAAATTGGAAAACTTTTACCTTACATGATAGGCTGTAGAAAACACAGTGCACATTTAGCATATCACGGTTCTCGTGTGACAAACACGCGTAAATCACATGTGATCATTGGCGGGCAAATGAATAATTCCCGTGTATACCTTATACGTATAATTTTAACGATTAGTTCATTTTTGAAATTAAGTCAAATCGAAAAAAAGATTTGCTGAGGCTAGAAAAATACAATTTTTTTTTGCAAAGCAGGGAAATTCTTACGCCCTCTCGCAACCCCTAGAAATACCTGCCAAAACATGTCCTAAATGGAACAGGGGTTGATGCGTTTTCAATCGAATCTCTCTATACTTTTTGTTAAATATTGGCTAAAAATAACTGCTCGTGACAACGGGAACTCGAGGAAAAAAAACCTACAAAGCAAACATATTCGAGAAGCTCATTTACGATAGTGTATTGCGATTGACGCGATATTTTAACGTCAACAAAGAGCAATTACATTTCCCAATGCGAAAGTCCGTTTTTTCGGGGAATCCCCTAATTAAAAATTCATTGTTTGTACCCACATCAGCTGACACCTCTGCATTCCTTCACGACTCTCGCTGTCGCCCAGGGTGCCCCGGTGGAGTCCCTAAATTCCCCGAGCTGAAGCGTTTTGATTGGTGAAAAGATTACAAGCTCGCTAGATCATTGGTCAATTTTAGGACACGTGACTGAAAAGGGAAATTTCCCTTCTCTGAGTAGCAAGCGTATATACCTGACCATCCGCCATTACTAAGCATCTTCGATCACGGGGACTGTGAGAGTGTGTGTAGAATTTAATAGTTCAGTTTGTTTGTATTAATTTCGTTTCTTAGAGAACCGTAAACTTTTTACTTATCGTAAGAAATCTGTGTTCACTGTGATGGATTCAACTACAAGTGGGCAACGAAAGCTGACTCCTCGCGGAGCGATGCCAACCGCTCTGGTACGACAGAAAATGTTAGCAGTTCCTCATGCAGATGGAAAGGTTGTAAGCGCCAACAATCAGTGTGACTCTGGATTTGGTGACGACGAAGAATTACGCTCTCGAAGCATAGAAAGAAACAATGAATTCACCAGCTTGCGCAGTGTAGAGGAGAGGACCGAAAATTTGTCGATCGAGGACCCTGATACTGATAAGCGACACCCTTCCTTGGAATCACAAGATTCATCGCTTCTGAAAAACGAAGAACTTTATCTAAACTATGCTCACACTAATGACGTGAGGTATCTATTAGCCCAGGACCATGTTAGAAAGCAGTTATATCTTCAAGACGACGATGGTGACACGTAAGTTTCCAAACGAATCATCGTTCTTCTCTAAATATTCGTTCTGTGCAAACTCAGGATTTCGTACGTGTAGCCGAGGTGCATATCCAATGACCTTTGCCTTCAGATAAAATGCTTTGCTTTCTCCTCGATCTGTAAATAGCTGAATATCGAAACAGGTAGTGTCGTCGTTTTTTTTCTCTTTTTTCTTTCACCCTTTACCGACTTGTACGAAGGAGAAGATATTTTGAATTAAAGTCGATCAAATTTCCTCCTTCGTGAAGCAAGACATAAACTGTTCCCTCTACGATTCCAGGCGTGGAGAGGTATTCGATTTCACTTGAAACAGCCAAACTAAAAACTGACTTTTTCTGGAAATTGTATAGAAATTACGCTTTTTTATAAACTAGCGTCAGGAGCAACGGTTTACTTCAACACTTATGTTTTCGTTTTAAAAATATCGTCATCCACCAATCTCACAAATGTTCCTTTCCCCGAAATGATGGAGTTGAGTAACAATATGAAATTCTTAACATACATCATGTTCATTTTCTTTTTATACTTTCAGAGCTCTTCATTTGTCGATTATAAATATGAAACCAATGGAAACAGATGCGATAATCTCAGTTGCGCCGTGTAGAGAATGCCTCGACATTTACAACGATCTGAAACAGGTAAACAAAACAAAACCACTTCATGTTTGGCATATTTCCTCTAGACTAACTCAGAGTTTGATAAGCGTTCTCTCGGAAAATCAGCCGTAAGACACTGTAATAATCTTTTTATTCTTTATAAAAGAAATTTGTGTGATATTTATGAAACATTTTCTGTCGTAGACGCCTCTTCACCTAGCGACAATCACCCGACAGCCCGCCGCAATCCGCAGACTTCTGGAAGTCGGAGCTTCGCCAAACATTCCCGATCGCAATGGTAGAACGGCTTTACATTTAGCTTGTGATCAAGGAGACATTGACTGCGTAAAGGAGATTTTAAGACCTCTGCACGACAAACGATGGGGTGACGAAATGAAAGAGAAAGTATATAACATGCTTCACGAGCGAGACTACGAAGGTAAGTTCACAATATTGATCGTCCATTTCTGTCGAGCCTTATTTGGTGCTCTCGTCTGAAATTATACATGAAAGCTCTACTTGCCCTTCGCCCACGTTTTGGTTTCTGTTGATGACCTCAATTGCATGGGGGCTTCCCTTGTTGTTGAAAGGGAAAGTGAAATGTGCTGTGGAAGCACAACCGGTACATTGTGTTAGCGGGGGTTTCCCATACAGGTCGGAAAGGGAAATATGCAAGTAAGAAGTTTCGTTTTGGCATTTTTTTTTCCTTTGTTCACATTAAACTTGTCAAATTGCCAGGGTTACTCCTACTTAAGTTGTCAGTTCATCTTGATAGAGATTTGATCAGAAGAAACTTAAACTCAAGATAAGCAATGGCGTATTTTCGTGTTACTAATACTTGTAATTTTTTCCCCTAGGTTTTGCCGCTTTACACAAGGCTGTATTTGTAAGCAGTGTACAAATTGCCACTTATCTGGTGTCTCTTGGGGCTAATGTTAACATTCAGGTAGGTTACGTTTACATTAATTTTTGTGTTTTATTTTTAAATGCACAAGAACAGTGATGGTGCAGGACTCCCACAAGTTGGCTTATTTTGCCTTCCTGTTGGCTCCTGTCCTTACAATAAAGCTTGCTGTAAGGATTTTTATCACACTGCACTAGAACACAAATCTAAATGTGAGAGCAAATTTTGATAGGAGTCATGACCTAGAGCAGATGCACTGAGGAACTAGAAAATTAAAAAGGATCAATGTTTTAGTCTAAATTTTTTTTCAACATCTTTCTTTGCAGGATGCTAAAAGTGGACGTTCCCCACTTCATCATGCAGTTGAGGCTGGTAACTTGTCCATGATCAACTGCCTTTTGTACCAGTGCAGTGCAGACCCAGATGCCATGACATTTGGTGAAGTGACACCTCTTCATATTGCTGCAGGACGGGGAATGGAAGCTGTGGTAGCTCTGTTACTTGCTGCCGGTTCTGATCCAAGCCTAACAAACTATGAGGGTGAATCACCTCTTAATATTGCTGCCTCTAAACAGGTGATTACTAGTGGAGCCCTTATGTTGAAATCTCTCAGGTGAAGAATGTTGCATGGTAGGAACCTGTTTAATTTAAACACGTAGAGCTGTTTGAAAAAAGGGCCAGCGTGCTTGTTTTCTAAATTCAAAAGGAACTTCTTTGGCTCCCTTGTTTAAATGAGAAGTCAGCATGGATGTCAATGATGCTTTCACTTTTTTCATTGTTGTTGAACCTTTAAAAATTTTCTTTCCCTTCTCCCATCGGTCCCATTATTTCATTTTGTCCTCAGAGGAATTATATTTGTGAATCAGTACTTTAAAATAACTAAGTGAAGTGAATTCCAATCTAATGATTCCTTGGTATTCTTCTGTTTTTCTTTTCCAGATTCATGACATGGTGAAGTCTACCTTCTAAGCCTAAAATAGAGTTACAGACAAGAATGGAAGGAGTGGATTTCAAACCCCCTGAATATTTTAAAAAACCCACACAATGGCAGGCTGGTAACTTCCAAAACAAGCCTGTGCAATTGACACTATCATACCTTATAAATTTACATAGCATTACAAAAGCAAGATTTTTCTAGAGCCTTGAGGCTACTTCCTATATCAAATCACAGACATTTTACTGCATGAAACTGCATGCTTTATTGCTATTATTGAAAAAAAAAATTTTTTTTGTTGTTGCTGTCTTGTCTGAACCAAATAGATAAAAGTGATTTTTACATAGTTGCTAACAAATCAAGAACATAAATTTGAACTGGTCTATGTGTGCAATTACAGTTCCTTGTGAGACTTGATGCCAAGATATCTTAGATCAAATAAAATTCAGTTTTAGAATAGTACGTCTCTTCCATTTATAAAGTATACCATTAGAATAAATAGGATAAATACTGACCCCAAAGAAAGTTCTATTGTTTATCAATGGTAACATTCTAGGGGTAAGTAAAGCACAGTTTTCATTCTTTGACACAACACAAGGCAGTTTTCATAAGTAGCTGGCAGCCAGTGACGCTAAATGCTTTGCAAAAGCTATTCTGTTTGGAAAGTGTCCTGATTCTGTTCCCTTTCACCCCTAAGATCTTGATATCAACTCTCTTTACTGCCAACAATAATCCTCTTCTATTTTTGCCATGGGAATTAAGGGTCATTTAACATAACAATATCCCTTGGTTGATATTTCTTATTATTGAAATCAACCCTGTGCTCTACAATGTCAAAATATTGAAAGAAGAAATTTCTTACCAGTCACTTATGAGGTGAAATGTTAAGTAAGAGTTGACATAATCAGCCACTACTGCAATGAAAGCATCTAAAATTTCACATTTCAATATATTTCCATAGCATCCATCATGAACATAACATACTCATTGGGCCTTTGAATGACTTCATGAGTTACTTACTATTACAAGCATACATGGGAAGGGTACTCATGTATGGCTCTCCTTTCCAGCCCAAAGCAGGTCTTAGATAATCTTTAATGAATTTACTTCAACATGGTTATGACCATATTTTAAACATGATATTGTTTAATAGGTAGCTACAAATACTGTCATCTTAGCAATGTTGTAAAGAATTCAAATAATAAAATAAAAGAAAGAAAGTGAGATTTGTTTCTAGGTATTTACTGATTTCCTTATGATGCGGTCTATAAAAGAGTAGATGTTTCCAACCCACTCCACTCAGGGCTAGGCTACGTATTTTCAGTTCTCTCTTTCCTAAGTAAAGATAAGATTGAAACCCTTAAACCGCGAGTTTAACCTCAACCAACTTCGTTTCCAGGGACCCCTTTCTTCCTCCCTCAAGGGACGAAGACCCAAGGAGCTAAGTTGTTGAATGAACAAGGTGTCAATTCAGTGTAACATACACGCACCGACTATTGACCGTGGGCTCATATTGGCTGATGTAACAGGAAGAGGATTATGGAAATATTCCAAGAAATTCATTTATAAACACCAATAGTATATGTTGCTTAAATTTCTTGTAAAGAGAGGAAAGCTTGGTAAATTTCCTACAAACTTTAGGTGTATAAGGTACATATCATTAAGCATGGCGGCTTCAAACGACGAAAGTAATAAAGAAAACGTAGCGGATGGAGAGACAGAACAAATCGTGACCATGGAGAAGGTCGTTGCAGCGGATAACAAGGGAATCGACTATGACAAGCTGATCAGTTAGTTTATCTTCCCTCATTTATTTATATTTATATATTCAAATTTTTTATGGTGTTATTTCTTCCGTTTAATTATTCCAAGAAAACGGCGTGCGAGCCTCGATCGATGATCAGCTGAAAAATTCAGTCACGTGGCTTCTGTGGTTTTATTGTCTAGCTGACTTAAGAATATTCGTCTGGCATTAGTTGAAAGATAGTTAACAAGGATAAATACGATATTCTTCCTTTCAGCATGCATAACAATAGCCACACCAGGCTAGTAAGACATGATGGACTTCCTCAGTAAATTCTTTTTTTTTTGGACATCGGTGGTACTTATAATACTCACCCAAAACATACCCAAGTATACTATTGAGGCAGGACCAGTGCTGTATACCTTATTATTATTCTCTTATCTGCTAGCCAAAAGGGTTTTGATTTTGTACATAATCAAACACCAGTAATTTTTTTTTGAGACGTTTTGTAGGAGGAAGACAAAAACGCTTTCATTAGCCACAAGAGTTAATTGTTTCTAAAGGAAGTATCAATTTGAAAGTTCTTCTTTTGTAAGTTCTTTCTAAAACAAGGCCTTTATTTGGAGACTGGTGGTAATTATAATAATTACCCACCCAAACATACCCAAGTATGCTATTGAGGCAGTACCAGTACTTTACACCTCAACACCCACAGCAAGAAGGCTTAGTTTCCCTTTCTTTGTTAAAAGGATGAAACTTTGTTAGTCCAACAAGTAATTTTATGATCCACAGGGCAGTTTGGTTGCTCCAAATTGGAAGACAAACACAAGGAAAGGATAGAGAAACTAACTGGAAAAGCACCACATCATTTGTTAAGAAGGGGTGTCTTCTTCTCACACAGGTAAAGAGGGACTAGTTATCACTATAAGGCTTTATATTCAAAGTAAATAAGTAAACGTAATTAATCAGGAGATCCTTTTTTTGACTGTGTTGGTTGTAAGGGTTGTCATATTATGGTGTCCTCCATGGCCTTTAAACAAGGCGTTCATTTAATGGTCATTGTTAACTGTAATAGTGCTGAGTGCCCTTTACTCAGGTTTAATCTTAGGTTAGTCTGAAAGGGTTTTACCAATGAAACAAAGTTAATGGACTGTAGACCTTGATACCCAACACTGGTGCACTGTCTACCTTTCAGAAACTTTAACCTCAACACTTATTAAAACCCTTTGTTAATAAGAAAAGTTATATTTTAACAATAGTGCTATATGTAGCTTTGATCTCTTACGTTCTAGAAAGTCACATGACTGTATTTTGTAGTACCCAAATTATTGTAATTTCCAGCCTACAAAGGGAAAGGGACCTTTGATTCCTTCATAAAATGTTATCAGCTTATTTTGGTAGTCATGATTTAATAGCTTCAAGCCCTGAATTGTTTGTAATGAAGGAATGTTACAAATTGTTAATTATTACCTTAAATGTTTCAAGGGATCTTGACTATGTCCTGGATATGTATGAAAAGGGAAAGCCTTTTTACTTATATACTGGAAGAGGTCCATCCTCAGAAGCCATGCACATGGGACATCTGATTCCCTTTATCTTCACAAAGTAAGTCACTGTGGATAATTCAATCAAACTGAAGAGGTGGCAGAGTGACTTTTAAGGAAACCTGTTTTATAGGGGTATACAAGACAGTTTGGAAGGAAAATTTTCGAGAAGCAACTCAGGGCCTTTTCCATGCATTCCCTCTGATGTTTTTAAATCTATGTCTGATGTGCTACAAACATTTACATAGTTACAGGAACCAGTTTCATTGAAACATGAAATGTTAAACAGCTTTTGTAAGCCTGAAATGTAGTTTTACTCAAAGATTTGGATCTGATACTTTTTCAATTTTGTCATCTGGCTCTACACCAGCTGAGAAACAAAGAACCCATTAGTGAGACAAGTAAAGTATATCTATGAAAATTTTACAGCAAACAAAGTAAGAAGAAGAACTAGATGTGCACATGTGTTGAAAAACTTCACATTTTGCTTAGTTTCTCCACGGTTATGTCAACAATCAAGGTAAAAAGTGTAACAGAGATTTTACTTCTAATTCAGGTATCTTCAAGATGTCTTCAATGTGCCACTGGTAATTCAACTAACAGATGATGAAAAGTTTTTTCTCAAGGACTTAGAGTGCGAAGAAACACACAGACTGGCTTATGAAAATGCCAAAGATATCATAGCTGTTGGCTTTGATGTGAAGAAGACCTTTATCTTCTCAGATATTGATTACATAGGGTAAGAAATAAACTAATTATAAACCCGTTTCTTCAATTAATGATTATGAGTGAGCAAAAAAATTGCTTAATTTATGAAAATTCACAATACTATTAGTAATCCCAAGCTAGGAATACATGTCAAAATGTATTTATGGGAAAATTAGTGTAATTATAGTTATTACTGAACTGTTAGAATTTGTGAGGATTCTTTTGAAGGGTGTATGTGAAAAATTACTTCTCTTATCAACTTTTAGGAGCAGCTCTGAGTTTTACAAAAACATCATCAAAATACAAAGGTGTGTAACTTACAACCAAGTTAAAGCAATCTTTGGATTTGATGAGAGTTCTTGTATAGGTATGTATCAGAGTACCTCTTTTCCATTTTTCAGCATTATTTTCTAGATAATAACTTAATAGCTTTTGGTGTTTTAATAAGTGTTTCATTTAGCTTTCCTCACTTTTAATCAATCTTTCATGAAACATTTTGTTTCCATGTGGCAATATATATAGATGTTTGAATTTTGTTTGTGGGTTGAACTTTTGTTTTCCAGGCTCATTTTAGTTTAAACTGAGCGACAGGTATTTAGATGCAGATGTATTTGTCTTTATTTCAGGTAAAATAGCTTTTCCTGCCATACAAGCAGCCCCATCATTTAGCCACTCTTTTCCTCACACATTTGGAAGCAGAAAAGATATCCCATGTCTTATTCCTTGTGCAATTGACCAGGTAAGACTTGCAGGAAGGGAATCAAGACCTTCTTCTTAAACAGAGGGCGTGTGGTGTTATGTAAATGCATTGTATATCCTCTCATTACGAAGCATTTGCAGTGTATTTTTCAGTGGGAGAGGGAAGGAAATATAGATTGTCTCGGAGGATACCAGGTAGAAGCAACACTTTTTCTCCGAGATGGATACCACACATATCTGGCTGTTTTATTACTGGACAAATCTTTTCTTTTATCGTATGCATCTGATTAAACCTCACCATAATTATGGAGGTGATGGGCAGGGAAGGTGGTTGTATTTGCCCAATGCTTGGTGCATGAGCCCAGGAATTAATGCGTTCAGAATAGCAGTTCCTATCAGCCAACCCAATCTCCTTTTCATAGTTTCTAGATTGAAATTAATTCACTTTGATCAGCGTCTCTAGAGAATTGCATGAACCATCCTTAGTGATACACATACATTCTAACGATGTGCAGTTCTAAGGGGGAAAATTCCTAACTACAATCTCCTTCTATTTGGTACATGTACATATAGTCGTGTGTAACGTGAAGTAATACAATTCACCTATTCTTTACTGAATGTTATTTGTGTGTTTTGTTTTCTTCCTAATGGGTAGGATCCTTACTTCAGGATGACTCGGGATGTTGCTCCACGACTTGGTTGTCCAAAACCATCTCTGATATTTTCCACATTCTTTCCTGCTCTGCAAGGTGCAAAAACAAAAATGAGCTCCAGTGATCCAACCTCTTCCATCTTTCTCACTGATTCCCCAGCTCAGATTAAAAAGAAGGTATGGTTGTTTTTTACAGAAGTGGTGCTGATTTTTATTACACAGGGTGTGTTTAACTTATCACTTTTGCCAAGTATAGACAGGTGTTGAACTCAGTCAGGATTGCATGAGTCAAATAATTTCAATTGATTCATTTGAGCTCAGTACTCAATCGGGTCTGTCAGTCATTTCTCAATAAATTGTTTGCTGAAAAATCTAAAGTTAAGTAACCTACCTCTGGAGAGGAATTTCCATTTGGTAATTTTCCAAGAAACATTGGACACAGAGCAAGTTCTATAATTTGTATCTCTTCATCTCCTATTCACAAAGGGGTCTTTCTTGAGAAGATCATTATATGTAGTTGTCAAATGGTGATAATGAAGTTTATTGTATTAAGTGCCTTACTAGGATCAGAAAACAAAAGTTCTTAAGTACATCTAGTGCATTACTGTTTTTGTCATCTAGGTTAACAAGTATGCATTCTCTGGTGGTCGTGATACTGTGGAAGATCACAGGAAATATGGTGGAGATATAACAGTAGATATTGCTTATCAGTATCTCACATTCTTCCTTGAGGATGATGAAAAACTTGCTCAAATAAAAGAGGTAAATGTGCCAAGACCACGATGCTTTAGAAGTTATGTCAGCGTTTAAGGAAATCGGGACTAGGACTTATTTTGTTTTTCTTCTTGCCACTGTTCTTTTGAAAATTTTTGTAAATGACTTAGTAGTATACTAACCCCATTGGCTACTTGTTATTAAATCAGGATTATTCTACTGGAAAGATGTTGTCAGGAGAAATCAAGAAGGAACTCATCTCAGTTTTACAGCCCTTGGTGGCAGCACACCAAGAGAGAAAGAAGCTAGTCACAGATGAAGTTGTTAGAGAATTTATGACTCCAAGGAAGTTAGAATTTACAGGATTTAACTCCTGAGCACAGATAAAACCAAGCAATGAACATTTTCCTAAAACTGCTTTATGTATGATGTTACAAGTGTGGTAAAAAGATTTTTGAATGCATGTGAACTTAGATTTCCTTTGACACAATAAGAATGTTAACTATAGAAAGGAGGCAGTAAATATATCAGCAACAATGAGTTAAGTCAGTTACCAGTACTTAATTTATTTCAGACTCTAACTGTTAAGGAATGTATGCAAGGTCATGCATGCCTTAAGTTCTTAGTGGTAATATATTTAGTCACCATGACTGATTATAAACATGAGTTCAATTGGGGGACTGGGGATATACAGTGTAAAGGATAAAATCAGTTGTACATTGGTGATTTCACCATTGTCTTAGGTGATAAACTCCCAACTGCCCCAGCCTTTCTCCCACTGTGCTTTCCAAATACCTGTTTCAGGCAGACATCCCCAAAGGAGCAGCTTCAGCCATTAGGAGCAAGGTTCGGTTGTGGAATAACATTAACTTTACACTCAATTTGTGGCCCAAGAATAAAGCCTTTCGTCAATGAAGCAGTATATACATGTTAGATGCTCTTTAATAATTTGAAAGTAAGAGGAACAGCAACAACACCTTTTATTTTTTTTTGGGGGGGGGACGCTCTTAAAGGTAATGTAAAGTTTTGATATATTTTTTTGCCTTCACGAAGAGAATTACGGAAACAGATTTCATTTTGTTTCCTTCAGTATCTTATTGCACTAAGGTAAAACCTGCCAAGGCGCTTTTGTTCAAGAGAATTCAAGGGCAGATTTACGCACACCTCTTAAACCCAGATTAGCGAAAAACTACTTTATTTCGAGGAAAAATCGTAGGGTTTATTCTTTGGAATTTTTCACATAGTTTTCACTTTCCAACTCTGAAAAGTTAGGTGTCGAACTATTTTCGAACTAAGACTGAAAAGAATAAATAGCTGGCTTTGTAGAATTGAGAACGGATTCGGTATTGAATTGTGAAGTATGTGAACATGAAGACTACTTTTAAAACTTGGAGACAGCCAGAAAGATAAATATTTGTAATAAAACAAGAAGTCTGGACCTGTCTGAAGTTTTCTTCTATCCACTAAGCTGCTGACAGTGCTTCCAAGGTGAATTTGTGCTGTTATTTACACAAATGTGAACGAAACCTTGGGAGATGGACCGCATCAATGGTCATTGCATGAGTTGTATTTGTAGCTGGTACAGGTTAACCTGCTACTTTAGCTAGAAATGGAAAAAAATCTCCTAGGCCTAAAATTGCCAGTGTCACTTGTAATTAAGGCATTGGGATAATTCAACCTTGGATTTTTCAAGAGTGGATGTGTCTAAAATACCGTCTCTTTTCATCGATCCTTGACGAAGCTGTAAATGAACTAGACAAGAAAAGGATTGTGGTAATAAGCAGCCGCGGCAGCTGGGTACATTTGGCGGGAAACTCTAATTGTACGACTATTTTGAGCCCAACAAGATAAGAAACTAATTTCACTCGTAAAAGGTCGAAAAATCCTCTTTCATCGTTTCATTACAGAGCTCAAAATTCGTGTCCTTTCCTTTTCTATTCACTCGAGGCTTTTTACATAGCTGACTCTAGCACAAAGCGGGGTGATACCTATAAGGCGCCTTGTTTACGGTAAGTTTCTGTAGCTAAGTGCCAGGGCATTGGGGTGCGGAATTCGAATGTCTGAGTTTCGATTCCTCATGAAGACTCAGCCTTTGATCTTTGTGATAAGACAGAAAAAAAAAAAAGATCTTTCTTGAAGTCTTATTTTGTCCGGCGGATTTTGTTATTTTTCCGCACATTCCGTCGAATACCTTGCGTATTTTTAGCCAAGTTAACAGGTTCTAATCTGAACAAGACCTCTTGGTAATTGCTTTCAACTGAACAAACAAACATACGCTTAAAACTGCTCATGCTCTGATATGTTCAGTTAACTCAGAGGTTAGGAATACAGAATCATTTGAATAAAGTTTTGCTTTCAGAGCAGTTGGGTTCTAGGAAAGAGAGGTGAAGGATTTTGCAATCTTGAATTTTCTTTTTAATTAACCAATAGAACTACTGTTTTGAATCACAACATAGAATACAAAAGACTAAATCATATACACTCTCCATGTTTTTATGTGTCTGTTCATCAAATTAGAAATACGGTACGAACATCAGTGACACACTCATCTTCGCGTCGGGTGCCACTTTTTTGGTCTTACCACATGATAATGTCAGATGCGATCGCTCACTGAACAGACGCAAAGCGAGCTTTAAGTGCTAAAACCAGTGTGATACTGCTAAATTGAGAAAAGGTAGGCAAGTATCTCTACATGATATATTGACATGGTTCACCGACAACGCCAGTTTAGTCAGTCTCTCTTCCATCAGCTAAGAGGAAAATTTGCAGTCTTGTCCTCTTCTAGTTGCTGTAGCCACGAAACTCCAAGAAGATGAGTGTGCACTTCAGATATCAGGTGTCAGTAAATACCGCAAGCTTTTATCTGCAAAAGTTACATCCTGGAATCTAAAACATGAAAGTAGATGCTTTTCAGCCAAATTTTCCACTTTCCTGAACATTGCAAAACCAGTTGAATGGAACATCATGAAAATGTGAACTGTCATAGTTGCTTCCATTCTTGCAATCGTTATTTATCCCAAAAACCGCTGGATTCACGATTGTGAACTATTTTGATTGACCCTTTAACTCCCATAAGTGACAAAGACAGAATTTCTCCTTACAATATCAATACAATATCAAGCAGACAAGTGATGAGAATTGGGAAAATTATCAGTTAGGGATTATAAAGTTGATCCAATACCAAATTCTCCAAACTAAAATCACAAGAACTGTATAAGAGACAGGAAGGAGAATTACTGATGAGATCTTGGGCGTTGAAGGATTAACAGCCGGATGAATCCTGTATTGTTCATGGTAGCTTTCACCGGTAAATGTTCCAGACAATTGGTTATCGAAGTTGTAAACTCTCGTACTCGGCCGCGTCTAGTTTAAAAGATAATTTAGGTTTACGGCTACGATGCGGTGTTGAAGATAAGGTACTCGGAGTAGTTTCTTCCGGCGAGCAATTTTCTGCGATAATTTCGGAACCGAAGAGCTCGTGGTTCTTCTGTTCTGCCCATGGCTGGTTTCTGTTGGATTTCTGGCCAAACAAAGTGTAACTAATTCTGTCGGTTATAAACTGTGCAAGTTCTAAGTCTTCTCCTCCTTTATCAGAATTTGAAGAAGCATAGTGCTCATTTATGGTTGCAATGAACGTATTTACGATTATAATTGTCGTACTGGCGACAAAACTAAAAAAGAAAAAACGTCCCAATATAGGATTTGTAGAAATCAGTTCATTTACTGGAATATTTTTTCCAAGGAACATCAGAAACTGCGACGAAATGGCGTCTATGAATGATGAGAACATGTAAATATTGGTTCCGAAGGCGATGACCCCTAAGAAAGAATGACCTATCGCTACTACCATAAAGATCAAAAAGAAAGAAGATATTGAAGGAAAGGATCTGCGGAGTGTCCACGAGAAAACTATAATTTGTGGCACGAAGTAAAAGCATTTTAGAAGACGCAATGTGGCAATTACGGACGCTATGCAAATGACCAGGTTTTCAAGGTCAGACCAAAGTAACACCTCATGGAAGCCAATGGGAACAAAAGGGTTTTGCTTTAGTTTGAACAACGTTATTTTTGCTGCCTTGGTTTTCATCCATTGGAGGAACAATGCTGATGATGCAGTGACTATCTGTAGCATGTTCAACCAGTTCCACCCTGACTTGAAATACAAGCAGCTCTGACGACAGAGTTTGATGCATTCCAAAATGAAGAAGCAAACAAGTAGAATGCCAAACAGAAATGCAAAAAGCAAGTAAATGTTATGGGCTTGAGGGTTCGTTGCACTCAGAGACAAAATTCCATAACTCTTTAATATGCCGGCAAAGCCTGATGGAAGGACTTCGAAGTAATAAGTCATCACGGCAAGAAGGTTACTCGGTGGATTATACAGCGAGAACTCCACCAGTACAGCTCTGGTCTGACGATCGATCCAATTGTTTTCTTTTAAGTCTTGGACAATTCTTTTAGCTGTAAACTTGTTGTATCCTAAATTAGCTATGTATCCTCCGCCACTGTAAACAGCAAAACGGCCCCAAGTATCAGAGCCACCATTTCCGTTGTACTCCCAATTTTCTGGACAGAGAACTGAGGAACTATTCTGGTCAATCCAAGTTCTTTTGTCTTCTCCGTTCTTAGAGAAGGGACCGTAGCAATAAGTAAACATGCTTTTGAATATTTGCTGAAACACACAGGAATCTGTTCAAAGAAAGTAATGAGTTTAGACCCTTTTTTTCAAAGATCCAAGTTCCAGGGATAATTATTACATTTCAATCATTTCTTTTCTTCAATCATGGAAGACATTGCTCTAATGGCGTCTTTACAACTAGCCAATAATTTTTCTCGATCTTTACGTGTTGCTTAGTTAATTGGCTTGGAGGTAAAAATTCTTAGTTTGAATGTACTCATTTTCCTTTTTAAGAGTGGATTAGATGCTATAAAAATCCAAGTAGTATTAGAGAACGAAGAAAAACATCTTCTTGGGATGACCAAACCGCGAGAACGTATCGGTGTTGTCACAGTCATACTACTGAGTCCTTAAAATTTCGGTATATGCTTACCTTTCATGACCCTGAGTTGCCTTAGGCGAGGCATGCCGACCAGAGTCGATCGACCATTTCTGATGTACTTTAATCCTTTTTCCTCCTGATCCTTGTACCAGCCCTCTGAAAAGATTGCTGGGACAAACGCGTCCTCCAGCCACCTCCAAAACTGAGCCACGTTGGTTATCTGGTAATTTTAAACATTTAAAATTATTTTCAATGAAAATTTGAAAACGACAACGAACCAACATCATTGATATCCTAACTGAACCAAACTTTTACAAATGTTAAAGTACATACCCATCTCGACTAACACCATTAGATTCAATGATCTTTAAAGCTTTGAATCAAAACACCATTTAGGAAATAGAGGACATTTTCCGCGTTTGCATAGTTTCATCTTAACATGAAGGGGATTGGGAGAAGTTATGCAAGCTCTTGACTGTCTCAGGTTTGCATAACTTTCTTAAATTTTCCCAACCCCCTGAGTGCTTTTAAGAGGCGATGAAAATACTCGAAAAAAATCCTCTGTTGCTTTGATAAATACATCTGGGAAATAATCGTGGTTACTTACCCTTATCTAAACGCACCATCTATCAATGAGAACGTACGTACGACCTTGAATATTTACAAAAGTCATTTCAGTTATTTCAGTAAGACAAACCATAGGCACTGATTGATTTAAGGTCGACAGAAACATACCTTGTACCGTCCAACATTATCGAAATACTGGACTTCGCTTTCTATTGCAGCTCGTAGATGATATCTCTGCCTGCTTTTGTCTCCATAACAGACGATCAATAAAATCACAAGAAAAACTAAAGAAAACAAGAGTTCCTTCGTGAATGCATACATTTTCCTCTTGTTTTTCCTATACTGTCCGGCTCGTTCGACATCTATCGATGAAAGATCCAAATTGTTGGATGCATCCGTTAGATAACTTTTATTTGTTGACTTGCCACCACTCCTGTACCGTAATGCTAAGACTGCAGATGCAATGATTATCTTGACGGGCTGGATGACCAGCACCTCACCGGTTAAGGAAAGCAGAACAGATGTAAGCCAGCGGGACGATTTCTCTCCTCCCCACAAGAGAGAGTAAAACACCGTAAAAAGGGCGGAAGTAATTGCAATACTCACACAGAGAAACCATGCGATGTATACAAAGAAATGAGGAAGTAAACACCATCCTTTTCTCTTGTTTTCCACCAAATGATACCGGCTCCATTGACTGTTTTTCCCAGGTTCGCTTTTACGAAACAAGAGCACAATTAGCAGACTTGCAGGCACAACAACTAAGGCACTTTCCAACGCGATGACAAGTTGACTCGGAGTCAGTGAAAAAGGTCCAATCACTATTTTTCTCTGTTTTAGGTCCTCTGTTTCATAAAACATAGCGGATGTTACCATTGACAGCAAGAGAAGGCTCCAACAACAGGATGCTCGCTGAACGCGAGTGAAAGGATTCCTTGGCTGCTTGCGGATCACGGAGAGCCACAAGTGATCATCAGCGAAACCATTCCTTCGTAATGCGCTAAATTTTCTTCTGAACTTTTCGCCTTCTTTGCAATCATCTGCATAAAATATCCTCGTGGTCTGACCGTCATCTCTTTCTAGCGCAAGCCAGCGGTAACAACTGAACAACCATCTTCGTCCCCTTTGGCAATCCACAGCTAAAATCTCGCTAATAAACCAAGAGGGGTCCTCGCCAGAAATGTCATGGCCGATCTGCAAAGAAATTATCTCGCCCAGCGGCATTTCCTGTCGAATAAAAAAATTATCAGTGTTGCCTTCGGCAAACAGTGTCCTTTCATATGGGATGTCACATGTCAGTTTGATAACGTCACTGGTATTTTCAGTCCCATGTAGAATAATGGATATGTTGGCAGTAGTACCACAATTTTTCCATCCCCCAGTTGTTATGGATAGTTCGTACTTGTAATCACCATTTTGATGCGCCGCCAAGGGTATCAGAGGACTGTCCTTAAAAAGAAAAGCAAATTGAGTCGGCATTATTTATTGTTTTAAATAAATCGTCAAGCTGGAAATTAAACCTCACAGAGACCATTTGCTTCAAGCTTGTCTCAACAAAATGTTTTTAAGGGGTGTCTTGCCTTTTGAACAAGTGTATTCTGAAATAACTATTTGTAGATGAAATTAATAAGTTTTAGAAGGTATTCACCTTTAGACGTCCAATATATTTGTCAAATAAAGGTGGGTAGAAATTAAAATTTGATGACATTTAAATTCAGTCGGTGAAACTTCTTAGTTGTTAGCTGGTGAGGTTTTTCAAGAAAAGAAATGATCCTAGCTGGTGAACTGCGTTAAATATTTCGATCTAAAGAAGCTGGCTTCTTCTCTGTGATCCCTTAAGTTCTTTATTTGTATTTCGTCCTCAGGTCGACTTATGTTTTTACTCACTTAACCATGATCAGGCCTTTTTTTTCATTTTTTAACAAACAACGAACCACATCGTCATTGCTTGAATATTTTTTTTTTTGGATTTGACACCAACCTTTGAGGCATCCACTTTATCAGCCCTGCGTGCTTTTATCAAAACAAGAAAGTAAACCAGAAAGATAGAACACAATGTTATCAAGACAAGAAGGTCATCAGGGTCCACGTTGTCAAATGTCTGCTGGACCAGTGGAAAGTCAATGGTATTTGGTGCCACAAGAATGTCTCCCCCAAATGCAGTCAAGTGATTACAGAGACATTTTAGGGAAGAATGGTTTGATTCTCGGCTCACCTGCAAATCAGTGTATTTCATTTATGGTTTTAAGTACGCTTGTTAGGTTCTGATATATTTTAAGTTCAAGAGAGTATCAATTATTCGTGAGTTGAGCTCTTACTGCAGGTTATACAGCGACAAAGAGCCTATAATTAGCTTCTATATGGAAATTTTCTGTAAAAGGGAGTTTTATAGCTCAGCTGCTATAAAATTTATCAACATAGACATTGAAACGGGAATTTCCCGTTGCAATGAGATGATTCGCGTCTGAAAACGATTCATAGCTGTGGCAAGATTCGCACGAGCACATTATTCTTGGGCAAAGAACGAACACATTTGCGCTTAATGCAACGCAGCGGTAAACAAAAACTTTACCTGTGGTAGTTTTAAAAGCAGCTAGTTGACATAATAGTTAAGATGTGGATATATTTTGAGCGTCCAGTTACTGTCTATATCTATTTTCCATTTTAGAATATAAATGATGTCGTTTTAAGCCAGGCGATTTTTTTCAAAAGAAAATTACCTTTTGCATCTTGCCTCTAGAGAAAACCCATAAGAAACGCTGTGGTTGTTATCTTTGTCGCTTTTAAACATTAAGGTTGACATAGTGAATACATTAAGTGTCTTTAAATCTCTTTGTTCTATCTCCAAAACATTCCAATAGCTGAAAACCAATATTTTAAAGACTTCTGTTACACGGCTTGGGATGCATTACATTGTCTCTTTTTGTTATTGAATGACTCATTCTATGCTTCCTCACCTTACATCCTTTGCTTGTCCATCTTTGCTCAGTATCAGACCAAAATGCACACCAGATTGTCTCCACTTGTAAACTGTAGTTAACTGACTTATCAAAGTCGTACTGAGGGACAAGACTGACATACTCTACTTGAGGAGCAACTGTTGGCGGAGGATCCTTGAACCTTACGCACTTCTCTCGCATCGCTTGCTTTGGCAGAATGGATCGTCTACCTCTTGACTTTGACAATTCTGTTCGAGATTCACTGTTCTTCCATAAGCCAACGTAATATTTGCCCGAATATCTGCATTTTATGACGATACTGTGCGAACAAATCCCTCTGAACTCACAGTCGTCGTTTCTGCTGTTTAATCTTTTCTCATCGGATAGTTTAATCACCATATCGTATGATGTCTCTGTTGGCTGTTCAGCATATTTTACATAGACCGTAATAGAAGCTGTTGCTTTTGTCGTAATGGTCATTTTCATGGTATTATTGACCTCACGTACGATTATCACGTGATACTGCATCCTTCTAGGGTTTAGGAAATGATCCGGTCGAGGGCTGTCTTTGGGATGATAATTTGATACTGGAATATCAATTTCTATATCCGACAATAGATTTGTTGTGTTGAGAGCTTTCCCAGTGTCATCCTTCAGGACAAGGCTGACAACCTTTGATTTTATTCTCTGGCTGCTGCTGTCCGACATATATGGATTAAAATTATAGGAGATCATCTGCAAGGTAGAAAAAGACGTTATCATAAGATTAACGCAGTTTAATACTTGTCAGGAGGATAAAGCGAAAAAAAAAAATGCTATTCACTTTTAAGGACTAGAGGTCCAGCCGAATTTTTCCTATTTTGCCTTCCTACTGAACTACGGAACCCTCTCAGGTGAGTGAGACGGATTATAAAGAGCTGTCTTGCATTATTTCAAAAGAACCTGTTAGAAAGTTTTAAGGTGTGTTGCAAGGGGGAAGGAAAGGGAAGGTAAAAAAAAACACCTTCTGTTACGGTCATTTTGTTATCCTGTCGGCTTTTAAAGATAACTAACATATCTTACAGGAGATATAAATAAATTATTTACACAATATCATGTTTTTAATTACTTTTCTAGATGATAATATACTGTATAAACATTAATTCTAGGTGTAAAATGTCAATCTTATGCATGTGTAAACATAAATTTTGAGTATAAAATGTTGATCGCACGCATGTGTAAACATTAATTTTATGCAATTTCATGTTTTGGTAGTCCTAGGTAACTGTGCTCGGGGCCCTTATTGATAGCAGGTTGCTTTCAAGCGCCTGAAAGGACAACCCTGAGCCTTAAAATTTAATCATAAAGGAGTCTGTCTGTGTGTCTGTCTATTAAATTAAAATTAAAGCTTTTACCATCCCCATATACTCCGTGCAACAACAACTACACACCTCTATTCCAACCTCAAAGACGTTGCCAAGCCAATTTTGCAACGTACTGGTACTTATAAAGGGGAACTGAAAACTGGCTTCCCCATTTCTGAGTTTTAACAGACTCATGTCCATTGACTCTTCTTTACCGAGCAAAATAGATCGTAGGTCATTGCTGATGGTGGTGTATTCCTCCCCAGGCAGCTTAAATGACAGAAGTGTGTTGGTAATCATGTCTGTCAACTCTTGGCAACGGTTAGATATTATCTTTCCCATGGTAATCTAAAAGTGCAAACAAATCTTAAGTTGGATCTAGCACCCAAATGGATCACGATCATCAGAAATATTTGTTTCATATTTGCTCCATTGAAATTCTGGAAATAATGTGGCTCTTAATGAAGGTGTAATATCATAAACTTTTAAGGGAATACCTCTTTCTCTTCATCGAGGTTAGCAGAAATTTTAGACATAAGGATTCTCCTGGAGCTGGATCCCATAATATTTGTAGTACAATGCAACAACAATCTTCCTCCATCGAGAAGAAGGGGGGATTCAGACCTGCTTCTTCGTGAAAGGAGGGTTGACATCTCCATCAGTTTATCCAATACAGTTAACTGAAAGATAAAAATCATTTTGAAGTTATGCAAATAAATAGTTCAGGTTTGCAACAAACAGGTCTGCCTGGATATTATCAATTGATTTATATTTTCATGAAGTCTTGGTTCTTTATCCAGAATCCAGTCTTACCTGCATTAAAACTCAAGTTTGATTCTGTAAACAAAAATATGAGGTAATGAGTTCAGTATCATACCGTTGTATTGAACAAGACAAGGGTGTCGTCCTTTGTGGCTTTGTTCAAGACAAAACTAATCTGGGCAATACGCTCCAGTCCGCCATCATTCTGTACTTCACAGATCTTAGAAATAACGTGATTCTTCATCTGCAGCGAAGAGATAAATGTATCAAACACGCGTTTCAACACTTTAGACGTCAATATAAAGACCTTATGTAAAGCTATACAAAACAAAGAAGGGTAAGAGAGTCCTTACATGGACTTACATGGTGGGAATCTTTCAGCCTATTTACACAGCATTTAATGAAAAAAATTATTTTGAACAAAATTAATCCTTTGTTTTGCACCTGATAAAATTATGCTGCTGATCAGTTACAGATATTAAACGGCGGGACATAAACCACACGTTAGTTCTATGGAAAAAAGTGCAAAGTCATTATTTTCATATTCAATCCACTCTACTTACTTGAAGTAGGTTCCTATTCACATCACCCTGTTCTACAGCCATTTTAAGTAAGAAGAGAAGTGCGTCTGCCTCTTGTATTGCTGTATTTACTTTTCCCATAGAAAAATAATTATCCATAACAAATATTTTTTCTTGCAGCTCGTTATGGTCTATATCTTCTGCTGACAACAAAGATGATTGATTTAGCTGTGAAAACAAAACAGTGAAAGTTTTATTAGAGCAGATCACCGACTGCATTAAAGATCTTTACGGGGGAAAAGTACTACTATTTTCCCTTGATGAAAACTATGGGGTAGATATGCGGTGATAAGTAATCAACAAAATGAAATGCATGAGGGAGTACAGTTTCCTTGTAAAAGTTCCACTGTTTGCTATGGACTGTTTTCGCTCGTTTGCGGCGTGGCTAATTGCAAACCCAATTCATCATCTTCCGCATCCCACTATACGGTGCAGCGTTGATGAAACAGGCACCACTGATGAACAATCGTTACTAGATAGATATGGACTCCGAAATTATTATGGAACCTTTAGCTTTCCTAACTATCTCGGCGAGCAGCGAATGTACCTCAATGAGGTTACCTTTATCTAAAATCAAACAAAGAATTCAAACTGCAAAATAATTTATCAATTACTTAAGCTTGGTTCTCACCATCATATTGCTAATACCTTGATAGAAAATCCTGCTTTATTAGCCGCTCCAAAAACATTAACAATCGCAACCCGAAGGCGAGTAACATCCTCATCAGAAGGTGGAATATAAACAACACTGTAAGGCCTAACTCCATAGGACAACATGTCGAGTTCTCCATCTTTTGATTCCTGGAAGAATTCGTAGGTGAAAGGCACATTTTCATCACTCCATCCTTGACAGGTTATGTTTAGCCAAGATCCTACAGCTTTCCTATCCAACTGAGTGGCATGACATGTTCCTCCTGATGGAACTGCCAGTGTATCGAATTGGTATACCGCCCAGCCAAATGACTCGTTTGGAGATAGAACGTCGACCTTGATTTTGTAGGAGGACCCGGGTTCGAGCATTTGTTCTTTAATCACAAGGTTTTTTGAATCTACTTTTGTACCCAGGAGATCTTTAAAGTGTCGCTGAGTAGACCATTTGGAGTGAGAATTGTTTCCATCATTTTTCAGCAGGCTCCATCTATACTTGAGGGACGCCGGACAACGAACTGAATTGCAGTCAGTTCGGAAGGAGGTACGAGAAGATGCACTGGCTGGTGAGTCACAGTTCATGATGCACCTGTACAAAGAAAATAGGTAGTGATGTTCTGCTCATCGTATCTCCTGTATTCGGCCTTATTTATTTTGTTACGATGGTTCGTTTTTGCAAGGAAAGGAATGTATATCATTGCTAAGTTCTTTTTTTAGGAAGTACTAGTTTAAAATACACAACCATGCCATCATCGAATAAATGCTTGTGCTTTTGTTTGTAATTACTTTTATTGCAACATAACCAATTTAACATCTGTTTCAAAGTTGGAGGGTCATTGATGAGAGAGGGATGTTGTATCCAACTATTGGATGAGGTTTTCGTGATATCCAAAATAATCAAGGTCGAGGCAGGGGATAGCAGCCGAAGCCAAAGGCTGAGGCTGATAACCCTTACCATTACCTTAATTATTCTGTATATGACAGAAACCGAAGCTAAAGATTGTGTTATTTTTCCTTGAACGAAAAGGAAATATGTTTTTGCTTCTGCTCGGCAAGCAACACAAAGCGCGCGTACTTGACATGATTACCCTTAAAATCATGACCATCCACCGCGGTCGTACATGACATGATTGCCCGTGACCTTGAGTGACTTGAAATGATTATTTTCCGTATAATCTGCGGCTAGATGACGTCTCAGGCGCTGATTTTAGCCAAGTTGAATGTATAATAATTTAACATATCTCTTGGGATTGCGTGGAGATCAATTGACTTTAATCTATTCTACGTTGTTCATTCTCGGCACTGAGAACGGGGAAGAGGACACCTCTTATGTTAGATACTAAATATCTAAGTACTAAGTAAACTTCAGCTACTTTGTAGCCATAAACTAAACTTACAAAATACGAATGTAGAATACATCTTCGTCGCGAACGTGAACAATCTGAATGCCACTTGCAACGCGGATATCCTTGATTACCGTCAGAACCACATAGTATGCTTGATTGCTGATGAGTCTTTTAGTATCTAAAGTCACTATGGCTTTTTCGTCGCCCCGAAGAAAGACATCGTCCGGCAACTGAAAGAGATTGCCATTTGTAGACGCACCGACAAATGTGTCGTATATGCTACCTGAACCTCGAAAAGTGACGTTAGACACTGGAGTATAGTTTCTGGAGACGTTGGATTGCGTTATTATTAAGCAAGACCAATCATAGTTCATTCCCGAAGAACTGCCAGCACTAGGGCTAGTGTCATACGAAGCACTGGCATCCAATAAAATTGGTTTATCTATGGATCGAAAAACCTCAGTTCCTCCCGCAATGGAAACTTCTAGTGCCGAATTAAGAACTTCGATGAAGGCAAAGTCTCGAGCTGTCAGTTCAGATCCGGAATTTCGTCGCAGCTCAAATGTTACAAGTTTAAGTCCTGTCGACAGCAAGTTTGGTCGTAAGTTCAGCTCCAGAGTGTCGGGCACTAGCAACTCTGGTTGATTGGAAATGTTAAAAGGTGATAGTGAGAGTTGGCTTATCTTCCAGGAGAACGAGGCCTGATGCGCAAGAAAGTTCTCCGTCTTTAAAGATGCAAACAGTCTTCTTGTTTGGTCTCGTCTAAACTTCATTGGGCTGCTCGGTTGTGTATTAATATCATGGATTAAAACCTCTATTGAATCATCAATACTTCTCAAATCACCTAAAATGGGGAAAAAGAAGTTGTTGTTTTAATTCCAAATTCCGTTTGGAGTCCTTTATTTCATTACATGAAAAAACTGTTGAGACGTAATTCAAAGTTAAAGGTTTTACTCTGGTTGAATACTGGATCATTAATTAAATGACCTATATTTCAGTTTTCTTTATGGTTAGATTTACTCTACTTTCTCTCATGTATTACTTTCTGTTTGTCTTCGGCATGGATCAACTTCTGGATCTCCTGGGTAAAAGTATTTACACCAGCAATCATGAACGTTAAGTGATGTCTTGATGCCTACGGAATGTACTGGACAAGCTGCAATGACATTCAAGCAAATCAAGACAGTTGTGTGAAACATCAGGAGGAGAACTAGTATTTTTTACAGCAGATGTATACCAATAAATGAAAAAGGGAAACTCTGATTGAAAATATGTGTTCGGTTATCTCGGAGTTTCTTTAAATTGAAAAAAAACACTAATAGAAAATTTGTTTAAGAGATCCCCTGGGCTGTCAAAGATCTCAAAGAGGGGCCGCATAGTAGGCAGACTACATCGAACCAATAGCTGAAGATCAAGTTTTTTAGTCTATGACAAAAGTAATGAAATATCAAACATCCCTTATGGAAGATGGGAATCTTAAAAATACTGTTTTCCGAGAATAACAACATAAAGCGTTTGTACCTTCTCATCAATAGGGAAAGTGGAATTGAAATTCCCTAGGCCAAGATACTCACGATCAAACAACAGAACAGCCGACCAATGCGGACCTATGAGGGAACATCATCTAACATCCGGAATAATGATGACGATCGAAATGCACCAAAAGCAACGAACCAACTTGCTACATGTAGCGACACGTAAGCAATCGACCTCGTCGCCTGAGGAAGACTAGCCGTATCGCAGTCGAAACGCCGCGATCATCATCCAAAGTAACACCATCATGAGAAAAACGAATAAAGATCATCTTCTATCTTATACCACGATGAACGATAACCACATATTTTATTACACACAACTAATCTAGTTGTGATTTAGGAAACCAGTGAAGAATGATATTACAATGATCGAGTTCGGAAACAATGAAGGCGTGAACTATCCTTTCACATACACAGAAATCAGCAAATTCTACAAATGTTCGTAAGGAGAAACAACGCTAACTTGCTCTGAAACTCACCCCTGCAAAGATCTCCTTCATAACCATCCTGACATGGACATTTAGAGGAACCACCAGATGTTTGACATGCGTCCCTTTCGTCTAAAAATATAATTTAAAAAGTTGTTCCAGATTAGTGCTGTGTAATTATGCACAAAAATTAAATCATATTCCAGCGAGAGGGCACTGTTTATCTTTTTTTTGGTGCCCAATCTTGCATACGACTCTCTTTGACTCTGTTCCCACGTGCTTCAGTTCACAACGGTATCATCAATAGGCATTATCATTAGCACAATTTGCTTTCGTGACACATTTTTCAAACACACTGTACAGCTGGTTGGGGAAAAACATTGATAATCGTAGGCACTTGTTTCATTGTTTTCAGCCTTCTCGAAAATTTAATGGCAATCGTTTTAGAAAACGCCAATTCTTCAACTTTAGTTGTCTTCTTATTAACATGAAGCTGATGTTGCGTTATATCGAGGAAAATGAATTGTGTAATTAACAAACCTACACATAAACGTACAAACCGTTCACACCGCAGTAACGATAGTAGCACGTCTCCGGTTTTAGTAACTTATAAACGTAGTATCCACTGCAATTTCGTATCTGAACTGGACTTGACCTCAGACAACAATTTGACCCCCAGTGAAAACAAGCGTTTGTCGACACCAGCTGGTAAGCTTCAGACGGATGGCTACCGTTGATCCAGCCGGCTCCATGGGTAATGCAACTTTTTTTCGGAATGCAATAAGGTGCCATCATTGAACCAGCGGCCCCGGTGAAACGGTACCACGCACCATGGGTACTAAAATTCTTATCGCAAGCAAGGTAAGGCTTAACGGAAGCATTCCAGTATCTGTCCGCTTCGTTAAGTTCTTGATACTGCGAAGGGCTACACTCGGCTGGTATAGAAGCTAATTTGAAATAAGATATTTATAATATTATAAGTATAATTATAGCTACAGAGAACTCTTGAAGATACATAAAAGGTGTTACGACTCAAATTAATGAACAAAATTTTTAAGAATTTCTAACCCAAGATATGGAAGAGGATTCGGTAAACAAGTTCAAGAATTTCAACTGATAAAAGGCTGAGCAGGTAATAATGATGAAATTCATCGTTTTGGAAATCCTGGTTTTTTTTTTAACGTAAAGCAATGAACCATACACATGACGTTACATTTATAACTAATGAAATTTAAATCAAAACAAACCGGTTGATGATCGCCTAAGGTCTACTTCCTTGGCATAATTTTGACAATATTTGTATGTTTTACGCCTTTTTCCTTCTCTTGATAACATTTGAAAATTAGTCGCATACTCTACAATAAGAAAGAGGTGAAAGAAGTGACAAATATTTTCCCTTAGAGGAGAGGAAATAGCCATTCATTCATTCATTCATTCATTTCTTTTTTGTTTGATTCCTTGTTTCAGTTAATTCTTCACTTGTTTGAGTAAAGTTACGTGCTTTTCCCAGTCAGTCGACCGATAAAATTCTTGCGTCTTACCGCCACATGACTTTCCATCACCAGTGTAACCCTCTTTGCAATAACATTTAAAAGAACCCTGAGTATTGGTGCAAAAAGCATTTAAATGGCAGTTATGTGTGTTCGCTGAGCATTCGTCCATATCTGTCAAGATAAAAATTCAAGTTCTGATTAAGGTCCAAAAGGCCTAAAGAACAAGTTGAAGGAGTTATTTAACAACTGTTTGTTTAGATCTCGTTATGGCAAACACCATATTTATGGCAGTCATGATCTCCGCTTGTACATTCGTCCAGACCTGCCTGTAGAAACCAAATTTTTAACCTTTCTACCATGCGGTCTCGTCATCAAAAAGGATTAAGAAAAATTAAAACTAGTTAGTTGCATTGGTTGGTATCTTTTCACATTCACAGAAATCAGCAAATTCTACAAATGTTCATAGACCAACGACGCTAACTTGCTCTGACACTCACCCCTGCACGGATCTCCTTCATAACCATCCTGACATGTACACTTAGAAGAACCACCAGTTACTCGACATGCGTCACTTTCGTCTACAAATATAATTTAAAATATTGTTCCAGATTAGAGCTGTGTAATTATGCACAAAAATCAAATCATATTCCAGGGAGAGAGCACTATATATCTTTTTTCTTATTGCCCGATTCTTCATATGGCTCTCTTTGACTCTTGTTGTGAATTTCTTCGATAACTCAGAATTTTCTCCTTTATTGATCGCTTTGTAACGAAACTACACATGTAACTCAAAACTTTCTTTTTCTTTTAGTTTGTAAATGATTACTTATTAGCGTCATACCTACGTTGCGTCACAACAGTTTCCGAAACACTCCCCCCCATATGTCATCGAAGGAGATATATGTCTTTCAATCGAGTTCGAATTAAATCAAAAACATAAATACGAAGGTAAGTTTCTTCAAAGTGAACAAAAAAAATGTCTCAGTTTATAATTCAAAACCATAAGGCAACGCAAGTTGCTAATCAAAATAAGCGTTTAGGCCGTTTATTCATCTCGGCCAATCTCCTGTAAACGTAGACGCGCTGCAACAGCGGCGACCCGTCTTGGCTAGAATGGAGCAGCCTCTGGCCTCATTCTTATTGGTGCTGGTAACTCCCTGTCACAAGAAAGCTCCAAGGGGTACAAATGTTGAATCACTCGCACGACATAAGACTTGCCCGTACGCAATCTCTCTCCTCTAACGACACCGTCTTTTCCCGCTACTAAATTCTCAACGATCCCAAATGGCCCCTTTCCTCGGTTCTTGTCCTCTGATTGTATTATGACTACGTCACCCACTCCAGGTTTGTCTCCCCCAGTCCCCGCCTGAGCGCGATGACCCTCGCAAAGGCTGTGCAAGTACCCTTTGGACCAACGGCCCTGCATGGCCTCCTTACATTTCAGCAGGTGTTTTGCTCTCTTGTACAGGCCATAGGCCTTGATGTGATGTGTTTGTAACTCAGGGTGTCAGGATAGGCAACTGCACGTCCACTTATACATAGCTTAACGGTCGGTTGTTAAGGGTGATCTCTACATTTCCTGATTTTTTGCAAGGCTGACTTTATCAGATCGATCATTCTTTCAAACTGTCCTTCCCACCACGGTGCACGACTGACGTTGAACTGCCATTTGATCTGATTGGTGGAGAGGTAGGTCTCTAGTCGTTTGTCCTTCACTTTGCAGTACCAACAAAGGTTCGACCATTATCCGAGTAGGGGGCTCCCCAGGCGCGCAATAAATTTCCTTAAGCTCTTTAAACACTCTGCCACTTCTAGATTAAGTGAGAGATCCAGAAAGACTCCTCGCGTGAGGCTGCAGGCATATAAGAAGACGCATGCTTTCCCTTCTCATTGCTCAGATACTCCATATCGTATAGGTCCAGCAGAGTCTATTCCGACCAGTTGATACGGATTAGGCCCTCGAGTCCGGGTAGTCGGCAAATTTCCAGGGGAAGGAGCTGCGTATGCCATTGTTTGAAATCGTTTGCATCCGTGACAGGCCTTCCGTACTTTCCTCACCAGCTACCTCAACTTTGGGACCTAGTGCCGACTATGCACCTCGGCCATTGTTAGCCCCACTCCTCCATGTAGCGTCTTCTGGTGTACTTCTTCCACAAGTCGGAGACTAAGAGTACAGACCAAGATTGCCTGTGGCTGGCAAGTATATTGGGTACTCTCCAAGGGTACTCGGCCTTAGCACTCTCATAAACAATCTTTATTGGGCTGTAAATTTAACGCCACACGATCTCGCTCAGTGTCACTACTCTTTTTAGCGTCCCTCTCCCAAAACAAGCTCTGACGACTAACCTCTTCGGTGGTCAGCGATCCCACTATGCGAGGAGTACCTCTGTTACGGAGAGTTTCGTGTGCGAATCTTCTCATCCACGCACAGATACTATGGCTTTGCGTAACTGGAATTTGTGAAGTATTTCTTCTACTTCGTTTCTCGCGTCAAGCACAACTGCTAGCACTCTTTGAACGAGTTTTGCTTGGGTATGGCTTTCTTCAATAGGATGGTTCAGTGCGTCGGCTGACCAATTTGCGGGGGTTGCGAGCTACTTGAAACCATGCCACCATAGACTAGCTCCTTTCAAACGTCCTCCAAGATTTCCAAAATCGGCAGAGTTGTCTCCTGTGGGAACATAGCGCCAGGTCACTCCCTCGTAGCTCTTTATCTTCCTTACGCGATTTGCCATGAACTGTTTGTATTCTCCTTATCCCCTGATCCAGTACAAGGTCACCGAACCGTCCAGCCAACAGTATGTACTGCTGATGGGAAGCCCGTCCAGGGCATCTCTGAAGGTTCACGGCCATGTGACCAGCGACTAGTTCCAGCCGTGGGATAGTCAGACCTTGTTTGGACAACCTAGATCTGGCTGTAATCAGACATTGGTTGGTTCCCGATGTTTGTCGAACGATTGCGTAAACACAGGCTGCGACTCCACTCTCTCATTTGTCCTCAAATGAATGGTAAGTCTATGTGCTCGGCTTTCTCTCGATCGACAGCCAGCGCTCTCGATACGTCAAAGGTTTGAGGCAATCCACTCTCCCACTTGGTCCAGGACTTGGCTAGGTCACGTGGTAGTTCTGCATCCCAGGACCTCTATGTATCGCAAACTGCTCGAAAGATGAGCTTCCCTTTAAGTGTCTCAGGTGAGACAAGTCCCAGGGAGTCATATATCTTAACTAGTTTAGCTAAGATACCTCTCTTAGACAGGATCACTTTTTCAGCTGGGCCTGTGATACTTAATGAATCTTCTTTTCTGTTCCACAAGAGTCCAAGGGTACTTGCGAATTCTTCCTATGGGACACCTAACCACTGCTTTCCGTAGGTTGGTTCTTTTTCTTGCTTTGGAACTTGAGCCGATTCGAGCTCGGGAACGTTAGATTGCCACGTATGAAGGTTGAAGCAGGCATCTTGAAAGATCATCGAAGCTTCATCTTTCAGAAATGTTTTCTGTAACGCAGAAGGCAAATTTTCAGAAACGCCATCTGCAAATCCCCGTTGATGGTTACAGGATTGAATCTTCCTCTAACTAACACGTTCCAAAGTTTGTTTTGTAGTGGCGGTCCTGTGAGCAAACAATCGTTAAACGATGGAGCGCCGTTAATGGCTCTGGCAGAAGCGTCATACACAACTCGTAGCTTTGTTGATTCTGCGGTGGCTCGCACAACCCGTTTGAGCGGTATATAGAATTCTCGCCCGCCTACTCATGTTTCGTTAGCTCTCTTGACAACGCCCCCCTTCTTCTGATCCTCAATAACCTCTGTGTACTCACATATCAGGTTCTGGTGCCCAAGCTTCTTGTTCAGGCTTCCAAGTCGGCGCAAACTTCCCTCTCTGTTGTTGGGCAACACTGGATGATCTCCATACCAGGCCAGACCGATCTTGTACCAACCCTCATCGTCTCACATAAGTTGCTCTTTGAATTCAACATACACGCTACTCTCGTCGTTCGAGGGGGGTGTCAGAGAAGCCAAGTACTTCAAGACGACAAAGTCCCTAGTAATCCAGATGTTTGCTAGGTCTAAAGGCCCTTTACCTGGTGACATGATGATCCACCCTAACTTTGTCAACCCAGCAACAGGCTGACCAGGTTTGCTGATTTGCAGGGCATTTTCCGTTTTAACTTTGGCGGATTCACCGGCTCCAAGTATTAAAATGCACTGGCAGGTGATGCTTGGTGTCCTGATCGTTCTTTACGACCCCCAAAAAATGTGGATTCCCTGCAATCATTTCTCCATACTTTTTGGTTGTCAAGGAAAATTAGGTGCCCTCTAGTGACCTCCACAGGCATTGTAAACCTCCCATCTACGTCAGAAATCTCAATCATCGCCAGCTCTACTTCTCTCGTTGAAGCTTCAAGAAACATCTCTATCTTTCGGACTTTCTTTTGTTTACCACTCGAAATTCGGTCTAAAAACACGGCAGATGCATAGGAATTGCCCGCTCCTTTGTCCAACAATGCTAGGGATTAAATTCTTTGAAAGATAACAACTGGACATGTCACATGAGCCGTTGGCATTCCTGTGGAGTGTATCGGTTTTTTTTTCTTGACGTGCGATGTTTCTGATTGCATACTTGACACTTTGTTTGCTCCTACACCCATCTGCGCGATGTCTTGCTCCGGTGTAATTAAGGCACAGTCTTTTCTCATAAAGTATTTTACGCTTCTCATCCACTCCAGTGACCTTAGTACATCAATTGATCTGTGCTTGGTATCTTTATAGCAGACACGCTGGTTTCCGCCATGCGAAAATTACTTCCACGCACCAGATCGGCTTTGATTCCTTTGAGCTTATCCAAAGTAGATCTCACGTTTCCTTTGACATCTGCTAGCCGTCCAAGCGTGTTCAAACTCTGCACATTGAACCGCAGTTACTTGTAAAATTCCTTTACCTTATGCCGATTTGTTCCGGTGATAATCGGCAGCTTCATGATATTCTTCACATACGCATTTACAATTTCTGTTGACTGACCATACTTTGCTTCGACAATAGCTTTCACATTTTCGTATCCCTCCTCAGTGAATGGTGATCCGTTAATATCAGCTCTCACGTGTTATTCTACTAGTTCCTTCAAATATACAAGTTTAGTGAGGGGTGTCAGGCCAGTGGAGTCTATTTGAGAAGTAAATTTTCCCGAGAAGGGAAGCAACTCTTCTATCTTTCCATTAAACATCGTTATTGAATCTTTGGGAAGCTTGGCTGCTGAAAATAGTCTTGGTTGTTCTGTGGTTCTTCTCGAACTTTGCATTTTGTTTCAGTAGTTCTCGTTCAAACTCCAACTTCTGTTTGTGCTTCTCAACCGCTTGTTCCTCTTCTTCCTCGTTGTCTAGAGCCTTGATTGTTCTTTGGATCCTTGAAGTGATCTCGTCCTCTTTCTCGAGAAGTAGCTCGATTTCTTAGCTCCATGCTGCGTTTTCTTCTTCGCTTTCTTCCTTTCGCAAATTTCTTCTCTTTAATCGTAGACTTAAGCGTGTCCACAGCACTGACTGTACTTGTAATTGATGTTTGGTGGCGTTCGAAGGCTGGTCGGTCTTGTTTTCCGATAATATCATCCGTCTTGTTGAGCTCGAAGTGCAGCATTTTGATTCTGCCATTTACCTCGGCTAATTGCTTCTTTGTCATCATTACTCGGTTTGGATTCTTTGCCTTGTTCGAGCGCTCTCACTGATCATTGTACTACTTGTGTTGAGAATTTCTTCGATGACTTAGACTTTTCTATAATCCTATAATTTTTAACATTGTACATATACACATAACTTTATATTTATATCTCTATCACTTATAGTATGTATTTATTAGTTTTTTTTCTCGTTTTTCTTAACTCACACACGTCTAAGTGTATATCTTTCATTTTTTTATTTATGTTCGCGTGTCCTCAATTGGCAACACCATGCTAAAGTTACGAGACACTTAAAAAAATAAAGTTTGTTATTATTGTTGATGTTGTTATTATTATTATTATTATTATTATTATTATGATTATTATTATTATTATTCTCCTGTATTGATCGCTTTGTAATGAGACTACACATGTAACACAAACCTTTTTTTTTCTTATGGTGTGTAAATCATTACTAATTAGCGCCACACCTACATCGCGTCACATCAATTTCCGACAACTCTGTTCCCTTTTCTTCTGTTCACATCAGTTTCATGTATAATTCTTATCAGTTTAGCACAATTCGCTCTCCAAACACATTTTTCATACACGCTGTACAGCTGCTTTGGGGATAAACACCGATAATCGTGGACCCTTGTTTCGTTGTTTTTAGCCTTTCCGAAATTTTAATCGCAATCGTTTTCGAAAACTCCATTTCTTAAACTTTAGCTATCTTCTTATTAACATGAAGCTGATGTTGCGTTATATTGAGGAAAATGAACTTTGCAATTGATCAACGTGAAAATAAACGTACAAACCGTTCACACCGCAGTAACGATAGTAGCACGTCTCCGGTTTTTGTAACTTATACACGTAGTATCCACTGCAATTTCGTATCTGAACTGGACTTGACTTCACACAACAATTTGACCCCCAGTGAAAACAAGCGTTTGTCGACACCAGCTGGTAAGTTTCAGACGGATGGCTACCGTTGATCCAGCCGGCTCCATTGGTAATGCAACTTTTTTTTGGAATGCAATAAGGCGCCATCATTGAACCAGCGGCCCCGGTGAAACGGTACCACGCACCATGGATACTAAAATTCTTATCGCAAGCAAGATAAGACTTAACGGAAGCATTCCAGTATCTGTCCGCTTCATTAAGTTCTTGATACTGCGAAGGGCTACACTCAGCTGGTATAGAAGCTAATTTGAAATAAGATATTTATAATATTATAAGTATAATTGTAGCTAAAGAGAACTCTTGAAGATACATAAAGGTGTTAGGATTCAGATTAGTGAGCTCTGACGAAGGGCTAACGCTCGAAACGTCAGCTTTTTTACCCTTTACGGTGGCTAATTTACGTTTTCAACCCAGTTGTTAACACTAAATTACCTGCTATACTCTCCCACCGACGCAGCACCACAGTTTCTTTAGAAACTTACCCCTTTATTAATTTTTAAAGAGATCATTTATAATCCAGGATAAAGAATAGAGTTCAGTAAACTAGTTGAAGAATTTCAAATGATAAAAGGCTGAACAGGTTATAATGATAAAATTCATCATTTTGGAATCACTTTTTTGTTTTACTTAAAGCAGTCAACCATACACATGACGATACGTTTATAACTACTGAAATTTGAATCAAAACAAACAGGTTGATGATCACATCAGGTCTTTTTCCTTTGCATAACTTTGGCAATATTTGTTTGTTTTTCATAAATACGCCTTTTCCTTTTCGTGTTACGATTAAAAATTAGTCGCATTCTCTACAATAAGAAAGAGGTGGAAGAAGTCGCTAATATTTCCGCTGGTTACTGTAAGTTTCCCACACTTGTAAACACGAATAATCACAGGGAAGTTCTAGGAATTCTAAACAATTCGAAAGAAAAGAAGTCAATTTGGAAAAAAGTCTCACGCAAGTGAAGCGCAGTTATATCAATTATCATGAAATCAATATTTGGACTAGTATCCTCTTTTACTATGAACGAGTTTTTTTTTATAAAATGATTTAAAGCGAAAAACGGTGTCCTCATCTATTTGGTGATTGTATGACCGTATTTTTAAGACTTTAAGAGCACAAATTTATTTCCTTCGTAGAATGAACTTGACGTCCAAAACTTGGCAATCTTTTGTTAGGGTATGTTTCCCATAAGCACTCTATCGATTTTGATGGGTAGGACCATTAACAGAAAAGGACCAGCGCTAAGTTATTAACTCGCCTTGTTTGGTGCCATACACCTCCACTCTCAGACTGTCCCAGTTATGATTCTTTGTTGGATGGAAGCGAATGTATCTTGCAACCACTGGTCTTGACAGCTTATGTCGGTCCACACCATGATTTTTACCAACTCTGTAAAATTCCTAGGGAAAATAAGGAAAAACATGGAACACATCTTTTCCTGAAATAAGCAATCTCGTATGTATTAAGAACTCTTTGAGGTATTACAATTGGCCAATCAGATATTTTAAAAATTGTTTTTTCAGAGATGATTTGGCAAGTTTTCTGATGAAATTTCCTAACATGTTCCATTTCTATATCCCGAATTTCTTTCAGAATCAGTCAGTTTCGTCTTCTGGTAATAGCAACTCGCTGTAACCGTCGTGAAAAATTTGTAGGAAGTGACTTGTGACTGATCTGACATAGACTGCTGATGTAATCAACAGCTGTTGATTTACAGTAATGTGCATCACCGAAAAACATAAAGGTTGGGCTTATTTTGATTGAGAGGTATTAGGGTAACCAAAGTTATGACAACAAAAACAGAGGAAAGGGAAATACCATCACGAACGTTTAAAATGTGAGTTCAAAGTAAAAAAGACGGTCCGCCTTAATCGAGAAAAAATACGTCTGGTCAAATCCGGATTGGTCACAGTTTTGCATCTCAATGGATGTGGCGGTGGAGCGAGTTTTCCAGAGCAGTCATAGTGGGAGGGGAAGCTGAATTACTTTTGACACTCAAACTGATCAGATAATAATTCAACTTACCACGTCCACGCCATTTCCATCTTGGTAAGTTTGCTGATTTTTATCATCGGAAGAGTAAAGAAGCTTGAAAGCTGTCGTCCACTCTCCATTGTAATTGCCTCCCTGGGTAGCAACAGCACACACTAGAAACTCTTTACCAAGATCAACCTGAAGCCAGTCTGTTTTTTTATTGTTCTTTGGAAACCAACCGTAACCTGACTCGTTAAAAAGTCGTCCATACTTCGCAGAGTAGTTTTCTATTCTATAATGGGATGAAGCTGTCATCTGATTATCAGGGATTACGATGTGACTGGAAACACCAACTGGTTCGAAAAAGCATTGGTCGAGGATTTCTGTACCAAATTGTTGTTATCAGGTTAGCGATACATTCATTTAGCATATTAACATCAAAAGAAGTATTCATTAACACTAACCGTTAATTAACTATTCATTAACCGTTTCATTTCAACGTGAAAAACCTTCTTTAATGTGACTGAGTTCTCATTAGCGCCATTCTATTCTTCTTCAACATTAGGAAAATTTCAATTTCACTAATTAAATTTTACCGCAGGATTTCGAGGCGTCTTTATATCTGATAATGAAGCCGTTCAGATTCTTCTTGCAGAAATGGCTTTCAGAACACATAAACCGTGTTCCAAACGAGCATCGAGAAAGGTTAGTAAGGGCGTTTGAAGACCCTTTGGCTGCAGATACCTTAGGGGTAAACGGGTCTACAGCGAGAGGCATTATATGGCAAAATATGTCCGGGAAGGACGAATGCATGAAAGGGCACGTGGTGGTCGTAACAACGTTTAAGTCGATAAAGAAAAGAAGGAGTGCTTGAGTGACATAATCAATGAGAATTGCCTGCTTACTTTGAGAGAAATAGACCAAGGGCTTCGTAGAAGATCGCCGGTAAAACCTTTCATACACAACAGGACGATTGGAAAAGTTCTTGTCAGAACGCTGGTACGTGTAAAACTGGCTAGACCATTACCAGCGGATAAGAAGAAGTCAGATGTTATTCAGATACGCATTGATTACGCTAGCTGGTTCATGACCACAGAGATTGTGAATTACACCCTTTTCATTGATGAATGCCGCTAGAGTATTTGGACGACTAGAAATCATGGAAGAGCGAGAGTTGGAGAGCAAGTGTATCATCTAACATGTGGCCAGTGCGGAACATATGTGACGATCACCATGGCTTTGTCTCCGCTGAATGGACTCGTCCATCACACAGAGCAAATTTGCAGAATGAATGCCCGCCTCTTCAACGACTTCTTAGCGCAAGCAAGACAGAACCTGAATCCGGACGACCTTGTGATATTTATATATGATGGAGCTCCAGCACATCGGAACGCTAACAATTCAAGAGTAATAGAGAGCTTAAGATGCTGCCTCCTTAAAGTCTGTCTCTCAATATCGTGGAACAAGCGATCAGTGTTCTTAAAGCTGCAATCAAGGCCGATATCTCTCAACCTACCATTCAAGAGTTAAACAACCGGGAAGAAGCAAGATTTCAAGGTATTCCACTAGGAGATTCTGGTAAGAGCAGGCCGAAGAAATATTAGCTCAATAACTGTCCGAAAATGCGCCCAATTGTCTAGGTTTACGTAAATTGCTTGATCCACGAAGCAATAGAAGGATAAGCAATTACTGGAACACAAACTTAATTGAAATTAAATGAAGTTCTTAATGCAGCTGAGAACTGTTATTATTAAATTGCACAATAACATTAAAGAATGTATTTAACATTAAAATGAGAATACATTGCTGTAAATGAATTTTCGTATATAAGCAAAAAGCCTAAATGAAATTTAAAGCTGTCATATAACGATTGTCTTCACGTGAACTTGATAACACTTTCGTGTTATTTAACTTCAAAGTGGGGCTAAAAAAATTATTTTTCGTTCTTTAAGGACAAAAAGTGTAAATAAAACCTGTTATTTCATATTTCATAAGCTAATTTTTTGGTTAATTTATTAAAAAAATTCCTGTTTACTCATTGGAAAAAAAGATACGTTAAAGTAAGCATCAACGCTAACATTTTGGTTCTCTGTTTCATGCCAATCTTTAAGAGCCCTGAGCAATTTCGTGATAGGAAATCAAAACTTATTATCTAGCAACTGAAAATAAAAAACGAAGGTACAAAAAAAATTGAAGAAATTGTGATCACAAAAAAGCGTAGTGTAGAAGTGACCGCTTTAATGGGTAGTTAGTTTTTCCTCTCGTTCATTTCAGTACAGACGTAACTCTTTTAGGTTTCTTTTACTCGTTTAGCTTCATCTGTTTCCTTACGTTACCATTTTAAATTAGTTTATTTTAATCGTTTATTCTTGTTCTTCGACCTTTCTCTGCTTTGTCTTTCGTCTATCTTTCGTTTTGGTAGATAAAAGAATGTGTATATTCTTTACTCCTTAAATGCTCTTTTCCTGTACTTTTCGTTATGTGATTCTCGGGAAAGTAAGCAAGCTTCCCATCATATTAACTGATATATTAATGTTATTATAAACCTTAACAACAATGACTAGTTTGATTGAAAAAAAATACACACCGGTGCAAAGTCGTAGATTACACTGTGTCAGATCTGGTGGTTTGTAGACAAAAAAAGAGCCGCAGTTCCGAATTGAAATTTCATACGAGTCAAATCCACATTCATTCTCGTTATAACGATAGCAAAGTTCTCGTTGCACAACCCCTTCAGCAACAGCAGGATGGGCACCACGGATCCAACCTGAAGAATTTGTTCCGCAGTGGTATGCCTGTGGCGGGTTGTTAGGAATGACTGTTCCTCCGCTGCCAGTAAAGCGAACCCAGCTTTCCGAGGTAAGAATTCCTTTGTCACAGAGTGCAAATTCACTGTCTGTTTCATTGGACACAGACCGGGTTGGGTCGTTTATGGTGCTGTAAGAAGTGCATTCTGTAAGGAAGAAAAACATGAATCATTTATTAACAGCGCCGGCACGTATAATTGTTGGTTTCATCAAAGTTTTTGAGCTAAGACAAAATGGAAAAATTTGAAGGAGGCCTTGGACTCGTCTGTGGTTTGTTGTTCTGTAAGTACTCAAAGGCGGGGAAGCCCAAACTTTGCTTTCTCTGTCTGTTTCTTCGCGCGCAAAAACGCGATAGATCTTTCCCCCTCCATTCCCGTGGTTTCTTTTTCTTCTTTTGGAGGAAATTACAAAAGACAAATGGATGAAATAAGTAAATGCAAAAATTAAAAGAGATTAAAAGTCGGTTATATTTGGTCGTTTAGCCAGAGAAGCAAGAGTTGGCAAAATTTTCAACTTTACAGAAACGACCAACTGAGACTTACTCCTTTTCAGACAAAGTCTATACTTGAAACAATTTCCTCAATAATTGCGCATCCCACGCTTCGATCGTTGCATACGGTTTCGTTTCAAGGTGTTATTTTAGACAACGGTTTTCACAGAAGATCAGGAAGGTCGTCTTATCGAAATAGGCAATTAAGCCCATAGTCAACTCTGATGAAATTCACTTACCATCTGTGCTTTGAACCCTGGTTGCCAACAAAGCGAGGACAATCAACACGGGAAGTAGCGGAAGAAAACGACTAGTCATTTCAAGAAATATTGTCTGAACAAGAAATTAGACCTCGGCTTTATTGCACAAGGTTATTTGATAACTTTGGTTACAATGTGTTGGCTTTAAATACCACCTTCAAATGCGCATCCTTCGTCATTAACGTATCTTCAGGCTTACAGTTATCTCAGACAATGTGTGGACTGTTTTAGGCTGCTCATCTAAGGTTATAGAAGAACAAACAAACAAAAATTAGCCAAATGAAGGCTGATTGGGGTCGTCTTGCTTCACTACATCCGTGACACTATGATACTATTCTGACAAAAAACACATTTTATTCCAATATTTGCTGTGTCAATTCACCTGCGGCATCTAATTAGTACTTCGTATTATTTTAAGATGCATATTGTATTTTGAGCCCGTGGGCAGTTGTTTGTCGCAGCAAGGCTCTCTCGGGAAGAATTAAGAATTATAGCACGTCCTGTAATTAAGGACAACAGTGTGAGTTGGTGTTATGGTGTTCTCACAATTCTTAAGCGCCGAAGTCGTTCAACTCGTCGATGTTTCTTTTGGTAAAAGAGTGAAAATTTATTGATATTTTATCTCCTATGATTAAAAAACTTGTTTGACGACGACAGAAAGATTTTAATGACTTCACAAACTTTTCTAACCGACAGAATACCGAATCTGTGCCAAAATTTTCCGCTGATATGCAACCCTCAGCTGGAGAGTTTCTCAGGACCAACCCCGCTACAGGCCTGTTTATCCCCCTAAGATAAATCTCATAGCTTTCTTTACTCAAGAGCGACCGAATTAAATTCAAACGTCGTCGTTAGGGACCATGTCTCAATGGTTAAAGATCCAAATATTGCGTTATGAAAATTTTTAAACTATGTAAGCCATTTTATCGGAGAAATACCAGTTTGAAATTTCTTTTAGCCTTTTTTGGTCTAAATTTAATTTTATTTCACTAAAACTATCAATAACTCTTTTACATTTGCTATTTCTATTTGCAAATACGTTGCTAAAATGCGTTTCCTTAGCCTAAAATGCAACACCAAGTGGGATGAGGCTTCTTGAGGTTATAAGATAGAGATCTTAATTGCGTGCCGGCGTGAATTTCCTAACCTCAGGTTTTTCTTTGAATCCGACCTCCCGCAATGCTAGCCCTTTCATCTGATCTTGCGTGAGACATCTGCGCCATATTAACCCTTGTAAACACTTTTAGCTATTTTTTTGTAATTATAACTAAGATTGTTGTGTGGATTTTTTTTATCTCACCTTAAGGATTACATCTGTGATCGTTTTCTGATAACGGAAGTCATCTCTAAGTTTGAGGCTTTTTCCTTCTTCTTGTTGCGTTTTTTTGTGGCGTCACAGGGGTGACCTGTATGATCTTCGCGTGCAGAATGTTGTCAATTGTTAATTAGGGTGTCTCTTGCGTGCTTTTGCCGTTTCGCGTCGTCTCAATTAGAGTCTTTCCACCGGTTAGTTAGCTTCTTTTGTTTTCCATATCGCATACTTACGTTCATTACTGTTTCATTCGTAATTATTGGCGTCAGTTACAATTTCAATTAGTCGTTTCGCATCAGTATCCACGTCATTCATTTAGTCTTCAAACAGTGTTTTCTTGTCGAGTGCAAGTGCAGTTTTTGAGTAATCGAAACAATGTAAGTGTCGTCGTTTCAAGTTGGCTTATTTCTTTCCTATCGCCTTTACTAAATCAATTCTTGTGATTTTGTAATTTTTTAGTTTTAAAATTTTCGACAAGTTTTGTTTAAGGTGGTAGCGTCTTAATTTTTTTCCGTTTTTTTTTTCTCTTATTCTTTTAAGCTTAAAGAAAATAAAATGTTCCCCTTGAAAAATTTAGGAAGGCAAAAGCCCCCGCCTTTTGTTATGTTAGTTAACTACCGTTTAAAAAACAAAATCAAGAGACGGTTATGGACACGTGGAAATACGGAACGGAAAAATAGGAACCTAAATATAACTATCTTAACGAACAATTAACGATGGTATCTCGGAACAGAAATAAATAATTGTAGTTTGCAAATTTTATCCTCCGAAGGAGAAATATCAGCCTGTTAAACCAGCGGCAGTTTGTACTTCGATGGCAAGACCAGTGACAAACCATCCTTGGTCAGTGGGGAAGTTTCCAATATAATTTGCAATGAGGTTTTTGCATATAACATTTCTCTTACATTATGTTTTGAGACTGAAACTTTTCACCTCGAGTAACCCTTAATTAAACGGCCCAACAAACATGACTTTATGTATTTCTCTGTGTTAATGAAACCAAAGAAAGGACTCTAAGCCATGCTTCACTCTGATTGGGCAGAAATATTTCTTTAACTTCCAGATCAAATCTTAAATTCTCCTAACTATCAACCATATAATTCTTAATGTTAGTCCAGATAATTTAGTATTGAATCAACTAATTATCCCCTAATTTGCATTTTTATTTATCCTCATCACTTATCTGGTTGATATTGTACTGATACTGTTACAAGAAACTTTATATAATAATACAAATAGTACGCGCGCTCTGATTGGCCATAAAACCATTTTACATGACATTTTACATTTTACACTTGGGAGGTTGGGAGAACACTCGATAAGCTGGAAACCACTCCGCTTCACGTCGTGGTTTCCAACGCTTATCTCGTGTTCTCCCAACCTCCCGCATGTTTACATCAGGCTATGTAAACACGGAAACCATTTTACATTTCTTCACTGTCTTAGTCACTCATGGGTCAGTTAAAGGGTTAAGGCTTTTGTCAGCTTTCCCTCTCAGTTTGCCAGTTCCCATTTATATCCGGGGTGGAGAGAGGCACAATGGAAGTAAAAAATTTCCTGCTCATGAATGCAATACTATGACCTTGGTGAGTCTCAGACCTGGATCCTTTGGATCTGGAGACCAGCATTTAATAAGCAAACCCTGAATATTCCATAGTTAGACCCAATAAAAATGTTTCTTTCAAACTGTATGCCATTCATTATTTGACAAGAGAATTTGGAGTTGTATCAAGTAAGATAACAACCCCTGGCCAATTTATTGGTTTATTACCATCACTAGTAAACAGAAAATGTGAGAGGTTACATTGGCAAACACTAATCTTTGACCTGAAGGGTTCACATGCCAACTAAACCCTAACCCTAAGCAATCAGACTACCATCATAATGATGATGCTTTTGCCTCTTTAAAACATAAAAAAGCGAGATCCCATCACCAGATGTAGCGATTCAGTTTCACAGGTCAGTTTTCTGTCCTTGAACATTCCTGCCTTTAAGTAGACTATGAAACTTATTTCAATAAACTAAATATATTCCTGATCATCAAGCAACCTGGTTGCTGTGATCATCCTCTAGTGATTTTTTAGGACTTTCCCAGTTGTCTGCAGAACCTTGAAACTTCAGACTCAAACAGTCACTGATCTGCCCAATAAGTTCCACGCTGACATTGTCTTCAAACAATACAAGTTCCTGCATTTTTGTGGGGTAATTAGCAATAACAGCAAGAGCATCTCTACCCCCTTTTCACTCACCCCACATCCTTCCAAATCGACAATTTCTAGTGAAGAGCTCGCAGCCAGGGCAACAGAAAGCTCACCAGCACCATAATCACCAATGTTGTTGTAGTCAAGATAAAGATTTTGCAACTGTGAATTTGCAGCAATGGTTATGGCAAGCTGGGTCCATCCCAGATGAGTAACTCCATGGTTTGCTGACAGTGTAAGTTCAACAAGTCCCTCATTTCCTTCAGTTGAGGGAAGAAGAGTACAAATCTCGGCCCTCATCTCCAAGGGATGTACCATGCAAGCTACGAATGCAAAATATAACAATACAATCATTGAAAAATATGAGAAACTACGAGTCATCTACATCTCCCAACCCCAATATAAGAATTTCTGAGAGGTCTTTAAAAGAATCATTAGCAGAAAGGGGATAGGAGGAGGTGTTGTTGGTGTAATAACACTTACCTAATCTTAGTGTTGATCTTTGGAGAATTTCTCAGGGAACTAAAAAAAAAGACTTGATTTTGCTGAATAAGAGAATTTTGAAGGGGGCATGGAAAGGGAACCCCAAAACCTGAAATCATCGGATTGTTTCAGTATGATTGGAAAGTAAATATACCTGTAGATAAATTTTTCAATAGACCTATTTGTTGTAAAAAAAATTGAGGCATCTCTCCCAAACAATTTTAAAATAAAAAAGGAACGGCTCCAGTATCTGTTCGTGCGCGTGAACTGACTAAATGAATTTAGTCAGCGGAGCTAGTCAGCAGATGACTTTTCCATCGCCGGAATATCGCTGAACGACCTCGCTGAACAAGCTAGACTCTGCCTTCTCTTCATTATGTAAGTAGCCATTTCTTGTTTGTCTCATCGGCCTTTTCGCATTGATATTTCATTGTTCCGCTTCGAGACACGCGGTTAACCATACTCACGTGCAAGGAGTTAAGATATAAGTTATTAACTTTTACTATTTTTATCATCCAATCACAGGTCGGAGCCATTCCTGTATTTAGTCGCTTGTGGCGAAAGTAATAGCCACCATCTTCAATTTTGATGGCAGCGGGAGCTGGGGAGAGAAATAAATTTGTACCAAGGGGCCGGTCGACGGTCAAAAAAAAGGAAAGGGATGGGGGAGTAAAGTCTTTTCTCCCTTCCCCCGCCTCCTACCCCCACCGTCCACTTTAACTGCAAATCAAACATGATCGTTCGCATAAACGATCTCGAGCTTTTAACGATAGCTCGCACTAATAAGAGCCTGCACTTCGGTCTATTTCTTTGTGGACTAGTCCAATAGATTGCCATAGTTACCATTCCAACCGAGTTTAAAATAGGGCGTAAATAATAACAGATAGGCACTCGAAACTGGGTTCAAGCAAAGGTTACTCAAGGTCTTTGGGTTAGGAAAATTATCAAATTGACAGGAAATTGAGGAAATCAACGCGGATTGATGGATGTGAGTTAGCCATTCCAGTATATGAAAGAATAGGTACAAAAAATTAGCGAAGCATAATTTCAAAATTTTTTCAGATTTGAGCAAAGGTATTCTATAGAAACATTGTTTTTAAAAAAATCTAGACCCTGTTCCCTCCATTCTGTTCAGTTTGCTACCTTTATAAGAATACCGGTTAGAGTTACTGTGCCAGTATTAAACCATTTGAACCATTGATGTACATTTTGTTCATTTCCACCTCCGTGAGAACAATCAACTCGTGTTTCCTGATAATAATTCACAATGTGAAAATATCCTGTTCGAGCAATCAAACTCAACTTGGGTTTTTGTCCATCTAAAATATAAATTACTCAATAACCAAACCAATATGTATAAATTTTAAGCTGACTTGCAAATGGAATGTGATCTCTTGTAGTCTCTTTAATTTCATCCTAATATTTTCATGGCTTAAACAACTCCAACTGGCTTATCTACTTCCAAATTAAACAGTCAAGCGAAACCTCAAAGGGTGCTTAAGAAAGTGCACACCGAAGAACTCTTTACTCAAGCAGTTTACTTTCTTATTTCTGTTACGTAACCATGAGTGGCACATCTTTAATAGCTAAAGAAAAAAATTAATTATAATAATCATTATGATAATAATGATAATGATAACAAGAAAGATAATGATAATGATAAAAATCATCGCGAATAATTACTAATGAGATTGTGGGTGTTAAAGGGTTAACAGCCCGATTAATCCTATGTTGTTCATGGTAGCCTTTAAAGGTAAATGTTCCATTCAATAGGTCATCGAAGCTGTAAACTCTCGTACTCGGCCGCTTCTAGTTTGTAAGATAATTTAGGTGTTCGGCTACAATGCGGTGTTGGAGATAAGGTACTTGGAGTAGTTTCTTCCGGCGAACTATTTTCTACGATAATTTCGGAATCAAAGAGCTCGTGGTTCTCTTGTTCTACCCACGGCTGGTTTCTGTTGGATTTCTGGCCAAACAAAGTGTCACTTATCCTTTCGGTTATAAACTGTGCAAGTTCTAGGTCTTCTCCTCCTTTATCGGAATTTGAAGAAGCGTAGTGCTCATTAATGGTTGCAATGAACGTATTTACGATAATGACTGTCGTACTGGCGACAAAACTAAAAAAGAAAAAACGTCCCAATATAGGATTTGTAGAAATCAGTTCATTTACTGGAATATTTTTTCCAAGGAGCATCAGAAACTGCGACGAAATGGCGTCTATGAATGATGAGAACATGTAAATATTGGTTCCGAAGGCGATGACCCCTAAGAAAGAATGACCTATCGCTACTACCATAAAGATCAAAAAGAAAGAAGATATTGAAGGAAAGGATCTGCGGAGTGTCCCCGAGAAAACTATAATTTGTGGCATGAAATACAAGCATTTTAGAAGACGCAAGGTGGCAGTTACGGACGCTATGCAAATGACCAGGTTTTCAAGGTCAGACCAAAGTAACACCTCATGGAAGCCAATGGGAACAAAAGGGTTTTCCTTTAGTTTGAACAACGTTATTTTTGCTGCCTTGGTTTTCATCCATTGGAGGAACAATGCTGATGATGCAGTGACTATCTGTAGCATGTTCAACCAGTTCCACCCTGACTTGAAATACAAGCAGCTCTGACGACAGAGTTTGATGCATTCCAAAATGAAGAAGCAAACAAGTAGAATGCCAAACAGAAATGCAAAAAGCAAGTAAATGTTATGGGCTTGAGGGTTCGTTGCACTCAGAGACAAAATTCCATAACTCTTGAATATGCCGGCAAAGCCTGATGGAAGGACTTCGAAGTAATAAGTCATCACGGCAAGAAGGTTACTCGGTGGATTATACAGCGAGAACTCCACCAGTACAGCTCTGGTCTGACGATCAATCCAGTGGTTTTCTTTTAAGTCTTTGACAATTCTTTTAGCTGTAAACTTGTTGTATCCTAAATTAGCTATGTATCCTCCGCCACTGTAAACAGCAAAATGACCCCAAGTATCAAAGCCACCATCTCCGTCGTACTCCCAATTTTCTGGGCAGAGAACTGAGGAACTATTCTGGTCAATCCAAGTTCTTTTGTCCTCTTCTTTCTTTGAGAAGGGACCGTAGCAATAAGTAAACATGCTTTTGAATATTTGTTGAAACACACAGGAATCTGTTCAAAGAATAGAATGAGTTTAGACCCTTTTTTCAAAGATCCAAGTTCCAGGTATAATCATTGCATTTCAATCATTTCTTTTCTTCTAATCATGGAAGATATTGCTCTCCTGGAGTCTTTGCAACTAGCCAATAATTTTTTCTCGATCTTCAAGTGTTACTGAGTCAACTGGTTTGGGGGTCAAACTTCTTAGTTTGAATATATTAATTTCCCCTTTTTGGAGTGGGGTAGATAATTCCATTAAAAAGACATAATAGCATGCAATAAAAATACAAGTAGTATAGGAGAACGAAGAAAAACATCTTAGGATGAGTAAACCGCGATAACGTATGTTGTCACAGTCTTACAATTGAGTCCGACTCAATTTCGATATATGCTTACCTTTCATGACCCTGAGTTGCCTTAGGCGAGGCATGCCGACCAGAGTCGATCTATCATTTCTGATGTAGTTTAATCCTTTTTCCTCCTGATCCTTGTACCAGCCCTCTGAAAAGATCACTGGGACAAACGCGTTCTCCAGCCACCTCCAAAACTGAGCCACGTTGGTTACCTGGTAAGTTTTAACATTCAAAATTATTTTCAGTGAAAATTTGAAAACGAGAACGAACGAACATCATGATATCTTAACTGAACCAACCTTTACAAACGTTAAAATACATACCCATCTCAACTAACACTTCTAGATACAATGGTCTTTAAAGCTTTGAATCTAAACACAATTTAGGCAATAGAGGACATCTTCCGCGTTTGCATAGTTTAACCATAACATGAAGGTAATATGGGAGAAATTTATGTAAGCTGTCGACTGTGTCTCGGGTTTGGATAACTTTCTTGAATTTTCCCAACCCCCTGAGTGTTTCTAGGAGGCGATTAAAATACTCGGAAAACCCTCTGTTGCTTTGATAAATATATCTACGAAATAAGTAAAGCAGGATTTCATAATCGTGGTTATTTACCCTAATCTAAACACACCATCTACCAATGAGAGTGTGCGTACAATCTCAAATATTTACGAAGTCATTTCAAATATTTTAGGAAGACAAACCATAGGCATTGATTGATTACAGGTCTACAGAAACGTACCTTGTACTGTCCAACATTGTCGAAATACTGGACTTCACTTTCTATAGCAACTCGTAGATGATATCTCTGCCTGCTTTTGTCTCCATAACAGACAGTCAATAAAAGCACGAAGAAAGTTAAAGAAAACAAGAGTTCCTTCATGAATGCATACATTTTCCTCTTGTTTTTCCTATACTTCCTTCCGCGTTCGACATCTATCGATGGAAGATCCAAATTGTTGGATGCATCCGTTAGATAACTTTTATTTGTTGACTTGTCATCACTCCTGTATCGTAATGCTAAGATTGCAGATGCAATGATTATCTTGACGGGCTGGATGACCAGCAACTCACCAGTTAAGGAAAGCAGAACAGATGTAAGCCAGCGAGACGATTTCTCTCCTCCCCACATGAGGGAGTAAAACACCGTAAAAAGGGCGGAAGTAATTGCAATACTCACACAGAGAAACCATGCGATGTATACAAAGAAATGGGGAAGTAAACACCATCCTTCTCTCTTGCTTTTCCCCAATTGATACCGGTTACCTTGACTGTTTCTCCTAGGTTCGCTTTTACGAAACAAGAGCACAATTAGCAGACCTGCAGGCACAACAACCAAGGCACTTTCCAACGCGATGACAAGTTGACTCGGAGTCAGTGAAAAAGGACCAATCCGTATTTTCCTCTGTTTTAGGTCCTCTGTTTCATAAAACATAGCGGATGTTACCATTGACAGCATGAGAAGGCTCCAACAACAGGATGCTCGCTGAACGCGGGTGAAAGGATTCCTTGGCTGCTTGCGGATCACCGACAGCCACAAGTGATCATCAGCAAAACCATTCCTTCGTAATGCGCTAAATTTTCTTTTGAACTTTTCGCCTTCTTTGCAATTATCTGCATAAAATATCCTCGTGGTCTGACCGTCATCCCTTTCTAGCGCAAGCCAGCGGTAACAACTGAACAACCATCTTCGTTCCTTTTGACAATCCACAACTAAAATCTCGTTGATAAACCAAGAAGGGTCCTCGCCAGAAATGTCATGGCCGATCTGCACAGAAATTATCTCGCCCAGCGGCATTTCCTGTCGAATAAGAAAATTATCAGTGTTGCCTTCAGCAAACAGTTTCCTTTCACATGGGATGTCACATGTCAGTTTGATAACGTCACTGGTATTTTCATTCCCATGTAGAATCATGGATATATTGGCAGTAGTACCACAATTTTTCCATCCCCCAGTTGTTATGGATACCTCGTACTTGTAATCACCGTTTTGATGCGCCGCCAAGGGTATCAGAGGACTGTCCTTAAATAGAAAAGCAAATTGAGTGAGCATAATTTCCTGTTTTAAATAAATCGTCAAGCTGGACATTAAACCTCACAGAAACCATTTGCCTCAAGCTTGTCTCAAAATAATTTTTTACGAATTGTCTTGCTTCTTAAACAAGTGTATTCTTAAATAACGATGAAAAAACACTGACAATATGTAAATCATAACGATAAGTTTTAGGATTTATTCATATTCAAACGTCCAAAATATTTGTTCAATAAGTCTGTAAAAAATCAAAATTCAATGCCATATAAATTTAGTTCGTGAAACTTCTTAGTTGTTAACTGGTGAGATTTTCTGAGAAAAGAAATGATCTTCATAGATGAGCTGCATCAAACAAGTCGCTCGAAAAAAGCCGGAAATTTTTACAGGGGATCCTTTTAATCGCAGCTGACCTGCGTGGATCATTTCTTTACTTTTATTTCATCCTTAGGTCGACCTATATTTTCTCTCACTTAACTATGATTAGGATTTTTTTTCGGATTTCGAACAAACAGCGAATGGCATCGTCATTACTTAAAATTCTTTTGGAATATTTTGGATTTGACACCAACCTTTGAGGCATCCACTTTATCGGCCATGCGTGCTTTTACCAAAACAAGAACGTAGAGCAGAAATGTAGAGCACAAAGTTATCAAGACGAGAAGGTCATCTGGATACACGTTATCAAACGCCTGCTGGACCCGTTGAAAGTCAATGATATTTGGTGCAACAAGAATGTCTCCCCCAAATGCAGTCAAGTGATTACAGAGACATTTTAGGGAAGAATGGTTAGATTCTCGGCTCGCCTGTAAATCAATGCATTTCATTTATGGTTGTTAATATGCCTGTTAGGTTCCAATATATTTTTAGTTCAAGAGAGTATCAATTGATTGTGAGTTGATATCTTACTTCAGGCTATGCACCCAGAAAAAGAGCCCATACTTACCTTCTATATGGAAATCTCTGTGAAAAGGAATTTTACAGCTATTATAAAGTTTATAAAGTTTATAAAAATGAACATTGCAATAGGAATTTCCATTTTTACTGAGATGATTCGAGTCGGAAAACGGTTCAGAGCTTAGGCAAGATTCGCTCGAACACATTATTCTTGGGAAAATAATGAAGACATTTGCGCTTTAAGCGACACAGTGGTAAACAAAAACTCTACCTATGGTAGTTTTAAAAGCAATTAGTTGGTTATTTTGGGCGCCCAGTTACTGTCTATATCTATTTTCCATTTTAGAATATATTACATGTTGTCGTTTTTGTGCCTTTTAGAAACGTTATTGTTGACATACTGAATACATTAAGTTCTTTAAACCTCTTCGTTCTTTCTCCAAAACATTCCAATAGCTAAAAATCAATATTTTAAAAACTTCTGTCACACGGTCTGGGATGCATTTCATTGTCTCTTTTGTTAATGAGTGACTCATTCTATGCTTTCTCTGTATTTTTCTCACCTTGCATCCTTTGCTTGTCCATCTTTGTTCATTATCAGACCAAAATGCACACCAGATTGTCTCCACTTGCAAACTGTAGTTAATTGACATTTCAGAATCGTACTGAGGGACAAAACTGACATACTCTACTTGAGGAACAACTGTTGGTGGAGGATTCTTGAACCTTACGCACTTCTCTCGCGTCGCTTGCTTTGGCAGGATGGATCTTCTACCTCTTGACTTTGACAATTCTGTTGGAGATTCACTGTTCTTCCATAAGCCAACGTAATATTTGCCTGAATACCTGCATTTTATGACGATACTATGGGAACAAATTCCTCTGAAATTACATTCGTTGTTTCTGCTGTTTAATCTTTTCTCGTCGTATGATGTCTCTGTTGGCTGCTCAGCAAATTTTACATAGACCATAATAGAAGCTGTTGCTTTGGTCTTAATAGTTATTTTCATGGTAGTATTGTCCTCACGTACGGTTATCACGTGATATTGCATCCTTTTAGGGTTTAGGAAATGATTCGATCGAGTTCTGTCTTCGAGATAATATTTTGATACTGGAATATCAATTTCTATATCCGAGGGTAGATCTATTGTGTTGAAAGCTTTCCCAGTGTCATCCTTCAGGACAAGGCTGACAACCTTCGATCTGATTCTTTGGCTGCTGCTGTCCGACACATATGGGTTAAAATTATAGGAGATCATCTGCAAGGTAGAAAACGACGTCATAGTAAGATTTACGTATTTTAATACTTGTCAGTAAAATAAAGCAAAAAAAAATTGATTCTCTTTTGAGGACTCGAAGTCTAGCCGAACTTTTCCGATTTTGCCATCCAACTGAACTACGAAACCCTTGCAGGTGAGTTAAACGGATCATAGAGGGCTGTCATTATATCAAAAGATCCAAGCAATGGATCCTCAATCTTAACCTATGAGAAAGTTTTAAGGCGTGAAGTGAAATAGACGTGCAAGGGGGAAGGAAAGAGAAGGTACGAAAAGACCTGTTGTTACGGTCATTTTGTTATCCTGTCATCTCTCAAAGATAACTAACATATCTTACAAGAATTATTGTCATTTACATAAATTATTTTTTTAAAAAGTTTTCTAGATGACAGTATATTGTATAAACATTAAATCTAAGTATGGAATGTCTATCTTACGCGTGTGTGTAAACATTAGTTTTAAGTATAAAATGTTGATCTTATGCATGTGCAACTTCAAGTTATGTTAATCTTGGGTAACTGTGCTCGGGGTTCCTGTGGATAGTAGAGAGGACAACCCTGAGCCTTAAAATTTAATGAAGGCATCTGTCAGGCTGTCTATTAAATTGCAATTAGAGCTTTTACCATCACAATATACTCAGTGTAACAACAACGACACACCTCTATTCCAACCTCAGAGACGTTGCCAAGCCAAATTTGCAACGTACTGGTATTCATAGAGGGGAACTGAAAACTGGCTTCTCCATTTCTGAGTTTTAAAAGGTCCATGTCCATTGACTCTTCTTTACCGAATAAAATCGATTGAAATTCATTGCTGATGATGGTGTATTCCTCCCCTGGCAGCTTAATTGACAGAAGTGTGTTGGCAATCATGTCTGTTAACTCTTGACAACGGCTAGAAACTATCTTTCCCATGGTAATCTAAAAGTGCAAAGAAATCTTAAGTTGGATCTAGCATCCACATGAATCACGAGCCAAAAAACTCTTCACATCAGAAATATTTGTTTCATATTTGCTCCATTAAGATACTGGAAATAAATGTGGCTCATCACATGAAGGTGTAATATTATGAACCTTTAAGGGAATACCTCTTTCTCTTCATCGAGGTTAGCAGAAATTTTAGACATAAGGATTCTCTTGGAACTGGATCCCATAATATTTGTAGTACAATACAACAACAATCTTCCTCCATCGAGAAGAAGGGGGGATTCAGACCTGCTTCTTCGTGAAAAGAGGGTTGACATCTCCATCAGTTTATCCAATACAGTTATCTAAAAGATAAAAGTCATTTTGAAGTCATGGAAATAAATAGTTGAGGTTTGTTTGTAAGACTTGTACACGACACAAACAGGTCTACCAAGATATTATCAATCGATTTATATTTTTTAATGAAGTCTTGGAATCTTATAAAAAGCTTTTTAACAAGAGTCTAGTCTAACGTGCATTAAAACTCAAGTTTGATTCTGCAAACAAAAATATGAGGTAACGAGTTCAGTATCATACCGTTGTATTGAACGAGACAAGGGCGTCATCTTTTGTAGCTTTGTTCAAGATAACACCAATCTGGGCCAAACGCTCCAGTCCGCTATCAATCCGTACTTCACAGATCTTAGAAATAACGTGATTCTTCATCTGCAGTGAGAGAAAAATGTTGTATCAAACACATGTTTCAACAATTTACACGTCAAGCTGTGAGCCATTTATACAACTTATGTAAAGCTATTCTAATTAAAGGAGATTAAGAGAAACCTTATATGTACGTGCATGGTGGGAATCTTTCAGCCTTTTTACACAGCATTGAATGATTGGAGATGAACTTTGCTCGTTTGTCTCACGATAGAGTCACTTATAATGTAGATCGCGACGTTTCGTCTGCAATACTGCTGGTCTTCATCACGTCAGCACGTTGGTACGCTGCTATTGGTGCATTTCGATCCTATCCTATTCTACTACTTGATGAGACCTAAGTGTTGTGTCTGACTTGAAAACGGTTGGTATGCCTTGATGTTGCAGGCAGCGGCGAAGAACCTCTGAAACCTCTGATTATTAAAGCTGTTTTGAGAAAAATTAATCCTTTATTTTCTGCACCCTATAAAATTATGTTGCGGCGGCACAGAAAACACACGTTTCTATGCAAAAATTGCAAAGCCATTTTTTTACATTCAATCCACTTTACTTACTTGAAGTAGGTTCCGATTCACATCGTCCTGCTTTGCAGCCTTTTGGAATAAGAAGAGAAGTGCGTGTGCTTCTTGTATTGCTGTATTTACTTTTCCCACAGAAAAAGAATTATCCATAACTGAAAGTTTTTCCTGCAGCTTGTTATAGTCTATCTCTTCTGCTGACAACGAAGATGATTGATCTAGCTGTGAAAAAAAGACAGTTAAAGATTTATTTAAGCAGATCACTGACCGCATTAAATATCTTTACGAGGGAAAGTACAACTATTTTCCCTCCTTGAGATTTATTGGGTAGAGATGCAGTGATGAGTAATCGAGAAAGTAAGATGTATCAGGGAATCTAGTTTCTTTGTCAAAGTTCCACTGTGTGCTATTGGCTGTTTGCGCTCGTTTGCTTTGTGGCCAATTGCAAACCTCGTTCATCGTCTTCCGCATCCCACAATATGGTGCAGCGTTAATGGAACAGGCACCACGAACAATGGTTACTAAATAGATATGGACTCCAAAATAATAAAGTAAAAAATAAGAAACTTTTCTAAATGCTTCGGCGAGTAGCGAATGTACCTCAACGAAGTTACCTTTATCTAAAATCAAACAAAGAATTCGAATTGCAGGATAATTTGCTAATTACTTAAGGCTGGTTCTCACCATCTAATTACTAATACCTTGATAGAAAATCCTACTCTATATGCCGCTCCAAAAACATTAGCAATCGCAACCCGAAGACGAGCAACAGCCTCATCAGAAGGTGGAATATAAACAACACTGTAAGGCCAAACTCCAGAGGACAACATGTCGAGTTCTCCATCTTTTGATTCCTGGAAGAATTCATAGGTTAAAGGCACATTTTCATCACTCCATCCTTGACAGGTAATGTTTAGCCAACATCCTACATCTTTCCTATCCAACTGAGTGGCATGACATATTCCTCCTGATGGAACTGCCAATGTGTCAATTTGATATACCGCCCAGCCAAATGAGCCGTTTGGAGATAGAACGTCAACCTTGATTTTGTAGGAGGACCCGGGTTCAAGCATTTGTTCTTTAATCACAAAGTTTTTTGAATCCACTTTTGTACCCAGGAGATGTTTAAAGTGTATCTGAGTAGACCATTTGGGGTTAGAATTGTTTCCATCGTTTTTCACCAGGCTCCATCTGTACTTGAGGGACACAGGACAACGAGCTGAATTGCAGTCAGTTCGTAGGAAGGTAAGAGAAGATGCACTGGCTGGTGAGTCACAGTTCATGGTGCACCTGTGCAAAGAAAATAAGAAGCAATCTTCTACTCATCGAATCTCCTGTATTCGTCCTTATTTATTCCTTTAAGATGGTTCGTATTTGAAGGGAAACGAATGTATATCACTGCCAAGTTCTTTGTTGAAGAAGCAGGGGTGTTATCTAAACAACTATGCCACACTTTAATCGAATAAATTCTTATGCTTTTGTTTGTATTTACTCTTATTGCAACATAACCAATTGAACATTTGCGTCAAAGTTGGAGGGTCATTGATGAGAAAGGGATGTTGTTTCCAACCTCCTTATGAAAAATAATAAAAAACTATTGGATGAGGTTTTTTTGATATTCAGAATAATCAAGGTCGAGGCAAGGGTTATGAGCCGAAGCCAAAGGCTGAGGCTGATGATCCTTACCGAGACCTTAATTATTCTGGATATCACAGAAACCGAAGCTAATGATGGTTCTTTTTTCCTTGAACGAAAATATATGTTTTTGCTTTTGCTTGGCAAGCAACACAAAGCGCGCGTACTTGATATGATTACCCTTACAAATAACGATCATCCACTGTTGTTACACATGACATGACTGCCCGTTACCTTGACATGATTATTCTCAGTATAATCTGCAGCTAGATGACGTCCCAGGCGCTAATTTCGAAAATTCACGCTTTTGGCCAATCGGAAAAGAGATAATGAGTTGAATGTATAATAATTTAATATATCTCATGGGATTGCGTGCAGATCAGCAGACTTTAATCTATTCTACGTTGTTCATTCTCGGCGTTGAAAACGTGGAAGAGGACAACTCTTATGTTAGATACTAAATATTTCAGCTCTGCATATGCCAGTGGTAACCATCAGCTTCCTTGCAGCTATGAATTAAACTTACAAAATACGAATGTCGAGTATATCTTCGTCGCGAACGTGAACAATCTGAATGCCACTTGCAACGCGGATATCCTTGGTTACCGTCAGAACCACATAGTATGCTTGATTGCTGATGAGTCTTTTGGTATCTAAGGTCACTATGGCTTTTTCGTTGCCCTGAAGAAAGACATCTTCCGGCAACTGAAAGAGGGTTCTATTTGCAGACGCACCGACAAATGTGTCGTATATGCCATCTGAACCTCGAAAGGTGACGTTTGACACTGGAGTATAGTTTCTGGAGACGTTAGATTGTGTTGTTATTATTAAGCAAGACCAATCATATTTCATTCCCGAGGAACTAAAAGCACTAAGGCTGGTGTCATACGAAGCACTGGCATCCAATAAAATTGGTTTATCTATGGATCGAAAAACTTCAGTTCCTCCCGTAATGGAAACTTTCAGTGCCGAATTAAGAACTTCGATGAAAGCAAAGTCTCGAGCTGTCAGTTCAGATCCGGATTTTTGTCGCAGCTCAAATGTTACAAGTTTAAGTCCTGTCGACAGCAAGTTTGGTCGTAAGTTCAGCTCAAGAGTGTCGGGCACTAGCAACTCTGGTTGATCAGAAATGTTTAAAGGTGACAGTGAGAGTTGGCTTATCTTCCAGGAGAAAGAGACCTGTTGCGCAAGAAAGTTCTCCGTCTTTAAAGATGCAAACAGTCTTCTTGTTTGGTCTCGTCTAAACTTCATTGGGCTGCTTGGTTGTGTATTAACATCATGGATTAAAACCTCTATTGAATCATCAATACTTCTCATATCGCCTATAAATGGGGAAAAAGAAGTTATAGTTTTAATTCCAAATTTCGTTTAGAGTCCTTTATTTCACTACATGAAAAACTGTTGAGACGCAATTAAAAGTTAAAGAATATACTCTGTTTGAATACTGAATTAGTAATTAAATGACCTATATTTCTGTTTTCTTTATGGTTAGATTTATTCTACTTTCTCTCATGTATTACTTTCTGTTCGTCTTCTGCATGGATCAACTTCTGGATCTCCTGGGTAAAAGTATTTACACCAGCAATCATGAACGTTAAGTGATGTCTCGATGCCTACGGAATGTACTGGACAAGCTGCAATGACATATAAGCAATTCAATACAATTGTGTGAAACATCGGGAGGAGAATTAATTTTTTTTACAGCAGATGTATCCCGGTAAATGAAAAGGGGAAACTGTGATTGAAAAGATGTATTCGGTTATCCAGGAGTTTCTTTGGACCGACAAAAAATACTGAGAGAAATTTGCTTAAGAGATCCTACCTAAATCGAACCAATAGATGAAGATCAAGTTTTTTTGTCTATGGTAAAACTAATGAAACATCAAACATCCTCAGTGGAAGATGGGAATCTTAAAAGACTGTTTTGCGTGAATAATAACATATAGCGTTAATACCTTCACACCATGTACCATTTCCTACATATCCAAACTGACAGTGACAAGTGTAGGATCCGATCTCGTTATGGCAAACACCATATTTATGGCAGTCATGGTCTCCGCTTCCACATTCGTCCAGATCTGCCAGCAGAAACCAAAATTTTCACTTTTCTACCATGCAGTCTCGTCATCAAAATGGATTAAGAAAAATTTAAAGTAGTTAGTTTTATAGGTTGGTATGATTTCGACTGCGGTAAAAGCAATATAAAAAGATATATTCCCATGTGTTTAGGAGAACAGTCAGTAACTAAGAGCTAGCTGAAGCTTCTGGAAAGACCACATAGATCTTGTTGGGCGTTGTAGAGAAATTACTCGCCGACTTGTAGACGGGAGACTGTTTATTTCACTCATCGAAAGCATTTTGTAATCGATACGTCAGTGAACCAGAAGCTAGTTCAGGTTACAGAGCACAAGAGTGATACACACATGTGCGCTCACATTCAATTAGAACTATTTACCAGTCTATTTATCAGTGAGGGTCACAATCAATAAACTTAACCTTGCTCCAAATAGGAATATGCCCCGTTTCGTTTACGTGCTCCGAAACCGCAGAGGTCTGAGTACGAGCAAAGCGTATGTCTCTGTCATGTTCTTTTATCCTTTCTCGCATTGACCTAAGTGTATACTGGTAAAAGAGGGAGATCAATGAGAGAACGGATAAAAGAACATGACAGAGACATGACTTCATCCCAATAACACCGATAGGAACTATGGATCGAAATACCCGAAGCTTGGATACCCACAATAAAACAACCCAACAGCCGACCAATGCGAACCTATGAGGGAATACTTACTAATGACCGGAATAATAAAGAGGATCGAAATGCACTAACAGCAGCGAACTGACGTGCTTTAAATAGCGACAGGTAAACAATCGATCTCATCGCCTGATGAAGACTAGCAGTAGCGTAGTCGAAACGTCGCGATCATCATCATCATGATCTGCATTTCACGCAGACTATTTACATAGTTTCGTGTCATTGTGTTACGACTACTAGGCTTATCCCTTTGAGGATACATTAACGGAATAACTCTTAAAATAAATTAATCCGCATTCTCAGAAACGTTGTCCTGAAACATTATATTTGTGAATACCGTAGGATGCGATCGGCATCACACGCAAAATATTTACATAGATGTGTGAAAATATATTGAATATATTGTAACGAGCAGAGCTAAAATTCGTATCGCAAGTAAAATAAGGCTTATCGGAAGCATTCCAGTGTCTGTCCGCTTCATTAAGTTCTTGATACTGTGAAGGGCTACACTCAGCTGGTATAGAAGCTGATTTGAAATAAGATGTTTAAAACATCGTAAGTATAATTGTAGCTAAAGAGATCTCTTGAAGATACATAAAGGTGTTAGGATTCAAATCAGTGAACTTATTGTTAAAGAATTCATTTCTAATCAAGGATATGAAACAGAGTTCAGTAGACAAGTTGAAGAATTTCAAATGATGAAAGGCTGAATAGGTAATAATGATGAAATTCATCGTTTTGGAATCCTGTTTTTTTAACGTAAAGCAGTGAACCATACACATGACGATACATTTATGGCTACTGAAATTTTAAATCAAAACAAACTGGTTGGTGATCGCATGAAGTCTTCTTCCTTTGCATAACTTTGACAATATTTGTATGTTTTTCATAAATACGCCTTTTTCCTTCTCTTGTTACGATTAAAAAATTAGTCGCATACTCAACAACAGAAAAAAGGTGGATGAAGTAACAAATATTTGACAACAATTTGTTCAGCCATACATTCATTTATTAATTGCTCTTTTGTTTTATTCCTTGTTTCAGTTAATTCTTCACTTGTTTGAGTAAAGTTATGTACACATCCCAGTTAGTCCACCGATTTAATTCGTGAGTCTTACAGCTACATGACTTTTCATCACCAGTGTAACCCTCCTTGCAGACACATCTATAAGAACCTTTAGTATTGAAGCAAAAAGCATTTAAGTGGCAGTTATGTGTCTTCCCGGAGCATTCGTTGATATCTGTCCACATAAAAACGATGAATCGAAGATTAAAGTTCAGATGATAAAAGGTTGAGCAGTTGATAATAATAAAATTCATAGTTTTGGAATCCTGTTTTTTTACTGACGTAAAGCAGTGAACCATACACATGATGATAAATTTATGACTACTGAAATTTATATTAAAACAAACCGGTTGGTGTTCGTAAGAGGTCCTACTTTCTTAGCATAACTTTGACAATATTTATGTTTTCAAAACTACGCCTTTTTTTTCTCTTGTTACGATTTAGAAATTAGTCGCATACTGAACAACAAAAAGGAAGATAGAAGGATTTCAAATATTTGACATATTCCGTCAAGAGGATACAGGTTTATTCCTTGTTTCCAATTTTTTACTTGTTTGAGCAAGATTCCCAAACACGAATCCCCATGGGGAAGTTCTAGAAATTCCAAGCAATACGAGTCTAAGTCTAACACAAGTTAAGCCCAGTTACATTAACTATCATATCATATTATTATCAATTTACCGCCGCCTGGTTAGCTCTTGTGGATGCGCCGGACTACTGTGCGGGGGGTTGGGGTTCAAGACCCAGATCAGACCCACACTCAGGGTCTTAAAATATCTGAGGAGAACGTGCTGCCTTTGCTATGATATCTGCAAGCGGTTAGACATTCTAGTATTCTCGGATCAGAACGATAAGCTGCAGGCTGCGTCACCTGCATTTTCTCGGTACTAGGACGTTAAAGAACCTACGCACTTATTGCAAAGAGTAGGGAACGGAGTTCCCGGTGTTGTGGTCTGCCCTAGAAGAACTTTACGAACCTGACCGAATCCGAGCATTGTAAATCAATGCTTGGAGTAGTACCATCTTTCACTATGAACGATTTTTGTATAAAATGATTTGAAGCCGAAAAACGTTGTCTTGATCTAATTGGTGATTGTATTACAGTATTTTTAAGACTTCAAGAATACAACTTTATTTTCCTTCGTAGAATGAACTAGTCCAAAACTTGACAGTCTTTTGTTCGAGCATTTCGCTCATAAGTACTCTTATCGATTTTGATGGGCAGGAGCATCAGTAAAAATGGACCAACACTAGATTATTAACTTGCCTTTTTTGGCGCCGTACACCTCCACTCTTAGACTGTCCCAGTTATGATTCGCTGTTGGATGGAAGCGAATGTATCTTGCAACCACTGGTGTCGACAGATTATGTCGGTCCACACCGTGATTTTTACCAACTCTCTGAAATTCCTAAGGAAAATAATGAAAGAAAGAACATATCTTTTCTTGAAATAAGCAATCTCGTACATATTGAGAATAATTTGAGGTATAACAATTGCCCAGTCATATATTTTTTCTTTTTTCGGAGATAATCTGGATAATTTTCTGATACAATTTTCTAATATGTTACTAATTTTGAACTCCGAATTTCTTTCAGAATCAGTTTCGTCTTCTTATATTAGCTACTCTAGAAAGGTTGAGCTTATTTTGATTGAGAGGCATTAGGGTAACCAAAGTTATGACAACAAAACCACATAGCAAGGGAAAATGTCATCACTTACCTTGTTAATGGGAGTTCAAAGTAAAAAAGGGAGTCCGCCTTAATCGAGAAAAAAATATGTCCGGTCAACTCCGGAATGGATGTGGCGGCGGAACGAGTTTTCTAGAACAGTCATAGTGGGAGGGGAAGCCGAATTACTTTTGACAATCAAACTGATCAGGTAATAATTCAACTTACCACGTCCGCGCCATTTCCATCCTTGTACGTTTTCTGATTGTTATCATCGGAAGAGTAAAGAAGCTTGAAAGCTGTCGTCCATTCTTTATCGTAATTGCCTCCTTGGGTAGCAACAGCACACACTTGAAACTCTTTACCAAGATCAACCTGAAGCCAGTCTGTTTTTTTATTGTTGTTTGGAAACCAACCGTAACCTGACTCGTTAAAAAGTCGTCCATACTTCGCAGAGTATTTTTCTTTTTTATATTGGGATGAAGCTGTCATCTGATTGTCAGGGATGACGAAGGGACTGGAAACACCAACTGGGCAATAAAAGCACTCTTCGAGGATTTCTGTACCAAATTGTTGTTATCAGGTTATTAATGAATAAAACCTATTATTTCATACTTCATAACGTTAATTTTTTGGTAATTTATTTAATCATTGGAAAATAGGATTCGTTAAAGTGAGCATCAACACTTACAATTTGGTTCACTGTTTGATTCCCGAATCTTTAAGAGCCTTAAGCATTTTCATGATTGGTGATCAAAACTTATTATCTAGTAACTGAAAATGGAAAACGAAGTTACAAAAAATTAAAGAAATTGTGATCACAAACAATCGCGGTTTAGAAGTGAACCCTTTAGTGGTATTTAGTTTTTCCTCTCGTTCATATCAGTACACATGTAACTCTTTTAGGTTTCTTTCTCTCGTTTAGCTTCATCTATTTACTTACGTTACCAGTTTAAATTAGTTTATTTTAATCGTTTATTCTCGTTCTTTGACCTTTCTCTACTTTGTCTTTCGTCCATGTTACGTTTTGATAGATTAAAAAATGTATATTTTCTACCACTTCAATTCTCTTTTCCTTTGCTTTTCGTTATGTGATTCTCTGGAACGTAGGCAAGCTTATAAGCCATATTAGCTGATATAATAATGTTGTTATGAAGCCTAAGGAAACAATGCCTACTTTGATCAAATAAATACACACCTGTGCAAAGTCGTAGATAACAATGTGTCAAATCTGGTGGTTTGTAAACAAGAAACGAGCCACAGTTCCGAATTGAAATTTTATAAGAGCCATAATGACATTCACTGTCGTTAAAGCGATAGCAAAGTTTTCGTTTCACAACCCCTTCAGCAACAGCAGGATGGGCACCACGGATCCAACCTGGAGAAATTGTTCCGCAGTGGTATGCCTGTGGCGGGTTGTTAGGAATGGCTGTTCCTCCGCAGCCAGTAAAGCGAACCCAACTTTCCGAAGTAAGAATTCCTCTGTCACAGAGTGCATTTTTACTCTCTATTTGATTGGACACACACCGGGTTGGGTCGTTTATCGTTTTGTAAGAGGTGCATTCTGAAAGGAAGACAAACATGAATCATTTATTAACAACGCCGACATGTATAATTATTAGTTTCATCAAACTTTTTAAGCTAAGACAAAAAGGAAAAAATTTGAAGGAGTCCTTTGACTCGTTTGTGGGTTGTTGTTCGGTAAGTAGTAAAAGGAGGGGAAGCCCAAACTTTGCTTTCTCTATCTTTTTTCTTGGCGCTCAAAAAAGCGATAGATCCTTCTCCCTCCATTCCCGTGATTTCTTTTTCTTCTTTTGGAGGAAATTACAAAAGATAATCGATTAAAATAACTAAAAATATGTATTAGAGGAGATAAAAAGTCGGTTTTATTTGGTCGTTTAGCCTGGGAAGAAATAGTTGGCTGTATTTTCAAGTTTACAGAAATGACTAATTGAGACTTATTCCTTTTCAGACAAAGCCTTTACTTGAGACAATTTGCTCAATAATTGTGCATCCCACGCTTCGATCATTGCATACGGTTTCGTTCAAAGGTGCTATTTTAGACAACGATTTTCATAGAAGATCAGGAAGGTCGTCTTATCTCAATACACAATTAAAGCCCATAGTCAAGTCTGATAAAATTCACTCACCATCTGTTTGAACCCCGGTTGCCAACAAAGCGAGGACAGTCAGCACGGGAAGTAGCGAAAGAAGACGAACAGTCATTTGAAGAAATCTTGTCTGGACGAGAAATCGGACCTCGGCTTTATTGCAAAAGGCTATTTGATAAGTTTGGATATAATGTGCTGGCTTTAAATACCACCTTTAGATGCGCATCCTTCGTCACTAATGTATCTTCAGGCTTACAGTTATCCCAGATAATGTGTGGGCTGTTTCTTGATTCGACAATTAAAATTTCATAGCCAACCGGAATATACGTCGCCTAATGAGGTAAGTTATTAAGAAGTTTCAAGAATTTCCTAGGGATATGAATGTAAAAAAAAACTGTTTTTTTTTTTCACCTGTCGAAACACGGGAAGCCAACCTTTAGAGGAAAGTTTTCTTCTGTGTTTCGTAACAATCAAACGATATTTGTCAGTTTGAGAATAAAAACGGTAAAAAATGGTGTTAGAATAAAGAGACTTACTTAGCCGCAGTAACATACGTTGAGATCAAATTTTATCTTTCGTTCAACTTCTGAATTTAGTTTTAAGGTCGTCAGCATACCTTACGTAATCCAGGACTAAAAGAGAAAAACAAATTGAATATAAAGATAACCCTAGGGCACAACAATTTTAGTTTTGTTTCCTTCGAAGTTTCCAGCCTGGGCTAGCTTGATCATGTCTACTTTTGGAAAGGCGTACCTCTCAACATGCGCTATATGAGAGGTACAAATGCACTTTGCCCCCTAAATGAGGACTTTAAAATGTATACACTTGAGTCTTGTCCCACTGCAAGAACTAATAGCAGCTTTAGAGTTTTCAGATGTTTCAGACGCTCTCAACTGAGGACAGGCACATGCACGGTGAAACGTTCGAAACATAACATTTCAGTTATTTTAGCATTTTAGAGTACTTGCAGGGTCGAAGTCAAGTGGGGAAGCTAACATTTCTATATTTCTTTTTCTCAATTAAGGCTACAGAAGATCAAACAAACAAAAATAGCCAAATGAAGGCTGATTGGAGTCGTCTTGCTTCACTACAACCGTTACACCAAGATACTGTATTGATTCATTTGACATAGCTGCTTAGTTTTTAAAAATGTGAATTTGCATCTTAGAATTAAATGTGTTTGCTAACCCCAGGCTACAAACTGCGAAGAAATAAGAAACTTTTAAAGGTTGGTTTTTTGAATATCGAGTATCTGAATATCTTATGCAGTTTTATTCCAATGGTTGTTGTATCAATTCACCTGCGGCTTCTAGTGAGTACTTTTTAATATTTTAAGATACATGTATTTTGAGCCCGTGGCCAGTTGTTGTTTGTCGCAGCAAGGCTCTCTCGTCAAGAATCAAGAATTATAACACGTCCTGTGATTAAGGACAAAGGTGTAGATTGGTGTCATGGTGTTCTCACAATTCTTAAGCGGCGAGGTCGTTCAATTCGTAAATGTTTTGTTTGGTAAAAGAAAGACAATACATTGATATTTTATTTCCTTTGATCAGAAACCTTGTTTGATGACGACAGAAAGATTTTAATGACTTCACAAACTTTTCTAACTGATAGAATTCGAATCCGTGCCGAATATTCAGCTGATATGCAACCCTCAGTTGGAGAGTTTTTCAAGACCAACCCCGCTACGGGCATGTTTATCCCCCTAAGATAAGTTTCATAGCTTTCTATAAACAAGAGCGACCGAATTAAATCTAAAAGTCTTCGTTAGGGACCATGTCTGAATGGCTAAAGATCCAAATATTGCGTTATGAAAACTTTTAAACAATGTAAGCCATGTTATTGGAGAAATACCAGTTTGAAATTTCTTTTAACATTTTTTGGTCTAAATTTTATTTCACAAAGGCTATGAATAACTCTCTTACATTTGCTATTTCTATTTGCAGATATATTGCTAAACTACGTTTTCAGATTAGCCTAAAATGCACCACCAGGTGGGATGAGGTTTCCTAAGGTTACAAGATAGAGAGTTTAATTAGGTGCTGGCGTGAATTTCCAGGCTTATTTTTTTAATCAATAAAAGTAAATTTGTTTTTTATCCATCACTTAAGAGTATTAAGCGTGAATTTCTGACTTCTTAAGGTTTTTCTTTGAATTCGACCTCCCGTTATGCCAGCACTTTCATCTGAACCTGCGTGAGACATGCGCCATATCAATCCTTGTGAAGATATTTTTAGCTATTTTTGAGTAAGTATAACTAAGATTGTAGTGCATCTTTTTTTATCAGCTTAAGGATTACATCGTTTTCTGATAACGGAATTCATCTCTAAGTCTGAGCCTTTTTCCTTCTTGTTGCATTTTTATTGGTATCATAGGAGTGACCAACTAATACAGGCACGGCGGAGGCTGTATTTTTAAATGGGGGGCTTGAAAATGATTGGCGGAGACGGTAATTTGTAGGGGGAGGGGGGGCAGCCTATCTTAGAAAATTGCTAAATCTAGATGCTCGGAAATGCTATCCATCAGATATTCTTTCGGAAAATTTCCGACAATTTTTTGTTTAAAGTTCTAGCTTCTTGAATTTTTTTTTCGTTTTCTTCCTCTTATTCTTTAAAGCTGAAAGAAAATAAAATGTTCTCTTCGCAAAATTTAGGAGGGCAAAAGCCCCCACTCCTTGTTATGTTAGTTAACTACCGTTTGAAAAACAAAATCAAGAGACAGTTATGGACACGTGGAAATACGGGATGGAAGAATAAGAACCTAAATAAAAAAATTTTAATGAACAATTAACGATGATATCTCAGAACAGAAAGAAATAATTGTTTGCAAATTTTATCCTCAGAAGAAGAAATCTCAACCGGTAAAACTTGCGGCAGTTTGTGCTTCGATGAGAAATCTTGCATAAAATAGCTAGCAAGACCAGGGGCAAATCATCCTCGGTCAGGGTAGAAGTTTTCAGTACTATAATTAATTTGCAATGAGATTTTTCCTGATAATGTTTCTCTTATATTATTGAGACCGAAACTTTTCTCCTCGAGTAACCCTTCATCGAATGGCCCAAGCAAACATGGCTGTATTAATGAAACTCATGAAAGGACTATGAGCCAAGCTTCACTGTGATTGGGCAGAAAGACACAAATATTTTCTGGCCCCAATCAGAAGCCAGAACAATTGCAACCGTTTGGAACTGGCGTGATAATACAATATCCCCAGGGACTCCTTGTCCTGACTTGAAAGGAACTAAGACCCCCTGGATCTCTGAGGATGAGGGAAACAAGAGAGATCCATCCATTGTTAGTACAATGACAATTTGCTCTTCAATTGGGAGGGGTAGGGGGATTTTGAAAAATGGCATTTTTGGGCAGAGTAGGCAGGTATCTCAATGTGATTTTGATCAAAGCTTGATTCTTTATAACATTTTCATTATTAGTATCATCATGATCATGATCATAATTACTATTATTATCTTAATTTTCAATAGTGTTGCATTCAATGTCAGGTCAGAACCCATCGGAAAGTAGCTATGAAGCTATTTCCCAATACTAATGAAGAAAATGGACATAAACACAAAAATGACATTGAATTTATTAAAAACTGTTTGCATTAGATAACTTTTACATGGTAGCTTTTAAATTTATGAAATCAAGTTTTTCCATGCATTCTCAATATCTGCTGAACTGCTGAGTATAATATTTGGGTTTGTCTGCATTAATGCATTTTTTTTTAGGTGTCACACAACAACACTTCCCTGATTCCTTCCAGAAAAATGTTGTGTGACATCCCAAACAATGGCCACACAAGAGCCTATGAAAGAGTCCATAAATTTTGATGTTTGATCTCTTGACAAGTCAGCTGCATTTCAAAGTCATGAATTAAATCCTTTCAAGTTGTTTTCTCTCCTTTTAACGACAATTACAGAGTAGGTGAAGCATATGATAAACATGTCACAATTGTCAAATATACAATATACTTGCACAGTTATACATAGTAGAAGAGTTTAGGACTAAACAGCAAATTAAGAGTTTTGATTAATTTGGTATGTGGCTTTAATTTTGTAAGAAAGCTTTTTTTAATATGGATAGGATGCGAGTCCATCACAGGCTACCCTCATAAAGGCTTTATTCAGCTTTCCTTCAGAATTTGCCAGTATCCATTTATATCTGGGGTGGAGAGAGTCACTGTGGAAGTTAAATGTCCTGCTGTAATACTATGACCTTGCTGAGTCTCAAACCTGGACCTGGATGGTTAGACCGTCTCAAATGAAAATGTTTCTTTCAAGCTGTATGCCATTCATTTTGTTAGAAATTACTTGATAAGAGGATTTGGAGTTGTATCAACTAAGATGGCAACCCTTGACTAATTTTTTGGTCCATTACCATCATTAGTAGATGGAAAATGTAAGAGGTTACATTGGTAAACACTTCTTTAGGCTGAAAGGTTCACATGACAAGAAAAGTCAGTCTCCAATCAACTGGACTACCATCATAATGATGATGATTTTGCCTCTTTTAAACATAAAAAAGCAAGATCCCATCACCGGATGAAGCGATTCAGTTTCACAGGTCAGATTTCTGTCCTTGAACGTTCCCGCCTTTAAGCAGACTATGAAACTTATTTCAATAAACTAAATATACTTCCTGATCAGCAAGCAACCTGGTTGCTGTGATCATCCTCAAGTGATTTTTCAGGACTTTCCTGGCCGTCTGTAGAGCCTTGAGACTTCTGACTCAAACAGTCATTGATCTGACCAATAAGTTCTGCACTGACATTGTTTTCAAACAAAACAAGTTCTTGCATTTTTGTGGGGTAATTAGCAATAACAGCAAAAAACATCTCTGCTCCCTTTTCACTCACCCCACATCCTTCCAAATCGACAATTTCTAGTGAAGAGCTTGCAGCCAGGGCAACAGAAAGCACACCAGCACCATAATCACCAATGTTGTTGTAGTCAATATAAAGATTTCGTAACTGTGAATTTGCAGCAATGGCTATGGCAAGCTGGGTCCATCCCAGATGAGTAACTCCATGGTTTGCTGACAGTGTAAGTTCAACTAGTCCCTCTTTTCCTTCTGTTGAGGGAAGAAGTGTACAAATTTGTTTGATACCATCATCTCTGAGTTGGCAATCACCAAAATCCAGAGATTGCAGTCTGGGATGTATCTGAAGAGCAGGCATCAAACACTCCAGGCCCTCATCTCCAAGGGATGTACCATGCAAGCTACAAATGCAAAATATAATGATTGAAACATATGAGAAACTTCCAGCCATCTACATCTCCCAACCCCAATATGAGTATTTCTGTGTGGACTCCAAAAGAATCTTTAGCAGGAAGGAGAAAGGAGGTGGTGTTGTCGGTGTAATAACACTTACCTGCTCTTGGTGTTGATTTATGGAAAATTTCTCAGGGAACAGAAAAAGACTGAATTTTGCTGAATAAGAGAATTTTGGACGGGCATGGAAGGAGAACCGCTAAACCTGAATCATTGGATTGTTTCAGTATGATTTCAAAGGAAATACACTTATAGAGAAATGTTTCAATAGACCTATTTACTGAACTGTTAAGTTTCACTTAACTGAAAGCTTTGCATGTGTTCTTGAGAAAACTTGCGGCATCTCTCCAAACAATTTTAAGATAAAAATTCATTTGAAAGGTGCTGTGAAGCACGACATACTGTAAGTCGGGCAAAGAATGATAACTCTTGTCGACTTCATCACTACAAGTTAGTGTAAAGTGGTGGTTGTAAGTTAAAGTACAAGCTAAATCGAATGGTTGTACTTACAACAACGATGTGAGATATTTATTAGCAACCAAAGCCTCGGAGAGCCATTTGATTCGGTGCTTTCCGTTGCATACTCCCAAGTTTAAATTAAGCTGAGCAAGAGATTCGCATTCTTTCAAACTGTCCATCAACTTCTTGAAATCTTCGTCATGAATTCTACAGCCCCGTAGAGACAGGATTCGAATGCTGTTGTCGTGCAGCGAGTCACAAATTCCCTTGACCTCGGCGTCCCTAAGATCTTCGCCAGTAATTTGAATGGTTCCCAAGAGCATTTCCGTGAGGTTGTTAGTTGATATATAAGGCAATCGTAAACAGGATTCAAATAAATTCGTCTCTTCCTTGTGGACTTGTTCAATAGATTACCATAGTTACCATTCCAACCGAGTCTAAATAGGGGTTAATGACTGATACGCACTAGAGACTGGGTTCAAGCCCAGGGTCTCTGAGAAAGAAAAATTATCAAATTGATAGGAAATTGAGGAAATCAGCGAGGATTGATGGATGAGAGTTGGCCATTTCAGTATATGAACGAATCAGTATAAAAAAAAATTGGCGAAGCATAATTTCGAAATTTGTGCAGATCTGAGCGAGGGTGTTCTAAAGAAACATTGTTTTTTAAAAAAAATTTTGACCATGTTCCCTCCATACTTTTCAGTTTGCTACCCATATAAGAATACTGGTTAGAGCCACTGTGCTAGTATCACACCATTTGAACTCTTGATGTACATTTTGTTCATTTTCAACTCCATGAGAGCAATCAACTCATGTTTCCTGATAATAATTCAAACTGCAAAAAAATCCTGTTTGAAAAAAAAAATCAAACTCAACCTAGGTTTTTGTTTCTCTGAAATATAAATTGCTGATAAAGCAAACCAATATGTATAAAATTTAGAACTGTCTTGCATATGGAATATAATCTCATATAGACTTGTTAATTTCATCTTGATATTTTCATGGCTTAGAACCTGCTGGCCTATCTACTTCCAAGTTAAACAACCAAACGAAGCCTCAAAGGGTCCTAAAGAAAGTGCACACCAAAGAACTCTTTACTCAAGCATTTTACTCTCTTATTACTGTTACAAGCTAAATTATGAACACTTGAAAAACCACACTAACCAGATAGAGTAGCACATCTTTTATAGCTACAGAAAAAAAATATAATTATAATAATTACGACCATAATGATAATGATAATTAAAATTCTAATAATGGTAACAAGAAAGATGATGATAATGATAATGATAAAAATCACCACTAATAATAAGTTATTATTTGTGATGAATTAACAGTGGTCATAATTGCTATCCCTTTAGGAATATATAATCAGATCCTCTCCCTCTAGTTAAGTAATACTCTTAATTAGTAATTTGTTTTCTATTTTTCATTTTTCTTCTTCAAATTTCCCCACCTGTAATTATAAAATATTTATTATTTCAGTATAACCATGAGCAGAAACCCTAACCTGCACCACCTGAGTTAATTAATAATTTCTATAATAAGCAATATGTCTAAGAATTATTTGCTCTTTGAATTTTCATGCAGCTATATTAATTAGCCCTTATTGGCCTTTGTCAACTGTGTTTTTTCTTCCTGTTTTTCTTTCTATGTAAACAAACAGCAAGCCTAGCCCAATCAAAGAACTTCAGCTACTTTGGCAGCTGTATATCTATATAATAAAAACTAATATACATGCATGGTATGTATTTCTAAAATACAATCTGTCATCATTAATAAGAGAAATTTCTGCAAAATATCTTCATTTGTCCATCAACATATTTGTTCAGTTGATATTATCACTACCTAATATATTAATATCATAATTATAACATAACTGTTTTATACTCCAAAAAGAGCTAAAAATTCAATCAACATTGACACTAAATTAGCTTCACATCTTCCAAAATGCCTACGTCATAACTTCCAAAGCTGAGATTCTTTCTTGCTGTCACAAGCTCTGATCATAAGTTTCTTGGTTGTAATGTCGACCTCAAGGCATTTATTGTCATTCTCATCATCCTCTAACATGATAGCTCCATTTTCATGTCTCCATTTCTGCCATAAAAAAAGTATGCTGTTTACAGTGTACTACTTGGGGGATTATAGGGAAAGGGGGATGGGACAGGGGGATGGGAGAGGCAGATGGGAGAGGGGGATTACGAGAAGGTGATGGGTGAGGGGGATTACGAGAAGAGGACTGCAGAGGGGCAGAATCTCATCCCAATCAAACTTTTGATTGGCCTAGTAATGCATTTTTTAATAAAAATTTTCTCATTGGGAATGAAATTAACTGTTTCAAAACTTACCTTGGTCTTCCTGGTATGCTGTATCTTGACTTATTTTTAAGTAAGTCCTCATAACAATATCATTTGCAATACAACTAGGGCATATTAATCCATCAAACACCCCCTCATGAGAATTAAGCAGACATCAGGGAGAAAACAATTAAGACCCCAGGGGTGACCAGCTTCCAGGATGAATACATTTGGTGGTGATACCCCTTTAACCCTTTGACCACTTTGAGTGACTAGAATCTAATTTCTCCTTACAACATAACCCTGAATCTAGGGTCATGAGAATAAAGGAAAGGATCCACATCTGAAGACACTCTAATTTTGATTGTAAAACAAGTTCTTGTTGTCAGGACCTTAGCTAATGTATGGTGAATAGTAAGAAGAATATACATATTGATGTTAGGGTGTATAGGGTCAAACAAGAATAAATATGACCTCAGATGTCTGAAGGATCCTTTAATTCAAAATCATCACTATCAGCTTAACCCTCTAACTCCCACAAGTGACCAAGACAGAATTTCTCACTACATTATTTATACAGTAACAAGCAGACAAGTGATGAGAGTATAGAAAAGTATCAATTTTGGGTTATTAGCTAATCCAATACCAAATTCTCCAAACTAATATCATAAGAATTGTATAGCAGAAAGTAAGGAGAATTACTCATGTGATCTTGGGAGTGAAAGGGTTTACTGACACTGTAAGGATGAGAGAGCTGAAAAGCATGCATTGCTTTGGCATGATACATGATAGAGAGCTTTCTGATTGAATGCTGTAAAATCAAATTCAACCAATTGAGAGAAGTCACACCGATCAGTACAAAGAAAAATAGCCTAAAGAGCCATTGAATAATCAATTGAAAGTAAAAAACAAGCAAACTGGCTAGAGCCCAGCAAACAAGGATGACCAAGTTGTAATCGGTTTACGTTTTGCATCTGATTAGTTGATGCATGAGTTTTCTCAACAAATAACAGAGCAGAGTAAAATAAAAACAATGTAATCTTAGATTGTTTACAACACTCAATTGAATACTCTCAATCACATATATGTGTTCAGCATGTTAAATGTTCTTTTCAGCTGGGCAGATCTGTCACAGAGGAAATGAGCTCTTACCTGATTTATGTCATCAGTATCACATGTTGCTGTCTGTACTAAGCTTCCATAAAAACCATTAGCAGACCTCAAGCAAATGTCATGAACATAGTTTTTGATAAACCCATTTGATAAAGCCCAAGCCTATCAGAGGAAAACAACAGTGAGACAAAATAATCACTACTAATAGCATAAGAACCTGAAATAGAATCCAACATTGTCCTCAGAGGTTGAATAGCATGATGACGTCATAAATATCATGTTCCTCAAAGGCAAGAAAATTCATGTTTCTCCCTATATTATCCCATTTTTGTAAAGAATAGAAGTGTAATTTAGAAAAAAAAATCCATAAGAACCACTTTCTTTTAACCCTTTAAGTTCCACTGGTGACCTTGACAGAAATTGCTTCCTTACACCATCAGTAGGATATCAGGCAGACAAGTAACCAGAATACAGAAAAATGTCAATTAGGGGATTATCGGTTGATCCAATTCCAAATTCTCCAAACTAACAGCAAATGAATTGTATAGTAGACAGTAAGGAGAATTACCAATGAAATCTTGGGAGTTAAAGGTTAAATGACACTGTCTTTCTGTTTAACTTTCTATCTTAAGAGTGATTCAGTTGCAACATAATTGTAATTAATGGGGTTCAAGAATGAAAAAAGAATCGAGTGAATACAAAAACCTTTAACCCTTTAACTCCCATGAGTGATCAAGACAGAATTTCTTCTTACTATATCTATACAATATCATGCAGGCAAGAGATGAGAATAAAGAAACATCAATTATGGGATTACTAACTGATCCAATACCAAATTCTCCAAACTAACATAATGAGAATCATTTGGCAGACAGTAAGGAGAATTACTAATGAGATCTTGGGGGTTAAAGGGTTAACTCAAGGTCTTTGATGATAGAACAAATTCAATCTTTCTCAGACTTGTTTCTAATATCAATTAAAAGTAAAGATAAAATTTATCATTGCACCGCATATCTAATAAAGAAAATGGAATGTATTTTTTTAACCCTTAAACTCCCATGAGTGATCAAGACAGAATTTCTCCTTACAATATTAATGCAATACCAACCAGATAAGTCATGAGAATAAAGAAAAATGTCAATTTATGGATAATTAGTTGATCCAATACAGAAGTCTCTGAACTAACATTATAAGAATTGTATGCATGACAGTAAAGAGAATTACAAATTCGGTCCGGAATTAAAGGGTTATAATAAGTAGCGAAAAATGAAAATAATAAGAAAAGCCATTATTATGTGTAATCAAACCAAAAATGAAAATTCATAATGTTATATTTCATTTTACCAAAGGTTTAAGTGTGTCAAAAAGGTAAAATTAAATGAGTTAGAAGCCAAAGAAGTTATGAGCATACAAAATGAAGAGAAGCTCACCTGGTTTCTTCCTTCATCATGGCATTCATACAATTCAACATCACTTCCTGTTGGCTTTTCCACTGAATCAATACACATTTCATTCTTAAAAGCACTTGATCTTATATCTCTTCCCCTAGTTCTATGATCATTCAAACATGTAAATATATCAACAAATACATCAACAGATGTATTTAAACTCAATACAAAATAATTAACCAAAAAAGTAAGTTTAACATAACTTTAGTTGGTATAACTTTCTTAATACACACTTTATAATCTGCATGGTAACTTACTTCAATTGTGTGTTAAAAACCAGATCATAAAGATGTGGGTATTTCATGGGGATACTGATAGGACTAATAGTTTGCCAAGAATTCTTCAGATTGAAGAAGAATCAAAACTTTCCACAAAGATGATGATATGGAATTCAGGAAATTTAACCTACATTAACTTGTAAAATTTTGGCCTTAATTCACGGATCAATATCAGTATCTGGGCAACTGTCCACCTACCCCTCCCCTAACCCAACATTAACCCTGACATGTTATCAATAGACTGTTGTTGGGTTAGGGGAGGGGTAGGTGGGCAGATGACACACTTGAAATTTGATATAAATTACAAGTAGTGCTGATTTGAATAGAGATTTATGTAATATGTACTGGATTCAAAGCTGAAATCATGGCAGATTCATTAAAATAACAAAGGAGTCACTTCTCCTTGACATTTGGGACTGGCTTGGAGGGATAATGGTCAGCACACTGGTCACTCATGGTTGAGAAGTCTGGGATTGAGACCTGACTGGCTCACTATGTTGTGTTCTGACTTGTGAAAGAAACCTTTATCTCAGTACTCCCTTAAAAAGCCTCTCTCAACTCAGGACTTATAAATGGGTGCTGGAAAATTGTTATGGATGCCTGGTGAAATACTGGAGGGTAAACTTGCAATGGACTAACATCCCATCAAGGAGGAGGGGGGAGGGGGAGAGTTGCAATAATCCTAGTCGCTTCATGCTGAGGAAATCAGGATAAGCTCTGGCTGGGTGAGCCACTTAGCTGACCAGTACAGAGTATACTTTAATTGCTTATTTTTTAAATTTTATTTTCTTATCAAAGATTAGTACCTCAATGGTATAGTTGTTGGAGTATATTCTTCAACTTTCTCCTCTTCATTTTGATTTACTCCATCACTTAACACTTGCAGAGCTTGCTTGGCTTTTTGGTGCCTCTGTAAAACTGCCTCTCCTAGCTTTTTGACCTTCTTATCCAAACTAGTCACTGTCTGATTTATCTTGTCATTGAAAGTCTTCATAGCATTAATAGTAGCCTTTTTGCTCTCATTCACCTTGTCACTGCAGATTGAAACAGTTTTTGAGTTTCACACAATAGTGCACATAAGATTTACTGAAAAGAGACACTGATTTGGCGACATGAAAAACTAGGATGTGGTATGGAAACTGACAGAGGTAAATGGATGAGGTGAACCACAATGGCAAGTCAGTAAGGAAGTGAATGCAAGGTTCATGCCAATCCACTTATAATCATCCTGTGCATCCAATGGTACAAAGTAAGAATGAGGGAAAATTGGTGAGATGAATAGTTTCATCTACTAAATTCCTCATAAACTTTAGTAAATCATAGTCAGATTGTGGATGAAAAAAATTTATATACCAAGCATACAATCTGTTCTAATAAATTATTAGAATAAGGCCACAACAACAAACATTTTCTGTCCCCATTCTTTAATGTTGTGCGCCAACAAAATGATCCGTGGTCTAAAACCCTTTACACCCTAACATCAGAATTCATATTCTCAAAACTACTCCCCATACATTTTTATGGTACTGACAAGAAGAATTTGACTGTATATTCTTGTGACATTCAAATTTGATTCATCAAGGATTTGAACGAAGACATAAGATACCAATCTCTCTTAGACGACTTACAGTCAGGCTATTAAAAGACTTTTCTCTTATTCCTTTGATTTTCCTTGTTGGAGGTTGGTGTAAGATTAATTAAAAGAATTATAAAGCACTGACAACTGAAATATTTGAATTTTGGACTCACCTCAATAAACTAATCTGCTCTTGAAGATAATTACCCACTGATACCATCTAATGCAAATGGGGAATATAATAGAAATTAATGCGCCATGTACAGATAGGTCATCTTGTTTCTTATTATCCTTACTGTCTACCATACAGTTCTTGTAATGTTAGTTTCAATTGGAAAAATTGTATTGAATCAACTTAAACGGGAACCAAACCTGTACTCCCAAAAGCTTCTCATTACCTTCACCATTGTGTGGGGTTACACGGAATTCTTGCCCTTTCAAATCAATTTCAGTCGATACTAGTCAGTCATCTTTTATAGGCCAGTCGATAACACGTGAAAAGTACCTGCATATTTGTGGTATCATAAGCTCGCGTCCAAAACAGCGTCCTCCACACAAAGAAAATAACAATCCAGGTAACAACGCACAGGAAGATCAAGATTTTCCTCTGCATTTGGCCACAGCATATAAGCTTTACAAAACTTAGACACGGAGAATCCTTTGGGATCTATTAGCCACTTGCAGTTGAACCGGCGCAAATCCGACTTCAATTTCAGATTTCAGTCACACTGTTCCTGATTAGATCTTCAAATATAAGTGCATACAATCTAATCGACCTCGAAAGAAGAGGAAACCCGTTTGGAGTTTCTTCTTGGAAACCACTAGTTGTGTACATTAGAATCCAATGAAAAATATTATTGAAGATCAATATCACTCTGGGAAGCGAGGTTGGGGTCTGGTAACTAAAGATGGCGGCCAAGTTACTGGATGCGCCGGATATACTTTGCAACAGCTTGACATGAAATTTGTAACTTTACGTTATGGCTCAAAAGGATGACCAGTGGATCCGTCTTTTTAATGTGTCGGACCCCAGAAGAGCTTACGCCGGTCACACTTTGTACAAAGTCACTTCCAAGGTATCTGAATGTATCTTGTCGGTAAACGCTCTCTTCAGCTATTCCTTTCAATTTAGATCGTATTTTCATCAGTTCGTTGAAAAGCAAATGTTTTACTTTTGTCCTTTATATGCATAGCTGAGAAAGTAACTTTTATCTCATTTTGATTGCCGTTTACTTAAATGTATGGGGAAATTTAAGCTTGGAATGATTATGCCTGATGTGATAATTAACCCGTTGTCGATTCGATCGTTACATACGATCGATGTTAACATTGATGTTTCTCCTGTGTAAGATGCAATACCCCTATTTCTACATTCATATTCCCCATTTATCACTTTCGATCTGCAATTTTACAAAAAAATTTCTGATAATGTTTGTCGATACGTTGTAACATTCAAGACTACATGCAGTGTATACTGCTGTTTACCTGTCATGGTTTTCCTCAGCTGATTCAAGGTTGTCTTTAGAGGCTGGTTAGGCTTGCTTCTTATTATTGGGTATTAATGTTTTTCATTTATTTTCCATTTGTAAGGTTTTTCAAAAGGATTTTCCTGAAGGAGCGACAGAGGTTTGTTCATTCTAAGTGCATGCTGTGAAAAGCCAGTCTACTAAAAAATGTTTATAATGATCATATTAATTGAAATATTTTCTCAAAATATAATTTCAATGTTCCAAGGTTAAGCTAGGTTAAATTTCTGATGTTTTCGTGGATAAGGCTCATTTCCTGAGCAGCAGCTGGTAATCAAATAGTAGATTAAGCTAAATAAGTGATAATTTTATCAAAAACTTTAGGAAATTACTTTTTCTGGAAGAAGCCTTCTAGTTGTAAATAGGTAGACAAAGAGTGACCTATTTTAAATGTTTTGAAAAACCTCTCAAATCTAACAGGAGGCAGATTAGTTAATCATTTGTGGAGTGTAGTCGGGGAACCTAGAACAAAGCTAGCTTGTGGTAGATTATGAGGAATTGATCCACTGCATCACTTGAGCAAGGACCACTGAATCACAAAATTCCTATGCTATAACCAGGTGGCCACACTGTTTTTTGTGTATTCTATCATCAATATAAAATTGTTTTTTTTTTCTTTGGTAATACAGATCTCTGTTTGGAGACGATTCAGTGACTTCAAGAAACTCCACAGAGAGCTTTTAAAGATTTACAGCCAGAAACATGCACAAGACAAGTTTCCTCCTTTTCCTAAGGCCACATTCTTTGGTAGGTTAACTCTTTAACTCCCGTGAGTGACCAGGACAGAATTTCTCCTCACTATGTCAATATTACATCAAGCATATGAGTGATGAGAAAAAAGAAGAATTTCAATAGGGGGATCATTTGTTGATCCAGTACCAAATTCTCAAAACTGATGTCATACGAACTGTATGGCAAACAGTAAAGCTAATGAGATTTTGGGAGTGAAAGGGCTATCTCATTTATTCCTAGCATCACAATCAAAGTACCAAAACATATTTTTGAAGGCTGTTCTTGATGCATCTACAGACTGAAGAAAAATGTGTCAAATCTTTTTGCATATTTCAATTTGTTTTTGGACATAGATTTAATCATAGCTGTCATACAATAAAATTAACAACCAAAAAGGACAGCTATGAGAGAGAAGATTATCCAGATACAGGTTCTGTTACATGCCTCATCAATCTTTTGGCTCCTAGAAGTGACCAGTACATAGATTCTCAGTAATTTGCTTGACACAGTGTTATGCTTGCTTACACATGTAATTAAAATGAAGAAAGAAAATTGTTAATCAGGGGGAATGGTCATGGAAGGACATCAATTTCTTAGCAAAGAAATGTAAGGTTATTGTTTTGGCAAGGAGAATTAACTTTTGGGAGTTAAACCTTTAATTCTCAGAAGTGATTAACATGAAATTTCTCCCTATAATAACCATACATTATTAAGCAAACAGGTAATGAGAATATTCAAACTAATCAGGTGGAAGTTGTTATCTTGATCTGACACCAAATTCTTGTAACTAATTTACAAGGAGATGTGTTGCAGCTAAAGGGGAAAATTAACTATCAGATCTTGGGACTTAAAGGGTCAGAGGGTCCAAAGAAGGTAGATAAGGTTAATGGTATTTTCTGGCTGTGCATGCTGTTAACACTAATAATGAGCAGTGTTGTCTTAGGTAGAGTGTCCCTTACAATCTATGGTCCACGAATTTCATGTTCTAAAAACTTTCAAACCAGTTATGTCAATGGGCGTGAATATAGAAGCAACTGAATTCAGTAAATACATTATACTGTAGGTCGTTTTGATGATGCAGTTATTGAGGAAAGAAGGAAAGCTTCCTTAGAACTTTTGACATTTGCTGGAAGTATTCCTGATCTCTTTACAAGCCAAACATTTGTGAAGTTCTTTGAGGTATGTGATCATAAATTTTGTTAACATGAATTTTTCTTAATATTACTTTAAATTTGTGGCAATTCTATGAATACTTCTGTTAACCCCTAAGAATGACTGGCTTCTAATTTCTCCTAACAGTGTCACTCCTGAATAAAATGTTAAGGTCATGAGAATAAAGAAAATGATCACCAACTTTTAGGAGCTCCTGAATATCAAACAAAATTCAGGTTGTCATTCCCCTAACAAATGCCAAGTGGTCAGTGAGGAGAATATGAGTACTGATGTAAAGGTGTAAAGGGTTAATGATACTATCATAGACTGGTTTCGCTTTTCGTCTTCAGAAATTTATCTTTACCATGTAGAGAAAGTACTTAATAATTACTCATTTGTCAATGGAGATTACTCCAGCCCGAAGGTTTTTTTTTTTCTTAATTCCATCTGTATTTATATATCTTAGGGGGCATTCCCTGACAACCAAGTTCACAATGATTGTGTTGCAAGCAGAGAAAGTAGCTTATCTGACACAGAAGGTGACATTATTAAGGACAGTTCCTCTACCGGAGACTCAGAAGATACCAGTAGATCTGGTAATACGGTTCAAAACTCGCAAGGGGATAATTCTGAAGAGTCATCCATTCTTGGTGGAGTGTGGCTTCACAAGCAGCCATCTCTGTCAGAGGGTCTAGACATTCTTAGCTCAGATGAAGAGGAAATTGATGGACAGACACCAGATGGTGATGCAAGCATTGGAACGCCGCCTGCTCTTACTGAACAGTCAAGTGGGAAAGCTGATCAGAATGAAAGAGAGGAACAAGATGATGTTTTTACCCATGATATCAATGCAAGTTTAGAAGAAAAACTTGAAGATGTGTCTAACAAACATGATCGTTCAAGTAGCACAGAGCCTCCTCGTTGGCTTGTGAGAGCAATTTCCATTTGTAGTGAGGGAGAGGATCTTGAAATTCTTGCTTCTGAAGCTGATGAAGAAGAACTGAGTTTTCCTCAAGCTTTTTCTGACCACAGTCATTGTGAGGTAGAGGAGCAGAGTACTGTCGATGACGCAACAAGACAAGAGGAAGGAAATCAATGTACCGATTCTCAAAATGGTCCTCATCTACAAGAAGTTTTATCAGATACCTCAAAGTCTTTAGACCAAGGTTCCAAAAGTAATAACTTAATGTCAATTGTATGTGAAACTGGAATGAACTGCAAGACAGAAATGATTCGTGACAAGACATCACATTCAATCAATAATGATCCTCTAGAACCTTCTGATTCTTCATGTTCAACAAAGGATTCAAATTCAGCTAGTACTGTAGATGACAGACAGTCATTTATAGGTGTCAAGAGAGATACAGGAAACAACAAAATAGTACGCCCAAGAACTGTTTCTGATCTGACAAACATCTGCATTGATCCTAAAGAAAGTGACTATTTGTATGCTGCTGGACACACTATACACAAGGCACTAGACTGTGAAGTGAATGGGAATTATGAAGAGGCATTCAGCTTGTACAAGACTTGTGTTGGTGTATTATTGAGTGGTGTACAAGGTACTTTTATTATAAATGAAGATCACAAAAAATTCAATAACACATAGAATAAGTGGAAAGCCCCCCTTGTTAAATCAATAAACCCCTCACTCTCTCCTCCCTGCCACTTGAAAAGAAAACAGTATTTGTTGTAAGTTTGTTGAATGTTACTTTACTGGTGATGTGTTTGATTGTGAATTTTTTTTTTTAACTTACAATAGTTTGTGCTTAGAGAGTGAAAGAAAGTGAGATTGCAAACATTTTTGGCTATTTTTCTTAAGGTGAAAAGGATGTTAAAAGGCGAGAGGCAGTGAGGCGTAAGACTGCTCAGTACCTGTTGAAAGCAGAAGCTCTTTACAGCACATACCTAGCTGGAAACGATTCTTATGAGAAATCTGAGGTACATGTAACTACTAATTGGTTAACTTAAGAACTATGTAGTTATTGGAAGTGGAATTTCATAATCTTCCACATTTAGAATCTAAGTCATAAATTTAATTGCTATAAAGTGTGCACTAAATAACCTTCAACAGATTATACAGTACTGTTGTGTCAGTTTGTCTGCAAAGAATCTATTGATGTTGTATTGAAAAGTTTCAAGTTTCTCAGTTCGTTGAAGTAATGGCTAATAGATGTGTATCTTAGAGGCTTGGGTTCTCAGTAAAATGTATTTGAATTTCAGTGAATTACTTGTAAATTCCTTTGCCTGGGAAATGCTTCCCTCAACAAATAGCTGGCAAAATATTTATACACTGACAGGTTTCAAATTTAAGTTTTCAGATGAGAGTGTAGAGAAATCCACTCTTAACCTGCAAGAAAATAGGATTTCTCTTCATAGCAAATGCATATCAAGGAGGGATTGAATTTATCTTGTAGAATTCTTCTCTATCACATTCTGGGGATTTAAGTCAGTCTGATGACCTTGAAAAATTCAAGGACCTCACTCTCGCAGACTTTAAAGTTATGGGAATTGTTGGCAAGGTTAGTCAGGATTGTAAAGCTGAGACTTTTTATTGCATTTTAGCTAACTGATTACTAATTTACAAGTTGCTCTGCAGAAAATTACCTTTTTTATCATATGACTATCCCATTATCCCTTATCATCAAAATGACTACCCTATCTGTTCAGCTGAGGTGGTCAGTTGACTTAATACATAATGATTGTAACTTTGCACAGAGGTTTTTTTCATCTTGCTCATGTGGATTTACATGTATAGGTGATGCTTGTTGAGAACAAACATACTGGGGATACATATGTGGTCAAGGTAAGTTTTGGAACATGGTGATGAACAAGAAATTGAAATTAAAATATAATTGTGGACATAAAGTATGTAACTGAGGCTTCAAGAGAACTAATTTCAATCCTTTTGCTTCCCCAAAGAAGTGCATGTGGCAATCTAAGTTATTTTGAATTATTATGTCATTTTGTTGCACCATTCCCATTCAACTTGAGGTTGGTAGTTGTCTTACCTCCCTGAAGACTGTACTTTACCTATTTAACTTGTAACTCTTAAACAAAAGATCTACAGCTGTGGCACTGATCAATTGAGACCTTATGACCTTAAAGCCTGATTCACAGATAGTAGTTTGGTAGTAAAAGATGTGTTTGTCGTGTCACGAGCATGGGACAAAGAAAAAATTCTGAGTCCCCATGAGGAATCGAACTTCAGACCTTCAGATTCTGTGCTCCATTGCTCTACCACTGAGCTACAGAGACTCTATGGCGAGCAAGGTCTGTTATATAACATATAACATGCATCCTGCATAATGCTAGGATCAGCAGTGTCGAAAGCATCATGTTTGTAAATAGAACAAGAGGGATGGTAAGTTTTGAGCTCAGTAAAGAAATAGCAAAAGATGTTTTTCATTGGGTACTTCCTCAAAATTCCTTTGCACTGAGCATTGTCTCATACCATCTGAGAACCAGACTGCAGCTGTATATAACCATCAGTGATAAATCATAATTTTATTTAGCATTAGATCTGCAAAATGCATCATTCACTATTAATTGATAATTTTCTTGGGAAGGTAAATTGTAATTGCCTCCTTTTGCTTTTCAGCATTTGTGAAAATATTTATATATAATTAAATTTTTTATCTGAGGTAATTTTTTTTTTTAAAACTTTCAGGCACTGTGCAAGTCAGGACAAACAAGATCAAACAACAATCCTCAAGGAAGCGTGCGTAAGAGGAAGAAATCTGTTCGGCGTCTTTATGTAAGTATTTAAAGTTCTGTTGTTACACCCTGAGAAGTGTATTCCATTTTGAGCATAACCACTGTCTTTTCATTTTTTAGGGCAAGTATCCAAATATTGTGCAACTGTACAGGTACTTTGAGACAGCCACAGGCATTTATCTTTTACTAGAGTATGCACGAGGAGGAAGATTATGGAATCATCTTTCCTGTTATCAGCGCAACAAGGAGTCACAGGATAACCTTATACGAAGTGTCAACAGAAAGTTTACCAATTTGAAGAAATCTGCAGCTGATGAACATGTGACTTTGGACATGGCAAATGCTGCTCCTCTTTCTCAAAGTGAGGTGGCTCACTTGGAAAGAGAGGTCATACCAAATGATAACAAATTGGAGTATAGAACTTCTATTGAGAGTAATTCCTCATCTTTGCAAGACAGCAAGCATTCTTCAAAAGTTACTCAAAAAGCTGTTGAAATGTTAGATACTACTGGAAATGGAAATGACCATCACATTTCAGAACCACACAGTTGTAACAATGAGGAGCTCTTAGCAGAAAATGAAGATCTAAGGGAAAACAAAACCGCACATGATAAACAATCACTTTTTGTGAAACTAGATGAGTATTTTGCTTCTTCAACTCAGAGTGTACCAGATGAACACAAAAGAGTGTGGGCAGCAGAGCTTGTGTTAGCTGTTGCTTACTTGCACACAGCAGGGATTATTTGCAGGTACAGCTATCATGACTTAAACTCCTTAACCCTTCAACTCCCAAGATCTGATTGTTAATTCTCCCCTCTAGCTGCTAAACATTTCTTTGTAAAATGGTTACCTGCAGGAATTTAGTGTTAGATCAGGATCACTACTTCTAACTGATAAGTTTGAGAATTCTCGTTACCTGTTTTTGGGATAATGTATGGATATTATAGGGGGAAGTTACATGTTAATCACTCTTTGGAGTTATGGTTAGAAGTGAAGTCTGTCTGGTTCATGGTGCCCTTTTCTAGAGCAAGATGCCTTACACTGAGAATTGGGATGGTCTCAACTCTTCCTGGGGAAAAATTTTTATAGACAGTATTTTTGGTTATTTCTTTCTTCCCTTTGTTTTGAATGTACAATGGTTCTCCTGTATGGACTCAATATTATTTATTTTTATTTTAAGGACAAGGGAGATTGTTGGTTATGGATTCTGTTAAGGGACTATACAACTAACAAACCTGGAACAAAGGGAGACAAAAATAAAACTATCCTCGTTTAAAATAATTTGACTTGATTCACCTTGAGATGCTGTACCATATCTTTTCTTTAAAGCGTTGTACCTCAAAATTAACTGTGTTTAGATCATAGAATATTGACTGAAATGGAGCTTTGAATTTTAACAGAGATTTGCACCCCAAAAATGTTCTTCTTGACGAAGAAGGCCACATCCTTCTCACTTACTTTGGTTCATGGGAAGAAACAGATCACATTCCAGATGAGACAGCAATGAATCACTTTTACTGTGCTCCAGGTAATGATCTTTTCAATTGGTAATATTATGATGCTGACATTAAACTTAGATGTTATTTTAATTTATGAATGATGTTTCACCAAGCCTTTATTAATTGACTCAATAATTATGTTAAATTACATATTTCAACATGATTAAAAAGATTGGCAGCGTAAACATACCCTTCTCCTTTGGATGTCCATCGACTTTTAACTAGGGAGATAGATACAGATGTTTCATACACTTATGTGTTGTGCATTTATTTGATATGTAAATGTATCTGCTATCAGTCTTTAGGAGGTTACATCAAATATAATTAAGTTAGGTAATACATTGCCAAGTCACTCAGACAGCTCCCAAGAGTTGTAAAGTTTTGATCTCCTACAGTAATTACAAGGCCAGGTGTCACATGTAGATTATTTACGTCTTTTTGAAGCTTTTGGTGACTTTTTTTTATATTTTTTTGTCTTTCATAAAACTAACAGAGATATGGCAAGTTGATGATGTAACTCCTGCTGCTGACTGGTGGAGTGTGGGTGCTCTGCTTTATGAGATAATCACAGGGCAGGTATGAGCTGGATGTTTGTCTTTTTTGCATGTATTCGATATCTATTTAAATTTTGTGCTGTAACTGGAAGAAGATCATTCCAGAGAAGAAACCGTTAAGTTGAAATTAGTTTGTCGAAAAGAGCAGAAGGGCAAGTTTATCCTCAATTGTTTTGTATGGAGTAATTGTTTCTCTTCTATTACTGAAAGGGAATTAGAGTCTGCTCTGTTGCTGATCAACTTGAGGCTAATCATTCAGCACCATGTAAACCCATTGTTCATTTGTGTAGCTTATACTAATGTTGATTGTTATTGATACTCATCGCAGGCACTGTCAACTGCACATCCCTGGGGAATAAGAACTCATACTGAATTACATCTACCCAACAAAGTCTCTCCTGAGGCAAAATCCCTTTTGAGAGAGGTGAGAGACAAAGAGTAAACTCTACTTGTAAACTTGTAAACTACTTCTACTCATAAACTACTTCAGTCTACTTCTACTTCTACTTGTAAACTACTTCTACTTGTAACCTCTACTTCAAGGTTGAACTTGGAATGCATATTTGTTATTTCAATGAGTTCTCTTTTGCTTTATAGCTATTAATAGGGGCTCATTACTTTGATTTTCAATGTGATCATTTTTACTTTCTTTTGTAGACCAGATTAAACATCCTTAAATGGCTTCTAAATGATATTATGTTATTTTTGTTTATCCTCTTCATCGGTGAAGATTTTCCAAATACACATGACAGTTTTGAGGTGTCAATTCCACAAAAAAGATTTAATTTTTAATTTTTTAATGTTACAGCTTCTGAGAGTCACACCATCTGAAAGACTGGGTGAGTTCTGTTTGAGTTTTGCTACATGTTAGTACTGTAGTAACACTGACACTCTTCATAGAGTTTCAAAAGACTTTTTTGTTGACTTATGTGACCCTTTCACTTCTAAAAGTAACTAGTATCTAAACCTCCTTTCAATATCACCCCTGAATCAAATATTAGGGTCACAATTAACCCTTTGACTCCCAAGATCTGATTGTCAATTCACCCCTCCAGCTATTACATATTTCCTTTTAAATTAGGTACAAGAATTTGGTGTTAGATCAAGAAAACAACTTCTACTTGATATGTTTGAGTATTCTCATTACCTGATGGCTGGATAATGTATGGATATTGCAGGGAGAAGTTAGATATTAATCACTTCTGGGAATTAAAGGTTTAAGAATGAAGGAAGTGATAGCAAATTCAAGTAACTCTTGACTGCTAGACAAATTCCTCGTCAGCATCTCAAGAAAATGTATCGAGAACAGTATAAAGAATATGCATTGAGTACACCCAATATGATAAATAACATTAATTTTTTAACTATTTGGTGTAGGTTCTGGTGTGAATGGTGTCGAGGAGATCAAGTCACACCCGTTCTTCAGTGGAGTCAACTGGACATGGTTGTGTTCAAGAATCAATTAAAAATAACTGAACCTGAAAATAATAATTTTAATTCATAATACAGATTGAAAAAGATGTAATGATAAGTGTAAAGTACCCAATGAAATGAAGATAAAGAGTTCAAATAATCAATTTGAAATAAGAACTATATCAAAATTTGAAAATTTTTTACTGTGTAATTATGTGTACAGTATTAATGCACAAAAAGGTATAAATTGAAATTAAGAAGCTCGAAATTTACTATCTTTCTTATTCTGTATACGCACATGATGTCTTTGAAATTGTTGATCCTAGCAGTACAGAGCAGCATGCAGGACGTGTGTCACTTATAAGGTTGCAATGGCCTAACTTACCATAGAGTCTCTGACTCAGTAGCAGAGCTTTGAATACAAAGATCTGAGTTTTAATTCCTCATGGGGACCCAGAATTTTTCTTTTGCTACACACTCCTGACATGACAAAATATTTCTTAAAAGTTTATCTTTCTAGTTGCAAATCTCCTCCTCATTTTTTTTCTTTGAACACTAGTATTATATTAGTAAAGATGGCCTGCCATCATTTACTAGTGATGGTTTTTTTCCAAAAAAAAAAGCAATTTTTCAATTTAACATCAGGACATTTTCAGAGAAAAGGGATGATGAGAAACTGAAATGGCTGTGAAGGGATGATTGATTTAATTCATAGATTTAAGACCCAGAATGTGAAAAAATTGATTTAATAGTCAGTAATTGATTTAATAGTCAGTAAGATAGGAGGCACAACCAATAAAATTTGTAATTTTAAGCTGGCATTACCTAGAAAGTATCATCTTTTCTGTAAACAATTGATGCTATAAGCAGTGTAATTTTCAAATGAGAAGTCAATTTAAATTTTTAGTTGGAAGCAGTCTTAAGACCAAAACAATCATGAAAGCTTCAAGGGAAATAATGAAGCAAAACTTTCTCCTTTTTTTTTTTTTTTTTATCCTGAAAGAACAGAGAAACTTTTTTTGGTAACAGACAGTTTTATCACCGTTACTGTTTTAAGTTGGTAAATGACTTTTTAGCAAAATAATGCAGCCCATCTGGAACTATTACTTTGTTGAACCACTGATAGACGAAAGGTGATTAATGTTTTGAAGGATTTAATGCTCCAGAAAAGAGGTTGAGGCATATACTTGCAGGCATGTATGTGTTATTGTATGGTTAGAGACTTGCAATTGGTGCACCAGTCCTGTTGAGGAGATTTTTGATATACACAAGAGCAGGACTGTACTAAAGTTAAAAAACAAAGCTACTACAGGCAAAATTATTTTAAGCAACAACTTGAGGAAGGTCAGCAGGAAAACTCACTTCACTTTGTTGAAATTAGAATGTTCAGCCTAGCATGAACAAGGTGTATGATATAAAATTGCAAGATAATGAATGGCTAGGCTTTGTGTTCTTCAAGATGTCATGCCGTGCTTCCCAAAAGAATGCATTGGCTGCCAGTTCTGAGGATGGTTGTGCAGGTGTGGCCAGATTGCCATGGAAACATTATTATACGAGTTGCACTAAAAGGAGGTGAAAAGAACTGACCCTTCTGTGTTAACATTAGAAAAAAGTCCAACAATTCTGATGTGAATCATGAACGAGGCTAACTATGTAGATTTGAAATCATGGACAAGACATAATTTCACACTTTTTTTTCATTTATGGTCACCCTCAACATTACAAAGGATTAATCTCCATCAGCTACACTTAACAACCTGATAATCAACTTGCTTACTAACAAATAGTCTTTCAGTAATTGCATTATCAATAGTATAGGATTATATAAAAACTAAACTAACAGAATTGCAATATTCAAGGTTCTCTGAAGGAACAATCAAAACCTACACCAATTAGGAATGATTCCTTACTATTAAATATTGCCACAAGGTTGAATTAAATTTAACGTCTTGAGGTACCATCTAAATATTACTGGTAAGTGACACACAAATAGTGAACGATCCCTGGAAGACTGATAATGGTTATAACAGACAGAAGTTGAAGTTATAATTAAAACTAATTTGAATGAAGTACATTTTAAATACTGACAAACATTCTTGTAGGATTTCACCCTTAAAGAGAACCAAACCTATAAGAATCTCAAGTTTCATACATTTAACCCTTAAATGCCTAACATCAACATGCATATTCTCCATACTTTTCTCTTTAATTTCCTTTGGAGCTAAAAAGGAGAAATTGTTCAATAATCAAAAGCTTTCCGAGTTGTAAATCGTTTCCTTAATTCTTGAGCCCTTAATGTATAATTCAGGGGTGATATAGTATAGAGAAATTTAAGGCTTGTCACCCTCAGGGGTTAAAGAGTTATTGGTTCATCCTTGCACAAGAAAATGCTTCAGCCAGGTATTGTTTGATAACGAAAATATTGCTTGGCAAATAAACATTTTGAACTGGAATTGGTATATAACTACAAAAAAAAAATTGAAAGAAGAAAAACTGTAATTTGTGAATTCTACCCGAAACTTGCCTAGGAATATTCAACATATACTTCTTCAAAAATATCTCAAATTGCAAAATGGAAAATGTAACAACTCTAAGTTACTGCCACTGGGCTATGAAAATTACTGCACTAATAATAACTTACAGGCAATGCTTTAACTTTGTGATGACCTTATTACATAGAATGGTTTATAGTGTCCAATTTTGAAGACCATCTTTCTCTTAGAGTCTCTCTGCTAGTCTGAATCTTACACTTCCCACTAAACAAACTCATACTACCATACCTTGCTGAAAATCTTTAAGCCATATTAGTATACACTTCACATTTGAGCCTATTGATAATATATTTCTTACAACTTTTAACCCTTTCACTCTCTGATCTCATTATTAATTCTCTCCTTATTGTTTGTTGTACAATTCTTATGATATTAGTTCAGAGAATTTGGTATTGGATCAACCAATAATCCCTCAATTTTATTTTCTGAAATTCTTGTCACCTGCCTGCTTAATATGGTATTGATAATGTGAGGAGAAAGTCTTTTTTTGGTCACTCTTGGGAGTTAAAGGGTTAAGACTCTAGTACGCATTAAAATAATCTGTGTTTTTTTTTTTCATCAAAATAAAACAAATGATTGAAGAAATCTTTGTCTTGTGGAAGAACTTGGATTGAGTGATTTCTAAAAAAATTAAGAACAATTAAATAGACTTAACCAAGAGGTAGAAGTACATGTATTGTAATGTATGGGAAAGATGAGACTGATGATAAGTTACCCTAATTAACGTTTTGAATGAACAATTGAATGTGTATTAAAGTATCAGTGTAATTTACACACCCACAAAGGATGTCAGAATAAAGTATACCTCTAGGTTCAATTAAAAAGAGGGAAATGTCAAGTCCTTGAATGGCATGAATTACAGCTGAGCTAACAAAACGCATTTCCCTTGAAACAAACCAATGCTTTTTCTGTAATCTTCAATACTGAAACTATCAGTATTTCATTAGATAAAGCGTATGATTTTGTCTAAAAATTGAAATAAATTAAGTTGGCTAGTATCCCATAAGCTTTCTTTCTACCCTTTCCTTAGTCAACCACTTAATGGAAACTTTGTTTCTCCCACTTCAATTACTGTTGCTGCTTGGCAATTAAAATTTATCTGTAGACTGAGGAGTGAGGAAAAAGAAAACCTGTGAGATCAATTTAAAGCTTCCTATTGCAAGTGCCACTCATTTTTGCCATTTTTCAAAATGATGGCTTGACCTCTATTAAGTTTTATCTTATTGACGTCCACTTCTTGGCCAACCATATTGGATTCTGTATCAAATACCACCGTCCCCCTGCCTGAGATCTTGTCAAGATCACCATTCCAACTGTCGTCACCAAAGTTGATGATGATGAGGAAGTGCTGGTTTTCGTGACTGCGAATAAAAGAGAACACTTGCAGATCAGTGTGCACCTCTTTCAATACACCCTCGACTAGGGCACTTGCATTCCTTCTTAGCCCAACAAGCTCCTTGTACTTGCTGTAGATTGAATCTTTGTCAGTTTTTTCAGTGGCCACATTGATGGACTTATAATCCGAGCCAACTTCCAGCCAGGCTTTGCCTGTAGAGAAGCCTGTAATCACAATGAAGAAAAATATTAACAATAATATGGTGACCTATGGATACAATAGACATTCTAGGGCTGAATTTCATCTCCCATGATGGCCTTCCATGTCATGTGTATTGGTAAAATTGTGATATGCAAACTGATGATGGTGGTTACCCTACAAAAAGCATTTTAACAATATTTTTCACCAAGGACACCATTGAAAGTCTGTTGTATTCTTAACCCTTTGACCCCTTAGAGTGACTAACATCTAATTTCTCATTACACTGTCACCCCTGAATCACACATCAAGGTCATGAGAAAAAAGGAAATGATCACCAAGCAAAGAAGCTCTTGATTGGTAAACAAATTCTCCTCATCAGCATCTTAGGAAATGTAAGGAGAACAGTATGGAGAATATGGATACTGATGTTAGAGGATAAAGGGTTGATCAGGTATTTCAGGAACACAATAAATCATCCTTTAACCTCCCAGGATCTTATTGGTAACTCTGCCTCATACCAGATGTAAGAGGATCTCATACATTTAAGTCAAGAGAATGTTGGGTTTTATATCAAGACTACCTACAAGAAACTAATTCACTCACCAGCATTTGCTTCTGCATTCCACTGCATGGGGGTTCTTGCACTTTCCATAGGGTCATCTGGATTTGTAGTTTTACCATTTAACATGCCAATCTCTTCCCCATAGTAAGTACTAACCATACCAGGCAGAGTGAGTGCAAGGACATTCATTGCATGTCTTTTTTTCTTACCCACCCTGTTGCCAACACGTTCATGGTCGTCATGGCCAGTGACCCAGTTGGGTATCTTGCCCTTTGGAATGCTGGCCAAGTATTCCATGACAGTTTTGTTGATTCTCTGAGCTAGTGTCATTCCCTGTTCATTGAGTTTGGTGATCAGGCCAAAGTTGAATGGAATGTCTGACACCTCATAGTACTTGGAAGTCTTGTCATAAGGTCCGTCCACCTCTGTGAACAAAATAGGGAGGCTTCCATTCTGCTTGTTAAGGAAATCTTGGAATTCCTTCACCAGGGCTCGGCTAGCATCAAGATCTGAATGCAAAGATTAACATTTAATTCTATCAGTTAATAAAAGATCATCATTCTTTAAACACATGGAGAACATAAAAACTCAGACTAAGAGAATCACGAGAATCATATTCTTGGGAGTCAAAAGGTTAAATAAAATTAAGATTTTATTTTTCTTGAAAGATAAATGCCACTTACAGTGGTCACCACAATTTATAAAAAACTCGCATTTCACTTAAATTGGCTTAAATTATTAATTGATTGCAAAAAACCTGAGAAAAAAATTTCTGAAGTGAAAATCAACCTTGAAAGCAAAATTCCCTTCACAAATTCAAGTTTCCTTCGATTGAAACAAGGAGACGCGAAGTAAACGGCTTGTTGATAAATTGTGTGACATCCTTAAGTGACAATATGTCGTGCTCGCAGGTCAAGTCATCGGAATGTAAACAAAAAATTCACGTGCTGCGACAAGAAAGGCCCAACAATGAGTTGTCCTTCATTAGCTCGCACAAAACGAAATCACCAGAACGCGTACAGAAACACCACATGCTTTGACGAGTACAGTCAAGAGCACAATTTGTAATTCCGCTGTGATAACCTAAGACAACCAGCTGCAGTCAAAGTAAAATTTATATACAAGATTACTGCAGCGATCGATTGCTTGAAAAATTCTCTAATGAAATTTTACTAACAAAATGAATTAAATTTCTAAGCAAAGTGAGCTTCTTACCAAACGTAAGTGTGTGTTTCAGCATGTCGTATTTCAGATCTGACGCATTGTAGTTGCTATTTGGGGTCTCGTCACCGAAATTCTCGTTTTCAATCAGGAATTGCACAGCATCAAAATTAAAGCCATCGACTCCTTTTGCAAGCCAAAACTTCAAGACATCCTGGAGTTCTTTTTTCACCTTTTCATTTCTTAAATTCAAATCGGGTTGCTCTTTGCTGAACTGATGAAGGTAAAACTGCTTGGTGGTGATGTCGAAGGTCCAAGCGCTTCCCCCGAACACGCTTATCCAGTTGTTTGGAGTTTCATTCTTTGCCGGACCACCTTTCCAAATGTAGTAGTCTCTATAAGAGTTATTGCCATCCTTTTTGCTCTCCAAGAACCATGGGTGTTTATTAGAAGAGTGATTCGGAACGAACCCCATGATTACCTTGATGCCTTTCTCGTGAGCCTCTTTGATGAATTTGTCGAAGTCTTCCATGGTTCCGAACATGGAATCGATGGCCGTATAATTTTCCATATCGTAAATCGGGTTAAGCCACACAGCCTGTACTCCCAATTCAGTGAAGTAATCCATCTTGTTCAAGATACCTTTCAGATCGCCATTTCCATCTCCACTCGAGTCTTTGAAAGAACGAGGATACACTTGGTAAATGATCCCATGTTTCAACCATTCATCTGTCTTTGAGGGTCTCACTGCTTTTCTTCTTCTCTGGTACTTCTTCTTTCTTGTCGCATTTGGGTGCTACAATAATGATGATGACGGCTGCTACCACCATCACAATTACAATCGCAGCGAAAACCACCACGAGGGTCAAGCGTGTTTTCCTATGCTGTGCTATTTCTTCATCGCTCGGTTTCGAAATGTGCGATGGATCTTCAAACGTAATCTTCGCATCATCTTTGGTTAAACTACTGAATTCCACTTCATTGGTCATTTTTCTGAGTACTGTTCACTTGAACGTGCGATGTATCCGTTCAAGAGACGGAGGTGGAACTGAAAGGCTCGAGGGCACAACTAGAATGGCGCGAACGAACGATCCCAAAACAATCATTTCCACGCGGCAATTTTTCTTTGGATCACGTGGCCTCCTCATGAGAAGGTTAGATAATTTCTTGGGGTGCGGTGGGGTCTCTTTGTAAAACAAAATAAGGACATCAGCGCCAACGGAATTGTTCAAAGAACGTTTAACGATAACTGTGCAAAGAAATTGTTCCTTGATTTCGAATTTGTCAAATTATATGGAAAATTTGCAACACCGCGGGATAAGATAGAGCCAGGATTTGATACCGCCCTACCGTACCCCTGTTGGTGATCCGTTGTTGAACTTTGTTCAAAAGAATAACTATTAAGATCCGTCCACGCTAGTCTACGGGTTCTCACATGCTTTCAACTTGCCTTTTGTCTCAAAAACAGAGCACACATTGCATCAGAAATTTAATTAACATAGCAAAAGTTATTCTATTTTCCTACTGCGACTTTCTTTCATTGAGGTTTGAAAAAAGCCATCCTGCCTTTGCAAAACAACCGCAGGGAGTCTGAAAAACTGTGAAAGTCGCTCGATATGAACAGGATTATCGATGGATGATCTGGGAAGTAAATTAAAATGACGTACGGCTATTATCCTTCGCAATTTTTTTAAAAATATTTTTCAGTTTCGTCCTTGCATTCAATTTTTTGGTCTCTAGCACTGAATACGCTTAGCTTTCCCTTCGAAAAATTCGTCAAAACAGGAGCTCTTGATAATGAATACCCGTATTTAGGTTTGCCGTGACTTTATGAACAAAAACAAACTCTCCTGCGACTACATTATCGTGTATTCGAATCCTGGGAACACGCAATACATAAATATTATGGACAATGCAGGTATGAGTGCTGCGGTTTCGCATTGCACAGAAAAATATTCATTTTACATCGACCTGAATTAAGAACGTGCCAAGATCGAAGCCAGGTGTTTGAAAGTCTAGTAGCGGTGAAATCGGAGGCGAGAGGGAACACACCCAATAACGTATGTGTGGAACAAATGAGGCAGCTTGCAAACAAAATAATTTTGCACTAAAATCGCAATTGCAAAGACTAAGAGCAAGATAACTTGGACAAAGTTGAGGCAAATAATTTGAGCAATAACAGAGTTTGTAATAGAGAAGAAAACAACATCGTTTTAATTTTCCATCCCTACTCCGCCCAAAGCTGAGGATGATTTGCATTCCAAGGTGGGAAGTGAGAAGTGCTTCTGTTTCTGTCAAAAATGTCACAAATTTTGTTTTGCACCTGTTCTTGTACAGGAAGCGGCAATCAGGAATAACAAATATATAGTCAATTTTATAGATTGTCATAAACTCATCGCTCTAACTTCATCTACACATAGACCTACTACTCTTTCTGCAAGGATCAAAGTCCTCTCTGAATATGTAAACGAGTAAATGGTTTCAATAACACGATTTCTTTAAAAACTAAATGAAACCTATCTACGTGAGCGATTCCAATAAATAAATAATTACAAGGTGGCGGCTTTATAATATTATTGTTTACAATTATAGGGTAGTTTTCACGGTCTTGAAACAAATGGTTAAATATAACCAACCTTCTATCGAAAGCAAATTCGTGTTACCTGTAAAACACTGGGGCCACACTTTTAATGGGCACGTCAATGTTAGTCCTATTTTTAATTAAATTATCTTTTGCTTTTAGCAGAATCACTATTAAGTTAGGTTCAGATAATTATGTTCTGTCATTTACTTTGTCCGACACAGCTACGGAAGCACTTATGAGAAATTTTCTCACTCAGGTTTACAATAAACCTGACAACATATTGAAAACTTCTTAATGAAAAAGACGGTGTTTCAAATGAGACAGGTCTCATCATTTCGACTGACGCGCCGCTTGCTTTAGGCGTCGATTCAAAAAACACTGCACGTTTGTTTAGCAATAGGCGGAGTGCGACATGAGCACAAATCTATTACAATAACCACAAAAACTAAGGTATTGAAAAAAATTAAATATATTTCTTTGAGCTGTTTGCTTATGTTTGCTGAAATAATTTCGTTACACCATTTGCTTTTTGTACCATCTTCCAAATTACATTTGTTCGAATTTCTTGCTCTCCGCCGCTTACTTAATCGGATTAATTATGCACAATCCACCAGCAAGCAATGGCAAGCCCTAATGTGCTCGCCCCAGCTCTTCACACCTAAACATATCGAAAATGCGCACTTTGCAGATGAACTATTATTCACTGACGTCACTCTCAATACGCCCTGCTTTCGCAAACTGCTCGCGTCTGCTCTTTTACAACAGCAGGTCGTCCAACCTCGTCCCCAGGGTCCTCTCTGGAAACGAGGATGCATGTCGTCTTGGTAATCTGACGTAATCATATCAGAAATGCAGACTACAAATCTTTTGGTTGGTTTCAAACGGTCAAAGTTTGTAGTCAGGAAGATAGACCAAGAGGTAATTCCTTCCATTGATGTTTCTCGATTGAAGGCTTTGAGATCCAGTACTGAGGCAGCAATTGACGAAACCACTATTCATAATCTTCAAAGTCTCCGTAGTCTTCGTCGACATCTGCAAAAACATGAAAGAATATGAAATAAATAAACAAAATAAATAAACAAAATAAATAAATAAAAAGAAGAAATCGCAGTTATTTTTAGTATGAATTCTGAAGATGACTGTTTTTCCCTTTTTCAGCGATTACTGGTCGCACGAGAACGCTGCGGTTTTAGACAAAGGTTTGATCACGAAATTCATCTATTTGAGTGGGTGGTTTGAAGTAAGAGCCCTCCTACCATTCTTCAAAAATTCAATGTATAGATATGTTGAAGACAGTTTAGAACGAGGTTTTGCGAGAAAATAGCTTCCCTTCGTTTAAATAACCAGCAAATGTTTTTCTCATGCTCACCACGAGCTGAACAGAATTAACCGGTCGACCAGTTTCTCAATAGCTAGCGCGTCAAACTTCAAATTGAGAATCTGGTCTTTACTCTGTATTAAGTCTCATCAATATTGGTCTTCAAGAGACCCTGCTCTTCTTCCTTACTAAAAATTAAAATGGAGGTAGTCTTGCAAAAGTATTGTGAAAAAAGTCTCGCGAAGAAGTCTATCGTGCACCACCCAATGAGGCTAAATTAAGTTTTTTGTTTGTTTGTTTGTTTTTTTAAAATCGCCCTCAAAAGTGTACAAAAAAGAAAAAAAATAGGTCTAGTTTTCCGCCGGCAACTCTCTTACTAAGACATAAGAAAAGCTTAGGAAAGACAAATCGCTAGTAAAATTACCTTTTTCAACGGGGTTATGGGGAAGTTTTTCGCCAAATTTAAAACAAGTTAAACTCAGTAATTCTAACAGGCGAAAATAACTTACTGGCATCATATAAGTGTCCCATTAACTGTACTGCGCTCACTGGTTCCTCGTCCTCCTCTTCCAGTTCATCAAACTCCTCCTCCTCCTCCCCCACAGGGTTGGTCTCGTCGGTTTTTTCATACTCCACTGGCCCGCTTTCAACAACGACATCTTTTTTATCTTCTTCCATCTTTGCCAATTCTTGAGGCTGAACAAGCTGGTGAAAGTAGATTCAAAAATTCATAAAGGAAACTACAGTGGTTCTCGGTAACATTGACCGATGATGGAATACGCACAAAAAAGCCACAACTCGGCTTTTCCACAGTGACCCCACCATTTCATTATAAAAAAATAAATAAATAAAAAAAGAAGCATACACACTTCATGTAACATTATTAACATTATAAATCGTTCTTACAATAATTGTGCCGTAATCGCACCAGTCTTCATGTCACCACAGGAGTATAACTCTGCGTTTTCAGTTTTTCTATTTTAGCCTACACTAATAGACAGGCGTTTTTTCATGCCAAAAAAAAAAAAAAAAAAAAAAGCACGAGCAAGGGGAGGGAAGGGGTGCAAAAGAAAACACGCCTCTTCTACAGGATTGTCTATCTTGGAAATTTTCCCCAGAATTTCCGAGTTTGTCGTTTGCGATCCGTGGACATCTTCATTATGGTTTGTCCTTCTTGGTCTGTAGTCATCTACTCAATTGGTATTTCAATATGTTCTCCTGATAATAATTGCGGTAATTCTCATTAAGTTAAAAGTACTTCTGTACCTTGCATAAAACGAATCAAAATGCCATGACGCAGGGTTCAGTCAGGTGAGGTTTAGCAGAGTTTTTTTTTGAGATGGTTAATGTAACGCGATGAGATATAGACTGTACACCCACCTTTGGTTTCTTGAAGGTGTCCAGGGGCGAGACAATTGGAGTGGAAGAATCTCTAAAATTTAAAAATTATCATGATTTTGAAAAAACATTCAAACAATACAAGAAAAATCAGTTGAACGCTGGCAAATTGATATCTGCAAATCACATTTTCTTTTTTTTTTTTTTTTAAGTGGAAGCGTGCGAAAGCTGTCAGATGGGCACCTGTTACTTTGTTTTTTGTCGTTGTCGTTATGTTTCATTGTTTTTTAAGGAAAGAAAAATATTATCTAATTATCCACCTTCCTTAGTAAATCAAGGGCAATATCAGTACTGACCTCTTTCTTCCTCCTTTTCTAGTGGGTACACGCGGCGTCAAAAATTCCTGTTTAAGCTGTAAAACCGGTTTAGGAGTTGACGTCACCGGGGTACTGGGCATGCTTAATTGGCTAGTCTCCAGATCCCTGAGCACTTCGTAGTTTATTTTGCTGGAGATTCTTTTTTCAACCAGCATCTTCTCAATGGCTTCTCCTGCAGTGCTGGCTGGACCAGTCGGTACTCTTTTCTTATATTGCTTTTTTCTCTGTGACAACCCAAAAAGATGAATTTACTAGAGATTTCTATACGGCAAGTAGCCGACTCTTGGCCAAGCTTTTAATAAAGGGGTAACCGGCGGTTATCGCTGCTCCCTCTTACCGCTGTCTGTTTAGCCTGATTAACCTCTCTTCATTGAGTTTTGTATTACGGCCTCTTTTCCGGGCACAGCCGTCTATTTTACCATTGGCAGCCTCTTATGAAAAAAAGTTACTGAAACTGCTGCCTAAGTTCACGATTTTTTGGTAGAAATAAAGAGTGAGATTGTTCTGATTAATCTCTACTAGCGCGCACTCTATAGCAACGAAAGTAAATAATTACCATAGCAATAATAATACTAATCTAATGATGGAGACCACTAACTAAGAGTGCCACCCTCTTAAAACGAAAAACGAACAACATACAACCTTTTTCGGTTCTTGTTTATTTCCTTCTTCTCTTTCCCGCGCCTCCTTTTCCTCCTTTTCTAAAAAATTAAATAAGAACCTAAGATGAGTTTACCATTTGATTCTCCAGGAAATGGCATTTAAAGAAACAAACTTAAGAAAATTTTCAAATTATCTCAAGTGTAACAGCACAAAATTACAAAATTATCTGAATTGGGTAAAGAATTCGAACATAGAGGTAACAATAATTGCAGACATTATTTTCACCTTTTTGTTTTTGTAGATATTCCTTGTTTTCTTCCATCCAAAGTTTTGTTTTTATCTCAATCTCACTTTCATTTAAAAGACACTGCAAAAAATAGAAATAAAAACTGAGCAGAACTGACAAAATTTCCTTCCAAAAAAAACAAGGAAAAAAAAAAGGGTTTTGCTTGAGGAGGAGATGGATACCTCTTAGGTTTGAAGGGAAGGGTCAGTAAGTCCTACCATTGTTGTCAGAGGTATGCAGTTTTTATTTTCATTCCTTTCATTTTTTGCGGTAATGGTAATAAATCAGATAACACAGAAAAAACTTTCAAAGATTTTAAAAACTGAAGACAGATCACCATATTGGAAGCTAACTTCTGAAGTTACAACTGCTTTACTTGGAGGGCCTAAGTATACACTGTAAATGAACAATAGTGCTCAACATATGGTTGTGTCCTCGTGTACCGGTACACAAAGGAAGGAAACATTAACGAACTGCGTCATAACTCCATGTATGGTTATGAAAACAAAAGAAATTCCCTCGTGGACCGGTACACCAGGACAGCCCCCAACATATTTACAAGCTAGCATCTGTCTGACAAGTCTGTGTAGCTTTATATCAAGTAAAAATGCCTAAATAATAAGTGTTAGTCTTGCAATAACCCTTTAACTCCCAGAAGTGATTAATATGTAACTTCTCCCTAAAATATCCATAAAAAAAATGTAATATTCCGTAAACAGGCAATGAGAATACTCAAACTTATCAGGTTGAAGTTGTTATCTTGACTAACACCAAATTCTCATAACGTATTGACAAGAAATTGTGTAGCAGCTTGAAAGGAGAATCTAAATGACATCTTGGGATTTAAAGGGTTAAAACTAGAAATTGGAGAGGAACAATTACCCTGTCAAGTTCAGCTTCATCTAAGCCAGTTAGATCCAGCTCCTCACACACTTCACCTTTTTCATTATCTAGATTAAAAAAATAAAATGATAAAATAAAAGTTCAGCAATTTATTTTTTCATTTGGGATTAAGAGGAAATTGATAATAGCACTGGAACTGCCAGTTAACTCTTAAACCCCTGAAGAGACAAGCATCAAATTTCTCATTAAGATATCACTAGAAAGTCAAGCACTAAGGCTCATGAGAATTAAGCAATGATCACAAACTTGAAACACTATTGATTTTTAACTAAATTTTCCTTGTCAGTGCCTAAGGAAATGTATGGAACAGTATGGAGAATATACACGTTAATATTAGAGAGTAAAATGTTAAAAACTCTGAAGTACCTTTGTTGATATCACTGTTTGATACAAAATCAGGTGTGCTGTAGGAAGGAATAACTAAGAAAGAACCATCACTAGAATCCTTTGAAATGTCTTCTCTTTCAGAGATCTTATCCAAATCATCTGGGTGTACGTTTTCCCTTGTTGAATCTATTCCCAAAATTTTTTCAATAGACTTCTGAAAGGATTCCAACTCTGAAGTAATTTCGGGTTTGTTCAACTCCTCAAGTTGTTGTTTTGCTCTTCTCCTTGCTTGTGTGAAGCAGGGTGGGTCCTGTTCCTCCTCAAGGTCAATTGTTTGGAACTCGTCAATGGTCAGCTGACTGGAAGGCGTGTCACGAAAGTCCCCCAACCTCTTTCTTATAGTAGTGTCACTTATACGAACAGTTTTGACCACTTCACGCACTGTTCGGTTAAAACCATGCAATCTTGCTGCCACTAAAAGAGCTGTTGAGATAAGAGGGAAGAGTTGTTCAAAACACTTCCCGGTTGATGAAATTGTGCACAAATCAAAACTTATTCCTGAGCCAACCAAGAGGCTTTTCACCAATAAGTAGCCCACAATGGTATTACATTCCTGTGTCACTTATAAAAGAATTTTCAGTGATAAAATATTTGATGGTAAATTTCAAAAAAAAATTTTGTAAGAGATGCATTGATGATTGGTAATATCTCTGCATTCAAGCCCTGAGCATGACATTTTAGAAATGTTCTACACAAAGTGGCTAACTCACAAGCCTCTCTCCTCTCAGGGGTATAAATGGGTACCTAGGAACTGTCAGAGAAGCTTGATGAAGTGTTCATCAGAAGGTACAATGGTCAAGCAGGAAAATTAAGGAGACAGAGGAGGGGATAAAACACACTTCATGCCACAGACTCCATGCCATGATAAGAATTGACTGATAGTGGGTCACAGCAAGCTGGAGAGCTGCCTTCAGTTTTATCCTTTTTCTAGGCATTATATTTATTTAACTACAAATGAATACTACTCACCAGCTCCACAGAGACCAGAAGGCCGACGCCCATGATGAATCCAGTCTCTCTTCATTCTTGATACCAATCTCAATGCTGTCATAGCAACATCATGCTCCTTGTCACCAAATTCTAACTTGTGTGCAAAACGATGAATGTAAAGGCAAGGATCTGCCAGAAAAATGGAACACATTGATAGCTGTTAGCCAAAGGGTTGTTGCAATCAGTTATCAATTGTTACAAACAGCAATAAAGTCTTGCCAAAACTTGTCTCATGACATCTTGTGTATTAAAAAATTGCCTAAAGTCTCCACTAATATGCAAGTCTGAATACTAGTTAGCTGTTGCGAACAAGTCTATGGAATTATCTTTTAACGATTTTGCTCATTCTTTTTACATGCAATTGTGTTTGCTGTCATCAACATCTGGTACTTGGAAGTAGTAAGTTATTGATGACCTACGCTGGTTCCCGATTCCAAATTATCAATATAATTTAGATTACAGACTCCTTCTCTCTCCTATCCATGATGAACTGTAAAGATTATAAAATCATTTTTTTTTTTCCTTAGTGAAGGTTTCCTGAATGAAAAACTTTGTAATCATATGTGACTTACCAACTGCAGGCAAGTTAATATAAAGTTCTTGGGCCAGCTTTAGGTATGCTCTACCCAGGGTGAAAACATCAATCTATCGAAAAACAGTAATAATCAGCAAAAATTAACATTTGTCAAATTCATGATTTACTACTTTTCAAACAATTTTAAACTTAGGTTTAATCCACTTAAACTACCAAAAAAAGAAAAACAGCTATTTTGTGACTGAGGTGTTGCATTAAAAGGACATGTTTCACAATATCAATGAACATCCTGGGGTGTTTATATACTGGTCAGTGAAATGCATTTTTTATCCCTATTCTGAGCATTTCTGATGGATAGGCACTACAGGAAATCTTATGTTAAATGCAAAAAATTGCTTTGTACCCCCACAAAATGATGCAAAGTGACAGCTGTGAGTTCATGGTTGCCTTAAGTGTAGTTCATGGTTGCCTTTAGTAAATGAGAATAAGGCTAGTATAATCCTACTGGTAACTGTTTTCAAGTCAAAAATGTATACAAAACCTAAGTGTGTGTTAAATTTACATGAACTACAAGAGAAGCCTTGAGGGTAGGAGAGAACTCAATTTATTCTACCTGTAAAACATCACTGAAGTCAAGAAGCATGTCTGTTGGTTGACAGTTAAGGAAAGTTATCAATGCAAATTTTAAGAATGGAAGAATCCTAGATAAAATAAATGTTTTCAATTTCTTGTGTTAATCACACCTGGGAGTTAAAGGTTACTTAATCAGATGTGTTCATTTTCATACTGATTAGCTTATCAAAATGCACTTTGGATACGAGGAGTTTTCTCAGTTCTGCATACAAGGTACAGGCATGCTGCTACAACATGGTTTGTTCTCCTGCCTCTTGTCAGACGCTTGTTAACTGCCAGTTTGTAGAAGTTGTAAGCTGTATCAATACAGTGTTGATTCATTTGCAGCTGATGGCCAACGGCATTTATTCTCCTTTTTCCTAAAAATCAATTAGCAACTTACAATGCATTACAGTCCTAGCACCAAAAATTTGTGACAAGTTTTTCTGAACCTCTCCAGGAATCCAGGGATGCAGTATCATGAGGTAAGACAGATTATCTCCTTAATGGTATTTTTATTTCCAAAACTTTTGCGACAAGTTTTTCTGAACCTCTCCAGGAATTCAGGGATGCAGTATTATGAGACAAGATAGGAGAATTTGGATCAATGAATGATCTCTTTAACCCTTTCACTCCCAAGATCTAATTAGTAATTCTCCTTACTATCTGCCATACAATTCTTATGATGTTAGTTCAGAGAATTTGGTATTGGATCAACTAATAATCCCATGATTGGTATTCTTCTCTTTTCTCATCTCCTGCTTACTTGATATTGTATTGACATTGTAAGGAGAAATTCTGTCTTGGTCACTTGTGGGAGTGAAAGGGTTAATGGTATTTTGCTTTATTTCCATCTCTTGTTTGCTTGATATTGTACTCATTTGATATCTTAAGGAGAAATTCCGTTTTGGTCACTAATTGGAGTTTTCAATGTTTAATAGACTTTTCCATATCACTTAGAAGCTGAAACCTATATTTGTGGTAAGCAGAGTTACTATTTGATTATACAATTTCTAATCGCAAAGGTAATTCATTATCACGAAGACAAGTACGAGTATCAAAGAAAAAAAAAACACAAAATTCTTAAATGTGGCACCCACACTAGTTGATGTTTCAATACATCTGCTGCAAAGAGCAATTTCAATCTTTCTCAACAACATAGCCTCTCCACTTCTTGATGAAATAAAAGTTTCAGTTTTGATGAAAATAGTTACCATTTTCAAGCGTCACTGCTCTTGACTCCTGGCCGAGTCCATGACGAAAGGCGGATCCTAAGCCAACTCCAGCCTTGTTTCCTAACAAAAAGGGAAGGAGACAATAAACATCAACAAGATCACAATTTGAAACATATAAATCGAGTTACATAGAAGCCACGCATGTAGGAAACAGGATGAACCACACTGGCATAGGCTCCCGGTTTCAAACTAAGTGAATCTAATGGCCGCGATAAAAAAATTGCACCTTAGATTGATTATAAATCCAATAAATTGTACCGTGGAAAGATCACGTGACCTACGTGGCACACTGGAGAACGAAACCTGTTACTGAACCTGCCATCATAATATCCTTCTATGGAGTTCGAATCCCGCAATCCCCAATATAAGAACAGGAATCTTTTAACTCAAAAACCAAAGTTTTTGTTCTTTCATTTCAACTTCTTTCTTGTCTCTCTGAGCGAATACAAACAAAATGATGTCTTTTTGACTAGGTTTTAGCGAAAATATCCACGTGTAATCATGGCGAGCAATTTTTGTCTCTAAATTACCGACGAGTTCGGGTTTGATTTGAAAATTGCTTTTTCTTACCCTCAGCTGAGACGAATTGCCCGATAGCACTAGCTCCACCAAGGTTATTTTCTTGAAATTGAACTTCGGAGACAATAATGTTATCTTCGAGCACCGACCCACAGCTCATGCAAACAGCATCGCCACGAGCTTGATCGATGTCAATGTCACTTCCACCACAATTTGAACAAACCTGTCCCGACATCTTTTGAAACTACTTTCTTTCTAGTTGCATGGACTATTTGAGCTTGAAGGAAAATATTTCAAAATCCTGTACCGGTCAAACGAATGGCTCTCATGAAAATATAGTGATTTAGTTTGCTAAGACTCGTGGGAGTCGTTTTAGAAAAAACATATGGGAGGGGAGGGCACAAAGTGCCGAATTTGATTGGATGTACACTATGACAGGTGACAGCGTGATAAGACAGCGCGAAATTTGAGGTGCAAGTTCCAGATTTCAGAATACCCTTGGTTCAAATGCCAATAAAAAAAATTGGATCGGTCTTGTGACCTCACCATTTAAAAAAAAATGACCAGTGGCAAAATAATTTGCAACATTGTAACCGAACGACTGTCGTTTAAAATTGGCCAAAATTTTCAAGATTTTCGCTCTTTTCCCTAATTATAAGTTATTCTAGAATAGTACAACGGACTGCAAACTAAAACTTTTCACATCTCATGATTAGAATTTCTGTGCACTGGGTACGATAATCTAATAATTTTGGGGTTGTTTAAGATTTTTTCCTCATCATAAGCAGTAGAAGCGGGACAAAAGTCAATGAAAAACTTTCTTGTTTATTTTACATCACGCAGGGCTCTTGAAAGTTAAAAAAGGCCCAATTAAACTTAAAAGGCAAACCGCTGCTTCCATTTTTTTCAAGTTTCTAGAAAGAATCTCTTCTTATGAAAGCTGCTGATAATTTAAGTTAGTTATTAGCATGAGGTCTTCAGTCACAATGAGTTATTTTTAAAAAGGCTTATCTTCACAGAAGAATGTACGGTGGAAGATCCCTTTATCACAACATGTTCTACTACGTTACTTAACACCATTCTCACATTTCACTGTGTCATGAGTGACCAAAAATGAGTATGAACTGAGAGGCGCGAGTAATCTAGGAAATAAATGTATTGAAAGATTTGGAGTTTAGGGGCTTATTAAAATGACATTGTCGGCATTTTAATTATGTAATTCTTTTATGTTGAAATACGCCCGAAAGCTAAAGAACCGATGGCGTGGGACAAAAAAATTGACGTAATTGCAACAGGTGCTTTACCTTTTAATTGATGTCAGTAGAAAAACAAACCAATGCTCTCTCGCCACAGTGGTTGCATAACTGTACTTTCCAGCTGTTTTGACCTTCATTTCTCCGGTGACTGTCGTTGTTATTGAGTCATGCCATGGCTTCTTTTCTGTTTAAGGTAGGTGAAGTTTCTTGGTATTTTCCTCAATACATAGATGCACTTTCAATTCACACTGAGGTTGGTTTTCATGTTACTTTAAAATTGCAGCTCGTGTTCGTCTGTGCCACTCTGATCCAGCTGCAGAGATTAGTAGCCGGTAAGTAACACGATAAACTTACCGGTTAAATGCGAAGTTTTAAAACTTCCTCGAGCAGTGGAAAAATAAAAATAATGATAATAATAGAAAAGGATAGTTTTTGGTCAAGATATGCAAACAAAATTGTTTCTTCCCAAATCCAACTGAATTTTCTCTTCTATTTTTATGTAACCGCGTCTTCAGCTGTAGTAAGGTTAAATTTATCAAGTCGGCCCAACGTCAAATTAGGAACAATTTCAAGATTAGTGAGATGACGTTTCTTAGAAGACTGTCAATATTCGAAGGGTCTACCCTGACTTCGATATCTCCTTATTTGGGTTAAAAAATAATCAATGAAAGAAGGAGAACTCTTTCGCCGGACGGTATCTTCCGATGATACTCAGATGACGAAACATTTTAAATTAATTTCTTTGTTAACTGATTCCTTCGAAAAGGAAACATACTCTTAGTAATAATAAAAGGGTCGACTTTCTTAAAAATATAGCCTAGGTCGGAACTAATCCTTTTTGTTTGACCTGCAGCGACCGCTTTGGAAGCTTGGTAAAAGTAGAAAACATTCTTTTCGTCTGTAGCTTCCGAAATTCGTTAGTATCTCTTTAGGAAGTTTTACTGCAAGGAGGCACCAAAATTTCCCGGCAGATATTGGCTAACAAGCATTACATGCATTTTCTATGTAACGCTGACGTAAGGTATTCAACCTCGAATGAAAAAAAAAGCCTATCAGGTTGACATTTCCTCAGTTTCTCAGCAGTGGGGTGATTTTTGATACGCATGCAGTGGTGGCTGACTGCGCTTCTTGGAGTTCTCTAAGTTGTAAAAACTCGCTAAGTTGTAAGAGCTTCGCGAAAGAAAAGGGATCAAAATTTTGTGAATGAAGAAAGTATAGCTGATTTGAGAGACCTACACAATTACTTTTAAGTGGCAGGTGTTTGTATGATATAAGCTTTTTCTAAAAAGAGAAAAACAACAACAAAAACAAAACAGAAATAAAAACAAAGGTTCGCAAATTTATTAGTGCTTCTCTTCGTAGGGGTTCAAATTCCCTTACAGTTTGTGAAAAAGTGCTACGTTTTCGTTAAGAAAAGACAATAAAAGTTGGAACACGAGAATGAAACAGGAAACAATAAATACAAAAGCATTGCGTCATGTGTTATTGGTCTCGAAACAGACGATTTTTTTGGCTTTTGGAACTATTCCAAGTGCAAGTTACTCGTCAATGTGGCCAGCCCATGATCACTTTCTCAGAAAGAAGCCGTTTGTTTGATCGTTTGTTTCTCCGAAAATTAAGATTGCTGCAGTGGCTCTGTTTTACTTGCCTTTGTATTTTGGGAATTGAAAAACCGAAAAACAGCTGTTGTTGTTGCTCGGAGTTAATTATAGATGAGATTATGGAGTTGGGATTCGATTTCACAAATGAGTTAGGGGTTAAAGTTGCTATGAAGACTGATATCCATCCGAGCTCCCCTACCGTCGCTGGTGAGTGTTTCGTCTTACAAAGACGTAGTTGTTGTTGTTGTTCTAAGAGAAAAGCAGCATCGATGTTGTTTTCATTGTTTCTTTTCTGCTGTTGTTTTTTTGCTTTGTTTTTTGGTTTGTATTTTTTATCCAAGAGTAATTAAAACGATAAGTTTATACCACGAAACTTTCACTGACCCATTGCAATTGCCGAACCGGACACCAGATCAACTTCTAGGACTACAGCTGTTATATCGTAAGCAAAACGATCTCTATGCACGGAAAGAAGAGTCCATGCTTAGCACGCTCAACACCTCTTTTACTTAGAGATGACTTTAGGTGTAAACGTGTAGTACTTTTCATCTTCCGCACTGAATTTGTAATTAGATAACTTATGCGGCTAGCAAGCAGCTCTTTTAGGGGCGGTACCTTGGGTACGCCATTTCTTCTCCGGATTTTGTGTTTATTCTGCTGTTAAGCAACAGCCTTCAAGGACTCTTTTCTCTTAAGATATTTCTTCAAGTATGATTTTAATTATGTGAGTAAGTTTATTACAATTTTTTACATTGTCAATCTTGCTTTTGTTTAACCCGAACTTGACCGTAAGACCAAGAGATTTAAGTTAGAAAGACATTTCGTAAAGTGTGAAAATCACGAAGGTATCTACTTAGTATGCGAACTCCGCTCTGCGTAGCTTAGCGTGATTCGCTAGTTAAGTGTAAAAGCATGACGAAGGTTAGAGATTGAGAGCTAAGTAAATGTCACCTTTATAAGCGGTGACCCACACTTTCAGAGAGAGACTGAGCTAGTCCCCATTGTAATAACTTGCGTAATAAAAGAGAGAATAAAAGAAATAGTCAACTGAACGACGAGTGTTAGGAAATTATTTCTAACACAATACAAAATAGGTTTGAGTCCAGTCAGGGCGGGTGTGGTGTTCCAGTCATACCAGAATTGATACAACGTAAAAAACCTTTTTCTTTTAAACTTAGGTTTTAACGAGTGCGCCGATTCAACTCAAAACAATTGTCATCAGCATGCCAGTTGCAATGATTTACCCGAAGGTTTTTCGTGTAAATGCAAGGCCGGCTTCAAAGACATCGGGAATACACCGGGAGTACAGTGTGAAGGTAATCTTTGTATTATCAACTTTGATTGATGAAGACCGCTTTTCGAATGAGTGTCGAAATCCAAAACCAAAATAATAACAATGGCCAATCAGAGCGAAGCAGAATGACATTAAAAGCCAATCAGAACTCAAAGTAAATATAAGCAACAGCCTGAAGCGCGGGAAAAGGCAAGCAGAAAAGTGGTGATTGGTTTTAGCTTTGGCGCGAGTTTACTTAGCCAATCAGAAAGCAAAATCACCAGGCAAAACTAGTACAATCAAGGTATACTTTCAACACTCAGTTTAGAATTACTCAAATGGTAGTGGGTAAGAGAAGAATAATTTGTCGCATCAAAGCTTACTTTCTCTCAGTGGACTGATAGCGTAATAACAATAACGTTGAATCTATTGACTGTTTATGTAGCCCACCTCTTTTCTGGAGATTTTAAAACAGCTAGAATCATTATCAAAATAGATTGAGCTACATTGCAATACGCAACTTCCGTCTTTTGGACAAGTGCGGGTGTAACATTTGTCAACTGAACTCTTCAAAATTCCTCGGGGACATAATGGAGGTTTAAATGAAACTAACGACGTTACCAGGATCTTTTGTCGTGTTGCTGAACCCTTTTGGCCAACCTTAAAACCTTTAAAGTGCACTCTGTTACTTACTGATCATTGTCTTATCACGGCCAAACTTTATCAAGGAGTAAAGTTTCTAACTGGAGTGCACGTTTTGTCTTTTTCTCCCAAGATGTGGATGAATGTAGCACCGGAAATAATAATTGTGACAACGATGCTGCCTGTGTTAATGCAGCAGGGACATACTCTTGTAACTGCGGCTCCGGGTTTACTTGGGAAGCAAAATTAATGAAATGCAAAGGTAACTAATCAAATATTAAAGTAAATAAAATATTTTGGTTGTATTAACCCTTTTCACCCTAAAATTGGTATTCATATTCTCCAAAGTGTTCTTTTTACATTTCTTGTGGTACTGACAAGGATGATTTGTTTGAAAAATCAGGAGCTTCTTAAATTGGTGATAATTTCCTTTACTCTCATGACCTCTGTATTTGATTCAAAGGTGATACTGCAAGTAGAAATTAAAAGCTAGTCTCTCTTAGGGGTTGAAAAGTAAAGGGTAACAAGTTGCATCGGATAGACATCTTAGCTTATTTTTTTCTATGGGTCTTACGTTTTGTCGAGGGAACCTCAGAAATTCCTCTATGAACCTACAATCCAGAGGAATGTTTTTTGGGACACCAACTACCTCCCCAGCTCCATCTCAATTTGGATGTGGCAAGGTGGCTTTGGAGAGGGGCGAAAGAATATCATGAGTTTTTGAAGAAGCGTCCTGGCCAATTATGTCTCAGAATTAGGAATTATTAGACTTATCTCTTGGTAGATAAGCTACGAGTTATCACGTGCCAAGCATTAGCGGTGTCTAACAGGGTGTTTACGGTAAACAAACAATATTTTCTTCAATCACTGCGATATATTTTCTTTCAGTTACTTGTAAACTTCGGTGAGAAGTTCACAAGTTTTGCAGTAGATGTGCTCGTGAACGAAAGCCTTTTTTGTCACTTTTCTTGAGGGCTCATCAAGGATCAAAGGAAGAGTGCATAAAACAACAGTTCGTTTGTGGCGTGTTTGCTGTTTTCCATTGCCGCAAACGATATATGATTATTGAGCCCGGTTGGAAGAAAACCTCTCACACGAATGATTAAGATAGATGGCAAGTCCTCCACCCGCCGAAATTCTCTCCAATTGTTTTAGTTCTCCATGCTAACTCTCCACCGAAGAAAACAGGGTAATTTAGTATAGTCAACTGAGTTGGTAACGTAAATTGGCTACCGGTGGCCAATTTACGTTACCAACTAAGTTGACACTACTATTTAAATTATCCTGTCACGCTCTCCTACCGACGCATCCGCACAATTTCTTTAGAAATTTGCCCCGTTTCTCCACCGAATTGTCTCAACAATACTTCGCCTTTTCATTACTTTATCAGATGTCAACGAGTGTAGCATGAATACCGATGACTGCCATAACCTGGCCACCTGTTCTAACAAGGAAGGTGGATACGATTGCAACTGTAAAGCCGGATACACAGGCAGTGGCGTTTCTTGTTCAGGTAGCAAGCAAACATCTCTTTTATGACATTCCTGTCAATTTCAAATGATGCTAGCTTATTCCGCAAAAACAAACATCAGCAATAGCAACTAAATGAACAACATTTAAACACCAACAAGAACACCCAAAGGGAGAATAAAGCGAATAAAATGCTCTTAATCTGCATGATAGAGAGATTTTTAACTTATTTTCGGAAGTTATGTGGAATTGCTTCGGTTTTACTCAATTTTGCGCCTTGATTGGTCTACAAAACCCGGGCCACTCTCTCAACCAATCAGATGCAAAATTAAATCCAAGCACGATTTGGTTGCCCGCGTTTTCCCGCGCTTCAGGCGGTTTGGTTGTTTTTACTTTAAGTTCTCATTGGCTCTTCAGAATCTATTCCTCTCTTCTAATTGGCCTTTGTAATTACTTCGTTTTTGTTTTTACGACACCCAATCGAAAGGCGCTGCTTTCTTGAAAATAATGGGTTCTTTTTCCCTTCTCAGATGAAGACGAGTGTAGCACGGGATCGCATCAATGTACTGGTGGCAGTCAATGTATTAATAACCAAGGTAGCTACACTTGTCAGTGTGCGTCAGGACTTAAGTGGAACGCCAACAAGTTAAAATGTCAAGGTAAACATTCATGTTTCAGGCATCTTTATCACATTTTCTATTATTAAAAGTTTTGACTAAAATGTCTGGAAACTTTAAGTTCCCCGTTATGTCCCCTTATTCTCTTATGCTTAAACCCTTATCAGCTATGATCGGATGATGAGAAATGTGTTTGCATCCTTTGAAGAAACCACTTATTCCGCGCAAAGTACTAGTGTGGAAATTGGAGGATTTTTGTTGTATTTCGATATAATTCACTTCACGCCCCCAAAAGAGGCTGTAATATTCTTCAATCTTCTATAGTTACCCCTCTATACTCTGTTGACGTTCTCTCTGAAAGCTATGTGATCCCCCCAAAATTCTCCACCCCCTCCCCTCCCTGGCGATTAATAATGACCGCTTCCTAAGCAGCATATTATGGTCTTTGCTGAGCTTTCATTTAAGCGTGTAGAAACATGCAAATGTCCCTAAAGTAATCTAGTCTGGGTTAGAATTCTACCATGATATGCATTACGTTAGTTAATTTGCAGTTCTCTACGGGTAAAAATATGATTTCTAAGAGTTTTCATTGTTTCTGCAGATGTTGACGAATGCAAAGAAAAGACAGATGATTGTAACATATTGACTAAATGCGTCAATAATGAAGGCTCCTATGAATGTCAGTGTATTGCAGGATACACTGGCAGTGGCAATTCTTGTTCAGGTAACAGTGACTTAAACTAGCTCGTGGTTATTGGAATATCACCCATGGCCACTGTCTTTGCTTAAAATAAAAAGTGAGAGCGTGAGAACTCGGAAATCGTGATAAAACGATGTTTTTTTTGTCTTGTCACATCGTGGGAAGATTTGGAAGCTGAAGGTTTGGGGTTCGATTCCTTGTGGCGAGTCGGGAGGTTTTTCTATGTCCCTGCTCGTCGCAAAACGGAAAAACAACAGTTCTTAAAAAAGATATATAACTTATTAACATCCGAAGCTGGAAACTTATGCTTTAAATTCTAAACCGAATTTTTCATTTGGACGATCTGTTTAAACAAATCTCCCCTGGGTATCGAAAGCAATCCGAAGATCGTTTGGGTTTTACTTCACCATGCTCTGAGATTGTTCAAGGAAACTCGCACCGCCCATTACTCTAATAAAAACCAAAACTAACCGTACCTTAGTCGCTCGTGTTTACTCGTGTTTCTGGCGGTTAACAGGAAATGGCCCATTGTTCCCGATCAAATTTCTTATTACCCTTAATTACACTTATGCACCATTTTCCTACTGTTGACCAGTACCGTAAGGGAGTTGACTCGGAAGTTATTGAAGTCGATCAGAAGAATATAAGCAGTTTATATTCTCTTGAGTCGTTCATTAATATTCGGAAATTGTCGGCGGTCGAGAAAAATTGTCGTGGGGAGTGGGGAGCGTAAAAATGCGTGTCAGCATATTGTGTACAAGACGGGTATCCAGGGGGATCTGCTCGAGCTTATTCATATAGAAGCTTCTTGTGAGATTTTCCTCTTTTCTGATCGGTGTTTCTGCTTAGTAATTAAGTTTTGGTTCATCGTAGCCTGATCAAGAAGCGCTATAAAGACTTCTTGTGACGCAGAAAGCAGTTTTTGAGCCTTACATTTCTTTTCTCCCTACAGGAATGTGAATGACGCACTGAAAAAAGAAATCACATTCTCTTTCCATAATACTTATTCTATGTGATGCCATTTTAAGCTAACGATATTAATTATCAGTGAAAGTAGGCTTATATATATGGTTTGTTTGTTGACTTTTACAATCATTAACTTATTCCTGACTAGACTTGAATGAGTGTGCCTCGCCATCGTCTCACACCTGCAGCAGTAATGGAGCCTGTATCAATGTGGAAGGGACGTACGAATGTGAATGTGAGCCTGGGTACAAGTGGAAAGCAAGCGCAATGCGTTGTCAAGGTTAGCATAAATATATGAGGCTGTTGGTTAGTTTCATTGCGAATGTAACGGTTACTTTTCAGTTGTGCAATTACGCGAGGGTCGTTAAATAGTTGAGGGAATGATTTAACAAAGAGCAAGTGAATGAATTAGTTATCAGTCGATGGATCAAAATTAAAAAGAGGAAAGAGGGAGTTAAGGAAATTGGCAAGGAAGATTTAAGAGGAAAACAAAGATAGGAGAGAATTTTATTGCCTTCACTTTTATTTATTAAAGGATGTAGGCCAAAGTGATTTCTTTTAGCTTTGAAATCCGACCATTCTACTTGTGCTTACGTTTTCACTCACTCATTTTTTTTGCCAGATGTTGACGAGTGCCGCCAAGAGACAGATAACTGCTCCCCATTAGCTACCTGCACTAATAAAATTGGCTCATTCGAATGTGAGTGCATCACAGGATTCACCGGCGATGGCGTCCACTGTGCAGGTAACGTTTGAACGAGCCCGATCACTAATACAAATGAAGAACCAGCCAATTTTCCCTCGCAGACTATATTCTATATAAATTCTATATATTTCGTTATGAAAAAAGATGAAAAACAAATCGGAACCGCTAGATCGCTATGCAATGGCGTGAGATACATGTTGATTTTTGTGTAAGCTTTCAGTGCCATTAAATTTAATTTAAAATATTTTACCCATGCAAAGTACAATTCTGGCAGTTCTTTCAATCTCTCCTTTCAAATGCTTTGAAATGTTTGTTTGTACTCCAGGGCCAGGCGGCTCCTCATGTTCCGTCGAAGCGGATGTGGCCTTTGTGCTGCATAGTGTCAGTCCTGGAGAAGTATTTGCTCAACTTAAGATGTTCTTGAAGCTGGCAGCGGCTAAATTCACTATATCACTGGGAAATCGTTTGGGTGTCTCTCTCTATGGAAACACTGTTTCACATCAAGTCTCTTTGGACGTCTCGAAAGATAATAAACGTTTTATAAGTGCCGTGGATTCCCTTACACCATTGGTCGGAGGGAATCGTCTGGACCTCGCTATATACGATACATTTAACAGTCACTTTAACCACTTTAACACCATATCCTCCAATGCTAAAGTGATGGTGTTAGTTGTCAGCGATAACGTGAACCGTCCAACCGTTCATTGTCCTTCGTATATTCAACCTTATGAGTTAGCGAAACGAATGTATCAAGCAGGCGTCAGAGTTATGGTGGCTGCTGTGGCTGTGAACATAAGCGAGGACTATAAAGAATTCGTCGAGAGTGACAACGAGATTTGGTATTTTGATGATTACGAAAAGCTTGTTTCTACAGCTGGAGATTTCGCGATTGCTGTCTGCCAAACTGCTGGTAAACTATAGCAGTAAATCATTTTTTTACTCTTTTCCATAGACTAATGTGGATGAAAAAAATCTCTACAAAAGAAAACTTATTTTTAACAAGACTCGGCCAGTGTTTTCTGTTGGAAAATTCGTCAGCTTCCAGTTTGAAGGCCATGAATCGCATGTCATGCTTAATATAAACGAAATGCGTATTGAATATGCATAACACTTTATCATTTCTTTTCGCTAAGCTTATATTACTTTAATTCACGAAGCGCGTTTTACCTCTTTTAGCACCACCATTTTTTAATTCTTTGTCATTCGTGACTGTGCGCTGAATTGTCTTCAAATTTTTTCATGTTCTCCAGTCCCTGAACTCTTCCTTCCGCAATAGAGAGTTTATAGCGCGCGGACGGGAGATTGTAAGGACTGCAAAATTGTTTTTCTAACCATTCGATTTTTTAAATTTGATCTCGTTTTTGGCTTACTTTGAATTCAGTTCATTCTGGTAGTCCACCATATTGTTCAGCGGAAGGTGATTATTGTCAAGAAAACGGGGAGTGTCAGGAGTCAGGAGGTGTCTACGATTGCAAAAAGTGTAAACCGGGCTACAAGTTAAATGGAGACCGCTGTGATGGTGAGAATAGGACCTTTATTTAAATAGAAAACGGAACCTAATAAAACTGAACAGTCGCATGCTCTTACCCAACAATGACTGGCCAATTATCAACGACAGTGCCACTTTTGTATTTCCCTTCATAGCGCATATTGTCTAGTGATCATACCAAAATTGTGAGATCGATTGATTTATCCATTTCTGACCACTGATGATCCGTAAAGGTGGTGAAGTAGGGGAAAGAGTGGTGTGGGGGAAAAAGCGGTAGGGTAGGGTGGGGTAGGGTGGACTTCAATTTCCTCTCCCCCGCCCCTCCGACGGAAATTTTTACGTATTTAACGGAGGTACAGCTCGCTCTTGTTTCGTTAAACAGATTATCGCAAGCTTGGCAAAAGACTCAGTCTTGCGATCGTTTTGTCAGGACCGCTCTTAGCGAAATAATGTGTTTTGAGACTTTTTTCGGAACGACAGCCAACTTAAGCTCTTTGTCTCACGTTTCTGCAGATAGTGAAGAGCAGTTGCCTTTTATCAGCGATATACTTCAAATGATCATTTTATTAGTTTTGCCATTTTAGAACTTTTAACCTTTGGTCTTAAAGCAATCGTCGCTCTACTGACCTGAGACGGACTCTCCAAACGTTACCATCTAGAATAAGTTAAGTTGTGGAGGAGGCGACCAACAACCTGCTTGCCTTTTTGTCTCTCAGATGTCAACGAATGCGACAGCCCTTCAACAAGGAATACGTGCAATAACAACAATGGCGATTGTATAAACACAGTTGGGTCTTACATTTGCATTTGTAAGACTGGCTTCAGAAGAGAGGGTTCCTCTTGTACAGTCTTCTTCAGTCCACAGTCTTCTTCTGTACCTTCGGGTAAGTTGGAAGGCGAGAGAGATTAAGTCAGCGTAAGGTGCTTATTACCGTTTAAACACCAATCGCTATAGCCTAAGGTGCATACGTTTAGGGTAGTTTTCAATTTTTGTCGAAACTAAAGAAGGGTTTTTTTGGGATTTGCTCAACTCCGCTCTGTTATTGGTCCAGAGGATGAGCGCCATCTTCTCAACCAATCAGATGCAAAACTTTAACCAATCGTGATTTGGTCACTCACGTTTTCCCGCGTTTCATGCAGTCTGCATGTTTCAATTTTGAGTTCTCATTGGCTAGCGATGATATAGATCTTTACTACGATTGGCTTTTGTGAGCGTTTCGTCAGGTTTTTTCCTGACAGTTTATCGGTACTCATTTCTACTCCTACTGGAAGAGGCACGGTGAATACATGCGTAATTATTCATAGAAGTGATTTCTGTACTTTTCTTTTCCAGTTGCAGATATTTCAGATATTAACCAATCTGTAGCTTTGTCATCAAACTTTTTGTAATGAGTAGAGGTGATTCCTCAGGGAAAAAAACTATCTTACAATTTTTTTTTTAAACTTTCCTTAAATGTTTCCCACCAATGCCTGTTTCGAAATACACAATGAAAAGATAGTTCACCATGCGTTTAAGAAATATGATGGGCCAAACGTACCCCATTTATGCCTGTACTGGCGCGTCATTTCATCACTTCGCGGCGCATTTTGCAGTTGCTGGAAGCACTAGATTCTGAAGTTGCACTCGAAACAAACTTGATAGATAGAAATTCTAGAGAGTATGGAATAATTTGATTTATACTTTGTGGAAAAATTACGCAGTTTTAAACGACATTGATTGAAAACGTTCCACGAATTGTTGATCGTGGCTTCGTGCATGCTCTTAGCTATATCTCTTTTTCCTTCAATGATTAATTTTTCAAATTTCTCCAATTTAAATGGAATAATTTGTTAACCAAAATTGTTCAACAAAAAATATAGTGTATCATGCTTGTTCGAGAGCTAAAGATCATCGTACCTCTTTACCTAGTCATTGGATTGAAAAACAATACGTGTTTTCGGAATGCACGCGTGCTCATATCACTGATTGCGTGATTTTTATGCGAAATACAGGATGCGCGGTGCAAAACTAAGGAGCCACCCTAAAGGAGAACCTCTCATTAATTAAGACTATTTATTGGGTTGTACATCAAGCAACCTCAGACAGTATTTGTATCCAAAGTTTATCTACAGCTTTTCATAACCAAGGCTTATCTGTCATGCTCACTATGACATACGAGTAAAAAGTTATGTGTTTCATCTACTAATTGTAGGTGTTCTGCGAGAAGTTTACACTTCAATCATTGGTGATACTGTGGAAGAACTTTATCGTCATGACAAGTTTCCCAACAAACCTGACATTTCCGAAGTTTTATCGGAATTCGACGCCACCTTTAATGATACCGAAGGCTACGGTCAGCGGCTTTCCGCTTTTTATCAGGTAAGTAATGGAAGCCTGATTTACTTCAGGTTGCAAATAGTACCAGGATTGGCTCAAAATTTGATCCAACGTATCATTTGACATTTTCAAACCCAGCATAATAATACTGCCGGTCTTCTGTCAGTCTGACCTCTCGCAAAATGAGCAAAATATTGTAGGTTCTATCTATAATCTGGTAGCGCAAGTGTATGATATAACGTATCATTTGACATTTGCAAACCCAACTTAATACTATTGCCAGTCTCCTGTCTGTCTACCCTCTCGCAATATGAGCAAAGAGTTGTAAGTTCTACCCATAATGTACTGATGCAATTATATGATATAACGTATCATTTGACATTTGCAAACCCAACTAATTCCGTTAGAGACATTCGCGGTCAGTCTTAGGCTTCCGGTTATCTGAATGTCTGCCTTTCTGTAATTAAAATGAGCATCTAGGTTCTACCCAAAATATGACTGCTCAAGCATATGATGTAATGTGTTATTTGACGCTTTGCAAACCAAACCAGTTGCACAGAAGACATTTGCTGTCACTTCAAGTTTTCTGTCTGTCTGTCTGTCTGCAAAATCTCCAAATCTTGCGGATGATTCAGAAAGATGAGAACGCTAAACGTAATGCGATAACACAACTCTAGTTAAAGCCATTAAAACATTTTGTTATCACTCTCATTTTTAATCTTTCGTTTGAAGTCCACCATCAAGCCGGCTTGAAATCATTCCATAGACGCCAGTAGTGTTATGTATTATGACTGTAAGAATAAGGTTCTAGAAATTCCTAAGATGCCTTGTCACGCTGACATGCATACACGAACTTTCTATTGTCAGACCATGGTACTTTGTGGAAAATTCTGTAAGGTTATGTATTTATGATGCAATACTACCTAAATAGCTGTGTTTCGAATTATACCGTAACACTTAGCAAATGATAGAAACTCTGCCCTCCAACTCCACTGGACCATGGACAGCTATGAATTTTCCTTCATGTTTGCTTTCAGCCTCCAGAAACAGGATCTTATGTCTTTACATTGTCGTGTGAAAGTTCGTGCGAATTATGGCTTAGTGGCGATGACACAGAGGCGAACTTGACCAGGGTGGTAAAACTGGAACCTTGGGAATCAACGGAGTATCAACAGTGGAAAAAGTATTATTTTCATTAAGATCTTTCTTTACTTTCTAAGACTCGTAAGGGACTAGTAATTTTTTATAGCTGGGGGAGAGGAATTTTCTCTTGAGAAAATTGAGTTCCTCTTAGCTGCCAATGAGGGGGATCAAAATAATGTTACAAAAGCTTACAGGGGGTTAGGTAAAAATTTGTCCTAACATAACCGAAATTCTCCAGCACCCCCTCCCCCCGGTGATAAATAGCGACTGGTCTCTAATATGTGTATTATACTATGCTGGTTACCCGTAGATTTGCAAATAGTTCATATGTAGTTTATATTTAGCCTTATACAGGCTAACAACTACAACTGCAAAACTGTCAGCAAAAAAGATCAATTGGAGTGAGAAAAATCCTCTTTTTTTCTTTATTTATTGTATGATTCAATGAATCAAATTAATATATCGCACTGCGTAAGTTATATTACTTTTGAGAAGCGTGAAAAGAGGTCGAGGAGGCGAAGAAGGGGTTGACAAATTTAGATGAAAGGTTTTAAAGCAAAATGAACGCCATATTTTCCGTAATGGAATCGTTTTACTTTGCCAGCATGTTCAAGAAAAATAAGCTCCTGTACTGTATGTTCTTAGCGCCTCCACCAGCTGTTGATCTGTTCTAAACTGATTTAAATCTGTTTTAGATATCCTGCCAAACAAAATTCTGGAACTTTCCAATTGTCTGGAGGTTCTTCATATTTAATCAGAGCACAAATGAAAGCTGGTGCTGGAGTTGGGTCCGGTCACATATCCGTAAGTGTGCAAAAACCTTCTGGAGGCAATCAGAGTCATCTGTTATCCAAGCACGCGCTTGTCTGTGAGTAGACATCATGCTTTTAATTACCTTGGTCATCATCATGTAGATGGATTCTCCTTCTTCCCCAGGAATGTATCATAGTGAGGACCATTTCAGGGGCACGGGGAAGCTTTCCACTAGGGTGGTACTTCAAAAACTTATGCCTTGTTGTCTGAATGTTTCTTTTACAGATTTTACGGAATGAGATGAAGTCTTGATCCATAGCTTCATCTCCTCCGCCCCAACCCCCCTACAAAAAAAAAAAGGAACACGGTTAAGGTCAAGCTATATTGATCAACAAAGCGTGGTCAATATCAGATTTGTTTATGAAGGGGTACTCTTCCTGGAAGTTTACCTCGACTTAGTTTATTCTAACAAGTTTTCTGGCTTGTGTCGAGGGATGATCATCTGGGCGACTGTCAACGTACTCTCAGTTGCTTGTGTTCCCTGATTGTTTTGAGCAATGTCGAAAGTTCTAACCATGTTTGTTGAGTTCTTAATTGCACAAGGCTATATGATCGCTATGCTACTTTCCTTTTCAGACAAAGACCTATGTGCTGTTGTACTAGCGTGCCAGTCGAATTCAGAGTGCTTAAACCAACGGGGATCTTCTACTTGTATCTGCGTTCCTGGGTTTCAAGAAGATAACTCTTCATGTCATGGTAGGAACGTGTATACGCTACTAAATTTGACCAGTCTCTTTAAGAACTTATTGTGTCGGTTTTATAACCAGATCAGTAAGTTGAATTCTCAAAGATATAAAAGTTCAATAATTGGAACAAAATACAGAGGGTCCAATGATGGTATCCTTAGACCCTATAAATGATACCCAAGCGAAGATTTTCATGACTCAGCAATTGATAGAATCTTCACTGAGAAAAATATGTGCCAACATACTCATTTGAAAGTCAGACCTTTCAATCCGAAAAAAACTAAATCTAAGCTATTAAGGATTCTTTTCTGCCATCGTTTTCCTTTTTGCATCTATTTATTGTTTTGTTATATATTTGTTGTCACCACTATTTTGAAACTGCTTTTCTTTCCACAGCTCCCCAGCAATGCCCGGTGGTCATAGATTTAGTGTTCCTTTTGGACGCTTCATCAAATGTGTTATCACTAGAAAACTTCGAGAGACAAAAACTATTTATACAACAGATCATCAGTAGATTTAATGTCACAAATTCAAGTCGTGTTAGTATCATTCCATACAGCGATATACCACACGAAGCAAAAATTTTATCAACACGGAATAAATCAGTTGGAGAGTTTGCCGAAGACGTTCGTGATCTTCAGTTACTCATGGGAGGCTGCAGTCGTCATGATTTGGCTCTGAACATGTCGCACAGCTATTTAATGAATTCGGGAGGGCCTAGCAGTGGCCAGAAAGTCGTGGTACTGATGACCACAGCTAAACAACCGCAGCATCCTCAGTTGACACCTGGGTATCAACGGATCCAAACCACTACCGCGCGACTTAAGGATGCCGGGGTGCTTACTTTCGCTATCGGATTTGGAGACGGTGTTCAAGAGGGTGATCTCAAGAGCATCGCAACGGAGCAATCAATGATCTTTTTTTTTGAAGGCTTTGATAACGTCACAGAGAACGCCATGGTTGTTTACAAGAGCCTATGCAAAGCCTCTGGTGAGAAAGTCCTTATCTTTTGTCATAGAATCACAAAGACTGATCTATCTGGCTTTTTCACACTTCTTATTAGCTCCAATGATGTTTTTTAAGGCAAACTATATATGGTAGAGCTCGGTGGTAAAGTATCAGAGCGCGGAATCCGAAGGTCTGAGGTTCGATTCCTCATGGGGAACTTGGGAGTTTTTCTTCTCATAATATTTATTCTGCTCTGCTTCAACGTATTGAGCACTGTTCCACGCGAAAATCGACTTGCAGACTTCCTATATATATATATATATATATATATATATATATATATATATATATATATTTTACGTTCTATACCATCGCTCACACCGATCGCTTGCTATGACAAATCGATGTAGCTCTATTCACCTTATTGTGATCAATCTACACATTGTTTGATTTTTCCTTTCGACCTGTGAAGTTCTCATAGCAATCTTAGGCTTTCGTATACTCTTAAATTGTGATCTTAATACTACTTACTCAAATCTTACCCATTTTGCCGAATCAAATATTTACTTTTCTGGTGAGAACGTTTAGCATGGGCGACAAGCCACCACACCACTGACTTGCGAAAATTTTCTTTTCAGCCAAAGCCCTTGTCGTGAACATCTGCCCTTTGTATGCCGAGGTGACGCAATGCCAGGATCACGCCAGCTGTATCAATTCGACAAACACCTATCAGTGTGTCTGTGACCTGGGATATATACCCAATGGAAACCTCTGCTTTGGTGATTATACAGTTTGCTTTTTGTAGTGACGTAATCCTTGAATGTAGCTTCCCATTTTGGGCTTCAACTTTACAAGATAAAGACACTTACGAAAAATAATGTTCTGTTCTTTGTTCAGTCAGATCTAATCTTTTCGGAAAAAATTTAAAAGGACATGCTATGTTTCTGCAACTGTCTTTGTATATCACAGCTGTGCCAACTTTGTTGTTCGCGAAGAGTGAAGTTGAGCGTAGGGCGGTGGGGTAACTTGTGGCAACATGAGACGAATACTTCCAGGGCCAAATTAATACCAGTCTTAGATTTGAAGATTTTCTGCTCTGCACTTACTTGATTGAGACGTTCATTTCTCCATTTCCATTTGGTTGTCTTATTTACAAGGATGGAAATACAATTTTTATCTTTACTATTGTTTTTGTCGAGCCAGTAGCTCTCAGTTTTTCTCAAAGACATGCTTTTCTTAAAGTGTCTCTCGAATCGTTCTATATGGACACGATAATATCTTGATTTTGGCAATTTTAGAGGCATAATTTCGTTACCGAGCCATTTTTCAGTATTTTTTCTTTCGTAAGAGTTTCAAACTTATGAGTCCACTTGTTTAAATTGACTAATTTGATTCGAAGCACTGTTTCTGATCACACGGCTGGGATTCTTTAAAGATTGCTCAATGCACAGCATTCTATAGATATAGTTTGTCTTTTAAGTCTTCATGGAGATCACAAAATTTCTGCCAAAACTTTCCTTCCATGGAGAGAGTTAAAGGAATGATCATTAATTTTAAATTTTGCAGACTTAGATGAATGTTCCAATGAGTCCCATGAATGCGTCGAAATTGCGACTTGCATGAACACGGAGGGGAGCTATTGGTGTAAATGCCCAGCTGGTTACGTCACAAACGGAACAAACTGCGATGGTTTGTTATTATTCTAATTTACTTGCTTTCCGTTCTTATTGCACGCGCAATACGCGCCGTACATGCGTACTGTTTTTACCAACAACAAGCAACTTTTATAGGTACTCTCGTTTGTCTTTTCCTTTTTTTTTCATCAAACATAGATGTTGATGAGTGCTCGTCAAATACTCACAAATGTCACAGAAGCGCAAATTGTATAAATACAGTTGGGTCGTACAACTGCTCCTGTAAGCCTGGTTTTACTGGAAATGGCCGACAAGATTGCAACGGTAAATATACTTACTATTGGTCAAGGCAATGCCACTTTTTAACAGTTTACGTTAAAAGAAGAGATCTATCAATGCAAACCCAATCATTGCAATTACCTTTGAATAATATTAACAATATATCCGAGTGTAAGCAGCTTTATTACATGGCATGGTTGTCCTTGGGTAAATCCGAGCGTTTTGATTGGTTTTTACTCCGTCCGGTTCTTTTTTTTTTTGTTAGGGGCCCTTTCTAAGGAAACGGTCTAAAGCAGTGTATTTTCGGTCGCGAAGCGGGAGAATTCAAATAAACAAGTTTTGTCCAAGCGCCATGTAATAAACAACTTACTAAACTCGCTTGCTCGTGCCGTACTAGGGAATATTGGCTCTCGATCGTTTTTAACAGAACGAGCGCAGTGAGGTCCGTACTGCCACGATCTCGAGCCAATATTCCCCCCATCTTTAGCACGTGATCACAGAGTGATAGAGCCCTTACGTATGCGTGTGCCGTCACGTTGGCATCGTCAACGAACGAGTTTTGCCGTTCAGTGAAAACGTTAGGTATATATATGTTCGTTAAGGAAAGGCGAAAGAGGGAACCGCCCTAATATGATATTTGACCTATATCTATCAACAAGAAGTGAACGAAATCCGCAAGTAACTAAACACGCAAAGGTTCACAATTGCCGAAAACAACGCAGTTTCCAAGATCTTTTCGTAATTATAAACCTTTGGCGTGAAAGCCAACGGCAGCCCGATGGCCTCGACCCAGTACTTTTACGTCGTTATTGCCGTCGCTGTTGTCATGCCGTAAGGTCTCTAATATCACGTTACACATAAAACTTAAGGAAGTTATACTGGTGTAAGTAACGAAAGCCTGTGCCAAACTTGCAGTCAACAGAAACGAGCGAGCGATGAAAGGAACGAGTGGAAATGTCAGGGTCATCCATTTCCATGGCAACCATTACCGTTAATTGTCGTTCGCCCGCTACTTCACATGTCTCAGCAGACTGAGTGCCTAGAACAAGCTAGGGGATAACTTTTCCGTAATATTCAATCATAGATATCGACGAGTGCGAATTTCTACCAGATGCCTGCCACAAGGACGCGTACTGTAAAAACCAGAATGGCTATCACGATTGTGCATGTGTTCCTGGATACTCTGGTAACGGCACCAGCTGCACTGGTAGGTTTTAAAATGAGCCTCATATATAGTTAGCATTATTACTGCTTTTTGATAACACTCTGCTCTTATTCCACTCTTATATCCTCTACCTTCCGGTTTTATATCCTTTTTTTTCTAGCCGGAGGCTTAAACCGCAGATGATATTATGACGACATTGTTTTTCTTTTATCACAGCTCCAGAAAAATGCTTAGTTCCAGTGGACATCATCTTTGCAATAGACGCCTCAGGCAGCGTTGGAAGAGATAACTATGAAAAGCAAAAGGACTTCATGAAGATTTTGGCTAGTCGATATGACTTAGAAAATAGTAGTCGAGTTGCAGCAATTGTATTCAGCAATCACGCCTCTAACGAGATCCAGTTAGGAGAGATGAAAACTGCAATGTCCTTTGCCACCGCTGTGGACAAGATACCATATTTTCAGGCATTTACACGTATTGACCTTGCACTCCGTAAGGCCTATGATGAGTATTTCTCGACAAGTTCGAACGAAACACAGAGACTGGTCATTTTGTTAACTGATGGGAAACAAACTAGAAATGACTTTATGACACCGGCATATGTTCCAATTTTGGATACTGTGCAGCTCCTCCGCTCTAAGTCTGCTCGAATTTTTGCCGTTGGAATCGGTCCCTCGGTAGATTTGACGGAAATGAGGATGGTGACTGAACAACAAGACGATATTTTCCTTGCAACTGAATTCAATGATCTGGTTTCGAAGGCGGATACAATAGCAAAGACAACGTGTGCCGTCGTTCGTAAGTATATTTCGAAGCTTTTCGTGCAAAAGTTTTTGTTTTGCTATGTCTGTCGAGGGTGTTCAATACATTTTATGCGAGCGATACGTACATAGGCTGATGTTCAGTAAAAAATAAATATTTAATATCTTTAAATCTTTCGGTCGGTCGGTCGGTCGTTCGGTCGTGGAGTCCGTCAGGCACTCAGTGAGTTAGTCAGTGTGTCAGTCACGAAGTCCCTCTGTTCCTAACTTCCTCAGCTGTCTGTCAGTCCGTCGATCATAGTGAGTTGGTCAGACAGGCAATTACACCGGTTGATCGGTACATCTATCAATTAATTTATGGAATATATTTATACAATGGTCTCTTTAACCAGTTTGTGCGTCCGAGCTTCAAAATTTTGTTAAAAACTTTCTTGAGCTGAGTAACTTTTAAAATCCTCGATCATGTAAATAAAGTTAACCAATATTGACAATGTTGAAGCAGACAAGTCTTCGAGAAGTGCTGGTGTCCATGTACGTATAAAAATACGGAAAAAAGTGAAAGATACAGCAGCTGCTCCAAAGTAGACTCTTAGAGCTAACTATTTGTCAGAAAGATGAGTCACCACGAAATATCCACTTTCAGGGTCAGTTAATTGATCATAGTTCTTTTTTATCTACCAGTCCAGGAACGAGGGGTAACCGTGTGTAGCGCTGATGTCGACATTACAAGTTGTCATTATGGAGCACACTGCGTCAATACAAGTAATAACTTTACCTGCCTCTGCAAAAATGGTTTTGTTGGGAGAGGTCTTCAATGCGATGGTAAGTCACCAGCAAAAGCACGATTAGATCTCGAGTATATTATAGTAGAAGGCTTCAACATTAGATAAATCACATGGCGATAAGAGTTAGAGCATTGAAGTGGAGGGGACTTAGTCAGCAGGACTGCTGTTTATCTCTCTTAGTCCCCTTCCTATCGGTCATGGCCACAGGCGCAGGGGATCTTTTATAGACCTGCACGATTTACTGCTATTTTAAAATCCTCAGCAAGACGTCGTTTAGCGACATTCAACGAACGCAGCGTAAATAGATGAAAAATTCGTGCGACTCCAAAATACCTTATTTGTTAAACTTTTTCTTTTTTCTACAATCATTATCACTATCCAGTACGAGACAACATATACCCTCGTTCCATTCTTAGATATAGATGAATGCGCCGATGGTTCACATGACTGCCCTGGCTCTGCTTCCTGTGTAAACACTGCTGGCTCATATTACTGCTTATGCAAACAAAAAGGATACAGTTATAATGGTAGCATGTGCATTGGTAAGTCGTGCATGTCTCGCTATTGATTAGTAAATCTAAAAACACATATTGGCACTCAGTTTCGTTAACCTGATGGTTGTTTAGTCCCAGTTCCCTTTACTCATTTTCTGTAGATCTAATTTATATATATTGTTGATTAATTTGTTTATGTTAAACCACCGTCAAAGACATTGGAAGCAATTAGCAGCTGCGTCCACCTTCCTGGAACTAGCGCCCTCTTGGACCACAAAATTTAATAGGCGCAGCGCCAATTTTAACATCTTAAGGTCACCCACTATTTATTAATAGTCTCTTTTAGGTAACATGCAAATGAAAATCCCTTCCTTTCTTCTTTTGCCATCCACAGATATTGATGAGTGTGCCAAAGATTGGGATAACTGTAACGATACACTTACGACATGCTTCAACCTTCCCGGATCGTACAATTGCACCTGTCCCGAGAAGAATTTTGCTTGGAATGGACAAATCTGTGTTGGTAATGAATATCTAAAAGACAGGCATTTGATCATAATGACGTCAAGAAAGAGGTCAATGAAAATGAGAGAAATAATCATTGTTCTTAAACGCTATTTTCACAGATATAGACGAATGCGCAAAGGCTTTACATGACTGCATTGCTCCTGCTAAGTGCGTCAACACAGCGGGATCCTATAACTGCTCATGCGACCATCCAGGCTCTGTTCAAAATGGAAGCTCGTGCGTAGGTAAATACAAGATCTTGCAGACAGTATACGCGAAACTCTTTACAAACTACCAAGCACTCATATAAGTTTCGGTTAAGTGTGGAGAACAAAATTTTACCTGGTTTTACTTCACATATTAAAATCAAACGTCAAGGATTCTAGATCTGGCCGAGAAATTCTTTTCTCTTTGCTTCCGAGGAAGGGCCATCCTACAAAAACCTCGTAAACGTCGATGTATTCTGTTCTGGACTGGCGTCTTATCTACTGATGAGTCGAAACAATGGGGACATTTAAGATCTAGCATATTTTGCTGTTAGGGTGGTTATTACTCCCTATAGATTAAACTGAATAGTGGTTAAAGATGAGCTAAATAAATCCTTTTAAAAATTTCTGACCACATTACACGGCACAAACATAATGTATCATTTAGGGGAGGACTGGGAGATCTTATTACCCTACTAGAGGAAAATTCGCATCATTTTTTCGTGCAACAACATTCGTTGAAGTTACCATTGATCTGATAAATCAGACGTAATGAGGAAGTTCTGAGGAATAGCTTTCTTTTATGGCCATAGATATTGATGAATGTGCTCAGGAATTGGATGTTTGTGATGACGTGACAACAAAATGTGTGAACACGCCAGGATCCTATAAGTGCCTTTGCCATCAGGAAAACTATGCTTGGGATGGAAAAAGCTGCGTTGGTAATAAATTTCTTTTTAAAATTTGAAGTTATAATTTTTAACTCAGTCTGACATTGGAACATTTCCTCGACAGAGAAAAATTCTCTCCCTGCATGTTCTAATCACATGATCATGTCAATCATAAAAATGGACGCGTTTCTTTATAAATAAAATGAAATTGCGATGAAAGGAATCTTTATTTTGACACCAATGAATGTAAATGGTGAGATTTTACAATGATTTCGATACCAACGGCCCGGTGACGCTTGGAAGTATAAGGGCTAGATTTTGTCAATGAAAGAATTAAACGCCAAAGAAAATTATTACAGTTTCTCGGGTGGACATGCGATTTATGCGCACATTGATTTCTTTTGCATAAAAGCTTAGCTCAACAATCCTGTTTTAATATACGCGTACAAGTGTTGTTCCTTCGCTGGTGCATTAAGTTTTTTCCCGCCACAAGTCTTTTACGTCGTAAAAATTACCCATATACCTCGTCTAAGAAAAAGCATTTGGTTAGTTGTTTACTAAATGTCGTGTAACGAATCTAATGTAAAATGTTGATATAACGCTTCTTTTTACGTAAAAGACAAAGACGAGTGCAAGGATCCCACCAGTTGCTCTGCCAATTCCAGTTGTACAAACTTAGATGGGTCTTACGAGTGTACTTGCTCAGCCACAGAGTCTCATCTCTGTTATGGTAGGTGAAAATTTTGTAAGAATGGAAGTGGAGGTCAAACCGGAAGTCACTTTATCAAAGAAATATTTATTTAGACCATAGTTACTCAAGTTCTGTCCCATTCAAATGTTAAAATAAGTAAAGGTTTCTATTCTTTTCTTTTTAAGGGACTTTATTGTGTGGTACTCCGCATGTAAGAATTTTTAATGTGGGCCGCACTGCTGACCAACCTACAGAATTTCAGCTCAGCTCGTACTACACGTTTAAAGCAAATGTTGAAATACGATGTGCTAAGATATGGACACAAAACATGTCTTGGATAATAGCAAATACGTCAATGAACGATTTCGAAGCCCTTGCCAATGGGACTATGGCGTCATCAGGATTCAACGACTGGACCCCTTCCAAGCAACATGAAGAATTCGCAAATGTGGTTCATACTTTGATCTTCTATTTCACGGTGGTCCAACAGGAGGATAATGTGACAAAAACTGCATATGATCGGGGTTTTATTCTCATGCGCCTACCACCGCTGGTAGCAATAATCTCAGGTGAAACTGAAATAACAAAAGGAGATACGCAGACGATCGTTCTTAATGGAAGCGAATCCTTTGATCCCCATGTTGGGCCAGGGCATCAGGAATTGCTTATGTTTCATTGGCTATGTAGAAGAGCGGGTGAAGAATTCCCATCTGAGCACCCGCTTGAGATAAAAGTCGTCTCCAGACCTTTGAACCCCCCTAAGCCATCACGTGGAGGCTGTTTTGGAACAGGTGTCGGTAGATTGGACTCCAACGAACCATTGTTTGTGCTGAACGCCTCAGTATTAGAAAGTTCAAATGCAACCTACGTCTTCAAACTTATCGTTACAAAAGACGTGAGATCCGCAAGTGATGAGAAGCTAGTTGAAGTCGTCAAGGGAAACCCTCCTGAAGTTTCATTAAAGTCAGTATGTTATCATTGTATCATAATCATTTAGTTGGTTGAATTTAGAAGCGAATTTTAGCGATCACGTTTCTAGAGCACGAAACATCGACCTTCATTTTAAACGGTAAGTTCAATTTTAAGCACCCAAGTTTGGCAAAGGCTCTCAACTTGATCGTCAAAGGTAGAAATTTACAACGTTTTTATCCTAGCTCCTTTGCTTTCACTGTCAATGAGGATATGGAGTTTCTGACGCACCATCAGGGCCTTGAGTGCTTGCGAAAAAAGATTGACTGCAGAATTTTTTAAACAAGGAGTGTAAAAATAGAGTGTATACCTTTAGCTATGTTAAAGCTTACAATCATTCCGTCTACAGTTTTGTTTTAAATGACCGTTTAAATGTCATCTCAACTGCTCCGCTCACCATATCAGCCGATTACATGGGTTATCAATGCAACGATGATGTAGAGTATCAATGGATTCTTTACCAGGAGAACAAAAACGCGGGATGGTTGGAAGTCTTTAATCAACCAGAGAGAACAAAAGTATTTAAAATCGATCCAAAGATTCTTGAAGACAATACAAAATATCGACTCGAACTGACTGTGATACTTAGGAACGACACTCCTTCCAAAAGCGTACAGGTTTTCAAGACTGCACTCCTTCCAAAAGAAGGCTCTTGCGTTGTAACACCCGACACTGGCGAAGCAGTGTATACCCTATTTGAACTGCTATGCTTCGGATGGTTTGCAATTAACGAAACGTTCACATACGAAATTCAAATCTCCGGGGAAGGCTCCATATACTATAGCTATTATCACGGCCCTTCAGCCAAACAAATGTTAGTTTTACCTCAAGGGAATGCTTCTCATGGATATTGGTCGAACGTCAAAGTCTTCGTATTAAGAAGCAACGGGGCAACCACTGAGTTGGATGTTCCTGTTAGGGTAGGAGATTTGAAGATATTCTGCTGTATTTTGTCACCGTTTAGTTGCAGTTTAAATATCTAAATTTAAATTTATAATGATTCTTTTATGATCTTTAGGTGTGATAAGTATGGGAGAAAAGGGAAGGGTGGAAGGAACTGGGTTGTGAGTGATCGCTAAAGAGATTAGAGGAACCATAACCTTATGACATGTTTATTTGTTTACGTCATTACTTTAACTCCCAGAAGTTAAAACGTGTGACATCTCATTATAATATCTATACATTATTCAGCGAACCAGCGATGGGAATACTAAAACGAAATCGAGTCAGAATAGTAATTTTTGTGAACTAAACCTTGCAAGTTAGATGTACATTAAGGAGGAATAACTATATTAAGAACATTTGTATCTTGCAGGTCACTCCGCCCAAATCAAACGGCAGTATGGATCTCTTTGAGCTTCTGGTTAAAAACACAACTGCCTTTGAGGATTATCTCCTCTCAATGGAGTCACATAAGGCCTGGCAGCTAATGACGGCTATGTTGTTGACAACGGAGGCACAGGAGTTGGTCGATGGTAGTAATTCAGAAAAATCGCTTCAACAAAGAATTGCTGTAAGTGTTTAAATCCTGAATGAAGCATGTATGTCTTTAGATAGTAAAGGATAAGAACTTAAGGTTTCAAAAGAACGAGCCAAAGACGACCAGGGTAGTAATTTGGATATTTTTCCTCTATGGCGGATAAGTTGTAGTTGTAGTTCACATACTGTAGGAAGACATAATGGCCAGATTGAAACCATTGTGGAGTACGGTCAGATGCCTGATAGGGCTAAATTATTCTGTTACGGAAAGGAAATTTCTTTCTTTTCTTTTTATTATGCTAAATAGTGCTTAATTGTACTTGTTCTTAAGCAAAGAGACGTAGCCCTTAGAAGACTTCAGATAAACGAATTTAAAGATCTACCTGGTTTGGTGTTCATCTCGGCTTTCTTGGCTTCAGCGGGGAGGAATTTGCCGGAGTTGTCCTATCTCAGTAAGGTAATATCATGCTGAGTAAAGACACTTTAATGAATGTCCGTTTCAAAGTCTAATCATTTTCCTCACTGTCCCCAGAGAGTTCCTATTAATCATCTTTCCCTGGTTAACAAAGACTAACACGGCTTGGCTTTGAGCCTTATTGCGGTAATTTTCTGTAGGACAATATGTACAGACCCTGATAGGTTTCTGTACGCAGTACAAAATGTACATATTACATAAAATGCTTTATATTAAAAATTATTCATTCGCATACGCTGTTTTAGAGTTATCAATTTATTTTGAAAAAATTTTCATCGTTGATGGGTAGTAAAAACCGCCTTGATTGAAAGCTCTTAGTTAGGAAATGATGAACGGGACTTTCCACCAATCAAAAGACACTATCGCATTTTCGGACTCGAGACTGATTCAGTGGGCCGGTAATTTAAACGAAGACCAGCCCAAACCACGGTGTTATGCAAGCAGTGGGCCTCAGGTATTCTCTCTAGAATGTTGGTTTGATTAAGCAAACCTCCATTGCTAGGTTTCGCCTCCTCGAAATTGTTCACAAATATAAATGGTTAGGAAATTGTCCGAAATATCTAGGTACTTATTCGCCTATTCATTCTCTTACACTCTCTGTGGTGTATAGTACCACAAAATGTGTTCCTCATCTCACCTTAATTTTCTTTGTTATCTTCTTTAGCTGTCTCCAGCTATATTTCCCAACCCGTCATCCACCTATTTTTCTTTCATTGTTCTTATGACGAGCGCTACATCTTAGAGCCACATATCGTTATTTTCCTTGAAACGTCCAACTTCCCATGAAGCTGGCTAGGGGCTGAAACTTTTAAGTGATCAGCGGGTGCTGCCAGGAATTTTATAAACAAAACAAAATTAATGTGCATAATATATCACGTTGATTTGCAGAGGTATCTGCCACAGATTTTTGGAAATATGAGTGATACTATACTCCACGAAGCTAATAATTTGAAAGCAAAGGATGAGCGATATATTTCTCAAGGAGTATATAACATGTTGTTTGGAACAGTGGAACTACTTATGATTTCCGCAGAGGAAGCTAAAATAACTGAGGACAGTGGCCTCTCGGCAGCTAACCGATCTAAGGTAGGTCGAAACGGATCAAACCAATTTTTCTTTTTCAGAGAGAAGCAGCGCTGCTATAACACCATAGAATGGTGGGAACTGTCAGATGCTATCAGTAGCAATGAAATGAGCGGTAGGGTTTCGTACTAAGTTCATCAAAAGCTTTTTTTAAATTTCGTCTTCATTGCCACATTGATGTGAACGACTCAATAAAATTCTAACCTCAAATGGTATCTGACGATTTTCAAATTTGCTCACCTAGGAAAAAGAAATCGTCCTGAAATCAATCAACATCATCAGAACCTTGCTTAGGACTCTGACGACAAGATCAGCGGTTTCGCAGTCACCGAAAAGTATGCAGGTTTTGGGTTTAGATTTCACGGCGGGTCGCGAGACCTTCTGTGGACTCGAGTCAAAAACTTTGAACGGGTCAGAGGGCCAGGGTTTTGTACTTCCACCCAATATGAAGAAAGCATTTGGTGAGATAGACTTAGATTCAATTGACTATCAGGTGAGTTTTATCTTTAGATAGTGATTTATTTCCTTTGCTTTCCATCTCATTTCTTGTGCCTCCTACTTTTGGCTTCCACTCCATCCCTTTGTTCTCTTCATTCTCATGTCTGTCCCTTTTTACGTTTCTTTTCTCCTTGCTATTCTTCCAATCCTTTCTTTATGGCCGGCTGTTCCATTTGAAATTGATTCTTTCCCTATCAGTTTATTCATACCAAGTTCAATCCATATCTGTGGCATCAAACTCACCAGGAAGTGAAGTCGGAAATACTGAGCCTTGAGTTTAGTGACGATAATGGAAATGTATTACCTGTCGGTGGGGATGACATCGACATCGACATCACAATACCTCTAGATTCTAGGAACGAGTCTTTAAATAACTTTTTCATTAGACCACTAACAATGCGATATCATATTGTCACGCTCGATGAAATTTCTGATTCTATCATCCTCGAAGTTAAACCAATCAACCGAAGTTTAATGATGGTGGTGTATGTTAAACATGGAGGGCGTCCAACTTTGAGCGACTTTGACTTTTACGCTGTTATACCTGATTATTCTTCTTGTCGTTATGATGCTCTCAATGGTAACCTGGTCCTTAAATGCGTCACAAGTCCATACAGAGTCATGTCCACTGGAGATTTTAACCAGACGGGTCTATACTATGTCGGCGTGTTGTACATTGAAAAGTCTCAGCTAAATCACACCCGAACAAGACGTTCATGCTTCGGAAGAAAGAGACAAAAAAGGGACTGTGTAGAGCCAAAGCCTCCTCCAGTGAGAGGAGTAGAGTACAATAGAACATTAACCTATAATCCCGCCACTGACCAGAACTACAGTGTCAAAGTTCAGAAATACAGCTGTTATTATTTCTCCTTGACTCAGAACACGTGGAGTAAAGATGGCTGCAAGGTTAGGATGTTTGTCCGAGAAGAAATAGAGCACTAAATCATTTAATTGGCATGTATTCATCTATAATTGAGCCTAATCCCTATTAACCTTTTAAAACCTAAGAGTGACTACCATCAAATTTCCCCCTTCAATATCACCCCTGAATCATACGTTAAGATCTTGAAAATAAAGGAAATTATCACAGACAAAAGAAGCTTTTGATTCGTAATAAAATTCTCCTTTTCAACACCTTAGGAAATGTATAAATAGCAGTATGGAGAATATGCATACCGATCTTAGGGTGTAAAGGGTTGATTTAAGACCAATATAAGACTCTTCTGGCGCAGATTCTTACTCCTTAGGCTGTCTCTATTTACAGTACTTTGACCAGACTGCCTTATCAATCCGCTATATTGGCACAGTTCTAAGAAGTGGATACATTTTCACCAGAAAGTAATATTAGAATGGGATACCGAGTATGATGCTAAAAAAAAAAAAAAAAAAAAAAAAAAATTGCAAAATTTCTCAACCTCCGGATTATTAGTCATAACGAGGAGCATTATCCCCAGTTTATTGTGTTTCTTACTGACGCTCCACCGGTGCAGCATCATGACAAACTCGGCATCTCTCGGAACATAAACCATAGAATGTTATTTCTTGACTTCTTTAGGTCGGTGATGAGACGAACGAACAACTACTTCACTGTAAATGTAACCATCTAACTGCGTTCGCCGGTGGTTTCCTCATTGCTCCAAATCCAATAGACTTCGACAAAGTTTTCGTAGAATTTACCAAGCTCGGTGAAACAGGAAATTATGTGGTACTGTCAACTGTGTGTGGCATTTTTGGCGTCTATGTGTTGGTAATTATCTGGGCGAGAAAAGCGGATATGTTAGATGATAGAAAGGTACGTTGACTTGTTGGTTATGAAATGTCTGAGATGCTACAAGCGCACTGGTTGCTTAAAAGAACTTACCGTTTATTGCAGTGGTAGACCCATAGGAAATTGAAAAAAAATATACTGCTTTTTCTTTTAAGATTTAAAAATGGATTTTATAAAAGCAATAGACCGCACTTTCTATTGGTTCACCAACGCAATAAGTATCTTGGGACTTTCGGAGGGCACTAAAAAATTTTGTAAATCACTCGCCACCTTAAGCACTTTATAAACTTTTTTGGCGTTCACCTAACATCCTGAGCAGCTTGAGTTATTCCGCCGGTCAACCGATAACAAGGGTGGTCTATTACTCATGTTTCGTGTCGATACTAGAAACATTCTTGGGAATTCGATGCACCTGCGCATTCGAAGTCATGTAAGGTACCAGAAATCAGTATTATTTATCTAATCAGTTATTCTATGGGTTTCATTGGAATTGCCAAGAGATATGTAATTGACCGTCGTCTAATAGCATGATAATAACTTTTTCTTGGCAGTTGGGTCCAACTGTGAATATAAAACACAACGAGAACAGCTCATACAAGTATGATGTGACCATAATAACCGGAGTATGGAGACAAGCTGGCACATCGGCAAGCGTATTTGCTAAAATCTACGGAACTGAGAGTTCTACTAAGGAGGTTAACTTGACTGGCAACGCTCCACCTGGTAGAAAACTTTTTGCAAGAGGCAGCATTGATAGGTTCGTTCTTCACCTTGACAGTCAGCTCGGAAGTGTATTTAAAGTTGAAATGTGGCATGACAACAGTGGAAAAAGTTCTTCTTGGTTCCTTGATCAAGTTCATATTGTTGAAAGAAGTACAGGGGAAAAGTGGGATTTCTTCTATCATAATTGGCTGGCTCTTCACAAAGGGAATGGAACCACTGCTGCGACTCTCATGTCCCATGATAATGGTCAGCACAGTCCTGGGTTTAAAAGTATGTTTCACTCAATGGCTTCAGCAGACCTGGCCGATTACCACATCTGGGCCTCCGTCGTTACCAGGCCACCACGGAATTTCTTCACACGCGTTCAGCGTGCCTCTTGCTGCCTTTCTTTTCTGTATTTGGCAATGGTATGTAACGCCATGTTTTATCTGGTAGTTGGCGGTTCCGAGGATTTGATCCAGATAGGGCCATTGCAAATGTCCCTTCGGCAGCTAATTATTGGAATTGAGAGTACACTGATAGTTACACCAGTGAGTATTATCATAACTGCATTATTCCGCTTCAGAAAGGCAAAAACGAACGGAGAGTGTGAAGACGGCGATTCAAACAATAATTCTCCTGAAATGTCCTCAGCAAAAAATAACAAGAAACAATTCTTACTTCCCCATGTCTTTGTTTATCCTGCCTGGTTTCTCTGCATTGCAACAGCAGCGACGGCTGCCACGTTTACAGTATTTTACAGCCTTCAATGGGGTAAAGAAATTGCTGATCAATGGTTAGCTTCTGTCTTGGTATCTTGTGTCGAAGATATTTTCATCTGGCAACCTTCTAAAGTCCTAGTATTAGCTTTGTTATTGATTCTAATTTTTAAAAGACCTAAGCCACCCGATGAAATTGAAAATTGCGATGGAACATCCTTTGCAGAGGAGATACGAGAGCAACGTGCCTATGAATTACGGAAGGCAAAATTTTTTAGATTTGCGCGACAATTTTTGGCTTTTTTGGCCTTTTATCTCTTTTTGATGATTGTAGCTTATGGAGACAAGGATTATCATAGGTACCTGATGACTAAAGCCACGCGTGACGGTTTCGCCTATTTCTACAAGGTTTGTGCAAAAATATGTCTTGATGATGGCGAATTTTCGGAAAACTACTTTGCATTCATTTTTCACTTTGCCACAACAAAAAATTATCTAGTGATGCTTCAACGCATTGGCAGTGCCGATGGTAGTCCGAACTGAATTGATCTACAGACACTAGGTTTACAATTTTGCGGCATGTCAATCTCTGTATGAATAAACGAGGATGACAGTAGGAAAGTGCCAAAAAGAGTAAGTCAGTTTGAATGCCTGAGAGCATGATTTCATAATGGCATAGGGTGGAATTTTTGGGCAACTTGAATTTAAATATCGTTCCAAAGGACTTCTTTTTCAATGTCAGCCATTTAATTTCGCGATGAAGTTTTACCCACTGAGAACTGAATTTGAAATCTAAGGACTCTCTCATTTTTCCTCCTTCTTAAGGTACAATTTAATGATATATGCTGTCAATATAGGTGAAGTTTAAAATCCAGATTTCCAAAATGATGAACGTCAACAACGTTATTCTATTCCTGATTTACCAAACATCATTGCATTTTTTGTCTTATGTAGGTAAACACTGGTGACAAAATGTGGGATTACATGCTGGGAAAGTTCATCCATGACTCTTATGCCGGTGAGTGGTACAATGGACAGTTTGAGCCGACGACAGAGTACATTGGTAACAAAGCTTCCATGCTCATTGGAATGCCTCGTCTTCGACAGTTGAGGATAAATGAAGGTATTTGTCGTTTTCACGCTTTTCATTATGTTTGTAACGAAAGGAGTAGAATGATTTCTCACAGAGACTTAAAGTGATAAATTTGCGTATGTCGAAAGTAGAATTTGGTTGTGCAATAAAAATTACGATAATTTTTTAGTACTTGGTTAATCTCGTAAGGTTTGAGTTTTAATGTGTAATCTCTGCTCGCTTTGTTTCAAAAATAGAATCATGCACCGTTGTGAAAGAGCTTGAGGATATGATTGATAAATGCTATGACTTTTACTCGATGTCAGAGGAGGATACAACACGCCTTTATCTTCCTCATTGGATTCACTTGTCAGAATCACAGCTTAGCTGGAACAATCTATCACAACTTTGTCCAAAGCCTTGGCGTTATTCAACTGCAGAGGAGCTCAATAACTTTCCATCGTGGGCACAACATCACATATATGGCGGTGGAGGGTACGTTCTCGATTTGGGATACGATAAACCGACTGCTATCCGTATGATGGAGGCTGTTAAAGACAAAGACTGGATTGATAGAAGAACAAGGGCAATTCTGCTTGAATTTCAAGTCCTAAACCTGAACACTAACTTAATGAGCATTATCACGTACCATTACGAAGTTCTTCCTTTCGGATTTGGGCTTACTTACGAAAAGATTGACACCATAAAATTGTTTAATTTTCAAACTATGGCCTACAGCTTTTACCTAATGTGCCAGTTGATATTTATATTTATGGTCTTAGTGTATATCACGATACTTCTTATAAGACTATGTCGTAAAGGAGGTGCATTTTTCAAGCGAATATGGAACTGGATAGATGTTGGTCAAATTGTGAGTGCCTCGCTTGCAGTTGTGTTTTACGTTATGAAAGTTAAGTTTATGCATGACAGTATCCAAGAAGTGCGAAGGAATCCATTTGTGACAGTAAGCTTTCAGTTCGCAATTTTTTGGACTGAAATGGAACATGCTGCTCTTTCATTTGCTTTATTCTTTGCCACGTTCAAAATTCTGCATTTCATTCGACTTAATCCGCAGGTACAAATACTAGCGTGGTCGTTAGCCATTGCAAAAAATGACATTTTTTCAATAAGTGTTCTCTTCGGATTACTATTCATTGCACATGGGCATTTTGCCTACATGGTTTTTGGTGGCTCAGTGTTTTCATTTTCATCGTTTATCCGCTCGTTCGCTTCTGAATTTCAATTAGCACTTGGGAACACCTTTCACGTTGTCCAACTCGATGATGTCAATAGAATCTTTGGTAATCTTTTCACTGCCAGTTTTATGGTCACACTTGCAATTCTTCTGATCAACATTTTTGTGTCTATTCTTGATATAAATTTACACGATGTAAAGGACGACGAAGAGAAACTTGAGGAAGCATATAGTATGGGAGAATTTATCAAAACACTTCTATTTGGCCTAGATCGCCAGAAAGAGGAAGATACTAAACTGTAAAATCCCACTAGAATTCAAGAAAGGACGCTTTTTTGAGGAGAAGGGAAGGATAAATTTTTCAAGAACAACATGTAAACAATTCTTCCCCAGGGGCATCTTCTGTAAAAATCTCACTCTAGGATCTTTAATTTGACTTCTGTTAAAAAACACTAGGATCCGTTTTTGCCGAGTATGCTTGTGTAAAAAACTGAAATAAATGATAGAAAGTTCCTTTGTGCGTGTACAAAGGAATTTATTTAGGCTTTTATGCTGTAGAAAGCAGTGTTTTTTTAAATGCTCTATCATTTCCCTTCTTTTAAATTATCCCCCAACTATTGGAGGACCAACGCTAACACTATATTTAGTGACTTTCGTGTCCTCTGTTACATTATCAAGATGACCTGAAGACTTCATGTACCAGTCGATTTTGTCTTTTATGGCCTATGCGGTTCCATCTATTTTCAACCTTATGTTTACTAGCGTTGACAATAATTTTGAGACACAGTGTCATTTTAACGTTAATATTTCACTAGAAATCGCTTTTAATTCTTAATCAGCAACACTGTAACATAAGAGTTGATTTATTGTAATAAATCATAGTCATAATGTACAAAAGCAATACTTAAATCTAAGTTTTTTCAGTTGGGCACAGAGGTGCCATATTTCTTAGAAATGATATCGGTGAAAGCAAAACTCGCCATCAAATAAGCTCCCACCGGAAGCAAGACGATGGCGATTTTCATTAGTCTCATAGCTGTCGATATTTCTAGCCTCATTTTTCCTCGCGATGCCCTCTCTCGGGATATTTACCTCAAGTAAGCCATATTTCATCTACGAGTAGCCCTATTGACAGCAGAGAAAAATTACCTATTCTTAAGATTTTTCGATCGATGTAAAATCAATTTTCAAAGTAAGTTGGACTCGTGAATTTCTCACCTCACAATTGCTGACGATTGCATGTGGCAGAAAAGAAACAATCTCGGTCATAGTACCTATTAGAGAACCCAATGAGCCTAGGTTATGGAGAAACTATCGTCAGATTTTAGATCCGCAATGAAATTGAATACCTTTGAAAACAAGATTCGTAAGTGCGATATAGTTTATTGCTCATCACGATTAACATAATTGTATCTTCATAGGAATAAGTAGGAGTACTTTCTATTTCAGGGATCAACCTATGATTGTCTGTCTGGAACGTGTTCAAAAGAATATGCTATTGTGTGCAGGAGATTCATAAAGTCATTTTTCTCCTGTAAGAGGTCAGCTTCCATGCTTTCTGTTCGTTTAATGAGAGCAGACAGTCTTTTCTCCACGTTTTCCATTCGTAACTCTGTGCTCCGAACAATAGCTTCAGAATTCAAACAGAAGGGCTCTGCTTCAGAAAGGCACATGTTAACAATAGTTGTCTCATCACAAAATAACCTAAATTCTGTCCCACTGCTCCCTTCATGAAACATTTCCTTTACACGTTCTTCAATGAAGCGCGCCATTTCAAGCTCTTCTGCGCTTTCCTCGGCGTTTGCTTTGGCGTCACTATAGGAATCATTGAGTACAGAAACTAACATATTCATTAGGAAAATAGTAGTGGACAGACAGAACAAAAACGCAAACGTAGGACCAATAAAGGGTTTGTCGCTCCGCAGAGCATGTAACGGAACCGCTTTTCCTAACAGGAATTCGAATTGTGACATTACAGCATTAAGATAACTAGAATACTCAAGGACTATACCACCAAATAACTGCATACCCGTTACGACAAATGCATTAAACACGATTAGAAAGAAGAACATATACGAGAGTTGATAGCCTACAGACTGCCGAAAAGATGAAAACAAGTATATCACATGTGGATTAAAACGAATTAGATTCAGAAGCTTGACTGTCACCATGAAAATAGCAACAGCAATAGAAATATTTTCAAGGTTAAGCCAATCCAAGGCTGTGTGGAAATGCATGACTTCATATGGATTTGATTGAATAGATTTGATAGTGTTCAAAACGCTTTTAGCTCTAATCATGTAGAATGCTACAGATGCTACAGAGAAAATTATCAAGAAGAAATCTACCATGTTCCAAACAGACTTGAAGAACCCGAAGCGTTGTCGATAAAGGTGAACTAACATAACTATGAAGTAAAAGAGAACCATTGCCATGAACAGAAACTGGCCAATTAAGAAAAACATCAAAGCTCCTGACTCAGTGCTGTACAACTCCAGTGTTTCAATTCTCCTTGTAGTGTAGGCTGCACCAGTAGCTAAGGCCTCGTAAAAGTATGTGGCGACGCTAATCAAGTTTGTATTGACATTGAAAACAGCAAACTCTAGAATTACAGCTCGAGTCTGGCGATCAAGCCAACCGTGGCCAATAGTTTCATCGAGGACACCTTGTGCAGTGGTTTCGTCATATCCCATAACAGCTGCATAACCACCCCCTTCATATGAATTGTATGCCGCCTGGACAGGATAGTTGCGAAGTTCTGCTGCTGTTTGGTATCGCCAAGGTTTCGGGCACATTTCTAAAGCATTTGGCCATGATGTGTTGAAGGGAAGATGCTTCCAGCCTGGAAGGCTTAGGGAAGTAGTGTCCTCATTGTCTGAGGAATAGTCGTAGTAGCAAGTTGAGATAATTCTAGGAGGGGATTCGCAAAAACCTTGAAGGAGAAGTACAATGACCGAATTTAGAACCTTTAGCTTATATTAATGATGTTTCATTGAAAAGAAAATAAACAAACTGATTCTTTAACATTTATATCTCAAAATCAATGTCCTATTTAAAAATCCAGTGATTTCTAAGGTGTGTAACTTGAAAGTTTTTTTTTCGTGTAATTTTCAGCACACCGGGAAGTGAGCAACAGCGTGATCATCAAAGGTGAAAACTGACTTTAATAAGTAGCAGATACGCCTAGTAGAAGTGGGTACTCCCCATCAGTTCAAAATTAGGCCCCCTATACATTTCCTATAATTTATTACTTTCATTGGTCTAAGCACTTTGCAATAAGAGCCTTCTTCGAAATTTATTCTGTGCATTAAAAAAAAAGAAAGAAAATAGATCAATCTCAATTGAGTATACCTTTTTTAATTCTGAGCTGTCGCAACCAGGGCATTCCTACTAGTATGGACATTTTGTTTTCGATGTACACTTCGTTTTTCTCTTCAAGTCCGTTATACCACACCTGATTATAAATGTTTGACAGAAATTCGTTCCTTAACCATGCCTCAAATCTTTGTGCATCATATACCTAAAATGAAAAACATGACTCTGAGAGCTGTTGACATTGTTATCTGATGAGGTTGATATATTTATCAAAATAAAAAAAAACACAATCGTTTAACAAAACAAAAGGCAGATCCTAATATTCGTTCTTGCATTTGAGCTGTTGACATTGTTATCTGATGAGGTTGATGTATTTATCAAAATAACAAATAAACACAATCGTTTAACAAAACAAAAGGCAGTTCCTTTTATTTGTTCTTGCATTTGATTGAAATACTTGGTTTTTTTAATTGAAATGTAATTTTAAATCAAAAGTGTTCAGATTCCTTGCCGAGAGTAAAAAACTAACTATAATAATTAGCCTTTTTCCAACATATGGCTTCGTAGATCAGTTGGGATGTGGAAGGCACAGATTGGCGTCCTGTCGAAGCCTTAGCATTTAGAGGCATCTTTCTCTAATTGCAGCTCACCTACAGGGATCAATGCTTTAACTCTTTAACTCCCATGAGTGACCAACACAGAATTTCTCCTTACAATATCAATGCAATATCAGCCAGATAAGTGATGAGAATAAAGAAAAACATAAATTTGGGGATACTAAGTTGATCTAGTACCAAACTCTCTGCACTAATATTATAAAAATAGTATGGTTGACAGTAAGGAGAATTGAAAATGTGATCTGGCAGTTAGAGGGTTAACCTTAGTTCTAATTTTTCTTTTAAAGGTCATTTCAATTCTTTAACGGTTTTAGGATTCTCTTGCAAAAGGGCAATAAAAACAAAAAATGCCTTCTATCTTTAAACTAGAAAGTATGTTTTGGCCAAAACGATAATCTTACCACATTGAATTTAGTGAACCGATTTCTAATCTCAGTTGTCATCAGGAAACGATTTCCATTCTTGTTTCCATAAGAAACGATAGCCAGAAGAAACATAAACATCAGATGAAGGATAATGTCTCTTGTCATGCTTGTTAACTGAGCTTCTCTTTTTGATCTCTCCCTCATCTTTTCCCGCTGATATTTCTTAAATCGCTGTTTGGGATCATCACTTACAAAGTCTATTTCAATTGCAAGTGGATCGATTGCAATTTCCTCTTTTTCTTCTTCACGTTGGTCTTTATTCTTTCTGATCAGGAGAAAGGAAATAGCGATGACTGCAATCATAACTTTCGTAGGCTGCATAACGAAAATATCTTGTCCATTGGAAATCAAGATGGAAGCAAGCCACTGCTCAGAGGTTTCCTTTCCCCACATTAGACTGTAAAACAGCGTAAATGTTGCTGCTGCCATAGTCGTACAGAAGCAGAGAAACCAGCCCACATAGACAAAGAAATGAGGAAGCATACAACCGGTGTTCGTTATTTCATCCAAAAGTCGTTGGGCCTCGCCTGTAACTTGGTATTTTTCACTCCTTTTCTTCCTCGGTCTGCTAGACTTAAACAGGAAGGCAATTATTATGTTTATAGGTGCAATGATAATACCACTTTGTACTCCGATGACAATCTGTCTCCAAGAAAACTTAAAAGGCCCAACCTGTATAGCACCATCGGATTCACCACCAATGTTATAGAACATGGCATTAGCTATCATTGCACTAAACAGAACTGAAAGACAACATGAAGCTCTTTGCACACGTGTGAAGGTGCTGCTACATGCTTTTCCAAACACTGACATCCACAGGTGACTGTCGGCAATTTTTCGAGCAAAGCGCGAACGAACCTGAGCCGAGAAGGCAGAGTAAGTCGTGCTGTCCACGGTAACCTCTATTTGACCGTCGTCTCTCTCCAACGCAAGCCATCTATTTATGGGAAACACCCACCTTTCTTCCGTCTGCCGGTCTTTGATGACCACAGTCTCCACAAACCAAGACGGGTTATCACCCAGATTATCGTGTTCCAAAGTAATTTCTTTTAATGTGCCAATGGTTTCAGCCATCACCAGAACAAAGCCATTGATACTCCCTCGTCCGAAAAACTGGCTTGTGTCCCCTTTCTCTCGCAAAGGAATTTGACTCTGCTCGTCATAGTCGCCCTTGATACTGATGGTTATGTTAGCTGTTGTTGCTGAATGTTTCCAAACACCAGTGCTTATAACCACATCGTAGTAATATGTTCCTCCCTCAACAACTGATATCAATTTAGGAGGGCAAATCTGAAAAGAAGGATACATTCTGGTGTTAAAAATAATCCGAAATACTCACCTGAGGGTTGACATCTACCGGTAAGAACGTAGCACGTTTTATTTACATTTCAATAGTAGCTTAAAAAAGAAAAAAATCAATCTATGTAGGAATAAAAGTATTGAATTAGATGTACTTGCATCTATGACCATACTTTGTCTTCATCTCCCTTATCGGCTCTTCTTGCAAAGATCAATACGACGAAGTACAGAAGGAAACAACAAGCAATTGTCACAAGTACTGAGATATTGCCACTTTCAGCAAGGTTTAAAAACTCAGTAAAAACTTTGTCGAAGTCAATTGGATTCGGTGCTTGGATGAAGTTTCCACCAAAAGATGTCAAATGATTGCACAGGCATACCAGATGCGTGGTGTTTGAATCTTGGCTGACCTGTGAATATAAATGTCCTCAAAGATATTATCGAAATTCAACGAAAATAGTTTTGTAAATTGATTTCCCTCTAAGTTACTAACCTAAACTCAGTCCGCAAGAAAAGGAACTGATATCGGATATGGTTAAGTTTTGGCATAAGCTCTAAAAGCCGCATCTTTCGAGGAGTATCGTCTCCTCGACCACAAAATCCCGAAATTTTGGAATCCAAAACTTGTTTTCAGTTGATATACGTTCAATACAGAGCTAATAGGTTTCCTCGTTGTGGACAAAAATGAGACACGAAGGACTTCACCAACCTAATGTATAGGTTTATCAGGAGTTAAAAAATTTTGCTTTATTTACTTTACCCTGCAATCTTCCGCAGTCCACTTTTCTGTTTCCTCTGACCAATACAAACAGCTTGACTGGCTGATGGTTAAAGTGTAGTTAATGTCTGTATTTGGATCATATTGAGGAACCATAGTTTTAAGGACTCCTTTCGGTGGTGGATCTTTAACGCCGACACATGACCGTCTTTCGCGACGATGATCGAAACATGATCTTTTTTGCATAGAATGTTGACTATCTTTCTTAGAGCCTTTGAACAACAAGCCCACGTAGAGAAAACCCGGCCTAGAAGGCGTCACTTTAACAGACCCACCTTTGGTAAAGCAGGTTGTATGAAAAACTGTTTGGTTGTCACATTTAGACTTAAACGCGAAAGTAAAGTTGTGGTCGAAGTCCATCATCGTTGGTCGTTGTCCAAATTTAATCCGCATTTCAATTTGCACTCCTGTTATGGCCAAATTCAAGCTTAAAGAGACAGGGACGTCGGCCAGGTCTGCGTAATAACTTCGGAATGATATGCGGTCAGGCTTGAGGAAATAATGTTGTGTTGTGTTGCTGGAGTTCTTTGGTGGATTAGAAATCGGAATGACGATCTCGATGTCATTATCAAGATTTGACACATTTAGCTTTTCTGCACTGTTACTTTTAAGCTCGAGACTCGTGACGCTTGATTTGATTTTCTTGCTGCTGTTGTCCCATGTAAAAGGATTAAAATCAACAGCTTGCATCTGAAATACGACAAAGTCTATTAAAGTCTGACTCTCCAACTCTGGCAACTGACTCTTGTGATGACTTCAGCTATGGTTGTTGAGACGTCGGCTGCTATTACTAGGACTCTATACATTCAAACATTTAGATTACACGATGATAAGCTATACAATAGGTTAGGTTGCTTGAAAGTATGTCAAATGAAACCACAGTATTACTGGATTCATTTTTCGCTCAATTGAATTGACGAAATTATGTCTTCTGAATTCAGAGAAGATCAGTGCAGATTGCTTTAATATTTTATCACGCGAATAAAGTACGTGCAGTTGAATGTCTTAAAGGACAACCTAACGTCATTATCAGCGATTACTAATGACCTTTGTCATTTCTCATATTCGTTAAAAGATGAAAATTAAGATAAGGATGCCATCATACCTTTGCATTTATCTCTCCACCACCTATATTTCCAAGGCTGCTAGGGAGCTTGAATTTACTTGGTCCATCTCCCATGCTGAGTCCTTTTGCATCATTGGCTGTGACCTTTTTCAGAGATATTACTAAGTGCGGAGTTTTTAGGACCAGATCTTCTGATGGTACCAAACGGCCAAAAAATGCATCACTCATGGAGCTCAGTTTTTCGGAGGCCTTTTTTACAAACTGGAAGGAGAGAGAGAGAGATTGTAAGCCATATCGTGTTTGAAAAATGACTGTTAGATCTCCTTAGACTCTTATTTTTCCCTCATAGCCCAATAAAACGAGTCATCACGGGGGGGAGAATTCATTTTTTATTGCGGAAGCTGCGTTTGCAAACCGTACCTCTTGAGATGGCTTGGTAGCTGCCGAATCTGCTCTGTCTTGACTCGAGCCTGCGGCAGACTCCAGAACATTTGAAAGACAGCCCGTGACGCTTGTAGCTGTTAGTTCCAACGCCGGTGTAAAAGGCTCCTCTGGATCGTTAAGTGTAGAGATCATCATACTTGAAGTACTCTCGGTCAATTGCATTGTCAACTCCTGATAAAAAAAAAAAAATTAAATTAAAAAAAAAAAACAAAAACATATCAACGAATCATCCTGCTCTTCGGAATATAAATAGCAATGTTTTCGGAAAGAAAAAAAAACAACAAAAAAAAAACCTAAAGACATTTCCTGAGATTCTAACGTAAGTCAAACGCAAGTTCTTTAACTAGGTTTACTTGTAAGTTTGACTTCGTTAATTTTCTCGTTAGTATCTTCAGGTCAAGATTCCTTATTTATTTGTGATCAGAATCCTTTAGGGGCAAGTCAGAGGCTCATTTGCTCGAACGCACTGAGCATTTCTCAGTTAGTAGTCGAGTTGATCTATTTTTAGGGAGGCACTAGCTGAAACTCCGTCATTGCTGGAAATTTGAAAGCGGTAACCTTCTGATTCATTCAATATCAATTTAATGGACTTGCAACAGAGATCAGTTCGTTTTCCTTTACCATGCACAAGCCAAAATTGATTTATCGGAAATGTTTGCATCAAAAAGTCTAGAGAAAGAGGGAAAATTCAATATATTTATAGGGCGCACCAGGTTGTCATTGTTGCTGTTATCGTTGACGTCAACCTCAGCTCCCATAGCTAAGCTCACCACTGACATAACCAGGCGAGACATTTCAAGATTCTCTGGTGTTATGGCTGTAAACTTCGTAATTAATGTGCTGAAGATCTACAACCAAAAAGAAGCGTGTCAAACATCTTCAACGCTCACCTACCACTCAAGATAGATAGAAATCGCAACAAAATTGTGTAGTAATAAAGATAATGAAAAAGAAGCTACTGAAAAAATGTTTAAGTCTTTCTTATTACAATTAAGCAGTTCTTTTCCACGTACCAAAGCTTTGTCTTTAGGGTCCAGTTCTTTTCCACATTCGCTTTTTTCATTCGTAGACTTTATGACAGATATACCAAGTTGAACAGCTTGGCTAAGTTCACCTTTGTTGAGAAATCCATCAAGCTTATTACCCTCCATGACTACCAAACTTTTTAACTTGTTTGCAACTTGCACGGGTGACGAAACACATGGATCAAGGCTTGATGATGGCCTTACCTATAGATGAAAAGTTTTATAGTAGTCTTTTGTGAGGAAAATCGAAAATTTGTGTCCGGGGGTAAGAGTTCTTTGGCGTTGTAGTCAATATTACAGATTTTAAATGGATCCTAGCAACAATGCCGTGATATTGGAGGATCCTGGAAGTTTTTTCTGGAAAAACTCCAGGGGTAAGTAGGTACAGAAAAAACCTAGAACATACTGTTTATGTAGATCAAAATTTTAAAACATGAAAATCTTTGGTTTAGTTCCGAATCCTTTTTGCCATGTAATATCAATCACTGCACCTTGATAAATAATTTCTGTTCAACAGCTACCCCAACGGCATTTTTGATAACAATAGAGACTTCTAGCAGAAAATCTTTGTCCGGTAATCCAGTCGGTAACACTGTCGATACAGACGAGGGTGATGTGCCATAAGATATAGGCTCCTCTCCAAGGGTAAACTCATAGGTGAGGGGTAAGCTCACATCCTGCCAATCGAAGCACTTGAAAGTAAACTCAGTCTCCAGTGAAACGCCTTCAGAGACTGACGGCGTGCAGTAACCACTATGCGGCTCCCCTGCAGTTTCGAAGAGGAACATAGAAAACCCGTATGTCCCCTCCAAAGATTTTACGAATAATGTTAGATTGTATTTTGATTTGGATTGCAATGAATTCTTCCTGATGATCATATTACTAGCATTTACAGCAGTGGAAGTCATATTGGGTAAAATAGATATGTTTACCCATTTTGAACCATTTAATTTGGACAAGCGCCATTCATAAGTGGATCCATTACAAGGAGAGTTAAGACACTTTGATGTCACCCGGAGCTTGTTTGATGCAGACACTATTGCGCCGCAATCCACAAAGCATCTAAGAAAAAAGGAAATAAACTCTAAACAGCAAAAGCAAAAACAACAACAACAACAACAACAAAAAGGACATACACAAACATAAACAAAAGCAAAAGGCAGTGAGGAGAACTATCAAAACAGCTGCAGCTTCAATAGCACTTATTGACTTACAGTTGAATTCAAATATGCCCCCGCTTGAAAAAAGTATTTCAGTTGCATGGCGATATGACTCTTTGAAATCAGTACCTGCCCGTCACCAGTTGAGCAGTGCTTTAATAGCTGCACAGCACGTTGGCCAAATCTTGAGATACCTAACGAAGTTCTTAGCTCCGATTTGTTGAATTTGTTCTTAAGATTTTAATCTTATCTTTTAATAACGATGTGAATGCCAGTGTCTGTTTCCTCGAATCTCTCGAATATCAAAATATTTTCCCAAGTAATTTAGAATCGGCCTGTGAACATTGGTTTGTCATAATTCGAAAAAAAATACCTGAGAGTCACCTGAGGTACCTCTCCAGCAGCTATGGCAAAGGACATTTCAGCAAATGAACTTCTTAAATCCTTGGAAACAGTAAGTCGTAGGAAGTAAGTCTTATCGGTTTCAAGTCTACTAGGATCAATTCTAATTATTGCGGAGCTTAAGTTTCCTTCATCATGAAAGGAACCGAAACAAGTGTTGCTCACACTAGTGTTATTCCGACAGGTCCACGTGAAGTTGAGCCCAGTATGTATTCCAGGACCAATATCAGCATCGTAACTCAGGGAACCATCCACAGTCACAATATTTTTGGATCCCCATCGAACACTGCTTCCCCCATCAATGATTGCTCGCACTGGAGCTGCAATAACCTCGATAAAGCCATAATCAAAAGCATAGAGCATCCGTGGGGATTCTTGATCTCCAACTGTAATTGTAGCATTGAATTTGACTTGGTAGATACCTGCTGGTATGGATCGTCTGTTTATTGTCCACTCCGTTGTTCCTTGACTAACTAAAGTACCTAATGCTGACTCGGAAGCAGCTAGCTCCATTTCACTAACCACGCTCCATTCGAAAGTGCTTTTCAGTACAGCCAAGTCTTCATTTAGACCCTGTATCACGGCTTCCTGGACGCTTTTGACTGAACGACTTACAGTTGTGGCATGGTACTTGTCTTTTGAAATATTTCTGATGGTCACCGAGAAATCTCCTAGGAATATTTGGAAACACATCTGCATGAAGCTTTCAACCTCAAAGAAACAAGCTTTCTGTAACATGTTTTTAGCAACAAAATGAATTGTCTTCTGGTGTTTCACACCAGGGCTTTTGTTATGAAGTATTCTAAGGCTTGGCTCACTTTACATCAAACGTTGAAATAAATGATAATTCTACTCCGACTACCTTGTTCGATTATAGAAATGTATAGAACTTAATGAACTGATTAATTTTTTGCCCGGTTTCGTTTCGCTGAAATTTGAATTTAATCTTACCGTTTGGCTCACATGCTATTCCATCTCCAATGTAGTCTTTGCGACACTCACAGCTGAAGGATCCCGGATTGTTAAAGCAGTGAGCAACTCCATGACAGTTATGAGTTGAGGTTGCACATTCATCGACATCTACATAATTTAATAAATGTGTTTAAGTATTATTACAAGGATAAGTGCCCCAGTAAATAAAAGACAACAAGAAAGAATTGATCTTGCAAATATTTCCTACCAACACAACTTGTACCATTTCCTTCATATCCTTTGAAGCATGTGCAACTAAAAGATCCTACTGTGTTATTACAAACTGCCCATGGGTTGCAGTTGTGCACATTTGTGTTGCATTCGTTAATATCTATAGGAAAAAAGAAATAGGTGTTTAAGACTATATAGCTCTCAAACCTAATCTCAAAAAACAAAGAAAGAAAGAAAAAAAACTTATTATTTCTCAAGGCCCATATCCAAAAGAATGGGGCATGGATGAGGTTTTGTTACTACTGTTGAGGTGTCAGACTGACAGTGACGATTATCAAATGACTCTTAAATTTTTCGAAAGAATGTTATGAAATAGATCTTGCTCATAGATATCAAAAGCTGTAAGATTACATTTTGAAAATGTCCATATTGTAAGGACAGGTATTCTGTCAATAGTATTGTTATTATTACCACCATTATCATTGTTGTCTTTTAATCAAGGTTATTATTTTAATCCTTATCGACATTTCCGGTCGCATGAGTATCTAAGGTCTTAACAGTTTCATCGGCGTAATGTCAAAGTTTACTAGAACGTTTAGTTAACAATTCATTCAGAATTTCAGCGGCAGAGTTCGTAAAGGTGAGCCAGAGATTTGAGCTTGTTATACGTACCATTGCAAAATCGTCCATCTCCAGAGTATCCAGGTAAACATCTACATGCAAATGATCCATATCTGTCAGAGCACTTTGCCTCAGGAGCGCAATCATCCAGTTTTTCCTTACACTCGTTTATATCTATAGATTTAGAGGTCATTATAAACGTAAAAAATAGCTTGCATTAGATGAAATGAAACAACAAGTTGTTGTCAGATCCAATTTGGAAAATGGCTCTTGTTTGTAACCTCAAAGAAGATATTGACTTTATTTTGAAACGAAGAGGCAAGAATGATACCGAAAACATGACCAGACATCCAAATCTTCAACGAGCTTACTTGTTGAGGCATATGTACGGGTTTTTTCAGTGACGATTAGTGAAATTTTCCATTTCCTAAATAATTTTCAAAACTTAGAAACATCAGCAAAACCCACAAAATACTGAGTCTTTTGAAACTCCAACAAGGAATTCTTGATACCCGTTTTTTGTAATGGCACGCATTATCTTTCTGCATGAGAAGAAATCATTATTAATGGAACGATCTTGTCGGAGTTGGAGAATATTGTATAGCATACCCTATCCAAATTTGGAGTTAAACGTTGTTCGGCAAGTTGTAAAAGGTTATCGCGGTTCAAAGTGATATATAAGTCACTTTATTTGAGAAAATGGGCACGATACTAAGGTACGCATTAATATCACAGGAACTGAGAGCGTACATGTAGGGATAAGATTGGGCTGAGCTGCATATGAATCTTTGAAGACTTATTCATATCTAAATTTTTCAAATATTTGACTGTTAACATCGTCTGTTCAGAGAGGGGTACCAGTTTTCGAGAGCGAGCACGATGAAAACTGGGAGCTTCGGAATACACATACTGTTAAAGAAGATATGTGCGAGCATATTTTCGAGCCCATTAGGAAATATTGGCTTAATGATCTTTCAAATAGTTTTTTCTCTTGGAACAAAATTTCATCGTCCAAAGCTCTTTGGCAAGAAAGAAAAAGACGTTTATGCATCCTAAACAACAAAATGATACAATCCTCAAATTGTACATTCCGTTTGAAGGTTGCGGAGAATCAATTGTCTTTATAACCGGGTATTTCCGGTTTCAGTTGAGACATATTTGAGCACGTGGAATCAGTCAAATATCATACCAGCACAAATAACACCGTCTCCTGTAAATCCTTGAAGACAAGTGCAATTGAATGAGCCCTCAGTATTGCTACAATGTGCCATGTCGTGACAATTGTGTTCCTGCTCTTGACATTCATCCAAATCTGCAAAAATCATTTCAGATTTAATTTTCTATTTTTTTTGTCAGTCTGCCGAGTCGTACGTCCTACCATTTGTCCGTCCTTAAGAGTATAGAGATCGTAATTCCTCGTACATTTCATTGTGCGTATGTGTGTGTTTCCTAACAGGACTAGTAGGCTGTTAGACAAATTCGCGCATTGATTGTATCGCATATGTTTTTCTACTTGGTATAAGACTCCTTTTTTTCGGGAAAAATTTTCTATAAAAGCAGAAGAGCATACGCATTGTGACCAAAAGGTTCACGAGCCAAGTGGCTAGCACAACTTGAGCTCGGTTTCCCCAGCATGTTGTTGGATGATGGTTGTTACTTAGTCGGAGGTAATGGTACTTTAGCCCGCGGGAAGGAGAACCCATGAATCTATGCCTTGAACTTATCATCCTACCTTAGGATGTTGCATGGACAGTTTCCATCGGGGAATGGGAGATTACAACTGCATATGAGGCTTTTAACGTCATTTTCGGGAGTGCTTCATACGAGGTGCGGCTTAGTGACGACTTGACATGAAAGCTTATGTCCTACTGTTAAAATTACCTGAACAACCGAACAGCTCCACCTTCATGGCAATTTCCCCGTTCCAGTTAATTGGACGAAATCGGACGTAACGTCCCACGATGGAGGGATTTAAGTCGTGGTAAACTATTGAATACCTGTCAATATTTCCATCAAAAGCCTTGATGTATCAAAAAAAATGAAAAAAGGAAAATAATCTGCTGATTTTGTCGATCGAGAAAGTTATGATAATTAAATCTCACTGACTTTTTAAAAATTATTAGTCAGAATTTAAAGTGAAAAACAACTAAGGAGAAGTTGGTAGTTCTAGGTCAGCCTGGGACGGCGGTTTAAAGAGTAAAATCGTCTAGGTGGGAAAGTATAAAAATTTTCATGCAAGATGTTGGTATGAAAAGGTAGAGATTTTGAATTTTAATTTTCTTTCTTCTGATGACAAACCTAATTTGCCGGGCTCCCCGGCCACTTCAAAAGGTTTTTAAAAATACTTCCGAATGTTTTATACAGATGTTCTACAACTATGCATGTATTGAGAGAATAAAAGGAGAAAAAACAGCCAAATTCATGGTTTATATGATGCAATCTACATGTTTGTTTTGCAATACTATCTTCTTTTATGGAAAAAGAAGCCTCGTTAGTACTCTAATATAAGGAAACTGGGTATAACATAGTAATTTCGTCAGAGCGAAGTGAGCGGTAGTCCTTTGCTCTGACGAAGGGCCAACGCTCGAAACGTCGGGTTTGAAACTCTTTACGGTGGCCAGTTGATAATACGAACTTACTATGTAGCACTCTAATATACCTTTTTTACTGACTCCCCCTGTTCTATGTAGTAATGGAAGTTAATTTCGTCGTTACTATATTGTAAATTGTAGCTAGTAACCCATTTGCTCATGTTAGGGTTATTCAGTCCTTGTGTGGCAATTCTCGTTACGAGGATATCGTTTCCTAACAAATCAATCTGAAGCCATTGGTCGGCATTGTTCGTGAGAGGCAACCAAGTTCCCTCTGAAGCTTTAAGTCTGGCCTTATTCGCCGCATGAGCTGCTTTCAGTTCTGAAGAGGCAGTAATTTGTCCATCAGAAATGGCACCGTTTTCCATACCAAAAGCATCTTGACATTCTTTAAATTTTCAGATAATAAACACAAAGTTTTAATTCAGAGTATATATTCATCTGCCTTCCTTGCCAAAACGGAATTATAAAGGGACAAAAAGAAATAGATCTTCATGGTAGAGCATATTCGGGTGGGAGATGCTCATCAACTTTTACACGTAAGGGGAAAATAATATTATTAGAGTCATTGTTGAAGATGTAAAAAACCCGATAAAATGAAATTAAGACTTACTGAGGCATATGTTTTGGGCGTAAAATGGAAAATGAGTTTTGGTGCTCTTACGCTTCAATGTTAAAGGAATGAAATGATTAAGCACAATAACTTTCATTTAAGGAGAACACAAGATAAGTGAATTGCGAATTACACGTCAATCAACGCATTACTCGTTATCAACAAATCGATTTCATATTTACCTAAACAGCCGTACAGCTCTACTCGCATTGTTATCCAACCATACCAAGCTGTCGGTCGGAAACGGATGTATCTTGCTCTAATTGGTGGAAAAAGATCATGGTACACGACAGTGTCTTTGTCTGTGTTTCCAACGAAATTCTAGAATGAAATGAACACACTGAGAAACGTAAACTTGCTGTCTATGTTGTATGCGCTGCATTCGTCTACCTTGGGTTGTCTGAACTGTTTAGGCCAAATTTAAATCTACCATTTTAAAAAAGTCCGCAAAAATTCGTTAGTGCCATAATCCGCGCGACATGAATGTCAGCCTTTATCAGAGAACATAACTTATTTCTTAAAGTGAACAACACTTTTGTTATCATCACTTAAACTACTTTCCGTCCTTGAAAAACGAAAATATCCACAGAACATTTAAGACTTAATTCTCTTATGAAATTGAGAGCTAACACCTTTTGGAGATTCTTCAGACTCTATTCCGAACGACAGTTAAGATAAAAGTGTGCTAAGAGCGAGATTACGAATCAAGTCACGTGATTTCTTACGTGATACAATGAAAAAAAGGTACAAATCGCATGAAAAATCCTATTCTTAACGCTGTTGTTTCCAGAAAAGCTTAAGGGCTTTCAAAAAAGAATTGTCAAACCAGTCTCACCGCCTGCAGACGTTCGAGCGGACATTTTTGCTTTTATATCGTATACTGAACAATGTCACCTTCTTAAAGGCCAGAACAAGCCTCGAACATCTCTTGTAATGTCAGATTATCCACGGATTTAAATCATGGAGATCCAAGCCAGTTCAAATTCTCTGCTGTGCTTTTTGATATAATTACCTTATTCGTGATTTTAATTTTTCCGCAGTAATTTTAATTAGACTCTTTTAATTATTTTATTCCCCACAGAAAGAGGCTGTGGGATCAGCGCAGACTTTGGTGCTTATTCCCTGAAGTAACGCAGTGGTTCCTCTTAATTCACGCTGAATTTTATTCTTTCGAACTGATCGCTTAGAGAAGTGCATGGTTTGCCTCATATAGTGTATTTATTTTTTATAAAATCGCAGTTAATACAGATGGACTACTGATGAAGATTACTTAAGATAATTATCAAACCTTCGCCTCCATATGTCCACGTTCTCTATAAATGTGGAACTTTACTCCATCGTTGCTGTAAGTTAAATTGTAGTTGGTTACCCAGTACAAAAACTTTTGACTGTTTCGTCCTTGCGTTGCAACCTTTGTTATTTTAACGTTTGAATTAATCAGCTCTATCTGGAGCCACTGGTTTTCATCATTTGTGCGAACCACCCAAGCCCCTGCTTTGTAACCTGATTCTTTAAAGTGAAGTCTACCATTATGAGCAGCTTCATTGTAATCCCATTGCGAAGAGGCACTAATTTGCTTGTCGGCGATGGCCTTGCTCTCCATCCCTAGAGCTTCTGCACACCCTGAGTAGCATTAATGTTTTGTATTAAACACAAATATCATGTTTTTATTGCGATAGCTACTTCAAGTCAATTTACAGCGTGCCCTAATTTTTCGTTTGTCAAGCATTCTTACACTTCACGGTTTTATTCATTTCATTACATCATATCGACATCATGCACACCAAGTTTTTACCGAATCAATGAAAACTAATGTAAAAAGCATTGAATACGGAAAGCTCTTTCCAGTAGGTGTGATGGTGTGTTCGGTTTATAAGAGAAAAAGGAGTCATAAGGTTAATGAATGAAACAGCAATGAACTTACCGAGAAGTCTGGAAAGTTTCTAAATTATTTGCAAGCAAAATCGAAAAATTTCCTTGACGACCTCAATTATGAGTTCAATTTCAACTTCAAGAGCAACCCCACATCAAAAGTGATTTAATTAAATTTGCCTTTTTACCCTCCTCTCTCACTCAGTTTCTTCGGAAATAACAACTGAGTTTTCAAAACACTTCTTGAAGCATTTATGAAAAGAAACATAAATCATAGCCTTTTGGCACAAACCCCAGTGGCACCACACGATATGAATTATATCTGATTCGTTTACGTTTTAACGTTTAAAGTTTCCACACATTTTATGCGTAATTAATTGCCACCGTGATTAGGCCGAAAAATAAGTTCTGCCATCCTTGCCTTTATTGTAAGCTCATTTACAGATAGAAAACTTACTAACGGATCCGTAAACCTCAACTCTGAGACAGATATGACCTTTCCAAGTAACTGGAAGAAAACGAATGTATCTTGCATAAACTGGAACTTCCAATGGATGTTGGTTGGTTGTGTTAGATCCACCTTCCCTGCGAAATTTCTACCAAAATGAGAACATTTGATGAAGTGACATATTTTGGAAAATCCTCTATACTTAAAAAACAGAAATCTTGATGAGGATAAAAATTTCAGACAGCTATGAGGAACATCTATACCCTCCCCCCCTTTTTTCCCATGTTGTTGTCCAAATTGAGAAGCAGTACATTGATGATCGCACCCTTTCGACCTCCTGAAAGACGATTTTTTTATCGCTCTAACTGAACAAGGGACCGACATCTCACAAAATTTCCACTATCAGGATTCTAACATGTAATAGTAAGCAACACACCAGACAGTTTATCAGAAGAAAACAAAAACCGTCTCACTCCAAGAAAAATTACGAAAACGACTTATTTCGACGAAACACCCCTCTCCCTATCTGCTTGTATAACGACGAACGGCAACGCAATTCCTATGAGTTCAGTACATAAACCGAACAATAAAGTAGGTCTGCAACTCTCGGGAATCCTACAGCCAAGCAACTTCCGTCACCTACAGACTGATGATAGGCGACGTAGTTTGTTGTCTAAATTGAAGACAAAGACAAACTTAGTCTTAGAAAAGGAGCGGGTTAAAATATCAAATGCTCTGACTGTAATTAATGTAACAAACGTAACTAACCCGGTTGTTTGCTCATTTGGTAGCGCATTACATCGGTATCGCAAAGGTCATCCCGTAACGTCCTGAATTTTTTTATTTTTTCGGGCCTTATTTTGACAACTGCCAAAGTAGCGTTCATTACTGCGAATATCGCTTTCATATTCATTTGGGTTAATCCTGGGTTCAAACTGTATACTTTAAGATCTTATCGGACACCATCATAAAATGATAAATTTTCCGGGGTAAAACAATATTTTGGCGCAAATCGTACCACTTCTAAGTCGTTAGCATCCTTATAAGTTGGCCATACTTCTTCATAGGATTTAGAGTGCGCTAGTTTAAAGTCTATCACCCATTCATTGCCATTGATGTCTCCTTGGGTTGCAACAGCACACACTTCAATAACTTTCCCGAGATCGACTTGAAGCCACTGTTTATCATCATTTATTTCGGCGCACCACCCATCACCTCTGGTACCGTTCAGACGTCCATATGATGGTAGGGCTTTGTAACCTGGGCTTTGATAATGACTTGATGCCCTCAGGAAGCTGTCAAGGATGATACTTGAATTGGAAACTCCAACAGCATTACTGAAGCAGCTAGCAAAGGCTTCTGCGTTCCAAAATTTGCATATTTCAGTAAATTTTTTGCCTTCCTTATCACTGTTTATTCTTAACATAATATGCACGACATGTCGTAGCACAGAATTCTCTAGCTTATAAAAACTAAGAAATTACGATACAAAAAGTGTGAGAAATCTATTTTAGAACCATTAATTCATTTCTAGCTTGAAGACATTTTTATGCTTGCCAATGGGTTGATATGGTGCGCGGAATAATTAAGAGGCCAGGTGGGCTGCTATCCCTATTCCCCATTTCACATCTTGATGTTAACACCAATTTAGGTTTAGGCTGAGCATGTTAAAAAGAATTCTTTGGCCGAGGGATATTCTGTTTTGTCAAAATTTCTAATGATATCCTTAGCCGTTCAATTGGGTGAAAAAGAAATTGCTTAATAAGAGAAAAACAGCAGTAAAGGATAGAGAAATTAAATTAATTTGTTTGAAAAATATTCGATATCGCTGTCGCGCTCTCACTGGTCGATAAACATGTCTGTACGTCACACGTTCTGTGTTTCTCGGCAAAATTCATAACCTTTTCAAAGTTAAACGTTTGAACGTGTCCTTTAGTAGCATGTCGTAATGATGTGGGATATTGATCAAATGAAGCCTTTAAGTGCTACTGTGGTTCTTTCTTTATTCACTCCGAGCTTTCGCCGTTCTACGGCATCATCAGGCATCATCACCTCCCTGATGATGCCGTAGAACGGCGAAAGCTCGGAGTGAATAGAGAAAGAACCACAGTAGCACTTAAAGGCTTCATTTGATCAATATCCTCCTTTTCAAAGTTATTGCAAGATTCATAATGTGAATTTGTAACCATTTAAAAGTTTTATGCAAGATTCATAGGGTGATTTCTAGAACAATTTAAAGAGAATGAGGAAGATTTTCGTGTCTTTACATCTCAGTGCCTGAGACTCGATGATGTATGGATTAAATGGCAGATGAAATAATTGCGTTTAAGTAAAACAGAATGGCACAGCTGAATAAAGTTATGTTTTTTGTTCGTTATCAAGATAAAACGGCAAACGCTTACGATTCTAATGTTTCATTACCTAAAATATCTCCTGAAGAGCTGTTTGATACCAGACAAGAAAATTACGTTTTCATGGCCTTAAGAGCTTGCGTAACAAGCTCTGCGCGAGGTCTATACATATTTTAGCCAGGTATCTTAACCTCGATAACACCCTGTAAACTGCTTTCTTCACTGAGACATCAAAGTTTCTTTGGGTACAAAAGCCCAAAAGTAATACATACCTCCACTTGCTAAGCCTTTGCTTATTACCACGATCAAGACTTGAACCTATAGGGCGGAAGGATATATTTTTTAAAGGTAAAAAAATAGTTTTATCTCTCAGTATAGCAGAAGTACAAAGAAACCATATGTAAAGGCCGGCAGGCTGACCTGTAGCAAAATTAAAGGCCTTTGAAGTTTCATTTTGTCGCTATTTCATCCGAAACCGAGCAAAGGCATTTTTGTTATGTGGATAATGTTTACAAAACTCTCCTGATTTAATTTTTTACCGACAGGTTTCATTTCCCCGCTGAGATTGCACTTTAGAAAAAAAACAATTAACCAGTTTTAAAATTAATTTCGCAATGGCCACGAAAAAGCATGTTTTAGAAATATTAGTAACGTAATTGAAGTAGTGAGACTGCATAAATTTTTTATTACGCTTAAGTTCGAATAATGAATCATTCCTGAAGAACAAAAAGAGTATTATCTTTTTTTCGGGAATATTAGACAAATTACTTCTTAAGATTGCGAAATTTTAGCTGTAAACAGGAGCCTCCAGGTTAAACAAAATATTGCATTGTGGTTTCTGCTAAGCTTAATAAACTGTAAATATATACTCCCTCTCAGAGACAGTTACCTTGGATCTACCGACAATGGCGATAGCGGGGGTTCATAAACAGCTTGTATTGACAGTTTTCAATCAACACAGTCTCCCGAAAACAGTTCTTTTCTTAAAGGAAGTATTTAAATGTAGCTTCTAATTCTTGAAATAAAATGCTGTCTCGGTGTGTTCTTACTTATGTTCTTTTATTTTTAACCCTTTTTTCCTCGTACATGGTCATTCTGGTTTTCGCCGTTAGACATCTTCACATTTCGATTCTTGTGCACAAGTTAATATTTTGGCGGGCCTCTGCCTGAATAGCCTCTAACAAAGGGACTACGTCACACTGTGTTTTGTTCACTGTGGCTCCAGTTTGACACTTAAAAGGCGTCAAACTGCTTTTGTTCCCCAAAGTAAATTAACGAGAAGCAGAGTGTGAACCGGCAAAGGTCGACGAGCACAGAGCGTGCAGACCGACTGATACAGGAGTGAGGAAGTGGGGACACGAGACCAATCGAAAGACCTCTTTGTTTATTTAATGACCGAGTCTTACTCTTACTATCTTAGCAATTTAACACACAGAAACGTTGATAACCTCTGTTTATTTTTCAGGGAGAACTCTTATTGAAAAACTCCACTATTAATATAAAATAAGTTAGATATTCCATCAAGCCGATTTAAAGTCACCATAACTACCTGTCCGTACAAACCTTGCTCTTAAAGTACTTTTATACGTATGTATTTGTTACTGAGATATTCATACAGGCTTGCCCAGTTTGGCTCAAAGTTAATTTAAATGGGGGGCTGTATAAACGATGATAAGGCTAAGCCACAACACCGGTAGCTACGTTCCCTGCCATTTCAAAGGAGAGCGGGAGTTCTTTAACGTCTCCTGCGAGCTAGTACAGTGGAGATGCAGGGGACGGAGCTTACCGTTTATCATACTCATCCGAGAAGACTAGAATGTCTAACTATTTTCCGGTGTCATAGCAGAAGTGGCGCATTCTCCCCAGTCATTTTACGACCCTGAGTGTCAGTCTGATCTGGAGCTTGAACGCTCGACCCTCCCGCATGGCAGTGCGGCTCCTTGCAACGGGAATTGAAAATCTGAACATCATCAACTTGCGGATCATAATGCCTACTGGGACTCTGTGCGATGCATTTGACCTACAGAAATAAAAATTTCAGTGGGTAACTCTAGAAAGCTGGTTGCTAACTAGGAAAAGAAATTCAGTCAGTGCTACCTTCTCGGGATTACTCCCACCCTGAAGATCAGACTGTACAATAAACTCCTATTCCTGGGCTCAAACCGTTTAGTACTGAATCTAACCATACAACACCATGAAATGTTAGATGCTTTAGGTTTAGAAGGACATTTTGGCCTAAAAAAAGCCGCTTCCGAGCCATTAGCATCCTTATAAGTTGACCAACCGTCCTCATAGGATTTAGAGTGCGCTAGTTTAAAGTCTATCACCCATTTATTGCCATTGATGTCTCTCTGGGTTGCAACAGCGCACACTTCAATAACTTTCCCGAGATCAACATGAAGCCGCTGTTCGTCATCATTTAATTTGGCGCACCATCCATCTCTTCTGGTACCATTTAGACGTCCATATGGTAGTAGGGTGTTGACTTGGTTATGACTTTTTGACCTCATCAAGCTGTCAAGAATGATATTCAAATTGAAAACTCCAACAGAATTACTGTAGCAGTTATCATAGGTTTCTGCGTTCAACAAGTTTGAATACTCGATTAATCACAACTTTAACCTATCTTATCGCCGTTTAGAATTCACTTAAATTAACAGGATCATTCCTTTTACTAAAGGAAAAGTTTTGGGACTTTTGTATTACTTATAGGCGGGACGTAGGACGCGTGAAAAGGTACAGGAGCGGATGCCGTGGGATAGAATCCACCAGCAAACAAAAAGAAGTCTACGAAATCAAAAATTGCAACATTTTTTCCACACTGATGTTATATATTAATTTTCATAATTAATTTATCTAAGGTTGGAAAATACTTAGCAAATTCTTCACCTCGTCCAAACCGTCCTGCTTCGGACTTTAGACATGCACTTTGCGTACGCTAAAATGCAATACTTTCAACTTCTTTTTAACTTATCGTGCTCTACAAGGATGTCTTTAGATTATAATGCTTCGAGAAGTTAATTGTAAAAGCTCTTTTCCGTCGACAGATTGCAATCATAAAATTTTGTCAGCAGCGTCTTAGTAATGCTCTATAGAGAGTAGAAACCCTGTATGTAATTCTACGACGATTGTTCTAGTAAAAAAACAATTGTAACGGCAAATGTTTACGATATAATTTCGTTGTAACATAAAACTTCCTTTGAATAAAGGTGATGGATACCAAGCAAGAAAAATACGTTTACTTAGGCTTTAGGAGTATAAGTAACCCATTTCACGAAAAGTTCATTAAATATCCTAATCTCGAAAAAAAAACCCTGTTTCTAATTTTAGAGTATCCTAAACATCTACTAGTTACCACAGTCAAGATTTGAACCTATAGAGAGAGGGGTTTTTCGTTCTGTTGGTTAAAACATACTTTTATCTCCCAGGGTAACAGTCTAAACAGGAAAACATTCAAACGTCAGCCTTCTCACCTTTAATAAAAGTAGGAGCCTTTGAGGATTCATCTTCTCTCTTCTTTGTTCCAAACAGAGCAAAAGCATGTTAGGTAACTATAGTTTCAGTACATAATCCTTCTAATTATAATTTTCTTACTAACAGGAAAAATTTCCCCGCTGAGATTCTAGTGAAGGAAAAAAAAAACACATCAATTTTTTTAATCAGGTTTTCGCAATGGTTGAAGAAGGGAAATTGTTGGTAATATAGACAAACAGAAGTACGTATAAGTTTTTAGATAGAATGTAACAGGAAATTCATTTTTTACTTTGGTCCCATTTGTTATTATGAAAAAGAATAACTTCTCAATACATCTCTTTCTTTACCACCTCATGGAGTTTTATCTTTTTAATTGGTTAAAGTAGCCCTTTTCAGGCCATTGTTCATGGAAAACAATTAAAGTAGCAGGTGAGCGACGCTTAGCGACGTCCTTGACAAGTCAAGTTAACCTTGGTACACCCACTTTTTGATTGTCTTGGCTGACTGAGAGCCTGGTACAGCAGGTGGTATGCATCGATTCCACAAGCTTTTCGTTTTTTATTCTTTTGATGGATTTCTTGTTTTGGAACTGTTGGCTTGACTACTGATTTTATTCACGTTGTACGTATTGTACTCGTTTTGTGCGTTTGTGAATATGAAAGTGAACCCCCAACTGTAATATTATTTTGCCAGACTACCTAGGCTATGGTTACATGGTTACTACAAAGATCATTAAATTATGAATAGAAAGGCTTACCTAAACGCATTTGTTTTGGATATTCCAACAATGGTAAAGGCAGGGGCCCATTAAGACAGTTTTCAATTGATAAAGTCCACTGCAAGCACTTCGTTCCCTAGAAACAAAACTACCTCAGAGAAATTTCTCTTTTAATTTTAATGTACATATGCCAAAACGGGATCTCCTTCAAAATAAGAATCCTTTATTTTGATCTAAAAAATAAATTTGTGTAGGAATGAGTCTGAATTCCTGTAGGGCTTGATTGACTCTAATAAATTGTCATGTTCTAAATTATTACAGGGGACTTAATGAGAAGATTCAAAAAAGCCAAGCCGCACTTTTTTTTGCCCAATCCTTTAAGTCGACCTCACTGAAAAACCCAAACTGCGTTGCTTTCTAAGACGTCCTTATAATAAAACACAATATTATAAGCACTCGCCAATCTTGTAGAAAACAAAGCATTAGATAGGCCTACATGAAAAAGACATAAAGAAAGTTTGAGAACCATCAATTTTCTACATGCATTGCATCGTATAAATATTAGTAAAATATTTTCGATATCAAGTTTTTACTTCATGAATTTGGTCGTTTACAGAACGTTAAGTCTGACTTTTAATCTTTCAACGAAGAGTCAGACTGATCCCTGTGGATATCTCTGTTTCCACAAATAAATTGTACCTATAAAAATTTAATACGCAATGTGAGAACATATTGGAGAGCAAAATAAGCCTGCGGACGCTGCTTTTGTTTGTATAACAAATTTTGGGCAGTCTGAATACTCCGTGTTCAATGAAAGCCTTTTTAGTCTAGAAAAGTTATAGACATTACGTAACTTTTATTCCTTTAGGATATAACCGTGTCGTTAGAAAATTCATATGATCCTTAACTCTTTAACGTAACTAATGAATTACGGGGAAAACGGCAAAATATGTTCAGGGTCTTGTGGACATTTCAGGAGAATAATTTGAAAATTTGAAGCCATACTAATAAAGTGTATGTTCCCTTTAAATTAACTTAGGATTTCAATTTATATTTTTAACGTGTCAGGGTGATACCTCATAACGACTGGATCGGTCATTGACGTTACCGTTTGAATTAAGCATGCGATGGAGAATTAAGCATAGCGTATTCGCCGATTCCTTTGAGATGGGCTGATAAACAACGGGTGAAGATTTTAAATTTTCTTTGAGAGCTTAGTTCTTTATAATTTAGTTAGTGAAACTTGGGTATACCGCTGTTTTGATAAACGATATAGGTGTTTGCTTTTCGTTCAACTTCGAATAAGCAAATGATATGCTTAAATATAATTTCGTTTTACAAAATATCATGCAGCTGTCTTTATGTATCTTCGATCAGCGTTAAAATTGACTGAAACATCATGGTGGAAGATTTATATCTATGTGTAGAATAACATTCCTGTTTCTACCACTTTCTAGATCATTAAAAGACCCTTCCCCCGTTCCCTATATGTAACTAAAGGTTCATGGAATCACGATAAACATTGTTTTGTTTTGTTTGGTTTTGTTCTCTTATTGTGCTTTTGTTTTGTTTTTTTGGAGGGGTGGGGCAAAAGCGTTACTTAAATATGAAATTGAAGTAATAGAGGGTTGAAAAGGTCGATGTGTCAACAATTTTGTCGCCGATTGTGGCTACAGTGAAAACAAAACACTTCTCATCAGGAATTAGTGAAAATGATGTTTATTAGTCAAAACACGACCTTTAAGTTTTCCTTCATAAGCGAAGTTCTTATAAAAGGGATTACCACTTTGCTGTTGTAAGTGGAGTGAACACATTTCTTAATGAAGTGATCTTCAACTGGCTTTTTCCTCTGAGACTTGTAAGGGCTTTTCTTAATAACCTTGGTTGATAGCCTGCATAACAGGATCGGTAGTCAAGCTCGTCACACACCTCAGCCTCAGTGCTAACACTCCATGGCTGGAGGGTGGTCTAGTGTCACAAGCATGCCTTTGGAGCAGGCAGGCTTATTTTACATTGCAAATACTTGGTGGCTTTGTCATCTCGTATATCAGGCAGTATATCGGCTACCATTGCTGATATCCATTTCAACACAATATGGAGCCAATGAACCTCAAAGATCATTTTACTATCTTTAGGAAATGCAGGAGTAATCTTGACTGCCTGAGATATGAAAGTCATACATCAGATATCTTAAAGCCAGTGGTCAATACTCAATCATGCAGAGCAAAACTGTTTTTTAATGAACATTTCATATCACTTAAAGTATTTTGCCACCTTATACGCTTAATTGTAGATCCTTTTACGATGCAAATACTAAGCTACTATCTAATTGTCAATGACATCCGACGATGACGAAACCTCGTATATTTCGTTGGATAATTTTTGTGGTGGAAATATTCCCTCAAACCTTACTTCGAAGATACAATTACTTAAGAAAACATTCAGTAATATCTACACATCCAGGAAAAGCCTAAAACAATTTCAATAAAAGAAAACTAAGTTAACTTATAAAATAAGACATCTCTGCATTCAGATATGATCTTTTGATTTCTTTTCCAAATCATGCACCGAAGGATTTATCATTAATAACAAGAGGTCAGTAAAATTATTTTCCTCTTTCAAATAATCAGCCTCCATGTACTCTGTTCGCCGAGTGAGAACAGTAAGTCTTTTTTCCACTTTTAGCATTCGCTCCTCTGTACATTGGATGATACAATCAGAATTCAAACAAAATGGCTCAGCTTCAGAAAGGCACATGTTAACCAATATTGTCTCATCGCAAAACAATTTAAACTCAGTCCGATTAATTCCCTCGTGGAAATTTTCCATTAAACGCTCCTCAATAAAACGTGCCATCTCCAGCTCTTTTGCATTTTCCTCTGCGTTTGATTTTGCGTCACCGTATGATTCGTCAAGGATAGAAATCAGAATATTCATAAGAAATATACTTGTGAATATACAAAACAAAAACGCAAACGTCGGACCAATGAAGGGTTTGTCCCTTCGAAGAGCGTCCATTGGGATTGCTTTTCCTAACAGGAATTCGAATTGCGACATGACTGCATTGAGGTAACTAGAATACTCTAATACTACACCACCGAAAAATATCATACCTGTCACAACAAATGCATTAAACACGATCATAAAAAGGAGCACATACGAGAGTTGACAGCCTATAGATTGCCGAAAAGACGAAAACAAGTATATTACATGTGGGTTAAAACGAATTAGATTCAAAAGCTTGACTGTCACCATGAAAACAGCGACAGCAATAGACGCATTTTCAAGGTTAAGCCAATCCAAGGCTGTGTGGAAATGCACGATTTCATATGGATTGGCTTGAATAGATTTGACAGTGTTCAAAACGCTTTTAGCTCTTATCATGTAAAATGCTACAGAGGCTACAGAGAAAATTATCATGAAGAAATCCACCATGTTCCAAACAGACTTAAAGAGTCCTAGGCGTTGTTGATAAAGGTGAACCAATATAACTATGAGGTAAAAGAGGACCATTGCCATGAACAGAAACTGGCCAATTAAGAAAAACATCAGAGCTCCTGACTCAGTGCTGTACAACTCGAGTGTTTCAATTCTCCTTGTAGTGTAGGCTGCACCAGTAGCTAAGGCCTCGTAAAAGTATGTGGCAACGCTAATCAAGTTTGTATTGACATTGAAAACAGCAAACTCTAGAATTACAGCCCGAGTTTGGCGATCAAGCCATCCATTAGTAATAGTCTCGTTGAGGACACCTTGTGCAGTGCTTTCATCGTATCCCATGACTGCTGCATAACCACCCCCTTCATAAGAGTTGTAGGATGCTAAAATGGGATCGTTGCGAAGTTCTGCTGCTGATTGATATCGCCAAGGCTTAGGGCAAATTTGGAGAGCATCAGGCCACGAAGTATTGAGGGAGAGAGGTATCCAACCTGGAAGGCTTAGCAAAGTCGTGTCCTCATTTTCTGGAGAATAGTCGTAATAACATTCTGCTATAATTCTCGAAAGTAAACGGCAGGAACCTTCAAGTAAAAATAAACAATAAAGAGAGGAATAAGTTACTCTAAGATTAACAGTTTTCTCAAATGCAGATAAAGTGAAACAGAGAAAGAGAAAAATGCTGAGCAAAAAAATAGCACGCCGGTAAAGTTTCTTGATATCGAGTTGAAGGTTATTGTTCTAAAATTGCTTTTGAGTCAAGTCGTAAGCAGCTAGTTGAAATGTGTTCTAAACAATTGTTTTTCTTTTATTGCTATGCCCTATCTTGGCACCTCTAGTATTATAACTAAGTGTGTTAGTTACGAGCCTTTTAATTTCCAGCGTTACAGTTTTCGAATTGATTAAGCCATTATGATATTTTCCTCTTTCAACTAGCACTTTCCAATCGTATATTAGGATTTTTTTCCCACCAATTTAGGAGCTCCATTGTCCATCGTCAAGTTCAAACAGTCCTTTGTGATAACCTGTTTGTTTATAAAAATAATATATTCTGACCAAAGTTTACTTTTTTTAATTCTGAGCTGTCGCAACCAGGGCATTCCCACTAATATCGACATCTTGTTCCCGATGTACACATCGTTTTTCTCTTCAAGTCCGTTGTACCACGCCTGGTTATAGATGTTTAATATGAATTCGTTCTTTAACCATGCTCCTAAACCGTGTGCATCCCCTACCTAAAATAAAGAATAAGTAATTAGAAAATTAATACCTTAAGGTCTAAGGACCCCTCAAGAGGATAGAATGTGTGATGAAATCAAAAGACTGGAAAGAAGTGAAGGGGGAAAGAGACTAACTGCCAATCTTAAATGCAATTAGGAAACAATTAATAAAATATTAATAAACAAAGAATTCAAACGCCCACTGCACTTAATAGCGAACGCGAGTTTGAAATCCATAGTAACACCGCTACTACTTTTTTGTAAAGGTAAAAGTCATTATTTTCACTAAGTAGAAAATTGCTTCAGTACAGATATATCTATGGTAAATTAGCCTGCACACTTGCCATCGCTAGGTGTGGTATTGCGACTGACTTTGGTATCTATTTCTCTCTTAAAAATCTACGAGTCTGTTATCTTTCTCTGATATAAGGGTCGATTACCATGCGAAATAGCTTTTGAACGCTGCCAAATATTTTATAACTGCGGACAAAAAACATTTTTAATTTTACCAGATTAAAGTTAGTAAATCGATATGGATTGGCTTGCATAATCATACTAATCTTACCAGATTAAAGTTAGTAAATCGATATGGATTGGCTTGCGAAATCATATTAATCTTACCAGATTGAAGTTAGTAAATCGATTTCTCATCTCGGTCGTCATCAGAAAACGATTTCCATTCTTGTTCCCATAAGATACGATAGCCAGAAGAAACACAAATATCAAATGCAGAACAATTTCTCTTGTCATGCTTGTTAACTGAGCTTCCTTTTTTGATCTCTCCCTCATCTTTTCCTGCTGATATTTCTTATAGCACTGTTTGGGATCATCGCCCAAAAAATCTATCTCAATTGCGAGTGAATCGATAGTGGTCTCTTCTTCTTCTTCTTCTTCGCATTTGCCTCTGTTCTTTTTTGTGAAGACAAAGGAAATAACCATGACTGCTATCATAACCTTCGTGGGCTGTACAACGAAAATATCTTGTCCGTTGGAAATGAGAATAGAAGCAAGCCACTGTTCAGAGGTTTCCTTTCCCCACATTAAACTGTAAAACAGCGTAAACGTTGCTGCTGCCATTGTCGTACAGAAGCAGAGAAACCAGCTCAAATAAACAAAGAAATGAGGAAGCATACAACCACTGTCCATCATTTCATCCAAAAGTCGTTGGGCCCCGTCTGTACTTTGGTATTTCTCGCTCCTTTTCTTCCTCGGTCTGCTAGACTTAAACAAGAAGGCAATTATTATGTTTACTGGTGCAATGATAATGCCACTTTGTACTCCGATGACTATCTGTCTCCAGGAAAACTTAAAAGGCCCAACCTGTATAGCACCATCAGATTCGCCACCAATGTTATAGAACATGGCATTTGCTATCATGGCACTAAACAGAACTGAAAGGCAGCATGAAGCTCTTTGCACACGTGTAAAGGTACTGCTACATGCTTTCCCAAACACTGACATCCACAAGTGACTGTCGGCAAGTTTTCTGGCCAAGCGCGTGCGAACCTGAGATGAGAAGGCAGAGTAAGATTTGCTATCCACAGTTACCTCTATTTGGCCGTCCTCTTTTTCCAACGCAAGCCATCTATTGATGGGGAAAACCCATCTTTCTTCGGTCTGACGATCTTGGATAACTACGGTTTCCACAAACCAAGACGGATTGTTACCCGAATTATCATGATCCAAAGTAATTTCTTTTAAAGGGCCAATGGATTCTTTCATCTCGAGAGCAAAGCCGTTGATACTCCCTCGTCCGAAAAGCTCACTCGTCTCCCCTTTCTCGTTCAATAGAATTTGACTATGCCCATAATTTTCGCCCTTGATACTGATGGTTATGTTAGCTGTTGTTGCTGAATGTTTCCAAACGCCCGTGCTTATAACCATATCGTAATAATAGGCTCCTTTCCTCACAAGCGGTATCAATTTAGGAGGGCAAATCTGAAAAAAAAGAAACATTCGAAGGTGAAAATAGTTCAAAATACACAACTACAGGTTGAAATATGATTACCTTATCTACATCTCTCTTGTCGGCCCTCCTTGCGAGGATTAAGACAACGAAGTACAGAAGGAAAAAACTGGCAATTGTCACAAGTACTGAAATATTGCCACTTTCAGCAAGGTTTGAAAACTCAGTAAAAACTTTGTCGAAGTCAATTGGGTTTGGTGCTTGGATGAAGTTTCCACCAAAAGATGTTAAATGATTGCAGAGACATTTAAGATGGGTGGTGTTCGAGTCTTGGCTTACCTTTAACGAAAACAAAAAAATTCAGTTAAGCGGAAGAAATGAACATTATCTTGAGCATTAGTGTATAGCACACAAGCGATTAGTGCTTTTCGCGTGCGTTGATTACCTAGTTCGAAAATGAATAGCAAATACAATTCATCTCCGAGCAGAAAAGCGCAAAAGCGCGAGTCAAGAGTTCAAATTCCTATCGCGTTTTTGGTATATTGAAAGAACACAACTACTTTTTTGTGTCTGTGTGAAATATATTAAAATTATCTTTTACCTCGACTTCTGTAAATGATTGTTTTCAAATTAAACTCAGGCACGATCGTGATTAACTTAGAAAAGTTTAATCCCGTGCCGAACTGATGAATTGCTTTAGTAAACGAAAACTGAGACCCGTTCGACACAAAAGAGAAGACATTAAAATAAACAAGTTGATTAGTTGTTCTAACCCTATATTTGTAGCCAATTGGCATCCAGATGTTAAATGTAAAATGTTTATACTAACAACTCCCTCCCATAGAAATGTTAAGATTGCTTTCCTTATCGAAGGTAGGCGACAGTGACAAATGCATGAGGGATTTGACTCAGTAAAGCTGACTTAACAGTTGTAAAATTAAGAAATGATTAGTTTTTACCCGGCAACCTTCCGCGGTCCACTTTTCTGTGTTCTCTGACCAATACAAACAACTCGACTGGGTGATGGTCAATGTGTAGTTAATGTCTGTGTTTGGATCATATTTCGGAATCACAGTGCTAAGAGATCCTTTTGGCGGTGGATCTTTAACGCCCACACATGACCGTCGTTTTCGACGATTTCCAAAACAGGATCTTTTTTGCCTAGAATGTTGACTTTCATTCTTAGGGCTTTTAAACAATAAGCCCGCGTAGACGAAACCTGGCTCAGAAGGTGTTACTGTAACCGAACTATATCTTATAAAGCAGGTTGCATTAGCATCTGTTTGGTTGTCACATGTAGATGTGAAAGCCATTGTAAAATTGTGGTCAAAGTCATTTATGGTTGGTCTTTTTCCAAATTTTATGAACAGATTGATTTGTATTCCCGCTTTGGCCATACTCAACTTAAGAGATACAGGAACATTGGTTAGTTCCGCGTAATAACTTCGAACTGAAATCTGATTTGGCTTAAGAAAGCTATGCTGTGTCCCGTTGGTGGAGTTCTGAGCTGGACTGAAAATGGGAATCAAGATCTCAATGTCATTGTCAAGATTTGATACATTTATCTTTTCCGCGCTGTTACTTTTAAGCTCAAGACTCGTGACGCGTGATTTGATTTTCTTGCTGCTATTGTCCCAAGTAAAAGGGTTAAAATCAAAAGCTTGCATCTGAAAGAGAACACAATAAGGTTTTAGTAAATTTACTTGGCAAGGGCGACTCTAGGAGTTTTTCTCGCGTACAAAAAAAATGGTGTTAATAGATTTTGTCATTTTATCATATTAATTAAGTAGACATGGAGACAGGAAAACGTAGTTACCAATCAGGGCTGCGATGTCTAGAATCCTTCCCAAGTGATTTAGGATAAGAATGGCATCGTACCTTTACATTTATCTCTCCAGCACCTATATTTCCAAGGCGGCTTGGGAGCTTGAATTTACTTGGCCCATCTCCTATGCTGAGTCGTTTTGCATCATTAGCTGTGACCTTTTTCAGCGATATTGCCAAGTTTGGAGTTTTTAAGAGCAGATGTTCTGATGGAACCAAGCGGCCAAAAAATGCATCAGTCATCTTGCTCAGTTTTTCGGAGGCCTTTTTCACGAACTGAAAGGAAAGTGAAAAAAAATGTTGTTCAGTCACATGTTTACGTAGTCAATACGATGACTTTTCCACTTTATTAGACCTAATAAATCGTAATACACTGTTCTTCCTCGCTGCCTTCACTGGTCTCGCCGTTTGGTTCGCTCAATCTAAACTCTATGCCTTAGAGTTGACCCATCCTGAATTGATGGCAAAAACGAAACTCCAACAAGGGAGTGTATAGAGAATGAACTGATTTCTGTGATACTCGCACTTGTAACTGTAATTGTGATCTTTACCTTTGGAGAGGGTGGGGTTACTGCCAAGTCTGTGTCGTCCTGACTCGAGCCTGCAGCAGACTTGAGAACATTTGTGAGACAGCCTGTAATACTTGTAGCTGTTTGTTCTAACTCCGGTGTGAAAGGCTCCTCCGGATCGTTGAGGGTGGAAATCATCATATGTGCTGTACTATCAGTCAATTGCATTGTTAATTCCTGGGGAAAATAACACCGATGCGTCATATGCCTCACTGGATTTAAAATTGTAAGGAAAGACTCTTGGATTGTATAATTTAGATCATTCGCAAATGAGATGCATGTATGTTTTCAAAATAGTAATAACGAATTATTGAAAATAATAGAGATTTCATTTATTACGATTCACCCGGGAGGATAAGCTTGTTGCTTAACTCGGTTACAAATTGAAATATTTCATTCATTTTTGATCGGGTGCATCGTTTTCTGTGGATAATCTGTCAGTTATGGTTATCATCCTTAGGTTTAAACTTTAATTTATGTCAATAAAAGGATTTAAAAGAAAAAAAAGTGTTGTACCATATTGTTATTGTTGCTGTTACCGCCACCGTCACTGCACCTCTCGCATTTTTGTTCAGCCTCCAGTCCCACGGCCAAGCTTACTACTGACATAACCAAGCGAGACATTTGAAGATTCTCTGGTGCTATAGCTGTAAACTTTGATATCAATGTGTTGGAAATCTAGCAACAAGAAATGGCACGCCTCATCAACTCAGCATGGTCACAGTCACTCTGACACAGTCATGTTTAGTATGAATTTTAACTATAATGACAATTAGGCTATATTTTTCATCATTCCGGTTATTCCTGTTTTCTTCTGTTTTTTTTTTTAACAAGAAACTTTATATGTTATACGATTGCTAACTGTCTTTGAATTTTATTACCGTCCATAAGCTTGTAATCTAGCTAAGCGTGAAAAACTTTAAAACTCACATTGTCCATTTCGTTTACTCTTTGAGGATTTTCGTCTCTGGTCACGATATATTAACGTGAATAACGACGCTTAGCATTTCTACAAACCTTTGTTTTGTTCTGCTGTTGTTACTTTCCGGCTCGCTTGCTCCGAAATTTCACTTTCAATTAACAAAAAAAAAACACAAAAAAGCAAAAACAAGAGAGAAGTCCGGGAGATGGTCTGACGTAGACAATTTGGCAGATGGGGTGACAGTGTGTCAGCTTTAGCTGAGCTCTATACTTTAAACTCTCATAAAGCACGCTCTTTTTAGCGATGAAGGCTCGCCTTATATTCGAATTGTTCTATAAAATGATTCATTGCACATATTTTAAGTGTGCATTACGACACGAATAAACAAAAAGCGCAATTGCTACGTGTTCTAAGAAACAACACAACATATTTAATTCTGAAAGTGTTGATGCCGACTGTATTTGAGCAATTTTATTAACGTACCAACGTTTTGTCCTTAGGGTCCAATTCTTGTCCACATTGGCTTTTTTCATTTGCAGACTTGAAAACAGATATACCAAGTTGAACAGCTCGGCTGAGTTCACCCTTGTTGAGAAATTCATCCAGCTTGTTACCTTCCCCGACTACAAAACTTTTTAACTTGATTGCAACTTCCTCTGGTGATGAAGCACATGGATCAAGGCCAGATGATGGCCTCACCTGCAAGGGATATGTGAAATATATTGTAATATTTTTTGGACTGAAATATCTTTTTGGCGTTTGAGCTAAAATTCTATGGCATTATTGGATCCAAGCGGCAATGATATAGAATTGGATAAAAAAAGGCTAGCGAGCACCAATAAAGATTAGACCGTGTTGAAACCAGTTTCTAAACAGTGTTTATGAATTAAATTGGAAAATGCAAAGATTGTAAGTAGCGTTTTTATAGGTCGCGTAAAGAGTTATTTTATTGAAAATTCCCCCGTAAATAAACAATTGCAGTACCTTGATAAGTAATTTCTCTACAACTGATACTCCAACTGCATTCTTAATGACAATAGTGACTTGTTGGTGGAAATCTTCGTTCCGCGATCCTGCAGGTAACACTGTCGACACAGAAGAGGGCGACGTGCCATAGGACATAGGTTCCTCTCCAAGTGCAAATTCATATGTCAGTGGCAAGTAAGTATCCTGCCAATCGAAGCATTTAAAAGTAAACTCAGTCTCCAGTGAGACGCCTTCAGAGAACGATGGTGCGCAGTAACCATTTTCCGGCTCTCCAGCGGTTTCAAAGAGGAGTACAGAAAACCCGTATGCTCCTTTCAAAGATGCTACCAGTAATGTTAGATTATACTTCGATTTGGATTGTAATGAATTTTTATTGATTATCATATTGGTAGAATTTACAGCTGTTGAAGTCATATTGGGTAAAATAGGTATATTTTCCCAACTGTCTGAACCCTTTAGCATGGACAGACGCCATTCGTAGACAGATCCATTACAAGGAGAATTAAGACACTCTGATGTCACCCGCAGCTTGTTTGAGGCAGACACTATTGCGCCACAATCTATATAACATCTAAGGAAAAAAAATAGAAAAGCATAAACAACTCACGAAAAGCTGTAAAATCAACTTCAAGCAAATGGGACTTATTTAACTGAACTCCCGACATCGATTTCAGAGGTGAAACACAGCTTTAGTAGATCGGTGAATAGCGCTTTCAAACCACCACCTGCTCGTCTTTAGTAAAGCAAGTCAATGTTAGTTTCGGAGTAGTTTTAATAAAGAATGACTAGCCTTTTCGAGTCCTACAGCTAGATACAAGTTAAGCTAGTTTAGAGAGTAGAATACTTATTGTAATGTTAAAAGCACCCCACCTCTCTATTCTTTTTAGGAGGATTATCGTCTTCACTCTTCCATTGAAACGTTGCATACCTTTCTTAGGGTCTCCCTTCCCATTTTAAGTACGTTTGCTTCTGGGAAACTGTGTTTCGACAAGTAAAAGCCAACTTTTTTTAGACTACACACATTTTTAAGAGCTTTCCTGCACCGATTTCTTGAGTATTAAATTTTCTCTAATTAACAGTTAATGCTACATAACAATCACCTGAGGGTCACCTGTGGTACCTCTCCTGCAGCTATCATAAAGGACATTTCGGTAAAGGAAGTTCTCACATCCTTGGACACATTCAGCCGTAGAAAGAAGGTCTTCTCGATCTCAAGTTTACTTGGATCAATAGTAATGATTGTAGGGTTTAAGTCTCCTTCGTTTTGAAAAGAACCGAAACAAGTGTTGCTTACAGAAGTGTCACTCCGACAAGACCAACTGAAATTGAGTCCGGTATGCATTCCAGGGTCAATGTCTGCGTCGTAACTTAAAGAGCCATTCACAGTGACGTTTTCCTTGGACCCCCACCGTACACTGCTTCCTCCATCAAGAATAGCTCGCAAGGGAGCCGCAATAACCTCTATGAAGCCATAGTCAAAGGCGTTGAGAATTTTTGGGGATGCTGGATCTCCGACTGCAAGCGTCGCATTGAATTTAACTTGATAGATACCAGCAGGTATGGATCGTTTGTCTATCGTCCACTCCGTTGTCCCTTGACTAACTACAGTTCCTAATGCTGACTCCGAGGCAGCTAACTCCATTTCGCTAACCACACTCCATTCAAAGGTACTTGTCAGTACAGTTAAATCTTTATTTAGACCCTGTATCAGGGCTTCACGGACACTTTTGACCGAGCGTTGTACAGGTGTGGCCTGATACTTGTCTTTTGAAATGTTTCTAATGGTCACCGAGAAATCTCCTGAGGATGAAATAGTTAACAGAGTTTTTGCATCATTTTTCTCCCTCAAAGAAAAATAAACGTTTGTTATATGGGTGTAATTCCTGATGAATTCTCTTACGTTTTTTTTAACAGTACGAAATAGCCCATACTTGACATTTCAACGAGCGATTTTCAAGCTCTAAGACAATGAAAAGATGATAATAACAAATTATCAGATAACATAATTTCACTGTAAATTGACATAATTCTTACCAACTGGTTCACATGATACCCCATCACCAATGTAGTTTTTTCGGCACTCACAGCTGAAGGATCCTGGATTGTTAAAACAGTGAGCAACTCCATGACAGTTATGAGCTTGTAATGCACATTCGTCGATATCTATAGAATCATGGGAAGGAGCGTAAATTTCGAGGAGGTTTATTGTTCAGGTTATATTAACGAAGCTCTTTACCAGTTGTTTTAAACTCTCAAAAAACTCTCCTCCTTAAACCTATTAGTGCATTGCCATAGAGGACGAGAGGCAACGCCTGATTATGGTACCTGAACATGGAAACATCCCTCACCTACACAAGTCGTACCATTTCCTTCATACCCTGACATGCATGTACAGTGAAAAGATCCAACAGTGTTGTTACAAACAGCCAATGGGTCGCAGTTGTGCACATTTGCAGTACATTCGTCGATATCTAAACGAAAGAGGAAAATAGCTGGTGTTAAATAAAAAGCTTGAGACATTTAAGACACCAGCGGTTATCAAGGAAAAAATGTACGCGCTCTTTAGCAAAAACACTTCAGTTAATACAAACTTCAAACTTCAAACTAACGAAATTTTCCTTAGTGCTCCTTGTTGTAGTGACCCATGATATGTGGAGAAGGCAACGTAAAACTTTTAAGTAAGTAGCCTTAGTCACCGTGTATTTCAATAACATCTCTCTCGTTTTTCATCGTGTGGACAGAAAATCCAATAGATGACCCACAATACGAGACGAATGGTCGTGTAATTTTACATTCAAGTGATAATGCACATTTCGATGAGTAGTGCGTACCTAGACAGCTCACGCCATTTCCTGAGTACCCATCTAGACAAGTGCAGTTATATGAGCCAAACGTGTTGTTACACTGAGCATTCACGTCACAGTTGTGTTTCTCATCTTGACATTCATCTTCATCTAAGCAGAAATAGTAATTATGGGAACAAAGTCATATCCCATCCTTGAGTATAATCACTATCAACAAGCTCGCGCAGGTTTCAATATTCTTATAGACATTTAATATACTTTAAAATGTTTACTTGAAAGCAGATTAAAGATTGCATGTATATTTAACAAGTACAGATGCCTTTGTATGCATGCAGATATCCAACGTGCTTTCAAATGAATTCATCAATAAATAATTAATAAAATAAAAGATTTGGAAAACTAACTGACCATTTCGCATACAGTGAACATAACAAGCATAAGTGAATGCCACACACAGCTGTTCTTAGTATGACTCGTTCTATTCATCGTTACCTAGGCCAAGATGTTTCACTCTATTTATTTGCTCTTCCGATAAGGCTACGTCATAAAACTGCATGGCAGCAATTCTTGCAGTCAAATAACGAGGATAGTCTGCTTTGACACCAACTCTGACGTTATCCTGTGTACCCAGCGTTATGCCGGCCCCGATATTCTTCTCTACTACTCTCACTCCATTAACCCATAGACTTGCCATTCCAGTTATATAGTCGTAAGAAGCACCAATATAATGCCATTGGTGCGTCGCCAAAGGCTGATTAGTCCAGAAAGCATAAGATGTAGCTACGTACTCTCTATTTCTGAAGTGAACGTAAGGATGTCCATTCAAGTTCATCCAAAAGTGAACAGCCCATTCACCACTTGATTTGTAATTGAATAGAGGCCCATCGTGTGTATTCTCAGGATACAGCCAACATAGCAATGTGATTGAGTGTTTCAAGTCTAATCCCCCATCGTTTGGGAACTCGATGTAGCTGTTCGCATGCCCGGAAAATCGATAAGAGCCATCTATGTCACCATTCGGACCCATCGCCGAGGATACATCTCCACGAATGCCTTGAGGTTGTTTATCAGTGATCTCCCTTGTTTCAAAGAAACTGTTCAAAGGAAAAATTGCTTTTGCTTCTGGGACATCGGCGGCTGCAAGAAAAGTCATTAACGAGCTAACTTAGCATTTTGCAGATTGTAGTTTATATAAATTCAATATTGGTTACTAAAGACTGCTACCTGATGAAAGATTTAATTTATATCCAATAGGACGGCACACTTCATCAGTACGGTATATCTCTCTCTTTTATCCATATTCAGTGCTGTATTATATTGTGTGATTCCAATCATAATAAAGATATACCTTGCACTAAGCCTCGATTAAAATTAATGTTATAAATAGAGCGTAATGTATGAAATTGTGTGTTTTATCAACGGTTATAGCTGGGAAATCAGGTCAAGTTATGTATCTCACCAATTCAATCAACATCATCTCCTGAGAATCCTCGAAGACAAGTAGCATTGAATGAGCCCATAGTATTGTTACATTGCGCCATTTCGTGAAAACTATGAGTCCGCTTTATATGAGTTCCTATGTGTTTGACTACTTCCCCTATTTAACTGTCAATTTGTCTGTCTGTCTGACTGACTTTCCAGTGCAATCTTTCGGCTTATCTGTGTGTTTCCTTATAAGGATAGACAGCTGATTGTAAAATTCTAGCATTTGTTACACCAGTTACACATTTTCCTGACAACCCATGGAAAGGAGAACCTATGAAGCTATGTCTTCAACTCGCTTTCAAGCTTCCGTGACTTAATACAAGGAGAGCGTCAGTCAGTTAATGGAAGATTAAAACCTCACGTTTTAACGAACGTCACTTAAGGTTACCTGAACAACCGAACAGCTCCACCCTCATTGCTATTCCCTCCTGCCAGTTAACTGGACGAAATCGGATGTAACGTCCCACGATAGGTGGGCTCAGGTCATGATAAACAATTGTCTTCTGGTCGTAATTTCCAGCAAAGACCTTGATAAATGGAGAAAAAACAAAACAAAACAAACAAAAAACAAACAAAAAAAACAAACAATAAAAAGAGGAATAAGTTTTTTTCATTTTCTTAGGGAGATAAAGTTGCAATAAGTAGATTGATAGTTAATTAGAATCGAATATTTCCTTATGCAATTGACAGCACAACTCTGATTTTCCTCCACCAACAACAATTGACTTGGAACAATGTTAAAAAATAAATAAATAAAAAATAAAATCAAGGGTTTTTCGGGCACAATCTAAAGATTTATTTTTGAATGTTAGTTTCCTCTACGGAAAGGCAGCCCTACTAATATTGTTATGGACCTTTCTTATCGTCCCTTGTTCCATGTAATATTGCAGGTAACTTTTTTTATAGCCATACTGTAAATTGTAGCTTGTAACCCACTTAGGCGAAGCATTCATTCCTTGTGTGGCAACTCGTTTCACGATGATATTGTTATTTCGCAAATCGATCTGGAGCCACTGGTCGCCATCGTCTTTCAGAGGCAACCAAGTTCCCTCGCTTAATATTAGTCTGCCCTTGGTCGACGCATGATCTGTACTCAGTTCTGAAGAGGCACTAATTTGTCCGTCAGAAATGGCACCGTTTTCCATACCAAGGGGGTCTTGACATTCTTTATATTTCAAGAACATAAACAAAAAGTTATAATTGAGATAATATCCGCACCTATCTTCCTTACTGTTAGAAACTTAAAACGGGGGACAAAAAAACAAAGTTAGAGGGAATTGCATTACTTTCGGCTGAGGATGTTAACGTCAGGGAGGAAAATGTAACTATTTGAGAAAGAATTTGAATATGTTGTAGGGCTAGGCAAGGACTCTTGCAAGCGAAATGGAGATTTTTGGTTAGAGTCTTGTGAATTAAAGGGAAGCTTATAATTTAATGCCGACAACACCATGAGCGTAAAATGGAAAATGCTATAACCTTTTTAAGAGGCTCAGATACTGAAGACAAAATGAAATAATAGTGCACGATATCTTTCACATATAGGATAAAAGATAAGCGAATTGCAAATCATTTCTTGAAGGACCTAGGAATTCTTATTAGCAATTCAAAATTGAACTTCACCTAGACAGCCGTACAACTCTACTCGCATAGTTACCCCACCAATCCAACTTGTGGGTCGGAAACGGATGTATCTTGCCCTGATTGGTGGGGAAAGGTCATGATACACAACAGCGTCTTGGTCTGTATTGCCATAAAAATTCTAGAGAGAGTTGGAAATTAAATCTTATGAGAGAAGAGGTTATTTCCACGTGCGTTTTTTTTTTTAACATCAGCCATAATCAGAGTATTTACGCTATTCCTTCGATAAGTTTTCTTGTAGTTTTTCTTATCAGTTCTGAAACTGCTCTCCACCATCCCCAGAAAATGGTATGTACTAATAAAATTTCATCCCAACATACCGCCCTTAAACCTTCGTGTGGATCAGTTTGCATTTGCTTGTCAAACAGACTTAAGATAACTTCTGCAAGACAAAAATAAGTCCTTTGCCATATCCTTCAAACTAAATCATCCCCAATTGGTTTATGGCGCCCAAATAATTTTTAATGGAAGTCGCGGCCACTTCAACTCCTCATTTCTACCTTTATGTAGGATTTTTTTCTCGATCGTCGGTAAAAATCAGACATATCGCGGCAAGGGTGGAAAATTCGATTTCTTTCTTATTTTAATGTTAGATAGGCTAGGCTATAACTAAAATCACTGGATACCTTTTTTGGCCAAATATCTTTCTATTTCAGAGAAAAATACAAGTAACGAAATTCCGTTAAAATCGTCATCTTTAGCAGCAAATTAAAGCACGAGTTTGAGGGTTTCGCGTGCAAAAACGAATCACTATCTCGTCTTTTAAACACTCAAATCTTCTTTTTCGATCTCATAAGACCTCAAAAAATGATTTTTGGAAACATTGCGCTCTTCTTTGCGCTTAAAAAAAAATTTAATTTCGAAAGCAAACATTTCTCTTCAGTAAAAATACTTCGTGAATAAAACTAATTTTCACCATGTGCTAAACCTTCAAATGGATTAAGCTTTTGGTAGTTGAATTTCGAAAAGATGTTCTCAATATAACTGTAAAAAATTTGTTTGGGCAAATGATTGAGAGCGATACAAAAGCTTTTCAAAGTCCGTTAAAATGCAGTTATTTGACCTTTTGCGGTCAACATACCAGTTGCGAGTCACATATTTTTATAGGTTTCAACCCATATGAGGCCGAAAACTGTACATAGAAAGATATTTCCAAATGCTCTAACCTCATTTGCCGCAGGAGACCGATCCAGAGACCATTTTAGTGTGATTCTCTTGTCGTTCGTCGTATTTAGGTCTGTATAAATGATAACGCCCGATGAAACCACCAACCCTGTCGAACACCATCTTGTTGTCAAACGTTCGATATCTTTCTTCACTGTGGCATCGATCTTATTCAACGGTTCAGTTGACTACGAGTATTGCTCAGTTTACAATGCACTAAAAGATTACATCTGACAGTCTACTTCAATGCTAAACTGCGTTGACTACAAACATGTAGGCCCTTTGAGTATTTGGGTTGTCACGCAATACCGGTGACAAAGGAACTTTAGGGGGTACGTGAAGGGCAAAAATCTATATAATTAAGCGCTATCAGAATTGAATTCTTGGAACCTACAAAATATTTTCTGTATATATATTCTGTAAACGTTTTTGTAATAGTGTCATCTTTGTCTGGTGACAAACAGTAAAATACATTTATTTATTACAGGGAATTATTCTTGTTTTTTTTACGCTCTGTGCCTGTCGTACTTAATAGGGGTGTTTTTCTTTCCACTAAAATTGCAAGAAATACCCTAATAGCATGAAAGAGAACCTTTCGTACATTTTTACAACACCATGCTACAAAACGCAGTGGTGGGGATGTGTGGCTTATGTGAGGCTGGGGTGCTATATGCTGTGGCCAATGGGTGGGGCTTGCATAAGGGAGTGATACTATTAACCACTGTTAACATTTACAGACCCAACTACAGTTTAAAACCTTAAACTACAGAGGGGCCGACATATGTCCGTTCGGCACAAAATAAGGTCGATGTCGTCTTCAGGACAGGTAAATTTGAAAGCCGACTCATGACTTGCAATATTCTTGGTGCACGAAAGTAAAGGAACAATTTCCGTCTCTAGTGTTGTAACCACAAACTCCGCCAATAAGCGACTTGACAGTGACACTGACCGTGCCAGTTAGTGTATTTGTGAAAAACAAATTCCGAAGCCCCACCTCTAAGCAAACAATAGGCATCGTGTAATTACCATAGACCAGGTTTTGTTTTCTAAGGCTTACTATTTTTAGCAGGTATTAAATTTTGCTTTTCAACGAGTATTAGTCAAAGGCCCGATCTCCGCGACTTACATGTGAGAGATTTCGATGTTCACAACAACAAAATAGCTTAGCAGCAGAGTGACGTCTTTTTACTTTCCCCCTCCCCCACCCCATAAAAAATAACTTTCCATTGTATGATTTGCATTGGGTGTCGACTCTCCGTATACAAAACTACTTTGACTGCAACATATGTATGGTGCCACTTTTAAAAGCATCGATCAGATCTACTGCACCACAAACCGAACAACGCTCACAGTCAACTGAACCGCTGGATAAGATGCCACAGTGCAGAAAGATGTCAAACGTTTTATAGCGAAGATTGGTGACAGTTCGCAGATTGACAGGCAGTTTCATCGGACGTTAAAAATACGACGAGCGACAAGATAACCACAGTAAAATGGTCTTTGGATCTTTCTTCAACGGTAAATGAGGTTAGAGCATTTGGAAATGTGTACCCATGTACATTTTCCAGCCTCATATGGCTTGAATCATATTAAAGTATGTGTGTGACTCGCGACTGGAATGTTGACCGCAAAAGTTCAAATAACTGCATTTTAACGGACTTTGAAATCATTTGCCCAAAGAAATTTTTACAGTAATATTGAGAACATCTTTTGGTAATTCTACCGCCCAAAGCTTAATCCATTTGAAGGTTTAGCACATGCCGAAAATTAACTTTACTCTCAAAGTACTTGTACTGTAGAGAAATGTATGCTTTCGAAATTAAATTATTTTACACGCAAAGAGGAACGCAGTGTTTACAAAAAAAGTTATGTGAGGTCTTATGAGGTTGAATAAAAGATTTGAGTGTTAAAAAGACGAGATTGTGATTCGTTTTTGAATGCGAAGCCCTCAAACTTGTGCAATAATTTGCTGCTAAAAATGACGATTTTAACGGAATTTCGTTATTTGTATTTTTCTCTGAAATAAAACGATATTTTGCCAAAAAAAGCATCCAGTGATTTTAGTTATAGTCTAGCCTATCTAATATTAAAATAAGAAAGAAATCGAATTTTTCACCCTTGCCGCGAAATTTAGAATTTGTCTGATTTTTACAGACAAGCGCTCTGAATCTCCTAAAGCAACAGGCTTTGGGGAATGAACGATGGTATTTTAAGGGCTTATTCCTTGGAGAATTGCAGTGTTTTACCCTGATCTATGTTGAATTTTGAATTCTAGAAATTGGTCGCTTAGCGAAGTGGTTTTCCTCCCACAAGGTATTTCTTAACAATATCCCCAGTTTGTATGAATTTTATGGAAAACGAAAGAAAAAGTTATTTCGGACAATTATCAAACCTTGGCCTCGTTATGTCCATGCTCTTTATAAAAGTAGAAATTTAGTCCGTCGTTGCTGTAAGTCAGACGGTACTTGGTTACTCTATCCGGCGAATTAAGGATGTTTCGTCCTTGTGTTGCAACCCTTGTTATTTTAATGTATCGATTATTCAGATCAATCTGCAGCCACTGGTTTTTATCATTTGTGCGAGCCACCCAGCCACCTGCGTTGTCCTGTGTTTCTTTTACATGAAGTCTACCATAATGAGCTTTTTCTTTGTGACTCCATTCGGAAGAGGCGCTCATTTGACTGTCGGAGATGGCGCCGCTTTCCAACCCTCGAGCCTCTGCACACTCTAAATAGTATAAACAACTCTCATGGCTGTTTTTCAATTGCCAATTGACGCCAACTTAGCACATGCAGTGAAATGGGTTCGGGCAGTCAAGTCTTTCTTTTTTTGTTCACTGCATCATACCGAATTGTTAGCGAATTAGTAAAAACTGCTCTCTTATATAAATTGCTGTGTTTTAAGGAATTATAAGAGAGAGCTACAAACGCACAGAACTGCCATATTTTTTTAGGTGTGTTTTATATCGGCAACCAGCTGTTGACACGTCACATGCCTTTGGCACCTCTCTATCAAGTTGATGAGAGAATTGCAAAGCGTTCAGGTCAACGTTTCTTGGGAGCTGTGTTGTTTGTATAGGTAATCACATGATTTCGAGTGCAATTTGGAATGAGTAAGCACGACTAAATTTTTTCAAAGACCAACAAAATTACACGAACCCGTAGGGCGAGTGCAATTTGTAGTCTTCGAAAAAATTAACAAGTGCTCCTTAATTTCAAATAGCACGAGAAAAATCATGTGATTACTTATTAATGATATACATGAAAAAATACAGATAGCTTATCATAATTATGCAGAAGCAAAACGCACGCATCAAGTTCGAAAATAATTTATTCAAACCTGCAAGTGACATTGTGTGTTCAGTCAAAAAAACCGCGCCCCATCAGAACAATAATATACAATGATATTTTCACATATTTAAGGCGTAAAAAGGGGCGCAAAAAGTTCAAAGTCCGGCTTTAAGTTCAAGAAATTGTTTAGTATGTCTCTGAATCACTTTCGATGGAATGGAATCGTTGTTTGCGAGGTTTAACCATGTTTGTTTTTAATTTCGGCGTAGAATTGCTCGAGTAAAGTGTTAAGCTGGGCCGGCTCGTAATTTTCGATCTCCTTGGCAATTCCCTTCTCTAAAAACCACTTTTTCCAAGCCCACAACCAAAAAGCAATGATTTTTACAGCGTTTTCGTTGTAACAGCTGCTTTTCAGCCGCACTATAGTCGTTACGGTGGCAAAAGAAAACCAATTTAAAACGCCGGCCATTGTTTCGCTCGCAAATTTTTTGCGTATCCAAATGTTGCGACATCCAAGGCTCGCATTTGATTGGCTATCTTTCTTTGCACTGAATTAACCCTCTTCTGCATTGAATTACTTGAAAACTTCATTTATCTTAACCAATCAGAACTGAGTAATTTTTTCATGTATATTATTGATACAATAATAACAACAATAATAATAACAATATCGATGATAACAATAATAATAATAATAATTATGATTATTTTTAAAAGGTGGTTGTTCGTAGATATGGAGTTTTTCTCTTTGAATATTCCAAGAGAAAATCCAGATCTATGCTTCTGTATGTACTATTCACTATGTAAACAACAAAAGTAGTGAATGACGCAAAATCTTTGGTATAAATATGAGATACATCAAAGGCAGAAGAGCCTAAAATTAAGAGATACAATAGTTATGAAAAACTGAAATCTCAGAAGAGGTTTGGAATTTATTTGCGTCCAAATGCATATGGTAATTTTAGTGCATGTCAAGAATAACACCAACCTCAAAAATGTAAAAGTCCCCAAAAGGCTACAATTTATTTCTTTTAGCAACTACCTCGAAATTCATTGCAAAAGTTAACGTCAAAAACCCAATTCAATTGAAGCAAACTCACTGATGGTTCCGTAAACCTCGACTCTAAGGCAAATAGATCGTTGCCAAGTAACTGGGAGAAAACGAATGTATCTTGCATAAACCGGAACTTCCAGTGCATGTTGGTCAATTGCGTTGGATCCACCTTGTCTGTGAAATATCTATTACGTAATAAGAAAATATAACGCAGTCACAAGTTTTTCAAATAATTTTTTTCAAAAAGAGGATTCAATAACGATAAATATTAGATTGTAAACAACTAAAAGGAACCATTATGGAGTGGCTTATTTCTAATGTTGTCGCAGAAACTGAGATGAAGAATATAGATTGACGAACGCGCCCTTTCGACCTGCCGACAAGCGATACCGTTTGATTATGTTATGTTGGCGATAAGTTACCAGAAATGGTCTCGTCAACAATTGCAAATCTGAACATCATCGATAACCTTGCGAATCACACTGTCTGCTGGGACTCTATGCGATGATCAACCACAAGCAAAAATAAATTTAAGTGACTTACTCTAAAAAGCTGGTTCCTAACTAAGAAAAGAAATGTCAGTCAGTACTACCTTCAACAGTCCTTCTCAGGACTACTCTCACCCGGACGATCAGACTGCACAATATACTCTTATTCCTGAATCTAACTGTAGAAAGATGAAATATTAGATGCACCAAGACATTTTGGCCAAAATCTTACCGCTTCCGAGCCGTTAGCTTCCTTATAAGTTGGGAAGCCGTCCTCATAGGATTTAGAGTGCGCTAATTTAAAGTCTATCACCCAGTTATTGCCACTGATGTCTCCTTGGGTTGCAACAGCACACACTTCAATAACTTTCCCGAGATCGACTTGAAGCCACTGATCTTTATCATTTATTTCGGCGCACCATCCATCTCCTCTGTTACCGTTGAGGCGTCCATATGATGGTAGGACGTTGTAACCGTGGCTTTTGTCATGACCTTTTGCCCTCATGAAGCTGTCAAGGATAATACTTGTATTGGAAACTCCAACGGCATTACTGTAGCAGTTATCATGGGTTTCTGCATTCAATAAATTTGAATATTCAATTCATCAGAGCTTTAACCTGCCTTATTACCACCTATTGTTCACTAAAATCAACAGGATCGTTCCTTCTTACAATAGAAAAAATTTGGAATTTTATGTTACCTATAGGTGGGACGTAGGACGCGCGGAAAGGCACAGGAGCGGATGCCATGGCATAGAATTCACCAGGAAACAAAAACAAGGCTGCGAGATCAAACACTGTAACACTTTTGCCGCACCGATATTTTTTATTAATCTTGATAATTCATTTACCTAAAGTTAGAAAATACTTAAAGAATTCTTCGCCTCGTTCAAACCGTGCTGCTTTGGACTTAAAACATACATCTCGCGTACGTTGGAATGCAATTTTTCAACTTCTCTTAAATAACAATTTATCGTGCTCCACGAGGATGTCTGTTGATTACTATGCTTTGAGAAGTTAAGTGTAAAAGCCCTTTCCTCCATGTTAACAGATTGCAATTGTAAACTTTTTTAAGCAGCTACTTGGTAATGCTTTATAAAGCGTGGAAGACCTGCAGGCAGTTCTTCGACTATTTTCTACTAAAAACAAAATTGTAACTGCAAATTCTTACGATATCATTTCGTTGTAACATGAATCATCCCCCAAAAAAAGACGACAGATACCAAGCAAGAAAAATACGTTTACGTATGGTTTAGGAACAAAAGTAACCCACTTCGTGCAATGTCCATTAAATATCCTAATCCTGAAAAAAAAAACTCTTATGTTAGAGTATCTTTTAGTACAAAATTACACAAGAAATAACATACCTCTACTCCTTAAACCTCTACTCGTTATCACAATCAAGATTTGAACCTATAGAGAGAGGGATTTTTCGTTCCGTAAGTTACAAAATATGTTAATCTCTCAGTGAAACAGTCTAAAAAGGAAAACATTCAAAATTCAGCCTGCTCACCTTCAATAAAAGTAAGAGCTTTTGGGGATTCATCTTGTCTCTTCTTTACTCTAAACCGAGCAAAAGCATGTTACGTAATTATTGTTTCAGTACATAATCCTCCTAATTATAATTTTTTTGCTAACCTGAAAAATTTCCCCGCCGAGATTCCAGTGAAGGAAAAACAACATATCAATATATTAATCAAGTTTTCGCAATGGCCATGGAAGTGCATATTCAAGAAATATTAATCAAGTGAGTGAAGAAGGGAAATTTGTGGTAATATAGACAAATAAAAGTACGAATAATTTTTTTAAATTGAATGTAACAGGAAATTAATATTTCACTTTTGTCCCTCTTGTTGTTATGAAACAGAATAATTCTCAATACATCTCTTTCTTTACCTTCTCATGCAGTTTTTATTTTTTTAATTAGTTAAAGTAGCCTTTTTCAGGCCAATGGTCATGGAAAACAAGTGAAATAGCAGTTGAGCGACGCTTAGCTACTTCCTTGACGAGCCAAGTTAACCTTGGTACACCTACTTTTGATTGTCTTGGCTGACTGAGGGTCTGGTACAGGATGTTGATGAATACGATCGCACATACTAGCATGCTTAGGTATCCTACGGTATGTATCGATTCCACAAGCTTTTCGTAATTTATTCTTTTGATGGATCTCTTGTTTTGGAACTGTTAGTTTGATTACTGATTTAGTGTGCGTATTGTACTCATTTTGTGCGTTTGTAAATATGTACGAGGACCCCCAACTGTTTTAGTATTATTTTGCTAAACTACCTAGACAATGACTACATGGTTAATGCAAAGGTCATTAAATTATGAATAGATAGGCTTTCCTAGACACAGTTGTTTTGGATATTCCAACAATGATAAAGGCGGGGGTTCATTAAGACAGTTTTGAATCAAAACAGTCTCCTGCAAGCAATTCGTTCCCTGGGAACAAAACGACCTCAGAGAAATTTCTCTTTTTAATTTTAATGTGAATTTGTCAAAACGGGATATCCTTCAAAGTAAGAATCTTTTATTTTGATCTTAAAAATAACTTTGTGTATGAGTGAGTCTAAATTCCCTTAGCATTTGATTGGCTCTAATTTACTGTCATGTTCTAGATTCTAACAGGAGACTCAATGAGAACATGCAAAAAAAAGCCAATCTGCACTTTTTTTTACCCAATCCTTCGAGTCAACGTCTCTGAAAAATCCAAACTGCGTTACTTTCTGAAACCTCTTATAATAAAACGTACTAGTATACGCACTCGCCAACCTCGTAGAAAACAAAGTATTAGATAGGCTTACATGAAAAAAAGACACAAAGAAAGTGTGGGAACTATCATTTTTTTTACATGTATTGGTTACGACTTACATGTAACTGTGTAAATATAAGTGAAATATTTTCGATATCAATTTTTTACTTAGTGAAGTTGGTCGTTTACAGAACATTAAGTCTGACTTTCAATCTTTCAACGAAGAGTCTGACTGATCCTCTGGATATCGCTGTTTGCATGAATATATTGTAACTATAAAAATTTATTACGTAATTCTCTCATGCGTGAGAACATATTGGGTTTCTAATTTTCAAGAGCAAAATAAGCCCGCAGACGCTGCTTTTGTTTGAATAACAAATTTTGTGCAATCTCAATATACCGTGTTCAATGGAAGCCCTTTTAATCCAGGAAAGTCACAGATATTATGTAACTTTTATTCTGTAACGATATAACCGTGCTGCTGGACAATTCCACATGATCCTCAGCTCTAAAACATCAATGATTAATGATGGGGAAAACGGCACTGAGGACCTATTGAAGACCTATTAGAGGAATAATTTGAAATTTGAAGCCATAGTAACAAAGTGTATGTTCGCTTTAAATTAACTTAGGATATAAATTTACATTTTTATCTTGCTAGGGTGATATCTCATAATCTCCTCAATACCCTTAACGACTAGATCGATCACAGACGTTACCGTTTGAATTTAGCATGGCGATAGAGAATTAAGCATAGCGTATTTGCGGATTCCTTTTAGATGGGCTGATAAAAACCTGATGAAGATTTATTTTACGAGAGCTTAGTTCTTAATAATTTAATTAGTGAAACTTTGGTATACCGCTATTTGATAAACAATGCAGGTGTTTGCTTTTCGATCATCTTCGAATAAGCGAATGATATCCTTCAATATAATTTCTTTATACAAAATATCATGGGGCTGTCTTAATGTATCTACAATCGGGGTCAAAATTAGCTGAAACATGGTGATTGAAGAGTTGTATCTTTGTGTAGAATAACACTCCTGTTTCTACAAGTCTCTTAACCACTAAATTATTGTGTTTTTGTTGTTGTTCTTGTTTTTTTTGAAGGACTGGGGGGTTGTGGGACGAAAACGTTTACTTAAATATAAAATTGAAGTAATAGGAGGTTGAAAAGGTTAATGTGTCAACAATTTTGTCGCCAATTGTTGAAAAACACCTCTCATTTCAACTTTAATCCACAATCGAAAATGAATCAGCGAGAACGATCTTTATTAGCCAACATACGACCTTTAAGTTTTTCTTCATGGGCAAAGGTTTTAAAAATGGGATTACCACTTTTTTGTAGCAAGTGGAGTGGACAAACTTCTTAATGAAGTGATATTTAGCTGGAATTTTTCTCTGAGGCTGCTAGGGGCTTGACTTAAGCACCGTGGTTGATATTGGTGGTCAGGCTTGTACCCTGTCACACCTCGACCACTGGGCTAACACTCCATGGCTAGAGGGTGGCTTCAGCATGCCTTTGGAGCAGGGAGGCTTATTTTACATTGCAAATACTTGGTGGCTGTGTCATCTCATATTTCGAGCAGTATATCGGCTACCCTCGCGAGCATCTATTTCAACACAATATGGAGTCAATGAACCTCAAACACCATTTTCCCATCTTACAGAAATGCAGGAGAAATCTTGACTACCTGACATATGAAAGTCATATATCAGACATCTTAAGCCAGTAGTCAATACTCAAGTAGGGTAAAACTGTTTTTTTAATTTTCTTAGAAATCACATGTTCTGTCACTTAAAGTATTCTTCCACCTTATGTGCTTGATTGTAGATTCTTTTACGATGCAAAACCTAAGCTACAATGGCATCCGACGATGACAAAACGTCGTGTATTTCGTTTGATAATTTTGTTGTTGGATATTTCCCTCAAGCCTTACTTCTAAGATGCAATTACCTAAAAAAAATCATTTAATGATATCTACGCTTCCAAGAAAAGCCAAAAACAATTTCAGCAAAAGAAAACTAAGCTAACTTAGGGATGATCTTTTGGTTTCTTTTCTTAATCACGAACCGAAGGATTTATCATTAATAACAAGAGGTCAGTAAAGTCATTTTCCTCTTTCAAATAATCAGCCTCCATGTATTCTGTTCGTTGAATGAGGACAATAAGTCTTTTTTCCACTTTTAGCATTCGTTCCTCTGTACATCGGATAATACATCCTGAATTCAAACAGAATGGTTCTGCTTCAGAAAGGCACATGTTGGCGAATATTGCCTCATCGCAAAACAACTTAAACTCAGTCCGATTAATTCCCTCGTGGAAATTTTCCATTAAAAGCTCCTCAATAAAACGTGCCATTTCAAGCCCTTTTGCATTTTCCTCTGCGTTTGATTTTGCGTCACCGTATGATTCGTTAAGGATAGAAATCAGAATATTCATAAGAAATATACTTGTGAATATACAAGACAAAAACGCAAACGTCGGACTAATGAAGGGTTTTTCCCTTCGAAGAACATCCATCGGGATTGCTTTTCCTAACAGGAATTCGAATTGCGACATGACTGCATTGAGGTAACTAAAATACTCTAATACCATACCACCGAAAAATATCATACCTGTTACAACAAATGCATTAAACACGATCATAAAAAGGAGCACATACGAGAGTTGACAGCCTATAGATTGCCGAAAAGACGAAAACAAGTATATTACATGTGGGTTAAAACGAATTAGATTCAGAAGCTTGACTGTCACCATGAAAACAGCAACAGCAATAGACGCATTTTCAAGGTTAAGCCAGTCCAAGGCTGTGTGGAAATGCACGATTTCATATGGATTGGCTTGAATAGATTTGATAGTGTTCAAAACGCTTTTAGCTCTTATCATGTAAAATGCTACAGAGGCTACACAGAAAATTATCATAAAGAAGTCCACCATGTTCCAAACAGACTTGAAGAAACCTAGGCGTTGTTGATAAAGGTGAACCAACATAACTATGAGGTAAAAGAGGACCATTGCCATGAACAGAAACTGGCCAATTAAGAAAAACATCAGAGCTCCTGACTCAGTGCTGTACAACTCCAGTGTTTCAATTCTCCTTGAAGTGTAGGCTGCACCAGTAGCTAAGGCCTCGTAGAAGTATGTGGCAACGCTAATCAAGTTTGTATTGACATTGAAAACAGCAAACTCTAGAATTATAGCTCGGGTTTGGCGATCAAGCCATCCATTAGTAATAGTCTCGTCGAGGACGCCTTGTGCAGTGCTTTCATCGTATCCCATGACTGCTGCATAATCACCCCCTTCATAAGAGTTGTACGACGCAAGAATGGGATCGTTGCGAAGTTCTGCTGCTGATTGATATCGCCAAGGCTTAGGGCAAATTTGGAGAGCATCAGGCCACGAAGTATTGAGGGAGAGAGGTATCCAACCTGGAAGGCTTAGCAAAGTCGTGTCCTCATTTTCTGGAGAATAGTCGTAATAACATTCTGCTATAATTCTCGAGAGTAAACTGCAGGAACCTTCAATTAAAAATAAATAGAGAGGAATAAGTTACTCTAAGATTAACAGTTTTCTCAAATGCAGATAAAGTGAAACAGAGAAAGAGAAAAATTCTGAGCAAAAAAAGAGCACGCCGATGAAGTTTCTTAATATCGAGTTGAAGGTTATTGTTCTAAAATTGCTTTTGAATCAAGTCGTAAGCAGCGAGTTGAAATGTATTCTAAACAATTGTTTTTATTTTGTTGCAATGCCCTATCTCTGCGCCTCTAGTATTAGAACTAAGTGTGTTAGTCACGAGCCTTTTAATTTCCAGAGTTACAGTTTTCGAATTGATTAAGCCATTATGATATTTTCCTCTTTCAACTAGCACTTTCCAATTGTATATTAGGGATTTTTTTCCCACCAAGTTAGGAGCTCCATTGTCCATCGTCAAGTTCAAACAGTCCTTTGTGATAACCTGTTTGTTTATAAAAATGATATATTCTGACCAAAGTTTACTTTTTTTAATTCTGAGCTGTCGCAACCAGGGCATTCCCACCAATATCGACATCTTGTTCCCGATGTACACATCGTTTTTCTCTTCAAGTCCGTTGTACCACGCCTGGTTATAGATGTTTAATATGAATTCGCTCTTTAACCATGCTCCTAAACCGTGCGCATCCTCTACCTAGAATAAAGAATAAATAATTATAAAATAAATACATTAAGATCTAAGGACCCCCCAAGAGGATAGAATGTGTGATTCGCATGACTATTAAAACAAACGAACAATTAACGATCAAGCATTAAATCAAAAGACTAGAACGAAGTAAAGGGGGAAAGAGACTAACTGCCAATCTTAAATGCAAGCAGGAAACAATGAATAAAACATTAATAAACAAAGACTTCAAACGCCCACTGCACTTAATAGCAAACGTGAATTTGAAATCCATAGAAACACCGCTATTACTTTTTTGTAAAGGTAAAAGTCATTATTTTCATCAAGTAGAAAATTGCTTCAGTACAGATATATCTGTGGTGAATTAGTCTGCTTACTTGCCATCGCTAGGTGTGGTATTGCGCCTGACTTTGGTATCTATTTCTCTGTTAAAAATCTACGACTCTGTTATCTCTCTCTGATACAAGGGTCGATTATCATGCGAAATAGGTTTTGAACACTGCCAAATATTTTACAACTGCGGACAAATAAACATTTTTAATCCTACCAGATTAAAGTTAGTAAATCGATACGGAGTGGCTTGCATAATCATACTATTCTTACCAGATTAAAGTTAGTAAATCGATTTCTCATCTCGGACGTCATCAGAAAACGATTTCCATTCTTGTTCCCATAAGATACGATAGCCCGAAGAAACACAAATATCAAATGGAGAACAATTTCTCTTGTCATGCTTGTTAACTGAGCTTCCTTTTTTGATCTCTCCCTCATCTTTTCCTGCTGATATTTCTTATAGCGCTGTTTGGGATCATCGCCCAAAAAATCTATCTCAATTGCGAGTGAATCGATAGTGGTCTCTTCTTCTTCTTCTTCGCATTTGCCCCTGTTCTTTTTTGTGAAGAGAAAGGAAATAACCATGACTGCTATCATAACCTTCGTGGGCTGTACAACGAAAATATCTTGTCTGTTGGAAATAAGAATAGAAGCAAGCCACTGTTCAGAGGTTTCCTTTCCCCACATTAAACTGTAAAACAGCGTAAACGTTGCTGCTGCCAGTGTCGTACAGAAGCAGAGAAACCAGCTCAAATAAACAAAGAAATGGGGAAGCATACAACCACTGTCCGTTATTTCATCCAAAAGTCGCTGGGCCTCGTCTGTAACTTGGTATTTTTCGCTCCTTTTCTTTCTCGGTCTGCTAGACTTAAACAAGAAGGCAATTATTATGTTTACTGGTGCAATGATAATGCCACTTTGTACTCCGATGACTATCTGTCTCCAAGAAAACTTAAAAGGCCCAACCTGTATAGCACCATCAGATTCACCACCAATGTTATAGAACATGGCATTTGCTATCATGGCACTAAACAGAACTGAAAGGCAACATGAAGCTCTTTGCACACGTGTAAAGGTACTGCTACATGCTTTCCCAAACACTGACATCCACAAGTGACTGTCGGCAAGTTTTCTGGCCAAGCGCGAGCGAACCTGAGCTGAGAAGGCAGAGTAAGATTTGCTGTCCACAGTTACCTCTATTTGGCCGTCATCTTTTTCCAACGCAAGCCATCTATTGATGGGGAAAACCCATCTTTCTTCGGTCTGACGATCTTGGATAACTACGGTTTCCACAAACCAAAACGGATTGTTACCCGAATTATCATGATCCAAAGTAATTTCTTTTAAAGGGCCAATGGATTCTTTCATCACGAGAACAAAGCCGTTGATACTTCCTCGTCTGAAAAGCTCACTCGTCTCCCCTTTCTCTCTCAGTGGAATTTGACTATGCCCATTATTTTCGCTCCTGATACTGATGGTTATGTTAGCTGTTGTTGCTGAATGTTTCCAAACGCCCGTGCTTATAACCATATCGTAATAATAAGCTCCTTCCTTCACGAGCGGTACCAATTTAGGAGAGCAAATCTGAAAAATAAGGAAGTATTCAAAGGTGAAAATAATTCGAAATACACGTCTGCAGGTTGAGAAATGATTACCTTGTCTACATCTCTCTTGTCGGCCCTCCTTGCAAGGATTAAGACAACGAAGTACAGAAGGAAAAAACAGGCAATTGTCACAAGTACTGAAATATTGCCACTTTCAGCAAGGTTTAAAAACTCAGTAAAAACTTTGTCGAAGTCAATTGGGTTTGGTGCTTGGATGAAGTTTCCACCAAAAGATGGGTGGTGTTCGAGTCTTGGCTTACCTTTAACGAAAACAAAAAAAATTCAATTAAGCGGAAGAAATGAACATTATCTTGTGCATTAGTGTATAGCACACAAGGGATTAGTGCTTTTCGCGTGCGTTGATTACCCAGTTCGAAAATTAATAGCAAATTCATCTCCGAGCAGAAAAGCACAAAAGCGCGAGTCAAGAGTTCAAATTCCTATCGTGTTTTTGGTATATTGAAAGAGTACAACTACTTTTTTGTGTTTGTGTGTGTTTTATATTAAAATTATCTTTTACCTCGACTTCTGTAAATGATTGTTTCCAAATTAAACTCAGGCACGATCGTGATTGACTTAGAAAAGTTTAATCCCGAGCCGAATTGGTGAATTGCTTTAGTAAACGAACCCTGAGACCCGTTCGACACAAAAGAGAAGAAATAAAAACAAACAAGTTGATTAGTTGTTCTAACCCTATATTATTTGTAGCAACAGCTCCCTTCCATAGAAATGTTAAGATTGCTTTCCTTATCGAAGGTAGGCGACAGTGACAAATGCATGAGGGATTTGACTCAGTAAAGCTGACTTAATAGTAGTAAAACTAAGAAATGATTAATTTTTACCCGGAAACCTTCCGCAGTCCACTTTTCTGTGTTCTCTGACCAATACAAACAACTCGACTGGGTGATGGTCAAAGTGTAGTTAATGTCTGTGTTTGGATCATATTTCGGAATCACAGTGCTAAGAGATCCTTTTGGCGGTGGATCTTTAACGCCCACACATGACCGTCGTTTTCGACGATTACCAGAACAGGATCTTCTTTGCCTAGAATGTTGACTTTCATTCTTAGGGCTTTTAGACAATAAGCCCGCGTAGACGAAACCTGGCTTAGAAGGCATCACTGTAACTGAGCTATCCCTTATAAAGCAGGTTGCATTAGCATCTGTTTGGTTGTCACATGTAGATGTAAACACCATTGTAAAATTGTGGTCAAAGTCATTTATCATTGGCCTTTTTCCAAATTTTATGAACAGATTGATTTGTATTCCCGCTTTGGCCATACTCAACTTAAGAGATACAGGAACATGGGCTAATTCTACGTAATAACTTCGAACTGAAATCTGATCTGGCTTAAGAAAACTATGCTGCGTCCCGTTGGTTGAGTTCTGAGGTGGACTGGAGATGGGAATCAAGATCTCAATGTCATTGTCAAGATTTGATACATTTATCTTTTCCGCGCTATTACTTTTAAGCTCAAGAGTCGTGACGTGTGATTTGATTTTCTTGCTGCTATTGTCCCAAGTGAAAGGGTTAAAATCAACAGCTTGCATCTGAAAGAGAACACAATATGGTATTGGATAATTTATTTGACAAGGGTGATTTCGGGAGTTTTGCTCGCGTAGAAAAAAATTGATTTTGTCATTTTATCATATTTATTGAGTATAGATGGGGACAGGAAAGTGTAGTTACCAATTAAGGCTGCGATTTCTAGAATAAGAATGGCTAGCTAGGATAAGAATAGCATCATACCTTTGCATTTATCTCTCCACCACCTATATTCCCAAGGCTGCTCGGGAGCTTGAATTTACTTGGTCCATCTCCCATGCTGAGTCCTTTTGCATCATTAGCTGTGACCTTTTTCAGGGATATTGCCAAGTTCGGAGTCTTTAAGAGCACATCTTCTGATGAAACCAAGCGGCCAAAATATGCATCACACACGTTGCTGAGTTTTTCGGAGGCCTTTTTCACGAACTGAAAGGAAAGTCAAAGAATGTTGTTCAGTCAAATGATTACGTGGTTAATACGACGACTTTTCCACTTTATTAAAACTAATAAAATCGTAATACACTATTCTTCTTCGCTGCGTTCATGGTCTCGCCGTTTTGTTCGCTTAATGTAAAGTCTATCTATTTAAATTGACCCATCCTGAATTGGTGGCAAAAACGAAACTGATCTCTGTGACATGTAACTGTACTAGTGACCTTTACCTCTGGAGAGGGTGGGATTACTGCCGAGACTATGTCGTCCTGACTCGAGCCCGCAGCGGACTTGAGAACATTTGTGAGGCAACCTGTAACACTTGAAGCTGTTTTTTCTAATTCCGGTGTGAAAGGCTGCTCCGGATCGTTAAGGGTGGAAATCATCATATTTGCTGTACTATCAGTCAATTGCATCGTTAATTCCTAAAGAGAATAACACCAATGCGTCGTATACTTCATTGAAATTAAAATTGTAGGGAGAGATTGGTGGATTGTTTAATTTAATTTTATTTATAAAGAATAACTGAAGAATTATAGAGCTTTCTTTTATTACGATTCACCTGGGAGGATAAGCTTGTTGCCTATCTCGGTTACAGATTAAGATATTTCATTCATTTTCGATCGGATGCATCGTTTTCGGGAAATAATCTGTCACTAATGGTTATCATCCTTGGGTTTAAACTTTAATTTATGTTAAGAAAAGGATTTAAAAGAAAAAAAAAAAGGCGTCGTACCATATTATTATTGTTACTGTTACCGCCACCGTCACTGCAGCTCTCGCATTTTTGTTGAACCTCCAGTCCCATGGCCAAGCTTACTACTGACATAATCAAGCGAGACATTTCAAGATTCTCTGGTGTTATGGCTGTAAACTTTGATATCAATGTGTTGGAAATCTAGCAACAAGAAGAAATGTTGCGCCTCATTAACAAATCGAAAAGGCTTTAACTGCTTCTGTTCTGTTGTAAAGCACGCAGAAAGCGGCTAGAACACGAAAGAAGTGTACGGAGAAACAGGAGTTGTAGTTGAGTGTTTCTCCTCACTGCTTGAGTGCTCTAGCCACTTCCTAAGTGCTGTACAACGGAACAGAGCACAGTTAAGGCTTGTCTATCTTTTATAATAAAGAATTCGTTAAATTCCCCACGCATTACTTTCAATGTTCAAAACAAAGTTTATTTCCAGAGCGAAAAGAGGGTAGTCAGCATGATCTATACCATAGCCAATCAGAGTCCGTGCTAGAATTGTTCAAATAGTGGTTGAAGAAGACGTAAGCTGTCAGAAGTGTCAAACCATCAAAGTTCACAATATACAATAGTTTAGAAATTTAAATACCCTGGTAGATCGAATATAACACTTTTTCCTGAAGTTTTATAGTCTTAAGTACAGAACCTGAAAGTTAGATGTTCAAATATATTAAAGCTCACATGGCAACCAGGTGGACAGTCGGACATGGTTTGATGCTATTCTGGTTTACAGATTTTATGAACGTAACTGAAGAAGTTACGATTCATAGACATAACGTTTCGACACTCCTGTCTAGTACCCTCATCAGGGGTGATCTAAAACGCTGCAACAAGAGGCCCTTTTATACGATCACTAATTAGCTACCTTTTTTCTGACGAGGTGTAAATGGGCGTCATGAAGTAAGCCACAATCATCATGATTTAAAGGAGCGTGGGAGGAGTTAATATGTCAAGCTTTCAAACAAAGGCGCTGGTGGCAACGCCGATTAATGGTGATAATTTGAGACTTATCTCACCCAAGTGTGTGCTTATTTAGGCATGTGTGCTCCGATAAAGCTGAGTTTTCTTTTTTGCAAAAGAAAACCACTTTTTGATGCTCTTTCAAACGTGTATCAAACTGACGTTTGGTCGGTCTGATGTATTCGTTGCCACAGTCATTGCAAGGAATAGAATAAATGGTGTCGGTTCGTTGTACTTCCGTGACAGGATCCTTAACCGGTTGCGGCTATTCAAAATCTCTTGATGGGTTCCGTAACACCCTGAATGTAAGGAATAACAGCAAAACCAGTCGCTGGTTCCCTTTCATTAGGAGAGCTACTAGTTGTCACAGGTTTTTGGCAGTTAGGGAGAAACGTTTTTGTATAGCCATTCAGACATTAGAAACATATCTCCTCTCCTCCATCTAGACAGTCAGCCCTCCTGAGTAAAGTTTTGGCTACAGACTAGTGACAGACTATGGACAAATCCAGCAGACAAACTTTTGGCTACAGACAAATCCGGCCGAATTGTGGCTCATAAAAGCACGTAAGTTTTTTTTTACACGTGAAGTAGAAAACAAACTGCCTAATGCGTGTGTTTTATGATTGAACATCAGCCGAATTCACCGGAACATGAAGATTGCTCGGGATTACGGCGCCGTAAAACTCGGCTGTTTTTATTGATGTGACCTTCCACTCAACGCATCCACTCAACGTATCGAAAAGGATATCAGAACAGGGTTTTAATTATTCACTCGAATGAGGCTGATATAATTTCTGAGGCTTGCTTCACTGCGATGTTAGGTCTTTTTTTTCATCATTCCTATTTTGTTCTGTTTTGTTTTTTTAAGACGAAACTCTATATGTCGTACAAGTGTTCCATGTTTTTTATTTTTATTACCGTCCGTAAGCTTGCGATCTAACTAAGCGTGAAAATCTTATAAAATGACTCATTGCATATAGAAATATGCTATTTGTCAGTGAAGAGGAGCGGCGAGGAAGCTACACGGTTCACTGGTGAAAATAATGATATAGCCAATCAGAGGGTCGATACGTCGTTTTTCACTAGTAAAAAATATCCTATGATCAATCAGCTGGTTTCTCTGGCGCGAAGAGACTATTTTTTTCTCGATGCTTTTTGGCGCGTAAATCTCGGTATGTATATAATAAGAAACAACATTTAACTCTGAAAGTTTAAGTGTTCTTGCCGACTGTATTTGAGAAATTTTTTTAACGTACCAACGCTTTGTCCCAAGGGTCCAATTCTTGTCCACATTCACTTTTTTCGTTTGCAGACTTGAAAACAGATATACCAAGTTGAACAGCTTGGCTAAGTTCACCCTTGTTGAGAAATTCATCCAGCTTGTTACTTTCCCCGACTATAAAACCTTTTAACTTGATTGCAACTTCGTCTGGTGTTGAAACACATGGATCAAGGCCAGATGATGGCTTTACCTGCAAGCGATATGTGAGATACATTTCTTGACTGAAATATCTTTTTGGCGTTTAAGACAAAATTCGGTGGCATTATTGGATCCGAGCGGCGACGAGATAGAATTGGATATTGAAAGGCTAGCGAGCACACAGTAAGGATTATGCCATTTTTTAATAGTTTCTAAACAGTGTTTATGAATTAAATTGGAAAATGCAAAGATTTTAATTGACGTTTTCATGAGTCGCGTAAATAGTTATTTCATCGAAAAATTCCCCCGTATAGAAACAATTGCTGTACCTTGATGAATAGTTTCTCTACAACGGATACTCCAACCGCATTCCTAATGACAATAGTCACTTGTTGGTGGAAATCTTCGTTCGGCGATCCTGCAGGTAACACTGTCGACACGGACGAGGGTGACGTGCCATAAGATATAGGCGCCTCTCCAAGTGCAAATTCATATGTCAGTGGTAGGCTTGTATCCTGCCAATCGAAGCACTTAAAAGTAAACTCAGTATCCAGTGAGACGCCTTCAGAGACCGACGGCGCGCAGTAACCATTATGCGGCTCTCCAGTGGTTTCAAAGAGGAGCACAGAAAGCCCGTATGCTCCTTTCAAAGATGTAACCATTAATGTTAGATTATACTTCGATTTGGATTGTAATGAATTTTTCTTGATTATCATATTGGTAGAATTTACAGCTGTTGAAGTCATGTTTGGTAAAATAGGTATATTTTCCCAACTGTCTGAACCCTTTAGTATGGACAGACGCCATTCCTAGACGGATCCATTGCAAGGAGAATTAAGACACTCTGATGTCACCCGGAGCTTGTTTGAAGCAGACACTACTGCGGCACAATCTATAAAGCATCTAAGGAAAAAAAAACGGAAAGGCATTAACAACTTACGAGAAGCTGTAAAATCAATTGCAAGAAAATGGGACTTAACTAACAGAACTCCAGGGCATCAGTTACAGAAGTGAAAGCACAGCTTTACTAGATTGGCGAGTTGCCCTTTCAAACCACCACCTGCTTGTGTTAAGTAAAGCTAGTCAATGTTAGTTTTGGGGTAGTTTTAGTAAAGCAAGACTAGCCTTTTAGAGTTATGCCGCTAGATACAGGTTAAGCAAGTTTAGAGAGTAAAATACTCATTTGAATGTAAAGCACTCTACCTTTTTTTTTAGCAGCATTATCTCCTTTACTCTTTCATTGAAACGCTGCATACCATTCTTAAGGTCTCCCTCCCCACCATAAGCACGTTTGCTTCCGAAAAATTTTGTTTCGATAAGTAAAAGCAACCCTTTTTTTAGAGTATCCACATTTGTAAGAGCTTTCCTTTCCCGATTCTTTGAGTATTACATTTTCTATAGTTAACTGTTAATGCTTCATAACAATTACCTCAGGGTCACCTGTGGTACCTCTCCTGCAGCTATCGTAAAGGACATTTCGGCAAAGGAACTTCACACATCCTTGGACACATTCAGACGTAGGAAGAAGGTCTTATCGATCTCAAGTTTACTTGGATCAATGGTAATGATTGCAGGGTTTGAGTCTCCTTCGTTTTGAAAAGAACCGAAGCAAGTGTTGCTTACAAAAGTATCACTCCGACAGGACCAACTGAAATTGAGCCCGGTATGTATTCGAGGGCCAATGTCTGCGTCGTAACTTAAAGAGCCATCCACGGTGACGTTTTGCTTGGACCACCACCGTGCACTGCTTCCTCCATCAAGAATAGCTCGCAAGGGAGCCGCAATAACCTCGATGAAGCCATAATCAAAGGCGTTAAGAACTTTTGGGGATGCTGGATCTCCGATTGCAAGCGTAACATTGAATTTCACTTGATAGATACCAGCAGGTATGGATCGTTTGTTTATCGTCCGCTCCGTTGTCCCTTGACTAACTACAGTTCCTAATGCTGACTCCGAGGCAGCTAACTGCATTTCGCTAACCACACTCCATTCAAAGGTACTTGTCAATACGGTTAAATCTTTATTTAGGCCCAGTATCAGGGCTTCTCGGACACTTTTGACTGAGCGCTGCACAAGTGTGGCCTGATATTTGTCTTTTGAAATGTTTCTAATAGTCACTGAGAAATCTCCTGAGGATGATATAGTTAACAGAGTTTTTGCATCATTTTTCCCCCTCACAGAAAAACAAACTTTCTTAATATGGGTGTAATTCCTGATGAATTCACTTTTTTTTTAACAATATGAAATAGCCCTATGATTTACATTTCAACGATCGATTTTCAAGGTCTAGA